CCCATCCCAACAACCACAACAACAACAACAGCTACAACACATGCCGCCCGGTGTGGGTCCACAGGGAGGACCTCAGGACGTGCCACACCACCATCATCCTGAAATAAATGGCAATGCTGGACGAGGCCCACCTCAACACGCGATGCCTCCTCAGCAGCAGCGACAACAACAACAACAGCAACAGCAACAGCAACAACAACAACAGAACCAGCCACCGCCTGGAATGCCCATGGAAATGGCTGCAGCTGCAGCTGCAGGTTCGCCTTATTCTCAACATCAAGCTCCACCTGGAATGGGACCTCCACCTCACGCAATCCACCACCAGGGAATGGGACCACCACCAATGCAGGGAATGCACCCGTCGCAACAGCAGCAACAGCAACAACAGCAACAACAACAGCACCCAGGGTCGTACGGTCCACCGCCGCCAGGCATGGCGGGTCCCGGGTTTGTGCCCATTGCTCCGGCGCCAGGCGCGTCTCCCCATATGCGATGATTTTCTCTATACTTTATTTTTTAAATCTTTTTTTTTTCTTTGCATATATAAAACTTTTTCTATTTTTGTTGTTTCTTTTTTTTTTTTTTTTATTTACGTTTATAAAAAAATATCTTTGTTTTTTTTTTTTTTTTTTTTTCATTTTTCATTTTTCATTTTTCATTTTCCCAATCTCCTTCTTCTTCTTCTTCTTCTTCTTCTTCTTTTCACATGTATAAAAATGCAACCAATAATAAATAAATATAACCTATTTTGAAAACAAAAATAAAAACAAAATCATCAAATAAAAACAACAACAACAACTGCAGAATCGTCTATCATCGCTGGTGACCAGAGTATGTGTATGAATACTGTGGTGGTTGAGGTTGAGAAATGTTCTCCGTGCTTGCAAACGGGTTATTAGATCCTAGCGGCTCAGAATTATATTCATTTCCCTGACCACGGTACCCGCCATAGCTACTATTACTATTGTACCCGTTACCTGCTGTCCCTCCCAAATTACTCATCTCGTATTGCTGTTGCTGCTGCTGCAGTGGCTGCTGCTGCAGTGGCTGCTGCTGTTGCTGCTGTTGCGGCTGCTCAGGATAATATCCCGTAGGCGCACCGCCGCCATAATTGTAATTGGAATAGGCCCCTGCACCTGACCCCCACGGGCTGGGAGCTGCTGCAGCAGGGGGTGCAACTGACGCCGATGCCGATGCCGATGCATGACGCATTTGTATGGGTGGTGGTGGTGGTGGCGGTGGGTGCATTGCACGTTGAGTATAAATACCAGCTGCAGCGTATGGTGGGGGGACAGCATAACCACCGGCTGGAGGTTTAGGTCTTGCGTTGGCTGCCAATGCTGCTCCCATCATTTTGCGCTGACGGTACCGGTAGAACCAACGACGGAAAATAGACATTATAATCATAAGGATAATGAAAGCTCCAATCGATACACAAATTGCAATAACTGTGCCCTTGTGGTTCGATAACCACGACCCTGGGTCGTCCAAAAACCCGCTCCCACTCCCAGATGATGTCCCGCCAATGCACCGGCCCATCGAACACCGCCCTGTGCTTTTACACGGTGTACCATCCAAAAAGTTCTGCGAGGTTAGAATGCACATACTTCCGAAAGTCGGGTCTACGCATGACAGTTGACACGATGAATCGTCCGTGCACGACCGTGTTACGTTCACCACGTTCCCGTTCAGAGTCAGCGTCGTGTTACCAAGCAGTGTCACACATTGCAAGTCTCGCGACGTACAATGTCCCGAAATACACTCCAAGTTCTTAAACGTTGAGTTGCTCAGCGTACATGACGTTCCAGTTTCCTTATACTTGGCTGCAGGACACGTCGACGAGTCTCCTGGGCATGTAATATCATAATCGCAAGGCCCTGTCGATGCCCGGCAGATTGTGCTTGAAGACTGGAATTTGCATCCGGAGCAACACTCTTCGTTAGCATCATCACACTGCGCACCGCTTTTAAACTTGCAAGTGGTCGGGTCGCAGCATGAATTACCGGCGCACCCCTCGGTGCCGCCACAATCGCATTCCTCTCCCTCTTCTACAATGCCGTTGCCACACTCGTTGCTTGTTACCAGCTTCACGCCTGTATTGGATGTCAAACATGTACTATTCACAGAGTTACGTCCCAGCGCACCGCAAATGTTCCCCACTGTACACTCACTAAACTTATCCTGACTTGAGCTCGATGCCGGATTCATAATGTACGCACCAGCAGCATCACATGTTGATGACGACAGTGGGCAACATTGAGATGAAGCTTGCAAGTTTTGAGTGCATGCTGATGACGTACAGTCATGGACGGCGCCAAATGTGTGACCAACTTCATGGGCATAAACTCTCCAGCCAACCTGTGTTCGAGCAACAACGTTTGTACCTGCCACCGACGAGCCGCTGGCGCCGTTACCGCACAGCAGTCCCATCCACGAAAGACCAACTACAGAAGATTGGGTGCACGACGTCATCAGAGTCCACACGGCTATGCCATCATCAGAGCGTTTCCCGCGCCATTCGGAAAATAACCCGAGGCGATCACTCATTGACGTATTCACATTGGTTGAACAATCATAACTCCATGGTGTAGATGAGCTTGAGTCTGACGACGTGGGGCAGCTGGTTTCATTCACAAGAACAAGGGCTGAAATGCCTAAAGTCACATTGAGCTGGGTTTCGTAAATCTGTGAAGCAGTGTTGACTATGCTAATAAGCCATTCGCGTGTCGATGACGTGCTGTTAAACGATGACAGCAGTGAACAGTCACCGGCCAGCCCCACTAGCGCAATCATGCGGCGTGAGGGGCACCCCGAAGTATCTCCAACTGTGGATGCCAGATTCATGCCGGATGAAAAACCTTGGCTGCCAGTATCATTGGTATCTCCGGAGCGGCCAAAGAGCGAGGGCCCCCCGAGTTGGGTTTGGTACCGAAACAAGTAATCCGGGTCTTCAAAGTCATTTTCATCAAACAGATCGACCGACCCGCGTTTGGAAAACTTCCCCTGAGACCATGTCTCAAAAAGAGAATATTCTTTATTGTCGCGGTAATTGTCATCCAACAAGTGCAAGTTCTGGTACATAACTGGGCTCATATCTGCATCACGCCAAACAACCATTCGGGTGTATTCATCTCCATAAATGTCTTCAAGTGATGCAAGCAGCAGTTGCTCATCTTCGAGAATTTCGTAATCACGCTTGGGGAGTGCCAGGTTTTCAGTCTGCACAACTGCAGAAAACGTGTCTCGAGGATTAATGTGGTAAATAGCTGCGGGTGTTCCAAGTCCTTCCTCGTCGTCAACCTTCCAAGCACCTTCGACAAGAGGATATTTACCATCTCGTACAACTACAAAACGGGCCCAACCCACGCGCTTAAATGTTTTCATGAGGTATCCAGTAGAAGGGTTAAGTGATACTACCTGGCGGTATGCAATGCCCTTATAAACCTTGGCGATATCCCTTGGTGTAAAGTCTGGGTGAGGAACCATGTTGCCCTTGCTGTCAATTGTATAAACGTTTGCCGAAGTGTCTGAGAGTTCAGTATTAGGCTGGAGGGTAATTTTAAAGACCTGAGTATCTTGTGGGTATTCTAATAGTGTCGAGTTTTTCGTTAAATAGTGTAGTAGTTTTTCTGATGAAAGGGCTGCTGATGCCGGGGCTACCTTAACTGGGGAACCGTCTGCCCATGTAAACTGTTGTGAGGAATCATTACTGGTGAACAGGTAATCTTTAAACATTGGGAAATAGGATGCAAGTTTGCGAAACTTGGATGAGGCGTTTGGATCTGCCAGCGCGACCCACCGACGCGACAAGTAATTGTAGTGGTCTGTAGATGGGATTTCTAATGTGATTGAAAAGGAGTCTTCTGGGGCAACTGTATGATCTGGAGTGTTTATTTCAAGATTGAGGACTGGTGATAGATGCGTCAAAGGCTGGGTTCTCTGGGACGAGTGAGCAGCTGCGGGGCCAAAAAGCATGGCTAGAAGCGCCATGACTAGTGGCCAAAGCAGAGGGTTGAACATTACTTTGGTGTAGATGATAATATATGAAAAAATAAGCAAAAAAAAAAAAAAAAAAAAAAATTAAATAAATAAATATAACAAGAGAATAACGATGAAGAAATGGAAACAAAAAAAATAAAAATAAAAATTATCTCCGCTAGTAGAGAGGGGATCTGAGGGGATATTTATATAAGAAACCTCCAAGTACAAAACTCTCCGTCTTAACTAGCGATTTTTTAATTTTTTTTAGATATTTTTTAGATATTTTTTTATATATTGAAACGGACTTTTTTTTTTTTATTTTTTTACCAGACGAGATTGCTGACCCAGCGCTTGGCTTTTAGGCTGTGCTGAGCCACCAGCTAGGCTGTGGCAGCTTCTCGTCAGCTTTAGTAATGGCGTATTTTATGGTCTAAAAATGCGTATATTTCAGTCTGCAAAATCAAACTTCCCTCACCACCAAATTTGTTAATTTTCAAGCAATTAAGAAATAATTAAATAATTAAATGAATGAATAAATAAATAAATGAATAATAAAAAAACCACTTACATTTAAACAAAAAAAACAAAAAACTAAAAAAAAAAAACAAAACCATGTCGTCAATATTAAACCTTTTAAATAATGATACCGGAAGCGATGATGACCAGAAAATCAGAAATAATACCAGCCATAGCCCTCAACGGGTGAAGCAGCAGGATTTCCCTAAAATGCCCCTCAATGGTATGCTCAACGACGAGTCAACGCCTCCACCAAACCCACTACCAAATGAACCAGAACCAGTCGCACATTCCCATACCAATGGAACCAATGACTCCGACTCCAATCGACGCTCTTCTGCTGCTGAAATAAACTACATCATTTCTCATAACGGTCCTTCTCTTCCTTCAAAACCATCCGATTCTCCACATGAAGAAAAACCTCTCCCCCATCATTACGAAACCCCTCCAATTTGGGCCCAGTCATGCCGACCAGGACGCTTCAGAAAGGAATACAATCCAAACGTTAGCCCTTTTGTTGTCCCATCTAATGAATACATGCGCCGAGTGCAAATGGAACGACAACAACAACAACAACAACAATTACAATACGCACATCAATGGCAAGGCCGAAGGCCTGTTTTGTTCTATGAAAATATTGCTCTTAAAAAACCTGTAGTAGACTGTGGCCTACCATATTCCTTTTTCGACATGATGCCTTACGATGATATCTCCCGGAAAATCGTCTCGTGGCTCTACGCAAACCTCGATAATATTAAAAACAATGGTGGTGATCTAAACAATCTAGAAGTGGAAATCAAACTTGGGAAAATCATTGACAAGTCAACGGACCGCAGAATCAATTTCCCAATTGTAACAGAAACATTATTAGATCCAGAATTCGCACGAGCTAGCACACGCTTTGAAGCAGGAGTCGAAGACGAGCTAATAAAATATATCCAGAACGACGTCGATAAGGCTGCGAAAAAGTTCCCAGACTCTGAAGACAATACCAAACACCACCACATCCGAAACCTAGGCTCGCGAACAACTACAGATCAAATATATCACTTTTCTCGGTCAGACGCCGGGCGCGAGATTGTGAAACCAGTGCGCGTTACCATGGACGAAAACAACCGCGAAGTTGAGCGCATTACAAAGAAAAATGTCGCCTCGCATGCAATCAACTTACCAGGCTCACTTCTCGATCTACGGATAAGTATCAATTTGGAACTTCCACAAAATCCTATGGAGTACGATGTCTCGAAACTAAGACCAATCAGTACCCGCAAAAAGGACCGCATTTCTTACGAAACCCGCGGCCTGCGTATCGATATTACAAGAGTCAAAGCAACAAGCTCGATAAAACCAGACATTATCTACACAAAAGAAGTCGAACTCGAGTTTGATAATAAACTACTGGTTGACTGGTTTGAAAAGGCGTCTTCCGGTGAAGATGAAAATGGTGCAGCTTACATGGAAGAGCTTGTACGTCTCAACCTGGACTCTGCGCGTCTGATTGTTCGTCACGCTTCGGATAGTCGTCAATTTAAATAAGTATCCTAATAGATTTAAAAAAAAAATTATCTCGCTTTCCCCCCCTTTTTTTTTTTTTTTTTTTTTTTTTTTAAATAGAATTCTTGTACCCAGAAAGCAGGCCTTGCAAAAGAGCTGCCAGACCAAAGGCACCAGGATCAGGAAGCCCACCTTCCTTGTCAAACTGTGCCAGCTCTTCTTTGGCCACATACGATGCGCGACCAAACTTGGCTTCGAGCTTGCGTGTGGAATCAGCTCCTTCTTGAGCTGCTGCAACGGCCTTTTCCAGTGATTCGGTTTCAGCCAAGGTCTTTACAAACGGAACAAGCGCGTCCATAAGTGTACGATCACCAGGAGCCGCACGCGTGTACTTTTGCAGAGCGCTGAGAGCATCTTTTGTAGCCTTTACCAGTAAAGGAATCGACATGTCTGTGGCGCTAGTGGCTGCCTTTGCCAGTCCTCTGGCTAAAGCGTGCAAGTAAATGGCATAGAGACCACCACTTGTGCCTCCCATGTAATCTTCAACAATGCTCGCAATGTCTGTAATAGTTTCAACCGCGTTGTCCAATCGGATCTTGTCAACAGGTATCGGGTCCTCCTCAGCTTCATCCTTAACAATACCAACTGTAGCCAAGTCTTTTGCAGAATCCTCGCCTAAACCACGCATAATGCCAATGGCACCGTTAACTAGGGTCTCACCACAGTCACCATCACCAGCAACAGTGTCGTACTTGGTAACTTGGGGCTCCACCTTGACTACACTTTTAAGACCAGCCTTGATAATTGCAGCTGCGTTTTGGGTCTTCACAACCACAGAGGCAGCCTCGCGCTCAGGAAGAGACGCTTGAGGTTGAACATTGCTTTCGGTACCATCAGCTGCGTATTTCGCACTGTCGGACAAAAGAGGTAAAACGGACCAGCCGGGTGCAATTGCAAGCTCATCAAGCAAATCAGTAATAGAAATGCCAACGAGACTTGGGACATGAGCATGAAGTTCGAGTGATGCACGAGAAGCATTGAGAAGAGTAAGAGAAAATCCAGGACCGTTAAGAGCTGTGATAAAGGTACCAACAAGAACTCGGGCAGGGGTAATCTTGTATTGACTTTTAAGAGCTGACACAGCAGCATTGGCAATGTAGTGTGTTTCTAGATTAGAAAGACCGCCCAGGTTGTTGACAAGTAAAACAATTTTATTTGAATTTTCAAAAGGAACAAAGGCACGATCTTCGTCCTTGGGATTTAAGAGCAGAGGAAGAAGCTCCTTGGTAATAAGCTCCTTAACTGTAGGAATGCTTTCGAGCTTTTTAGCACCAGGTTCATTGTGGATGCCCATGCCAATCTCCATTTCCTGAGCACCCAAACTTGTAGAAAAGGCTCTGCCAGGGACATTGCAGTGTTCAAGCGAAGCTGCTACCGTCACAAGGTTATCTGCGACTGATTGGGCAACATTGGCAACAGCATCAAGTGTGTATTTTTCAGGTTCCTTACCAGAGCGCTGGGCTGCTGCACCTGCAATCTTGTGCACGAGGACAGTTCCTGCCAATCCACGGCGGCCCACAAGACCACCCTTCTTGCGGCCCACTGCCACATCGTCCTGGACCACAACCACACGAACCTTTCTTCCGTTAGACTGTGCGCGCTCGGCCGCCAGACCGAAATTGATCACATCACCTGTATAGTTTTTCACCACAACAAGGGTTCCAAGCGATGAGGGGACAAGAGCCTCGATTCCGGCAAGTACTTGTTTGGTGGATGGAGAAGCAAAAACTTGGCCGCAAACTGCAGCGTCCAAAAGACCAGGGCCTACAAGTCCAGCGTGGGTGGGTTCGTGGCCTGATCCACCACCGGAAATAAGTGTAACCTTGCGCTCATTGTAGGTGTCAGCAGAGCGCACCACCACCTTTTCACGCTCCAATAACGTTAAGTTGGGATTGCTGCGAACAAGGGATTTAAGTGCGGGGAGTACCACGTCAGTGGTAGAATCATAGGGGAATTGTTTCATTGTGGAATATTATAAGTTTGCTAGTATGTATGTGGAAAGGAAGAAAGAAAGAAGATTTGTGTGAGGATGGGGAAAAGGTATGGGGTATTTATACTTTTTTTTTTTAGTCTTTTAAAGTCAAATGTGGGGAAACCATATATAAGATGTTGCTTTCTAAAGGTTCATTGACAATTAATCGGATCATTAATGAGAATTACCCGAGCATCATGAAAGTCTCATTGTCATTTTCCATATAAACTCGGAGGTCATAAGGCCGAGAAGAAAGGATACAAAAAAAGAAAAAAAATGTTGGTGTACTACTTGTAATTACATGCAGAATTGTTCCAATTAAGCTGTTCAAGTCCAGTTTACTCACAATGAAAGAAAGAAAAAAAACATTTAAATTTTTAAAACGTTGTTTATATAAAAATTAAGCTCAATTTCATCATAGCATACTTTTTGCTCTTTATTTATACTCTTTAGATTAGTCCAAACGTTGCAATTTCTAAGCAAAAAGGGAGTTTGGCCGAGTGGTCTAAGGCGCCAGATTTAGGTGTAACACATCTAGATTAAATCCTCTGGTATCTTCGGATACGTGGGTTCGAATCCCACAGCTCTCATTATTTTTAATTAATTTTTTTTACACTTTATACATTTAATATTGAAAAATTTTTGGTCTTGGCTTTTTTAAGCTGAGATTTTTTTTTTTTTATTTTGGTTGTATGCATTTTATTTTTGGGGATGTCCAAAGTCCGGGGATTTCATGGTTGATCACAATTATTCATACTTTACAGAAATGAAATGCTAATACTAGTTTTTTCTCTTAATTTATGTCACTTCTATTTAATTCCAAAAAAAAATAAAAACACTTGATTTTTTTGAAAAAAAAATATATATATATATATATCATGATCCTGATAGAATTCTAAATCTTTTTTTTTTCCCCCATCAATTTTAAAACTGGTCGCGTTCATTAGAAATATCAAATCAGGTGACTAGGACTTGTTGTCCACTGAAAATGCTCCCAGCCAATTCCTTTTTGCTCTCTCAGCCTTTTTTTTTTTTTTTAATTTTTTATTTTTCAAAACCTCCCAATTGGACTCTTCAAATTCTGTGATCCCTCAAAAGCTTAAAGGCACATAGCCCAACAAAATGTCTACAATCAATTCTGCTAATATAGAAGATCCGGTAAGCCAACTACACAGAAAGATTCTTTGTAGCCCGAATTTCTAACTTTTCACTCAAAGCTCTTCAATAAACTGAGCAGATCAGTAAAGCAAAATGAAAAAAATAATAATAAAAAAGATGCTCCGACTGAGCAAGAGATCCAGCGCGCCGAAGCAGAGCAAATAAGGCAATATGAAGCTTTTAATGATATGGTATGTTGAAATGTTGTGTATGTTCTTGCACACTTAAGACAAATTGCTAATTTTCATTCATCAGATTGCACGAAATTCCACGCGCAAAACCACTCTTCAAAGCGTCAAGGTGGTTGGCGGCAACAGCTGTCGCAGCAGTTTTCTTGAAGCCCAGATCCAGCCACTTCTCGACGCTTCAGGCCAAGACTTGGCCACCGTCATTGCTGCTTCAGACAAGACTTACAATGCTCTTAACTCCTTTGGAATCTTTAAGTCCGTGAATGTTGGGTTAGACGTTGCTCCCCCAGGACTCTTCTACTCGGCGGCAGGCCCGCAAGACCTGGATCTTGTAGCAACTGTGACACTGCAGCAAGCCAAGCGGTTCACAGCACGCACAGGTACCGATCTCGGGAACGGTGAAGGTACAGGTTATGCTAACTTTGTACTGAGGTCACTTTTTGGCGGTGCTGAAACTCTTTCTTTCGACGCGTCCATCGGCACCCGTACACGCTCATCTTACCTTCTCAACTTCACATCACCACTGCTGAACTCATCAATCTGGCGCGGTGAGCTGCTTGCATTTACTTCTTCAAGACGTATTCCATGGGCAGCCCACGAACAAGTCCTCAAGGGCCTTTCTGCTAAAATTCGGTCGCCACATGTTGAGGCTGGATACGAGGCCGTGCTACGTACAATTACCAGTGTTAACGCTGGCGCCAGTGATATGGTGCGCACACTGGCCGGTGACGGTATAAAGACTTCGCTTTTTTGGAGCATGATCCACGATAAGCGTAACGACATGCTTATGCCTTCATCTGGTTACTACTTCAAGTTTGGCAATGAGATTGGTGGTCTGTTGGGACCAGAATATGGAGACAAACCCTTTTTAAAAACAACTTTCGAAAGTCAAGTGGCCACCGGTTTTTCTCTTGGGGCTGGATCTTCTCTCAGTAGTGACGGAAGTCCTATTGAAAAACTGTTTCATCAGAAGAAGCTTGCTGGTGGAGTTGCTGACGACATTATTATGCAGTACTCTCTGCGCGGTGGTCTCCTCTACTCTTACAATGGCCCCTCTCATTTCATGGATCGCTTCTTTCTCGGTGGTGCTAACGACGTCCGCGGCTTTCAGCTGAACGCTATGGGCCCCCGTCAAGATCAGGATTCGCTCGGTGGTGATGTATTTGTCGCACAGGGTGCGTCGCTGCTTGCCCGTATCCCGGGCCTTGCACGCACTAACCCGCTCCGCTTTTTGGCCTTTGTCAATGGCGGCTCTGTGCTCGAACTCGACAAGAATGACATCAAGGGCACACTGCTGGAGGCTGCAACCAAGCCGTCAATTGCGGCTGGGTTTGGTCTGGCATACAGACACCCTGTGGCCCGGTTTGAGCTCAACGTGACTCTGCCACTGATTGCTCGTGAAAGTGAAGGTCTGCGCAAGGGTCTCCAATTTGGCGTGGGTCTTTCTTTCCTTTAAATAAATATAAAAAAAATGTTATACAACAATGTACAAATTCTCTTACTCGTGACTGGCAATCCACTTCTTGTGAAGCTCAACCACATTGGGCACAATCAAGGCCTCGATTTCCTTGCCATTTTCTTCGTCCTCCTTGCTGATGCGATATGGCGTAACGGCATCATTCGTAACAAAAATGACTTCAAACTTGCGAGTCTGGAGCAAGTTTCCAATGACAAGTTGGTGGCCGTAACGGGTCAAAGCTTGACGAGCCTTGAATAGCAAGATTGACTCATCAGTTTCAAGCTTGAAAGACACAATCATGGCACCCGGCGCCCATTGCTCTACAAGACGCTTAAGAAACTTGGGGACTGGATCAAGGTCAACAGTCAATTGACCAGAGCCACCCTTGGACTGAATCTTGTGTTCGGAGACTCGTGATGTGGGCAAGAAAAAGTCAGAAACGGCAGCAGCAAGGTAAAAGAGAGAGGAATGGGCCACAGGCTTAAGTTCCAGGGAAATGAGGTGAAGAGTAAAGAGATACTGGTTAACAGTAGTAAAGGGAACAAACAGCATCAGGTTTTGGTCAACAGCTCGCTTGTAGTCACGCAGCACAGGCTGGATCTGGTCCTGATATTGACGTGAGATTTGGACTGTACCATCGGGAGCTTCGTCCAGATAGTCAAGGAAACAGTTGGTGGTATGGGAATAATGGCGGGAGTAAGGCAGCAGAGAAAACTGTCTGTGGAGGAAAATGACTGCGTAGCCATTGGCAATGAAGTACTCGGTGGAAGTGGCACCACGAGTACCTGCAGAGAAGTTATCAATAAAGCGGACGGTATTATTTTCCAGTGGAACAGTAGTTCCTCCAGACTAAAGATTTTTTAAAAAAAAAGTTAGGGAAAGTCCAGTCGCCATTAAAAGTCTACTTACCGTCACAAGAGCAATTGGACGCTTTCCAGCGTGAGACTGAATAAAGTCGGAAACCTTCTTCTTGACTTCGGGAAGATAGCTTGGAGCTGGGTTGTTGTGGAAGTACTTTGTTTCCTCATCAATTTCGGCAGGCTCATGGTCTGGGACTGAGCGGTCGACTGCGGTTTCAAGCTTAGGCGCAGCAGTGGAGATAAACTCGAGTGAGTTTGAGCGAGAAAGATGAACAAAGGAGTTTCTTCTAGAGGGGGCCATTTTAAAGAATTGTTAAATAAATGTTGGTTCTGTTCTCAAAAAAAAAAAAAAAAGTTGGGGATAAAAGTGTGCTAGAAAAAAAAAAAAAAAAAAAAACTCTGGAGGTTTCTTTTTGATGGTGGGGAGGAAAAACCAAAAGGCTAAAAATGGGCCGAGTGTCACGTGAAGGGCCATCTGACTTGACCTTAAAAAAAGGCCACCCACTCACACATTAGGCCAACCGAGACCGCAGCACGACACAACATGGCTAGCCTTGATCCACCAGTAGTTTTTCTGGATGTAAGTTTTGAGAAAGGACAAGAGAAGAGAATAGAAACAAAAGATCTAACATGTGCAGGTGTCACTAGGGCGTGAGTAGTATGAATCTTTCAGCAAAAGTCATTCCCTCCCCTCTACCTTTCACCGTTTTAAAGACTAACTCTTCTTTAGCGCAACCCCTCGGACGTATCAAGATTGAGCTTTTCGCTAAAGATGTTCCTCGGACTGCAGAGAACTTCCGTCAATTTTGTACAGGAGAGTATCGTGTCAATACAGTGCCCATGGGTTACAAGGGCTCATCATTTCACCGGGTGATTCGCGACTTTATGGTATGTTATTTTTGGCAATGATAGTGCTCTTTGTTAACAAAGGATAGATCCAAGGAGGCGACTTTGTCAAAGGCAATGGAACAGGCCACATGACAATCTACGGACGCGAAACTTTTCCCGATGAAAACTTCATTCATAAGCGTAAGTATAAATGTTTGTCTTGATTTTTTCTTTATACTAACTTACAATAGACAAGGAGTTTAATGTCTCTATGGCTAACTCAGGACCAAACTCCAATGGATGTCAGTTCTTTATCTGTTGCAAGGACCTGCCTCATCTTGACGGCAAGCACGTAGTCTTTGGACGTGTCATTGAGGGTCAAGATGTTGTTCGCAAAATTGAATACGTGCCAACCGGTGAAAACAACCGGCCATATCCCCACGATGTACTTATTACACAGTGTGGTGAGATGTGAGAACAGTTCAGGTGGGGTATATAAATTTTTTTCTACGATTCTGACTAAGCATTGCTAGTAGAGAACTGAGACAAACGAGCTGCTTCTAGGCTTGTTGAAGATGTTCCTGTTTATATATTCTCAGAATAAATAAAATCTTTAAAAAAAATGAATTAATTTATTAAAGACTTGACATTGATTAACTTTTAAAAACAATTTTGGTTTAAAATTCCTTGTTTTTCTAACTGTGGACAAAAAGTTGAAACTTTTGATGTTTGCAGAATTGTAAACTGCCAAATATCTAATCATTGAAATCGTGTAAAGTTTTAGATCAATAGGATCATCATGATATATAAATATGGATCCATTTTTTTTTAAATTTTGAAGTTATTTTTTTTGTTGTTAAATCAATCATTTGACTCAATGGAAAATAATTCTACTGCTAGTTCTTTGCCTTATTACGATCCATCCTGCCTGAACTATATTGAAAATGATGTTCGGTTTATGGTAACGACGCCAGAAATTATAGCACAAGAAGTGAATCTTACTGTGTATAGTAAAGATGATTTAGTTGTAGCAGTTAATACCCTGAATAACATTTTGATTAGTTCTCGTGGCCCATTGACCTCTGGATCGCTTGCTTCTTGTATAAAAACACTTGCAAAGGGGAATACAGACCTTATGGCGGCAAAGTATTTGACTATTAACGAAGGAGATGGTCATAACAGAATTTATTCAGTCAATTTCTCTGAAAATGGCAATCAAATAATCAGTTCGGTTCTCAAAGGCTTTAAGCCCAGCATTGGTAAGCTTAAGAATAATGGATTTGAAAATAATTGTTATCTAACAAATATTAGGTATCTTTCGCTACCATATTCTGGATTATAATAACAAGCAAGCAAGTTATTTGAGTCTGAGAGAGAGAATATTTGAACTATATGGAATGATAAAGGTATTCCTCATTCAAAACTTCAACCATGCTGTCAGGTTTTACAACAGTTTAACCGGCACCCATTTTTTTCCATCACATTTTAAGTTTATCAGTAGTTTTTTCTGCAATTTCAACAAACACGGCTATGGAAGCTATGGCGAACTAGTCAAGGCTTATTCAAATGCAAAGAAAAAGTGTGGTGGTCATATACCTGTTGTATTTTGCTTTACTGGATTATTTTGCGGAGATTCTTACAGTAGCTTTTTCTTTTACGAAATAAAAAAAAGGAAGAAAGTCAATGAAATAATTGACAAATTTGAGTGCATTTGAGCCAAAATCTGTAATTGACATCAAAAAAGGTCTTTACACTGAATTAAATTAAATTAAATCAATATAAATATATATAATAGATCTATTCATTATAATATATTTCAACTTAACATTTATTGGTTATCTATGATATCGGATAATTTGTAACCCTTGAATAAAAACAAACAAACAAACAAACAAACAATAAACATATCGGATAATTTTTTTTATAGATTGTTGGATATTCAGTCAGATAGCAACCCTAACATCTAGTCACGTTTATTTTCAAGGGCAACGTTTAGTGACGTTAGATGGGTGAAAAAAAAATGAAAACATTGACCGAACTTAATCTTTCCAAATTTTTAAACTAAATTTACAACCCGGGCCTACATACAATGAGAAGAATCTACCGAAGAGGGGAAACACGGCCAACTGAGAGTGCCAACAGTAATGTGCGTGGACCTAACTCGGCCCTCACAGAATTTCTAAGTGAACAAAACATTCGAGCACAAGTTATTCGTGATCGGTACCTTAGTCGACTGCGAGATGCTGCAGGCTCAGATAATGAGAATCCAGAAGAAATGGAAGCAGCTGCAGATGCGGCCGAAGAAGCAGTAGAAGCAGCAGAAACGGCGGCCAGAACTGTGTTAGAGGAGGAATCTGATGATGAAATAGTCGAAATAGTCGACGAATCTGAACATGAGCCCGAGGAAGTTGAGGATGAGGATGAAGATGGTGAACCTATTTTAAGGACTTCGCGAGCCAGATCTGCAGCCAAACGTAAATCTAAAGCAGCCTCGAGCACAAATGGGAAAAAGAAACAAAAATTGACTAAAAAGCAACAAAAAGCACTTGCCAAAAAACAGCAACGGGGCGACGATGACGATGATGATTACTCTTCTGATTCTTCCGATTATGGGCGCCGCTTAGGTTTGTACCAAAACGACGAAAATGATGAAGAATTGTTTCGCCGTCGTCACGGACACCGTGGACGCTTACCGGGCCAAACAGATTTTTGTGCTCAGTGTCACTGTAAATTTATAGTCACAGTGTACTCGGAGTCTGCACCGCAGGAGATTCAAGAAAAGTATGTTAAGGAGCAACAAATGAAAAAACTAGTGGAGAAACAACATCGTGATCAGGCTAAGCTAGAGGAACGTTTACGTCGGCAGGCAGAAGGTGAAGACATTGAGTCTGAACCTGAGGAAGAAGAACCAGAATCTACAGAAGATGAGCGCATCTCAGGTACTCTTCTCTTATGTCTTGCGTGCTCTAAGGAAAAGCTCAACAAGAGCAAAGGTTCGCGATCATTAAATGCTCAAAAGGAAGCCCGTGAGTCCTCCAAAATGTACCGCCGGCGTGTAGCTGCTGCATTACTAGATCGCAAAGATTTTGCAAATGTTTCCTCATTACAGGAAATGTGTATCCAAGTGATTACCAACTACATTGAAGATGTGGAGGCACTGGGGTCTTTGGGGTTCTACAACCGAGATCGGATTGCGCGGATTTTGTCGCGCAACCGTAAGCTTACTTCTCAAACAGCACGGTTATTTCTTGATCCATCTGTGAAGCGTCTGGAACTGTGGGATTGCAGTCAAATCAATGCTGATACATTGGATCTTATTACAGCTTACTGCCCAAATCTTGAATCGCTGACTTTATCAATGTGTGGCCAGTTGCGCTCAGACTTTTTGTCAAGGTGTGCAAAAAACTTACCTCATTTAACTGAAGTTGCGCTAGATGGTGCGTTCCTGGTGTCAGGGGACGCTTGGGCTACCTTTTTTGTTGACATGGGATCGCGGTTGCGCAAACTTGATTTACGCAATTCGCACCGTTTTAATTCTGAGTCGCTTGCCGTGCTGGTCGAGGCCTGCGGATCATCCCTGACACATCTTACGCTGCACCGCATGTCTGGGCTTACTGATCCTGCAGGGTACATGTTGCTTCCAGGGCTTACGAATCTCGTTCATCTTGATTTGTCGTTTCCACCACAGCAGGTCGTTCTGGCCAAGGATGCTGAGCTTATCACTGATGAAACGGTAATTGCTATTTTGAACGCGGTTGGAGCACAACTTGAAACGCTAGTGCTAGATGGATGCTCTGAATTGACTGATAAATTCATTACCGATGGCCTGCGACCATGCTGTTCTCCCTTACGTTTGCAAAACCTTTCAATTGCTCAGTTAGACCAGTTGACAGATGAAGCTGTTGCAGACATGTTTTGTGCATGGCAGGCACAGCTGGAACGCCAGTCGCATAATCCTCTCCTTGCATCTATCAGTCTAGAACGCTGCATTGGACTTGGTGACACAGCAGTAGGTGCGATGTTTGAGCTAGTGCGACCGTCAGCAGTACGCATCAATATTAATTCCTTGGACTTAACCACGGCACCATTTGAGAGTGTATTTTTGGGTGAAGACCGCGCACCGTTTGCTGCACTGACCTCTTTTAACGCTGGGTTTATACGTGCGCTTACCAACGAGCTCATTACGGCCATTACATCTAAGTCACCACATCTTGAGTTTATTGAGGTATTTGGATCTCCAGGAGTTAATAAACACTGCGTTGTGCGGCCGGGCGTTAAGTTGATCGGCCGCCAGGATGCATTGGATTTGTAGATGTATATGTAGTAGAATTGTATTAAGCTGTTGTAAGTTATGATGTAAAGGTGGTCATAACCTTTTAGTAACAATGCACACAATTTTTTTTTTTTTTTTCTCTCACAACCACCAAAATTTTAGTTTAAACTTTTTTTTTCTGTTGTTTTTTTTTTTTTCCTACCATCCACCAACATATCAACACAGCACAGCAAAATGTCCGCTGAGTCCACCACCGCACAGCAACAGCCGTCGGCCGCCACTGAATCGTCTGTGGTGTCGGCATCCTCCGACGTTTCTAGCATTTCGGGCAAGCCAGTCAGCGTTTCTACAGCTTCGCCCTCTACTGGTGCTGCTGTTTCTGCTGCTTCCAACGACTCTGATGCCGTGACGCCCGATACGTCTGCACCCGGGACTGCGGGGCTTGAAGATGGGGAGGGTCCTTCTCCAGCAAATGCTTCACAAGGAGGCCGTGAAATCAACAAGAAGGTTCTTTATGTCGGTAATATCGATCAGCACGTTACTGAGGATATGCTCAACGAAGTGTTCCGGGTTACGGGCAATGTTTTGTCCATTAAGATTTTCCCTGACAAAAACAAGCGCAGCTTCAACTATGCTTTTGTCGAATACAGCGATCCCAACGGTGCTGAGCTTGCTTTTAACACCCTTAATGGCCGGGCTTTAAACCAGACTGTAAGTTGAAAGCAATTTAGAGGGAAAAAAAAGTGTGATTTTTCACTTACTAATAATTTTTTTTTTTTTTTTTCACAGGAAATTAAAATCAACTGGGCATACCAATCCCTCAATGTTACCAAGACCCCTGAGCTCTTTAATGTGTTTGTGGGTGATCTGTCGTCTGAAGTTGACGATGACTGTCTTGCCAAAGCCTTTGTTGGGTTTGGTTCGATGTCGGATGCGCATGTTATGTGGGACATGACCACTGGTCGGTCGCGTGGCTACGGGTTTGTGACATTTCGCAACCAAGATGATGCGTTGCGGGCGATTGACCGTATGAATGGTGAATGGCTTGGGTCACGGACCATTCGATGCAACTGGGCCTCTCAACGTATCCCTCAGCAACAGCAACAGTACCACCACAATAACCACCATCAGTACCACCGTAATGACGGTGGCAACAACCATAATGGGTACCATCACCAACAACAACAGCAGCAACAGCAGCAACAGCAGCAGCAACAGATTCCTATTCAGTTTTCTAACCAGCAGCAGCTTTACTTTAACAATAACAATGGCAACAATGGTATGCAGCAGGGCTACGATGGGCAACAGCAGCAACAGTTGCAGCAACAGCAACAGCAGCAGCAGCAACAGCAGCAGCAGCAGCCACAGCAGCAATTTCTTGGACAGATTTCACCAATTGGATCTCAGCAGCCCGTGCAGGTAAGCCCGCCTTATGATGTTGTTCTGCGTCAGACTCCCAACTGGCAAACTACAGTTTACTTGGGCAACATTCCCGGATACACGGTGCCCAACGACCTGCTGCCCGTTTTGCAGAACTTTGGGTTTGTTGTTGACTTCAAGTACCAGCAAGACCGTGAGTATGCATTCATCAAGTACGACACTCATGAGCATGCTGCTCTGGCGATTTCTCAGCTTTCTGGACTACAGTTTAATGGCCGGACGCTGCGTTGCGGATGGGGCAAGGACCGCAGCAACCACCATAACCAATATCAGGGATATGGGGGCCGTCAGTACAACCGATAAAGAATGAAAAAATAGGAGGATGATGACATGAATGAGGAGGTTTTTTTTTTTTTGTGATTTTGAAAAGAAATGAGAATTGAAGAGAGAAGGAAAGGAATGATTAAAAAAAAAATTTAAAAAATTTAAAAAAAAAAAATTAAGAAAAGCATGAAAATTGATGTTAAAAAAAAGAAAAAAAATTAAGAAAATTATTTAAAAAAAAAAAATTGCAGCCAACATACATATATTTTTTCCTTTCCTTCTCTTTTCTTCAAGACTTATTGTCTTGTTTTTTTTTTATATAAATTTTTTTTTGTTCATTCATTTTTTTATATATATAACCGTTTTTTTTATTATATATTTTGATTTTTATAGTTCAAAAATGATTTTCCTTTTTCGTTTCATAATTATGCTTAATCTATGATTTAAATTCCCCAGTCTATTATCTATCAGTCATTAGTATACCGTCATTTGCATTAATAAATATCTTTTTTTTTTTTCCATTTTGTAGTTTTTACTCTTCATTAAAAAGAGCAGCAAAAGGATTAGTAGACTCTGCTTCTCCATCATCACCTTGAGACTTTGACTTGGAGCCTTTAGTCGAGACTGTACGATTAAAATCTTCCCAATCTTTCTTTCGCTCCTTAATCCCCCGAAGTTTATCTTTGCTTTGTGCAACCTTGACTGACAAGACATCTTTTAAGGATTCTGCTTTTAGTGCCGCGTCCATTTGTCTCTTCCGTTGTTTTGCTGACAGTTTTTGCTTTCGGCCTGCAGGTGCAGACTTGCCAACCTTGTGTGTTTGCGCATTTACAACGCCCAGCGCTAGGGACTCGGTGATGTGCGCACCAGGACCATCGTCATCATCGTCACCATCACCAGACTTGTATTGACCACGAACTGTTAAATCGGCAATGTGTTCAAGCACACGGACTTTGCCGCTAGATTCGGAAGATGCAGTGTCGACGAGCTCTGGGGGTGGAGATACGGCGCGTCGCGCAGCTCTTGATCGAGATGATATTTGTCCTGAGAAAAAAAAAATGTTAAAAAAAAATTTTTATTTTAAAAAAAAAAAGAACATCTTTAAAAAGACTTACTAGTTTTTTTGGCCATTTTGTAAGGATATTATTGTGAGGTTTGAGTTGAAAGAAATCTTTTGATATTTTTGACTGAAGGTTGAATCAAAGATTTTGCCCTTGAAAAAAAAAAAAAAAAAAAAAAAAAAAAAAAAAAAAAAAGGTATGACATTATTTGTTACAAATTAATATTGTAACATATATAAATATATCAACATGTCACATGACTTTGTTCTAGAAGGAAGTCCGAAAAAAAAAAAAAAAAAAAAAAAAAAAAATGGCAAAAACGGTTTTTTTAGTGATATATTGAAAAAAGAAGCATTTTGGGTTCCTTCCATCAAACTAACCAGCAAAACTGCTGCTGTTTGAAAAATGCTAAAGAGAGATGGTTAACGAGATGAGTAAACAAATCGATATATATATATATATAGTTTGGTTATTTAGTAAGCAGCACCAAATTTAGATTTTTATCAAATAATTTCAATTAGACTGTATTGAAAGCAAAGCAATTGCCATGTGTCTCAAGTGCAGAAACGATCAAACCGATGTGGCTTATTGCAGCTAGCAAAAAAGGACCCGAATGAAATTTCAATTTTTTTTTTATTTATAAAAATATAAAAATATAAAAATATAAAAATATAAAAATATAAAAATATAAAAATATAAAAATATAAAAATATAAAAATATAAAAATATAAAAACGGTGTGAATGATAGGGGAGGAGGGAAAAAAACAAATGGGTTTCTATTTAAATGACAATTGTTGCAAGTAAATGATGTCTATTATTTTAGAAATATGTCTGGCTAAGAATTGATAGTACAGAAAGATATATATACAATAGGTCGTAGTTAGTTACAAAAGAATACGGGTTTAGTATAAAAGGTACTTATATATACATGAATCTTGTAAATTTAAGATAAAAAATGAACTAAACGTTGTAAATCAACTGAGACTTTGAATTTTATAAAAACCTTTTTGTTTCCCCTAATTTTCAAAAAAAAAATATATATATATTTCTTTCAATCATCAATCTTTAAAGTATTATATTCATTCCGTTATTTATTTATTTATATTAGATTGATTTTTTTTTTTTGCGTATCCATTCTACCCCTGAAGTATTTTATTGTTTTGATTGTTTATTACTATTAGTTACAAATATTACGTTGACTTCATCATTATCTTCTTGTTCTTCTTGTTCTTCTTCTTTTTTTGGTACCGAATATCTCTCGTTTTTTTGAGTGCTGCTTTCATACCAATTGACTACAATAGGATCATTTTTTTTTTTTTTGTTTCTGGCTAAAAAATAAAAAAAATTGCCCCACCACCAGTCTAAATCCGTATAAAAAACACACACATTCACTCACACACACAGTTTAGCCCACAGAATTACTAAGTAACCTTCACTACCACCTCCAAAAAAAAATAAAAAATTTAATAAAAAATAAAAAATAAAAAAAAAATTAAATAAAAAAATTCAAAAAAAAAAAAAAAATTACCACCACCACCACTGATGATTTACGACGACACTTCCACCGTGGCATTTCAATTCTCCTAAACAATCGCTTTTAGACTATAGAATCATCTTCATCATCAATTTCCTTTGGCTGTTTTTTCTTTGTTTTTTTTTTTTACTTCATTGTTGACTCTTAACAAAGAAAGAAACCGTTTTCTAAAAAAAAAAAAAAAAAAGCAATGTCTGCCACTCCTTTAGCCACGGACGCGTCTTACCAGCCAAACCTCCAACACATTAAACTGTCTACTATGCAAAAATATCATCAACAACTACAGCAAAAGCAGCAGTTACATCACAATCGAAAGTATCACTACCCCACCATTACTAGAAGGCATTTCTCCTGTCATGAAAATTATCTATTATATTCAAGCTCTCCAGTAAAGACAAGTGCTACTTCCGCGGCTGCAAGTTTTGGCCAAACGCCTGTCCAACACGATTTGGTTTTTGACAGCCTGTCGCTACTACCATTACCACCACCACCAACACCACTACACTCGCCCACACATGCACAACCACCGCCTCCACCGGAACAATTTCATTTTCCTCTAAGCGCCGACCCAAGAAATACCACCACCACTGCCAAAAATACGGCAGAGTGTAATGTCATACATTGTAATTACCAAGCGCACAACGTCACGTGTCTTTCACACTCGAGTCAAAATTTTCAAAAAATCCTTCACAAACCTCCTCCACAATTTCAATTATCATCATCACCACCACTACAATCACAATCACAATCACAATCACAATCACAATCACAATCACAATCACAATCACAATCACAATCAATAAATCCTCTACAATCAACAGATAGAAAAAGCATAGCTAAAAGCTTACCTATCCCAAACAATCCATTATTACTTTACACAATTTTGGCACTTGTAGGATTTCCTTCAATTGCCTTTGCTCAATTAAACAACTATATTAACCAGCAACTTCACAGTCAACATCACCAGCATCGTGCAAGTGATTCAGCCCAGGTACCACATAATAAACCATCCAGCACAATTTTCCAACAAAAGTCTCATCAACAACATCAGCGTCGAAAAATTAACCATATCCAAGCATCGTCACCTCCTCTTCCTCCTCCTCCAGTCATTATCAAATCTTCGCGCACAAACACAATCGTCTCCTTCACTCTCTTTTTTCTTCTTTGTGCTCTCATCACCTACTGGTACTACAAAACAACTCTCCTGAAACGCAAACGCCGAGCATCCTTGTCATCTTCTGCAACCCAGCAGCAAAGCTACTATACTACTAAACCAAACAAGAAAAGTAAACGCAGCAGCGGCCGTAGAGCTTCAGCATCTTCTGTTCCTCCACCTCCTCCACGGCCACCAACCCGCCTTCAAAAACTCATTGTTAAGGTCCAGGCAAATCAATACGTAGCCTCAGTGACCACCTCTGCACAATATCTATACGCCATGGTATCTGACACAATTTCCGGAACTGTCGACCTGGCATCTACATCTGCTCGTCAAATTTACGATGTGGCTTCTGAAAAGGCTTCCACAGCTATTGAAGGCATCTCGGATATGATTTCAGGAATCAAGACACGAAAAGATGATGACTTGCTTGATGGTGAGAATTTGATTGACTTGAATGCTGAAAGTTTTGAAGAAGAAGAAGATGACGATGATGACGACGACGAAACTGAAGAAAGTGAAGAAAGTGAGGAGGAGGAAGAAGAAGAAGAGGAAAAGGAAGAGAAAGAAGAAGGACAAAAATTAAATGGGCATCTTGATGATGTTAGTGAAGCCGAGGCTGAGGTCGAGGCCGAAGAAGATGATGGTGACGATGAAGTAGAACAAGGGAATCAAGGGGTGGAAAAAGACAAAGAATATGCAAAAAAGAAAAAGGAGGAAGAAGAAACTATTGACCCAATTATTACTCATACTAAGCCAAAAAATTTCATTCCCAACACTCTAGACAATGAGCTGGCCAAGGACCAACCTTTACCTAAACTTACCAATGGTTCTATTGACCATGTTGTTGCCATTCCTGCTGCTGCTGCTGCTGCTGCTGCTGCTGCTTCTGTTGCAGAGTCTTCAGCAGAGCCCGTTTCCCATGCAACAACTGCTACCCCCTCTCCGGTAACCACTCCAGAGTCCACACCCCCTCCTGAAACCCCAGAATCGGCTACTTATTCTCTCTTTACTTCTACCCCTCTTCCGGCTCCAAACTCTGCTGTTGTGGAGCCTGAAGCTATTGATGAGAAGCGCGCGCGTAAGTTGCGCAAGCAAACCAAGGCTGCACACAAGCGTGCACTGGAAAAGAAGCTTAAAATTGCCAAGATGGGTGGCCTCTACAATGAAGGCAATACATGCTTTATGAACTCCATTGTACAGGCATTGGGCTCACTTGATTCACTTGATATGCTTCTGGATGAAATTGCCAACGCAGCTAGCGATGATATGGGCTCGATTGAAGGCAAGAAAAAGTACCTATCTGCCAATGCTACTCTTACTTTACGTGATTTGATTCACAAAATCAATACAAAGTCTACAAGCAAGCACACGTATTCCGCAAACGACCTTGTCAAGTCCATGGGCTCTAACTCCGAGCGCTGGATGTCATATGACCAAGAAGACGCGCAAGAATACTTCCAACAAGTCATGAACTTGCTGGAGCGCGATACAAAGAACATTTTGCATGAAAAGGACGAGGATGAAGAAGGTAAATCTAAAGAGGAAACAAATAATAAGCACCCGCGGTTGTTGACTCCCTTTGATGGTGAAACAGCCGTACGTGTTGGGTGTCTAAAGTGCGGCGAAACTGAAGGTATTCGTGCAGAAGTGGTGTCAAGTGTTGGCTTGAGTTTGGAGGCCGACATGCGCGAAACTGACTTGTATGAACTTCTTCATGAGTATACAAAGTTCGAAGTCATTCCTGAAGTTGAATGTTACCGATGCAGTTTGGTCAATATGAAGCAGAGCCTTATTGACATGGTTTCAGGAAAACCCACTATTGCTGAAGACGGAACAATACAACCAGCAAAGGTTCTCCCACCACTACTCAAAGATCGCATTGAGACTCGTATTGATCAAATCACTGAAGCTCTTAAGCAACCTGTCATTGATGAAAAGAAGTATAAGGAGTTCCAGGCCAAGGGTGCCAAGGAACGTGGAGACAAGTCTAAGCAAATCATGTTTGCTCAGCCCACTGCCCGCATTTTGCCAATTCACATTAACCGATCAGTTTTTGATATGCGGACAGGATACTCTCGCAAACTGACAGTACCAGTCACATTCCCAGTGAAGCTTGATTTAGCGCCGTTTGTTGTGAATGACGTTAAGGATCCTCGAAATCTTAACCCACGCAAGCCCATGATTCCTACTCGAGCAGAAGCTGATGAGAGAGGAGTTGAACACGAGGAGGGTGAAGATGATGACGAAGAAGAGGAGGAGGAAGAAGAATCTGCTGCTGCTCACAGTGAGACTAAGCATAAAAAGCATCATCATCATCATCATCATCATCATCATCATGGTAAGCATAAGAAGAAGGCTGCATACAAACCCCAGTCCGACTCGTTGCTGTATAATCTCAAGGCTGTGGTTGTACACTTTGGGTCTCACAACTTTGGTCATTACATTTGTTTCCGCAAGTGTCGACACAATTTGTGGTGGCGAATCAGTGACCAGACAGTTTCCCAGGTTACTGAAGAGCAAGCTTTATCGCCACAGGGTGTCTTTATGTTATTTTACGAGCAGGAGTATGAGGGCAAGCTGCGTAAGGAGAAGTTGAAGCAGAAGCGTGATGCCCTGTTACATGAGGAGGAGGAAAAGAAGAAGGAAGAAGAGGAGCATGAAAGAGTGCTTGAACAGGAAGAGGAGAATGAAGAAAACGAAAAATCAGCAGAGGCTCCGGAGGCTGGTGATGCACCGAGTGAGCTCGTGAGTATTGAGGAGGTTGAGGAAGACGAAGAAGAGGAGGACGACGAAGACGAAGAGGATCTCGATGAGGACACGGGCAAGACCACGGGGGCCAGCCGCACGAAGCAGCACGCAAAGAATAGAAGCAAGACGGAATAAACAAACAAAAATTTATTGAAAAAAAAAAATTAATATATTATCATTGGATTATTATTAAATTGTGATTATTTTAGACTGTACAAAAAAAAAATTAGATTAATGTCCTGGTGTATCTTTAGAATAGTAGAGTATTTTTTTTAAATGCTACGCCAGGCCTTCGAGACGCTGTTCAGTGAGTTTGCGCATAGTGTCACGGTCCATTTCAGTTTCTCTGGCTTGTTCACGCAGCATATCTGCGGCATCTCGCAAACGATCCTCCTCATCCTGCTTTTCTTCCTGCTCAATAAAAGCATCAATATCAAAGTCCGGATCAATGTTTGCGTTGAAACTTCTACGCGTGTTGGGACTAGGTCCGACAATGGATGTGGGCCGCGATTTCGAAGCAATGGGTGCCGAAGTGAAACGAAGCTCAGGAGCATGGACAGAGGCTCGCTTTGCAGCGTTTTTGGCAGCAGAAGTGACACGGGCACGAAGGGCGGCAGACGAGGAGGTGGAAGCCTGAACGGAGTCAGGAACTGGCGTTGAGTCCTCGTAAGGTGTGTATGAAGGAGCAGCGTAAGCAACTGGCTCACCTCCTGGGATCATGTAAGGACCGCCAGCACCACGGCGGCGTGCAGTAGCACCAGCAGAGGTTTGATTTTTTGCAGAGGAAGAAGATCCAAAGGCCTTTTCATTGTTGGAACGCGACTTGATTTTAGAAATGCGGGGGGGAGCAGCGATTTTGTAGGAACCGACACCGTTGATGACTGGAAGGAAAAGCACAAGGCCAAGAAAGAGGACGCACATAAAGAGAAAAAAGTAGACGGGGAAAGCCTTGCGGCCCTCGTCATAAGAGGGAACCGATTGTTCGGGCATTAGTAGAAATGGGAAGGGGTTATGGATGGAAAAAAGATAAGAAGAGTTTAAAAGAGATTAAGAAGATGATGGTTAGATTGCTTTGTTGTTGTTTTTTTGTATGTGGGTATTGGATCAAGTTTATATTTGATTTTGGAGAGTGAAAAAAAAAATAAAATAAAATAAAAATAAAAAAATAAAAATAAAAAAAATAAAAAATTTATATGAAAAAAATATTCTATTAAATTAATTACTAATCATATTAAAATAATTTAATTAATGATTGTATGAGGTGCCAATAGTTCAAACAAAGCCCAAAAACGTTTCTTTTATCAAATTTTAAAGGTGAAGAAGTTTTCATTAAATACTTCACTAAACTAAATATGAAAACAACAACTCTGAGACTGAAGACAGATATTTTTGTAATATGCTGAAACGAGATTTTTATTTTATTTCATGTTGTTTTTTTATTTAAAATTGTTTAGTTTTGATATTTATATATCAAAATTTTGGCAATTCAACCACCATCATAAGATTGACAAAACCATTTAATTTCATAAGAGCACATCACAACATAAAAAAAATTATATCAGTGCAAGCTTCTTTTAGATACATTCTAAATTTATCAATAATTAATAATTGTTTTTTTTCTTCCACATTTTTTTTTATTTTTAAAAAGAATTTAAACTTTTTAATTTGTCAAAACAAATTTCTCAATTACAATGTGGTCTTCCAAAGAGAAAAAGAAAACAGAATCTCTGGTTTTGAAATTGGTCAAAAAATTATCAGTTAAAGGTTTTCCAGTCATAAAAGAAACAAAAAATCCTCTGGAAGATTTAACCAGTGATTCAGTCTTTTCAAAATCTCAAGGTTCTATCGTGGCACCTCCATCAGTCTCTAAAATACCCAAAAAATACAAAGCGGTTTTTGAAAGACCGGTACTCATGAATTTCACAGCAGAAGGTTGGCAAGTGGGTTATACAGCTTCAAATGGACAGGCTGTAGAAATTGAAATCGACTACAGAGAAAAAAAAATAATAAACTGGATTGCATATGTTGATAAAAATTTTTTTATTGGAAGGAAAGCAAAAGATCTATATGACGACCTAGAATTCGGACCTTCGGTAGCAGACTTGTATCAACTAATTGGTAAAAATGTGGAAGATCTTGATGAATATCTTAAATCCTTTAAATTAACAATAAAAAACTTTGAAGAATGGGGATCAAAACCACTTATTGTTTTACCAAAAGGTAAACGGGATGTTGAATTTTCAGTAAACCAGCTAATGGCGGAATTCATAATAAAAATGATCAGATCATCATGCGATTTTGTAATGGGAGAATTAAAAACTGTTTACATCATTATACCCTTTCATTTTAATAACCACCAAGTATCTGATATGGAAGCTGCAATTACTTTAGCTAAGAAAAAACAATATAAAATCAACTACTATCTAATCAGAGATATAGCTGCTTTTCAAATTGGCAACCAATTGAGCAATACAACTGTTGATTCATCTTTAGAACTTTTTGTCCAAATCGATGAATTCTCTTCAACAATTGCACTTGTTAAAACAAAAAATCAACAATTCATTCCCATTACTGTTTTATATGACACTGTTTTTTGTTTTCAATCATTTGTTGAGATAATTTTATCTCATATTTTAATAGATCATTTTGACTTCAATGATAGCATCATTGAAATGTCAAAGGATAAGTTTGACAATTGTTGCCGGCTTATAATAAAAAAATTACCAGATCTTTTTTTGGGAAAAAACATCACCTTTGCTTCAAATGAACTTTTTCCATTGTGGAACTTTTATTTGGATATTTTTCCCAATACCTTTGAAGAGCATTCAAGGGTTCTGTTGGAATATTTAATCAGCATCCTTATGATCACAATTCGTGGATCGGAAATACAAAGTATTTCCAAAATTAATATTATAAGTGAATTATTAGACGGTTCTTTCATTATAGAATCACTTTCTGATTTTTTTACATGTTCACGAGATGATACTAAGATTAAACCATTTTCCAGTTTATTAAAAAACTCTACTCACTTCAATTCTCCAGTTACTGTTGGTAAAAACTCAGCTGAACTCTCAAAATTGAACGGATATTGTATAAAACCACATAAAACCGAACTGACTTCGATTATTTGTGCAGATTCTGAGAAAGCCTTTACAGACAAACTTCCAGTCATTATTGACAAATCACATAACACATACAAATTTGTGCAAAATAAAACATTTCGTCTTTAATACTTTTATTTTAAAAAAAAAACCTCCAACTATTAATGTTAACGGGATCTCAGTCCAAATTATTTCTAACCCCATAGAATTACAATATCAACTGTAAAACTTTCTACAACAATCTATCGACAGCTGATTTGAAAAATCGATGCATGGTTGTTGAAGATAGTGATGATTCAGATAGTTTTAATCCAAAAATTAATCATTTTTCAATTTTTGTTTGTTTGTTCGGTTTATTCAAAGGGTTGAATCAATTTTTAAATATATTTAAAATAAAAATTTATTCACCTATATTTAATTATGAATTTAACATTATTTTTGGGGATTCTCAAGTGGTACAGTACATATTTCTCTCTCAAAACAAAAAAGAGAATATCGTGTTATCTGGTATATTATTAGGAATAATTATAATTTATAATTAATGATTAAAGATAATTGTCAACGCATATGATCGAATTCTCGATTCCATTAGCATAGTTCACTCTTTCTTGTCTTCCCTCTAAGGATAGACTTGGTTTCTCTTAGACACTATCTTGTTGTGCTGTGCTGATGATGGTGGTGATACTTTTAGCTTCTTGTTACAATGCCACTTAAATTATCTAACTCTTAATCACTTAAGTCACGGAGCCCAGGGGCATCCTATGACCGAGAATAATAATTTAACTTTGGTGAAGAGATTGAATATAAAAATTCAGATTGGAAATTTTTTGCCAAAAAGCTTTTTTTTCTGCTATCAATGAATTTAATTTGCATAACAAAGCTTTAAAACCAATTGAGCAAATTGATGACCAAGCTAAAATTTTTAAAGAAGTTGTGAAAAGAGCAATGGCAAAGTTGATGAAGGAAATTAAAGTATTGAGAAAGTCGAAATGCAATTGGAATGAAGAATTGAGGAAAAAATTGGAACAAGTTCTTGAAGTCAAACAGGAAACCTGTCAAAGGAAATCTTCTTTGACTTGAAAATGACAAGAAATTGACTAAATTATGCACAAAGCTAGTATTGAGCAATAGAATAAGCATTTTTGTCTAGTTGAGAAGGAAACGACATTTAGAAGAGCTTGAAGTATATTAATCCAAAAAGTAATAACATTATACCACAAATTATAGAAAAAAATCAAAACACTCACTACTAAACTTGATGAAAAAAGAGAAGAAAAAAGACGGCGCTTTTACCTAAAATTGGCTGTAGTCTTGATAGAGAATCTGAGGTTGATGATGATTATCGATGGCCAAAATTAGGATGAATTTGATTCTGCATTGGCGGATACCCCAAATGACAAAGTTTCAAAAGATGATGGAATTATTAGGTGATATTACAGAAAGTAAAAAAAAAAAAAGCCTTTGTCAAATTATAAGTGTGTTTTAAGCTTGGCCATTCATTTTTTGTCTATCTATTTGGAACTTTATATCTTATTTGCCAATATTTTGCTGTGAAATTCATGAGTATTGGTCTTTCGTTTAAAAATTACCTTGTACTTTTCGAGTATTTTAGAAACCGGTGTAATTGTCCTAGTAGAAACTTGAGAGCGCAAAGGGAGTGAATGAATTGAAAAATCATCAAGAATACATCGCTTAATAAATTTAAAATAAAGTATTTATTTTATGCTAAAGCGTGTGTGTCGTCGCATTCACAAATCATATTTAGATATCAAAAATTTCATTTAAATGAAATTTTACTATTAGTGCAAGATTAGCATTATAGAGTGCTTGATTAAATGGAAGATTACTGACAACTCAACGAATTGTTTCGACTGAAGATGATTATATTGTCATAATATGCTAAACTAAGATTTTTTTTTATTTAATCTTTTTCACAACTCTTAAAAAAATTTTATAGGTTCGATATTTTGATAGTTCAAATAATGGTTGAATGACAAGGAAAAATAAAAAATTTCTAGCAGTGGGAACCAAGACTTAGCATTTATATTGTATATATTATATCTACTAAGTAGATTGAGCCGCTTCGTCTCATAAAATAAATACACATCACAATAAAAAAAACTAATAGTGCAATTTACTTTTAAAATACGACAAAAGTTTATCGTTATTTTATTAATTAGTAACTACTAATACTAATTTAAGAGAACTTCTCTTCTAAAAGAATTATTTCTTCCCCCTACATCTTTCAAAAAAAAAAAAAAAAAAAAAAAAAACACGATCGATACTTTTGAAATTCGTCAAAAAAAAAAAAAATCTATATTCACAATGAGGTTCTTTAAAAGAAACAAAAGCCCCAGTACTATTGATGATTCTTCCATTCATTCATCCCCTTTGCGTCCTCAAGTTTCTACTAGGACAATTTCACAAGTTTCTAACCCTCCCAAAAAATACAAAGCAACTTTTGAAAGACCGGTACTCATGAATTTCACAGCAGAAGGTTGGCAAGTGGGTTATACAGCTTCAAATGGACAGGCTGTAGAAATTGAAATCGACTACAGAGAAAAAAAAATAATAAACTGGATTGCATATGTTGATAAAAATTTTTTTATTGGAAGGAAAGCAAAAGATCTATATGACGACCTAGAATTCGGACCTTCGGTAGCAGACTTGTATCAACTAATTGGTAAAAATGTGGAAGATCTTGATGAATATCTTAAATCCTTTAAATTAACAATAAAAAACTTTGAAGAATGGGGATCAAAACCACTTATTGTTTTACCAAAAGGTAAACGGGATGTTGAATTTTCAGTAAACCAGCTAATGGCGGAATTCATAATAAAAATGATCAGATCATCATGCGATTTTGTAATGGGAGAATTAAAAACTGTTTACATCATTATACCCTTTCATTTTAATAACCACCAAGTATCTGATATGGAAGCTGCAATTACTTTAGCTAAGAAAAAATATAAAACCAACTACTATCTAATCAGAGATATAGCTGCTTTTCAAATTGGCAACCAATTGAGCAATACAACTGTTGATTCATCTTTAGAACTTTTTATTCAAATCGATGAATTCTCTTCAACAATTGCACTTGTTAAAACAAAAAATCAACAATTCATTCCCATTACTGTTTTATACGATACTGTTTTTTGTTTTCAATCATTTGTTGAGATAATTTTATCTCATATTTTAATAGATTATTTTGACTTCAATGATAGCATCATTGAAATGTCAAAGGACTCGTTTCAGAGTTGCTGCCGTCTTATAATGAACAAATTGCCAACTCTTTTTTCCGGAGAAAATATCAACTTTGTTCCGAAGGAACTTCTTACAACGTGGAACTTTCATTTGGATATTTCTCCAGATACTTTTGAAAACCTCTCAAAGATTTTGTTTGAATATTTAAACAATGTTTTTATGAACACAATTCGTGGCTGTGAAATACAAAATGTATTCAACATTTATATTATAACTGATTTTTCAGACTGTTCTATGATTTCGGCATCACTCTCCAAAATTTTTATTAGGTCGCAAAAAGTCACTGCGTTTGACCCTTTCCTCAGTTTATTAAAAAACTCTTTCCACTTCAATTCTCCAGTTACTGTTGGTAAAAACTCAGCCGAACTCTCAAAATTAAACGGATATAAAATAGAATCAAATGAAATCGAATTGACTTCAGTTCATTGTGCAGATTTTGAGAAAGCCTTTACAGACAAACTTCCTGTAATTATTGACAAATCACAAAACACTTACAAATTTTTGCAACGCCCAACAAATATTGCTCCTTATACTTATGAGACCAATGCCCCAGCATTTATTGACAATAAAACCTTAGATCAAAATTTTCAAAACTCATACTTTTCCAATCCTAACAGATTTAGTAATTTAAGTTTTAATATGGAAAAACCCCTATCGACTGCCAATTTGAACAATCGATGCAGGGTGGTTAAAAGTAGTGATAACTCAAATATTTGTTAATCAAAAAATTAACAATTTCTTAATATAAACTACTAAGTCTTAAAGACATTTAATATAAAAATTTATTTTTTTGTTCATATATTTTATTTTCATATATCGAAGGCAAGTTTCTCTTTTGAAAAGAAGTTTGGCCAATGCTTTTTGTAATGATTATGTAATTATATACTAGGGTGCATCGCTTTACGATAATGATTAAAATTTAGCGATAAATGGTGTAACTCCTTAATCATGGAATAATCTCTTTGGATTTAAAAATAAATATTGTTGGCCGCAGCAATCCTACCATTTTTTTAACTCTTTTTTTTTTTCAAAACAAAAATAAAATTACAATGAAGAGAGTGTTTAAAGCATTTAAAAAATCCAAATATAAGAATAAAACCCCAACCAATTTTATTGATCCGCTATTAGTTATAAGTTTTGGCGTTAGATACTGGCAAATGGGGTATATCGACAGTAATGGCACCACCAAGGAAATTGAGATTAATTCGAAAGAAAAACGAATGCTTAGTTGTATATATTACAACGGTCACCGTTACATTTTTGGCAATGAAGCTCAACTGCAAAGTCAAAAGAATAATCAAAGTGCAATATTCGAAATTCATCGGCTACTTGGCTGTACAGGTTCAGAATCTGAATCTGAAAGCTATCTCAAAGAGTATTCAGTTAAAAGATCAAAACAGGTTACATATTTGGGGTTCAAAATTGATGCTGGGAACGGTGAAGAAGTTTACCCAACATATTTGGTTGCCGAATTTTTAAAAGAAATGATTAGAATAGCTACAAACCAGCAAGATAGAAAATGGAATAAAATTGCAATTATTATACCCGCACATTTTGGTACTTTTCAAAAAGAAGATATTTTGACTGCAATTAGCAGTGCCGGATTAGAAAAAGAAATTCCCAAGGAGAGAATTTTTTCAGACGTTTCTGCATATGTTTATAATTATTATTTGGACAATATAATTTTAACAGCGCAAACCGAAAATGTTCTTTTTATTAATATTTCAAGCTCTTTGACCACACTTTCTTTAGTGGAGATAAGTAAAACAAAAGCTTCGGTCATTAATGAGTTTTATGACTCTGTATTTTGCGAAAACATGATTTCCGAGCTCATATTTTACAACTTTTTGAAAGACTATTGTGGTTTAGAAAATTCTATTCGTTTTGAAAAAAAACAATTACGAAACTTACACAGTAATAAATTTGGTAACAACAATGTTAAGGCTTTGGAACAAGAAATTCAAAGCCTAATTTCCAATGATAAAGACAATGGATTTCTTGCTGACATACCAAATGAAGTTAATATTTCTATTAATTATTATATTAACTGCATTAAGCCATTGCTGAAATACCTTAGTAGTATCGCCAAAGAGGCGTGTCAGAAAAGTGCAACAAATATTTCTGAAATTATTATTATGGGAGAAGTGACTAAACATGAAAGATTTCTCAATACTTTTACCAGTTTCTTTAATCCCTCGGGGAATGTTTCTAATGTGAATATTTCCAGCACATCGACACCAATTTTTCCTATTCTTTATGGAGTTAACGAGGCAACACTTCCATCAGAAAAAAGAAAAACAAAAAGTTTAAAATTTTCTAGAAATGATAATTATAACTTAGATTTGGATTCTGAGTATATTTTTGAAAAATATTCAAATGAAATTCCAGTGATAAGGAAAGATATGGGAATTTATGTGGTTGTTTCTAAGAAAGGTACTGTTCAAAGAATAATGTCAGAAACTAGTAACCAAAGCTCATTGTATTTGGCAGAGAGTTTGTCTAGTACTTTAACCAGAACTGATGTTAACAGTGACCCTTTTTATAATCAATCAAACGAGAACGGGTTTCAAAATAACAAAAGCGAATTTTTTTTCCAGGATGTGATAGAGGATACAGACGATAGATTCATTGTGACGAAAGATCATAGATGTAATGTGATGAAAGATCATAGATGCAATGTTGTTCAAGATAGTACAAAAAATAAATACCAAAATAGGGGATTTAATTAACTTTTGATCTATAGAGAGACACTTGAAGTTAAAGGTCATTCATCAAAGAACTCTTACTTTCGAGAGAGTGAAGTTGCTGGTGCTGGAAAAGCAAAGGATTGAGCCCATGGAAAAAGAAAATTTAAATTTTCGTTTTTTTAAAGTCAAGCCTAGTCAATTGAATATTTTTTAGGATAACGATAACTGAATAGATGAACATATTAGATAATTTAGTAATTGATGAAGAAGAATATAATGAAAAAAAAGGAAAAAGTAAAAAATGAAGAATGAAAACAAATGTTTCATATCTGATTCATTAAACTTCTTTGTTAATTTTTTAAAAAATTAACAAAAAAAAGTAAACTCCGATACGGGGAATCGAACCCCGAACTGCTCGGTGAAAGCGAACCGTGCTAGCCGTTACACTATATCGGACTTTGTTATTTGATATTTTTTTATATTAAGATGATTATAAATAGTAGTTGAACTAAAAATTGAAAATTAAAAGTTATTTTTTGGAGAAAGTAATCTATAACCCTTGAATAAAAACAAAAAAACAAACAATTTGGAGAAAGTAAGCATCAGGACCAATTTTTGATCTGTTGGAAATGTATTGTTGAAGCCAAAATTAAAAGTTTATTATGAAAATGAAAAGATATATATTGTAAGAACAAAAAGGATAGCGCAGATGCTGATGTTATATAATTCTATAACCCTTGAATAAAAACAAACAAGCAAACAATTTTTTAGGAAAGAATTAATTTAGGCCATGGTAAGTATGGTGGATGGTTTTTTAAAACTTTTAAATTTTAAAAGGATAGTTATACTGATACAGAAGCATACAAGAATTGATAGAACAATTGAGAGACTTGAAGGGTAGGTTGAAGAGAGAGAGAGAGAGAGAGAGAGAGAGAGAGGGAGTATCATGAAGTGTAAACAATACTAGAATTTATTAATTAATTAATTAATTTTTAAATAATTTAGCAAGCAAATAAAAGCAGGATAAAAATAAATGTTAACAGGTACAAGAGAATTTTTTTTTTGTTTGTTTGTTTGTTTGTTAAAGATTTAAAAATCATTAAGTAGTTGTATAGAGTTCAAGTGTTACTGATCAGTAAAAGTTTTTTTTCATTTATCATGATAAATGAAAAAAAACTTTCATTGAATTTTTTAAAAGTGTTTTTTTTTTTTTTTTTTTGAAATCATTAAATATAATTGATTTTTTATGTTGTAATAATATTGGATTTAAAATTGATTTTATATTGTAGAAAAAATGGGACTTAAAATCGATTTTAAGTTGTGATAATATTTGAGGTTAAAATCGATTTTATGTGTTGAGAAAAACATCAAGTTAAAATCGATTTTAAAACTCTACAATTTATAACAAATCCTCAAGGGTTAGGGTTTACATAAATAGATACAAACAAACAAACTTTTGATGAGTGAGTGTCTTAATACTTTTTTCCCCTAGTTTTGAAATTTTTATAAAAGGAATTATCATTAATATTTTAAATATATATATATATTTCACTTTAATCCAATTTTTTATTATTTATACTCATTATTATCAATTTTTTTTTTTTTTTTTTTTCATTTTAGAAAATAAAACCTTCCATTGATTATTTACTTGAGAAACTTTCCAACTTTCAATTTTTTGTGCATTCCAACATTTTTTATTTGATTCAAGTACAAGTTCTTTTACTCTTACAGAATTGCTTGAATTTTTTTATTTATTTATTTATTTATTTTTTTTTTTTTTTTTTTTTTTTAAAATCATACATTTTTTATATATATTTTTAGAAATCTCATTATTTCACATAATGATGATGATGTATTAAAATAAAATTGGGAGAAACTTCCCCCTAAGTTGAGACACTAAACTTGTGAGAGGGTGATTGATTAAAAAAAAAAAATTTTTTGAAATAAGGTTTAAAATGTTTGATTCAGAATTCAATATTGTATTCCAAAAGAGGGAATTTAAAGAAAGAAAGAATCAATGAATCAATGACTGATTTACTTTTACAGTTTAAGTTTAAGTTTAAGTTTCTTTGTATTTTTTTTTCTTTTTTATTTTTATATGAATTAGAGGAATATTTATACTTCAAATTAAAAAAAAAAAAAAAAAATTGAAAAGAAAAGAATTTGATTTATGATTGAAAAGATATAAAAGTGATAATTTTTGTAGAAGAATAATAATTCAAGTTAATTATTAAATTGAAAGACGTTATTAGAAAAAGAATGTTTTTATTTATTATTATTTTTTGTTTTTTCTTGAAAATTGTGTTATGGGTCTTGAAATTTTTAGAGATTAAGGATATTTAAAGTTGTTTGTAGCAGTGGAACCTTAATCTGAAAAATATATATATAAATTTGATTTAGAAGAAGGATGATTAATAAAGATCTAGGGTAAGTCATTTTTGTAAAAGACGATTTAGAGTTTATATATATATGATAGATATTTAAGATCTTTAAAAAAAGGATTATTTCAAAAAAAATGATGTGATGGATATTTTTTTATTTTATTTTATTTTATTTTATTTTCTTACAAAGAAATTTGTTTGTTTGTTTATTTGTTTGTTTTTTTATTTTTTCCTTGAGAGTTTCATATTATGTTGTCAAGGGTGACCATCCCATCCAGGTGTTTTTTTTTTTTTTTTTAAAAAAAACATTTTGGCAAAAAAAAAAAACATGGAATTTTTACGCGCCTTGGAATGAAAGGGGAAATAAAAATAACAAAAATCTTTTAATTGATTTTAAATTGAAAAAAATAAAAAATTGAATTAAATTAAAGATTTGAATTGAAAAGAAATAAGTATTAAAGTTAAATTTTTTTTTAATATATAATATATATAAAGACTAATAATAATAATAATAATAATAATAATAATAATAATAATAATAATAATAATAATAATAATAATAATAATAATAATAATAATAATAATAATAATAATAATAATAATAATAATAATAATAATAATAATAATAATAATAATAATAATAATAATAATAATAATAATAATAATAATAATAATAATAATAATAATAATAATAATAATAATAATAATAATTATAATGGTTAAGTTTATTGCATATTTTGGGTATTCATATACAATCTATCTTAATACAGAGAATCTTTAATGGGCATTTTATGAGAAATATTAAATACCCAAAGATGTACAACAACAACAACAACATCATTATCGAACATCATCATCGTCATCATCAGACTTAGTTTGAGATTTTTATTTTTATTTTTATTTTTATTTTTTTAGGATTAGAAGAGTAACGCAAGGCAACAATAGCCTGTTTTTTTTTTTTATTTTTTATTATTTATTATTTATTATTTATTTATCTATCAATTTACAAAAAAAAAAAAAAAAAACCAAAATGGTTTGTTTCAAAAGAACAAAAAAAAAAAAAAGCGACTTTTTAAAGAAGAACAAGATGATGATAATGATGATGATAATGATGATGATAATGATGATGATAAAGTAAAAGCAATTTCATGAGAGATTCTTTTATTATTTTACTTTTAATAAGTCTTTCCCCCCCCTCATGTTTAAGAAACCTTGGGGAAGTTTTATATATATATAAATATATATTCTGTAGATACTTGGTTATAGGCAATTATTACCAAAAAAAAAAAAAAAAAGTACCAATATTGGTATTTATCAATATATATTTGTATAATATAAAAGGTCTTTTAAACTATTTTGATATCTAAAGTTTTTTTATTTTATTTTATTTTTTTTTAAAAACCCTCTGTTCTTGTGGGTACAATACCAACCTCATCGTCACCATACAAATTAATAAAAAAAACTATATAGTCACACTCTTTTTTTTTTTATTTGAAAAAAAAAAAAAAAAAAAAAAAAAAAAAAGATTCCCATCCAAAATGTTAAGTCCCTCAAAAAAAAAAAAAAATTTTTTTTATATATATTTTTTTATTTTATTTTATTTTATTTTTTTTTCCCTCGATAAAAGATTATTTTAAAATGATAGAAAAAAAAAAAGAATTAAATTTAAACATAAGAGATTAAAAATTATTATAAAGAGAAAGAGAGAGAAAAAAAAAAGACAGTTAAAGAAATTAATATGGAAAAAAAAAAAGATCATTTATATAAGAAAAAAAAAGATGATGATGATGATACTAATAAAATACAAAACAAGTGTTCGTTAACAATGATGATAAATGTTTTTTTTTTTTTTTTTTTTTTTTGTAGTTGTAGTTGTAGTTGTAGAATTTTTTATAGTGCCTGATGCTGGTGGATAATGGTCGAAATAAACAAAAAAAAAAAAAAAAAGAAGGGGGGGGAGGTAGGGAAGGGTATTAAAGTCTATAAGGGTGTGTGTAAGGTTATCACAACTTTTCAACTTGTTATCTCGAACCCAAGACACCACCAAGAACACCTGCAAGAATAGCACAAATAAGAATCACAATACCCAAGCAGATCCACTTCTTCTTACGGGCAGCGCGCGCATGGCGAACAGCCTGCGACGTCTCACCGACTCCGCGTTCAATATCCTGCTGAGCTTGTTGAGCACGAACCTCAATCTGTTGGACAGGCGCCTCCTGCTCTGCCACCATTGTTTCCAAATCTTGAAACAGTTGTGCAAGCTCTTCCATGGTTTTAGCAATCTGGACAATTCCCTGGTGACGAGCATTGACTTCATTCAAAGCAGATTGGGCCTCTCCACGACGGTTGCTGTTAAGCAGTGCTTGAGCAAAAATCTGATTGTTTGCAGCTGGATTGGTGTCTTCCATAATCTGCTGAACTGCTTCATTGACCTCAGTTTCCGAGGCCTCAGGGTACACTGTGCGATACTGGCGCTCGGCGCGATCACGGTACTGCTTGCGGAAAGCAGCTTCGATACCTTGGTAGCGCTTGACAGAAGCTTGGAATTGATGTCTGACGGTATTTGCTTGGACGTTTTTAGTATTGTCACGTTGAGAACGGTTAAGGAGAGCTTGGATACGCTGACGAAGGTCCTTTGCTAGAGCTGAAGTCTCGTCGACAAGAGCTTGCATTTGAGAGTTAATAACTTGGAGCTGCTCATCATTGACCTCGGCAAGAGACCGTTCATGTAAAGACTCGATGCGGTCAATATTGTCGTCATACTGAGCCAAGTTTTTCTTAATATCGTCGACCTCGGCAAAGAAAGAGGTGATATCATCGTGAGTTTTACCTGCAGTGGCAGTTGCTGGAGGGATATTAGTTTGATAATTAGATTGTTGTTGCTGGATTGTAGAGTTAGTTGTGGAAGGTGCATTTGCGTAGGGGTTTGCCGAGGCAGCACCGCCTGTAGAGATGGCAGTTGCAGAGGAGTTTGTAGCATTAGCGGCTGCATAAGGTGAGCTCATTTCATAGCCCTGAGTAGCGGCTGCACCTGCTGGAGCGTAAGCATTCTCGTCTTGTACGGAATATGGGTTTCTAAAAGAGATATAAAAAAAAAAAAAAAAAAAAAAAAAAAGGGGTTGGTTTGGATGAGACGCGTTAGGATTCAAAGTTTAGGGGGGAGGGGTGAAGTTGGACCAAAACAAGAGGTAAGGCGAAGGATTATTGGAGGAGGAGGAGTAGTGATAACAACAAGGGGAAAGGACAAGGAAAATGAATGAATGGATGAATGAATGAATGAATGGATAAATGAATGATATAAAGGACGAGATTGGTAGATTGTAGATGAAACAAACGACATACCCATAAGGAGACTATATGGGGAGAAAAAAAAAGATAAAATAATAAAGAGATGAAAGGTTAGTATATTATTGAAAAAGGATTGATTGATTTGGGATGAGAATCTTCAATGGCTATAAGAAGAAGAGGTATCTAAGGGATTTATATATATATATATATATAATAATAATAATAGTATTAAGCCATGAGATGATTAAATTTTTTAAAAAAAAAAGAGAAAGAAATACATACGACTTCTTCTGCGTAACTCATCGGACACAAATAGTATTATGGAAGTGTGATGAGAAGGTTTAAAAGAAGGTGATGATTGAAGTTGAGGTTGAGGTTGAGGATGAAGTTGAAGTTGAAGTTGAAGTGGTGGTGGTAATGAAGAATTTGTAGGGAAATAGAATTGGGGGAGGGAAAAAAATAAAAAATAAAAAATAAAAAAAGAAAGAAAGAAAATTTATTAAAAATAAATTAATAGATTAGTAATATTAATTTAATAAATTAATTTATTTATTAATTTATTATTTTTGGTAAAAAATTTTTTTTTTTTTTTTTTTTTTTGGATAGACTAAAAGGGGTTACAACGAGGCTTAGCACTGCCTAAAAAAAAAAAATTTCTATAAACGCAAACAAAATTTTTTTTTTTTGGATGGCTGGCTGGCTGGCTGGTTGGCTTGCAGACTGGCTGGCTGACACCCAAATTAGGTAATAATCTAATTAAAGAGGCGCATCATCGGCTTTAAACAAAAAAAAAAAAATGAGCCGTCCTCGGCAAAAAACAAATTATAACGTGATTTGTTACATTACAATAATAATTAAATTACATTTTTAAATTAAAAAAATGTAACAAAAAATTTAATATTACAAAATTTAAAAATTTTTTTTAAAAAAAAAAAACAAAAAATTCTTTTTTAAAAAAATTAAAAAATATCAGTCCGTGATTTAGTCCTCAGCTGCCTATAGAAAAATCGGCACCAAGGGTGGAGTAGACTTGGTTCTTCTGCCCTGCACAAACCCGCGGCTCCGTTACTGCAAAAATAAAAAATAGACCCCTTCTTTTAAAATTTTTTTTAAAAAAAAAAAAAAAAAAGATAAAAGAAGGAGAATTACAAAAACGACCACGTCCAACCCACAAAACAAGTTTATAAAAGTCTCCTAAGAGATCAATCATAAACAAGCAGCAGGTCGCCATTGGAGGGGGATTAATTGCAAAGAGAAAAAAAAAAGAAGAAAAAAAAAAAAAATTAAAAAAAATTTCATTTAATTTATATACAAATTTTTTATAAAAACCCTAAACCTTGATTTTATTAAAATATAACCCTAAACCTTGATCTATTAAAAATATATATATATTTAACCCTAGCCTTGATTTATAATTAACCCTAACCCATTAATATATTTTTTTAAAGAAAAAAAAAAACCCACAAAATCATATATTTTAACTTTTTTTTTTTTTTTTTTGTTGGGACGAAAAAAGACCGCTGCTGTTCAATATATAAATAAATAAATAAATAAATAAATATTACATAATAAAATAACAACAAATTGTACGGCTGTTGCAGCTCAACAGCCAACAAAAATCATTTTCTGTTCTTCTTCTTTTTCTTCTCTTCCCAAAAAAATCAACAAAAAATGGGCTTTTTTTTTTTTTTTTATAAAAACCTTGTCAATTCTCTAATTCTCTAAATATTAATATTATAATCTTCATCATCACCATCTTTTTTTTTTTTTTTTTTTTTTTTTTATACTTCTTCTTCACAATTTAAAAAACTTCACATAGTCAATCCTTAATTGACTATAATATAAAACAAATTTTCTTTCAAAAAAAAAAAGAAAACACTAAAATGAAACCTGAAGTCGAACAAGAACTCGCTCACATCCTTCTCACTGAGCTCCTGGCTTACCAGTTTGCCTCTCCCGTCAGATGGTATGCTTCAATTGTACTCCTCCTTCTTTTTTTTCTTTACCATTTTTTAAATAAAATTAAACAAAACTAACCTTCATTAGGATTGAAACCCAGGATGTCATTCTCAAAGACTACAATGCTGAACGTATCGTAGAAATCGGCCCCTCTCCTACCCTCGCAGGTATGGCCACAAGAACCCTCAAGGCCAAGTACGAGTCCTATGATGCCGCTCTTTCTCTTCAAAGACAAGTCCTCTGCTACTCAAAGGATACTAAGGAAATCTACTATACTCCTGATCCTCCAGCTGAGGCTGAGGCTGCTCCTGCCGCTGCTGCCGCTCCCGCTGCTGCTGCATCCTCTGCTCCTGCTGCTGTTGCTGCCCCCGTTGCCGCAGCTCCTGCCGCTGCTGCTGGCCCAGCTGCTGCCATCGACGACACCCCCGTCAAGGCTATTGAAATCCTTCACGCTCTTGTTGCCCAGAAACTTAAAAAGACTCTCGACCAGGTCCCCCTCTCCAAGTCTATTAAGGACCTCGTCGGTGGCAAGTCTACCGTCCAAAACGAAATCCTTGGTGATCTCGGAAAGGAATTCGGTGGTGCCCCTGATAAGCCTGAAGAAGTTCCCCTTGGCGAGCTTGCTGAAGCCTTCCAACAATCCTTCTCTGGCCAATTGGGCAAGCAATCCTCTTCTCTCATCTCTAAGCTCATGTCTTCTAAGATGCCTGGTGGTTTCTCCATCACCTCTGCCAGAAAGTACCTCTCGGACCGCTATGGCCTCGGCCAGGGCCGTCAGGACTCTGTCTTCCTCATCGCCATCACCCTCGAGCCCAAGAACCGTCTCGGTGCTGAGCCTGAAGCTAAGGCCTTCCTCGATGAATGCGCAAACAAGTATGCTGCTGTCGCTGGTATCAGTCTTTCTTCTGGCGCTGGTGCTGGTGCCGGTGCTGGTGGTGCTGCCGCTGGTGGTGCCGTCATTGACTCTGCTGCCTTTGAAGAACTCACTAAGGATCAGAAGTACCTTGTCCGCCAACAACTCGAACTCTTTGCCAACTACCTTAAAGTCGACATCCGCAAGGGTGACAAGGCTCTTATTGCCCAAAAGGATGCTACTGCTCTTCTTCAGGCCGAACTCGATCTCTGGAACCAAGAGCACGGCGAGTTTTACGCTCAAGGCATTAAACCCGTTTTCTCCCCCCTCAAGGCTCGTACCTACGACTCCTACTGGAACTGGGCTCGCCAGGACGCTCTCAAAATGTTTTGGGACGTTATCTTTGGCAAGCTCGACACTGTTGACCGTGAAATTGTTGCAAACTGTATCTCCCTTATGAACCGTGCTAACCCTACATTTATCGATTTTGTTCAATACCACATGGACCACGTCCCCACTGAGCGTGGCGCTACCTACAAGCTCGTCAAGGACCTTGGTATCCAACTCCTCGAAAACTGCAAAGAATCTCTTAACGCTGACCCCGTCTACAAGGATGTCAACTACCCCACTGGCCCTCAAACTACCGTTGACGAAAAGGGCAACATGTCTTACAAGGAAGTCCCCAGACCTTCCGTCCGCAAACTCGAACACTATGTCCAAGAAATGGCTCAAGGTGGTCCCATCACTAAGGATCCCAAGGCCAATGCCCAGGCTCAACTCGCCGCTATTTACCAAACCCTTTCTAACCAAAATTCAAACTCTGCTTCTAAAACTAAGCTCGACTCTCTCTACGCCGAGCTCAACAAGGTCATTGAAGCCATCAATGCCGACACCTCTTCTGCTAAAACCTCTGAAAAAATCGACCGTGTCTCGGCCTCTGTCCCCAAAGACACTGTCCCCTTCCTCCACCTCAAGAGCCGTTCCGGCGACGAGTGGTCTTACGACCGTGCCCTTTCCGGTGCCTACCTCAATGGCTTGGAGACTGCCGCTAAGGAAGGTATCACTTTTGCCAACAAGAATGTTTTGATCACTGGTGCCGGTGCCGGCTCCATTGGTGCTGACATTCTCCAAGGCCTTCTCTCTGGTGGTGCCAAGGTCGTTGTTACAACCTCTAGATACTCTCGCCAGGTTACTGAATTTTACCAATCTATCTACACTAGATTTGGTGCTGCTGGCTCTACCCTCATTGTTGTCCCCTTCAACCAGGCTTCTAAGACTGACGTTCTTGGCCTTGTTGACTTCATCTACAATGACCCCAAGAAGGGTGGTCTTGGCTGGGACCTTGACTTTGTCATTCCCTTTGCTGCCATCCCTGAAAATGGTATTGAAATCGACGGTATTGACTCCAAGTCTGAGCTTGCTCACAGACTTATGCTTACCAATGTCCTTAGACTTGTTGGTGCTGTCAAGACCCACAAGGCTAACAATGGTGTCATTACCCGTCCTGCTCAGGTCATTCTTCCTCTTTCTCCCAACCACGGTACTTTTGGTGCTGATGGTCTCTACTCTGAGTCTAAGCTTTCTCTTGAAACTTTGTTCAACAGATGGCACTCTGAGTCTTGGGGCCCTTACCTCACCATTTGCGGTGCTGTTATTGGCTGGACTAGAGGTACTGGTCTCATGTCTCAAAACAATGCCATTGCCGAGGGTGTTGAGAAGATGGGTGTCCGCACCTTCTCTCAAAAGGAAATGGCCTTCAACATTCTTGGTCTCTTGACTCCTCAGATTGTCAAGCTTGCCCAGGAGTCTCCTGTCTTTGCCGACCTCAACGGTGGTCTTCAGTTTATTGAGAACCTTAAGGATCTTACTGGCCGTTTGAGATCTGAGCTTGCTGAAAAGACTGATATTAGACGTGCTGTTTCCATTGAGACTGCCATTGAGCACCGTGTCACCAGCGGTGAGGCTGCCGATGCTCCTTACCAGCGTGTCGTTGTTCAACCCAGAGCCAACGAAACTTATGCTTTCCCCACCCTCAAGTCTTATGATGACCTCAAGAAGGTTGCTCCTGAGCTCGAGGGCATGCTTGATCTTGAGCGTGTTGTTGTCATTACTGGTTTTGCTGAAGTTGGTCCTTGGGGTAACGCCCGTACCCGCTGGCAGATGGAAGCCAATGGTACCTTTTCTCTTGAAGGTGCCATTGACATGGCCTGGATCATGGGTCTCATCAAGCACCACAATGGTCCCCTCAAGGGCAAGCCCTACTCTGGTTGGGTTGATGCCAAGACCAACGAGCCCGTTGATGATAAGGATGTCAAGGCCAAGTACGAGTCTTATATTCTTGACCACTCTGGTATCCGTATTATTGAGCCTGAGCTTTTCAATGGCTACGATCCTCTCAAGAAGCAGTTCTTGCAAGAAGTCATCATTGAGCACGACCTCGAACCCTTTGAGTCTTCCAAGGAGGCTGCTGACCAGTTCAAGCTTGAGCAAGGTGACAAGGTCGAGACTTTTGAGATTGATGGTACCGACCAGTTTACTGTTCGTTTCTTGAAGGGTGCCCGCATCCTTGTCCCCAAGGCTCTTAAGTTCAACCGTCTTGTTGCTGGCCAGATCCCCACTGGTTGGGATGCCCGCAGATATGGTATTTCTGAGGATACCATTTCCCAAGTTGACCCCGTCACTCTTTACGCCCTTGTCTCCACTGTCGAGGCTCTCATGGCTTCTGGTATCACTGATCCCTTTGAGTTCTACAAGTACGTCCACTTGTCCGAGGTCGGTAACTGTTCCGGTTCCGGTATGGGTGGTGTTTCTGCTCTCCGCGGTATGTTCAAGGATCGTTACCTTGATATCCCTGTCCAGAATGATATTCTCCAAGAGTCCTTCATTAACACCATGTCTGCTTGGGTTAACATGTTGCTCATCTCTTCCTCTGGACCCATCAAGACCCCCGTCGGTGCTTGCGCTACAGCTATTGAATCTGCTGACGTTGGTATCGAGACTATTCTCAGCGGCAAGGCCAAGATTGTCTTCATTGGTGGTTACGATGACTTCCAGGAGGAGGGCTCTTATGAGTTTGGTAACATGAAGGCTACCTCCGACTCCACCACTGAGGAAGCCCACGGCCGTACTCCTGGTGAGATGTCCAGACCTACCTCCACTTCCCGTTCCGGTTTCATGGAGGCCCAGGGTGCTGGTATCCAGGTCGCCATGAGCGCCAAGCTTGCTGTTGAAATGGGTGTCCCCATCTACGGTATTGTTGCCCTGACTGCCACTGCCACTGATAAGATTGGCCGTTCCGTTCCTGCTCCTGGCCGTGGTATCTTGACCACTGCTCGCGAGAATCAAGACAATAAGTTCCCCCACAGACTTCTTGACATTAAGTACCGCCGCAAGCAACTCGAGAAGCGCCGCAACCAGGTCAAGGAGTGGCTCAGCGACGAGTACGAGTACCTTGCCGATGAAGTTGAGGCTCTCAAGAAGGGTGACGACAAGTTTGACGCTGCCACTTACTACAAGGAGCGTTCTGAGCAGATTGAGTTTGAAGCTGCTCGCCAGGAGAAGGAGGCCCGCAACCACTGGGGCAATGAGTTCTGGAAGCAGGACCCCCGCATTGCTCCTCTTCGTGGTGCTCTTGCTACCTTTAACCTCACCATTGATGACATTGGTGTTGCTTCTTTCCACGGTACTTCTACCAAGGCTAACGATAAGAATGAGTCTGCCACTATCAACGACATGCTCAACCACTTGGGCCGTTCTAAGGGTAACCCCGTTCTTGGTGTCTTCCAGAAGTACCTCACTGGTCATCCCAAGGGTGCTGCCGGTGCCTGGATGCTTAACGGTGTCTTGCAAATCCTCAACTCTGGCATTGTCCCCGGTAACCGCAACGCTGACAATGTCGATCCCGTCATGGAGAAGTTTGACAAGATTCTGTACCCATCCATCACCATGCAGACCGACGGTATCAAGGCTGCCTCTGTCACCTCGTTTGGTTTCGGTCAAAAGGGTGCTCAGCTCGTTGCCATCCATGCCGACTACGCTCTGGCTGCTTTGAGCAAGTCCCAGTACGAGGACTATGCTAAGAAGGTTGCCGCTAGATACAAGAAGGCTTACAGATACATGCACAATGCCATTGCTGAGCAGACCATGTTTGTTGCCAAGAACAAGCCTCCTTACACTGACGAACAAGAGTCTACTGTCTACCTCAACCCTCTTGCCCGTGTTGACTACGACAAGAAGACTGAGTCGCTTGTCTTCAACCAGAAGAAGCTTGTTCAGGCTAACTACGGGTCTTCTACTGGCCACACCGAGGAGGTTGTCAAGGCTCTTGCCCAGTCCAACACCTCATCCAATGTGGGCGTTGATGTTGAGCTTTTGAGTGCCGTTAACATTGAGAACGAGACTTTCCTTGAGCGCAACTTTACCCAGGCTGAGCGCAAGTATTGCGCTGCCCAGGCTGACCCCCAGGCCTCATATACCGGTACCTGGTCGGCCAAGGAGGCTGTCTTCAAGGCTCTTAACACTGCAGGCAAGGGCGCTGGAGCTGCTCTTAATGAGATTGAGATTTTGCGCTCTGCCAAGGGTGCTCCCTATGTTGTCCTCCACAAGGACGCCGAGGCTGCTGCCAAGAAGGAGGGCGTGAAGAGTGTCAAGATTTCTATTTCTCACAATGATTTCCAGGCCGTTGCTGTTGCCATTGCTGAGAAATAAATAATAGGTATTTTAGTCTTAGATATATTATAATTTGAATATATATATAAATAATTTACAATTACTTAAATTGAGCAGTAACTGAAGCTTCAACAGCCCATATAATGCCAAGGAGTATCAGAATCACAAATACTTCAGGTGCGCCTAAAACTAAGAGGTCAAGCGGGTGTATGAATTTTTCATCAGCGCTGTTGCCTGATGTTGGTTCGTCCAGGTAGTCTTTGCGTTTGCCGTTTCTTGAGTTGTTCATCTTAAAATGGGGAGGGGGGTTTAAAAGTTAAAGAAGAAGAAGAAGAAACTAGGTGAAGATTTCAAAATAAATGAAAGAAGAATTAAACGAGTGTTTATAAGAAAAGAAAAAAAAATAAATAAAGAAAGAAAGAAAGAAAAAAGGAAATTGAGACGTTGAGACGTTGAGACAAGTTGAGTTTTGGATTGTAGTGAAACAAAAAGGGTATATGAGAATTGAGGAATTACTTAATGAAAAAAAAAAAAAAAAAAAAAAAAAAAAAGTATTAAATCTATCACAGTGAGGGTTTCGATTGCAAATAACTAAAGAACGTAAACATTAATTGTTTTTTTCAAAACAATGAATAACACATATAAATGACGAGGTAGTTGGGATTTTTAACAACGAAGCATACAAAGATTCAAACAAGTATTATTGTAAAACAAAATTGGTCTTGGAAATTTTATATTTATTTCTCATCAATTCGTTCCCTTCTTTTTTTTTTTTTTTCTCCAACTATTTTTATTTTTAATTTTTATTTTTATCTTTAAAAAAAAAAAAAAATTCTTTTTAATGACTGTTTCTCGTTCTTTCACTTTAAACTCTTGCACTTCTTTTGGGTCTATTTCTTTTGACCATCTAATGATGGCAATTTGGTTTATCTTTTTTGGTGTTATTTTTTTTAATTTTGGTGCTCTTTTAACAGGAATTAGAACCCCAGCAGCTCCAGATTCTTTAACATTAAATGAAATAAATTATTATACAGAAAATGAACAGGACCCACCTCAGGAAGAGGCTTTGGATGTGGTTATTAAACTGGCAAAACAATGGATTAATTTTTAAAAATAAAGAATATAATATATATATATATATATATATGATTCCAAATTTTTAAATTTCTTTTATTAAAATAATATTTTTTTTTTATAAAATTTCAGAAATATAATTAATTAGTTTTGTTTTTTTTTAAATGAGTTCCCCCGTTTTTTTTTTTATCTTTTTTTTAATAGATTATATAAAGATGGTATTTACAAGATAGTTTTTTAATGTAAAATTATGTAGATAAAAAAAAAAACATTTATTTTTTGACGCGTTTTGATTTTGCAGTCAGTTATTAATATTTTACAAAACATTTAAAAAATTTGAAGTTTACATTTTATTTAAAAAATACATCTCAAGAAAAAAAATTTAACAATTAGCCAAAAAAACAAAATAGGAAACTAAAGATTTTTTTCAAATTTTTCAAATTTTTCAAATTTTTTAAATTTTTAATAATTCTATTTTAAAATCACACTTGGAAAAATGATTTCCCTGCTTTTTCAAAAAGTGTTGCTTCTTCCTTTTTGAAAAGAGACATGACATGTGTAATTGCAAACAAACTAAACATGACTATCAAAAACACTAATATAATGACCAAAAGCATATTTGTAAGTTTCTCTTGGTCTTCATCCCACAAATATTTCTTTTTAGCTGGTTTGGGCCTTGAGGGAGGAACATGGAATTTAGATGTATTGTGTCTAGAATAAACAATTCGTGAGCTGCTCATTTTAAAAGTTGGTACTAGAAAAAAATAATTTGAAGAAGATGGGTTAAGATATAGTAATATTACTATCAAAAAAAAATTTATGTTATAGCTTTAAAGCAATCAGATGGGGTTACTCAAAAAAAAAAAAAAAAAAAAAAAAAAAAAAAAAAAAAAGAAAGAGAATAAAAAAATGAGGAAATTCTTAGTATTTATGGGAATTTTTGATAGTAAAAAAAAATAAGAAAAAAAAACCGGGGGTTTTTTTTAATGGAACACTGAAAAATAAAAATTTTAACATGAAACAATTGATTGATCTTTGGTTGTGTAAATACCTCGCTTATATATATATATATATATATATATATATATATTTATTTGAAAAAAAAAAATTTAATAATATATAAATTATAAATTAAGGGATCTGGGCATAGATTAATAATTTTACATCTCGATAAATTAATAGGAAAGTGAGAGTTTATTACTTTAAAAACCTAATTTAGTTTTTGTGCTGAAAATCCAGAAGAATATATATAAATATATGATAGATATTGTATTTTTAACTGAAAAAAGGTTTTTGATTTACTTAACTTTGTCAAAAAAAATTAACATTATATTGAGCTTTAATAAGTTCTTTTGTTATTTTGTGTCATTTAGTTAAAGCAACTAACTATATATATATAAAAGAATTTTTATTAAGGAAGTTATTATTATATATATTTAAATTGCACCTTGAATGAGTATTTAAAATATAGGATTTCCCCAAATCTGCTCTTTTTTTTTGTTGTTGTTTGTAAAAATCATTAATGTCTATATTTATCTCTCAAATAAGCTACTGTCAAACAAGCCATAGCAATTAATGACATCTGAATTACTAAAAAAAACAACTGTTCTTTAATCACAAAAAAAATCAGCCATTGACGCTTAGGGTAAAAAGTTTGTTGCTCGTTATAATCGTCATAATTTACATAAACCCGGCCTTGGGGTTGTTGTTTTTGGGCAACTTGACTTCGTTTGCTCATTGCTATAAATTAACGTCAAAAAAAATAAATAGAATGTATTGGAGAAGAGTTTATGATTAAAGTGTATGGTAAAGAGATTTTTTGGTTGATAATTCAAAAAAAAGAATCTATTGATTATATTTGTCTAAGAAAAAAAAAATTTGTATTATAATAATTAAGAGAAAATATCTCTATTTTAAACAAATAAAAAAAATTCTTCTTCTCTTAACCTAAGAATCATTTCTTTAACATGAATCAAATTTTTAATCATTGTTTACATAAGAGATAGAAGTTTTTTTAATTTGGCCAATTTTAAAAAAAAAAAAAAAAAATGTTGGCTGTTATTTAAAACCATTTTGTTTGGGGCTATATATTCTGACACTGTTTGTAGACTTGAAAAGGACTTTGATCATGGCACATTGCTTGTTTGAAAGTTATATTATAATACATTTTATCCAATATTGGTTTTTTCTATTTAAAAAAAATATCTGATTATACATAATTATGTAAATTAATTTGAAATTTAGTAGTTTCCTTTAAGAATCCAAATTTGGATTCTTCAGTGCCCAATTACTGTTTTTTTTTTACTACTGAGCATTCCGGTAAATAGTTTTAAACATTGATGGAGCTCTTATGACTTCCAAGCTAATTAGTCCAATTAGTTTTTGTTGAGTTTTTTCTTAAAAATTTAAAAGTTCCTTCTTAAAATAAAATAAAATAAAATAAAATTTCTATAATAACAATATCAATTATTGTCTATATAATCAAATATCACTTAATTCAATCGGTAGAAATTCTTTACTTGAGCTTGCTCGGAAATTTTCAATTTAATCAAACCCCAACCCTAGCGGAATCTTTGTTAACCGTAAACATTTAAAAACGGCAAGAAAACATCAATATTTACAATTATATGAAAAATTAATATTAAATGCCTTTTCAACGTTGAGAAAGCATAACATTGATGTTTTCTTGCCGTTTTTAAATGTTTACGGTTAACAAAGATTCCGCTAGGGTTGGGGTTTAATTAAATCGACAAAAAAAAAAACAATTCAGTGTCATACTAATAATACTTTCTCTATCTTTAATAAAAGCAAGAATATCCAATATACTAATTTCTCTTTTTGTTTTTATCATTTTGTGCCAATTATTGGGGAAAATGTTACATGAATAGAATTTATCGTAGGGCTGCTTCGGCACTAACAAGGTTAGTCTATATATTAATTAGAAACTGAATTTATCTCTGAGTTGACTCTTTTCAACTTAATATAATTATTTATAAATATATTATTATTAAACCAGTTCATTTAATAAAACTAGAGGAAGATATCGAAACGTTTTGTTATTGCTAAGAAAAATTAAAAATATAAATAAAATAGTATTTTTATAATAAAGATTATAGATAAAATAAATTGTTCCTAAATGAAGTATGAAATTTTTTTGAATAACAGAAAAGTTTTTTCTTATTCTTGAAGATAAAGGTTCCATTTATAATATTATAAATGGAACCTTTATTAATTAATTGAATTTTTTCAAGAGAAGAAAAAAAATCCATTTCAAAGAAAATTAAGCCACTTTATGATTTTAGTTTTGTTTTAATTAATTGGAAAATATAGACACTGCTTATCTCAAAACATACTTATTCATAAAAAAGTAAATTCCTGTGAATTATATTTATGAACTGTAATGGAGTGATAACAAAAAATAAATACTAGTATATGTGATATTATAACGTTTGAGAAAGATAAAGGAAGAATTACTGATGCAATATTAGGCACATACTAGTAAATTAATTTTTTTTTCTTGTAAATTTTTTCTTGTTGAATAACTTAAAAATCATTAAGTGGTTGTATCAGTTTTTGACAAATAAATTTTTATTTCTGTTACCAAATTTGATTATCTTATTTTAATTGCCAACTTAAGTAAAACCTTTTGCTTAGAAGTCAATGAAGTCTCTTGTTTTTGTTGATATTTATTTACTCAATTAATTCGCTTTGATTTAAAAACTTGAAATCCAAACTATACAACAGTCGATTCATATATTTCATAGATGTCGGATGAACCCTTTCCTTTTTCATCGGAACTCATTATCTCTTCAACCTATTTAAACATTAAAAGGTTAATCACAACCCGGTAGCTTTTTTTTTATATGAAATAGAATTTAAATTTAAATTGAGATTTCTTATTTTATAAAGATGAAAAATTTATATATATCACGTTGGACTGCAATCAAAGCCATGACTCAGTAAAAAATTAGCTATAATGGCAATAATAAAATAACAGACAACAACTAGTTCTACCATTGTAGCTGGACAGAAAAGTGTTTTTGATTTATCGCGGTCTTCATCAAAGCTTCTGATAGATTTGGTCATATTTGTGGATTGTATTGTGATTTTTTTGAGAAAAAAAAAAAAAACTAAGAGGGAGAAGGTCTTTGACATGAAATTTTTAAAAATTGGAAAAAAAAAAATAAAAGATAAATGATAGTTTAAAAAAATGAAAAATAGTTTTCTTTGTATTTATAAAAAAAAAAATTATAACGAGAAAAAAAAAACTTTCCAGGAGAATATTTATTTTAATAATAATATTGTCAAAAATATCATTGATGACATTTATAACAAGTGATGTATTAAAAGTGTACTCCAGCACATGTGAAAAATTCTTCTCACAGTTATTTACAACCTGATACTTGAACAAAATAAATCTTCAATGAAACAATTTAAATACAAAAAACACATGTTAAAAAAAATATCTATATCTGCAAAAAAAAAAAAAAATTAAAAAAAGATTAACTTATTCTAATATATTAAATAAATATTCCTCTCTTGTCGTTGAAAAGACAAAATGAGGCACTAAAAAACTTTTTTCTTCATTTTTTTTTAAAAAATACACTGGTGCTCAGTATTAAACGTTTAATACAAGACAAACTCAGTACTTTTTTTAGTCTTTTTTTTTTTTTTTCAAGAATCCAACTTTGTTTTGTTTAAGCAAGTCTATCAAACAAACCAAAGTTTTGTTCGACATTCCAACTTCCTGGAGACTTCCACTTGTCATCCCACATGGAAAACAAAACAACGTCGGACCCAGCCGCTGCAAAAATCTGTGTCACGGCAATACCTTGGTTAGTATAACTGGGAACCTGCTTGCCATATACATCACCAGCATGAGGATAGCCAGACTCGACCACACGGACTCGGAGCCCGGGGCAAGCAGCCTTTACAAGCTTGATCTGGTTAAGCATAAAGTCATATGACTCGTCAGCTGAAATGTACTGGTCAAAGTAGGGGTGGATGTTTGCAGCAACGTAGCCAACAAGACCAGAAGCACACAAAGAAGGGTTTGATTGCAAAGTACCAACAACTTCTGCAGTGATAACAGGGCCTGTATAGCCAATCTCATTACTGAGAAGAGTTTTGACCTGCTTAATCTTGGTAACAAGATCTGCAGCAGATATCCAATTGTTGGTGACAGCCTCGTTACCCACTGAAATGGCCGAAATGACGCTCAAGTCATTTGGATTTGCCTTAGCCCAAGTGATAAAATCAGACACCGCACTGTCAATAGAGCTAGCTCCAGCCGAGGTAATGTAGAAACCCTGGATAACCGAAAGGCCTTGAATCTTGGCTTGGGACAGAATAGTGTTGATGGAATTGCAATCTGTGCCATAGACGCGGATTTCGGTGATGCCCTTGGCGCGGATGTCCTTAAGATCCTGGGTGATTTGAGCCTGAGTTCGGCACCAGTTGCTGAGATCATTGTTGAATGGAGTGTAAGTCAGGGCTTTGGGAGCAAATTTGAAAATACCATCGGACCCGGGGTAGTTAAATGTAGGGCTAGTGCTTGTAGGTGTGGCAGAGGAAGAAGTGTGAGTAGTAGTTGTAGCTTTGGTTGTAGTTGTAGCTTTAGATGTAGTTGTTGCCTTAGATGTAGTTGTTGCTTTAGTTGTAGTTGTTGCTTTAGTTGTAGTTGTTGCCTTGCTTGTGGATGTTGCTTTGGATGTGGATGTTGCCTTAATAGTAGAAGTTGCTTTGGATGTGGAGGTTGCTTTACTGGTAGAAGTTGCTTTAGATGTGGATGTTGCCTTACTGGAAGTAGTTGCCTTGCTCGTGGAGGTTGCCTTACTTGTAGAAGTTGCTTTAGATGTGGATGTTGCCTTACTGGAAGTAGTTGCCTTGCTTGTTGAGGTTGCCTTACTTGTAGAAGTTGCTTTAGATGTGGATGTTGCCTTACTGGAAGTAGTTGCTTTGGATGTAGATGTTGCCTTACTGGAAGTAGTGGCTTTGGATGTGGAAGTTGCCTTACTTGTAGAGGCTGCTTTACTTGTAGAAGTTGGCTTAGTTGTAGTAGTTGATTTAGCAGAAGTTTTGATTGTAGAAAAGGTGGTTGGATGAGAAGATGAAGAGGTTTTTGTACTAGTGGATTTCCGAGTTGAAGAGGTAGGGGCTAACTCAAGAGCTTCAAACGAAGGTGGGTCTGAAATGGAGGCAGAAATGGAAGAAGTATAAGCTGGAACAGAGGAAGATGAAAATACAGTTTGGAGAGTGGAAGATGGGAAGTGGAAAGTAGTATTGGAATAAGGAGCTGTGAGAGTCAACCGAGAGGATGTAGCATGAGGAGCTGCATGAGAGTGAGAAAGGGTGTAGTATCCAGAGCCAGAGCTGGAACTAGAGCCTGATCCATTGCTAGAAGAGCTGGAGCCAGAGTCAGAACCAGAACCAGAGTCAGAACCAGAACCAGAGCCAGAGTCAGAACCAGAACCAGAACCAGAACCAGAACCAGAGTCAGAACCAGAACCAGAGTCAGTGCCGCTGGAACCAGAATCAGTGCCGTTGGAACCAGAGTCAGAGCCGTTGGAACCAGAGTCAGAGCCGGAGCCAGAGCTGCTGGAGCCGGTATCAGAACCAGAACCAGAACCAGAACCAGAACCAGATGAACCGGAGTCAGAAGAGGGACTTGAACCATTATCTGAGGACTCAGAACCAGAGGAAGAAGAGTTATTATCAGTAGAGCTTGATCCTGAATCAGAAGAAGAGCCTGAAGAGCCGTTAGAGCTGGAACCGGAATCAGAACCGGAATCAGAACCGGAGTCAGAACCGGAGTCAGAACCGGAATCAGAACCTGAGCCAGAACCTGAATCAGAATAGGAAGGAGAAGAGCCAGAGTCAGAACCGGAGTCGTTGCCGTTAGGAGAAATAGAAGAGTCTGAGCCTGTGCTGGAATTGGAATTGGAATTGGAATTGGAATTGGAACCTGAGTTTGAGGAAGAATCCGAAGGGGATCCTGAAGAAGCACCGGAGTCGGAGCCTGAAGAACCGGAGTCTGAACCTGAAGAAGAGCCGGAGTCTGAACCTGAAGAACCATTGTCGGTGCCTGAAGAAGAGCCGGAGTCTGAACCTGAAGAACCATTGTCGGTGCCTGAAGAAGAGCCGGAGTCAGAACCTGAAGAACCATTGTCAGAGCTGGAGCCGGAGTCAGAACCTGAGGTAGAACCATTGTCTGTACTGGGGCCAGTTTCAGTACTGGAATCAGATTCGGTACTGGAGCCAGCGTCGATACTGGAATCGGAAGCTGATTCTGATTCTGATTCTGATTCTGAGCTAGAGCTGTCACCTGGGGTCACAATAATGGTACCGTTATTGTAGGGGCCGGAAGAAGTAGAGTTTGAATAGGGAGAAGCGAGGATTGCTAGCGAAGCATTGAAAGATTCTGAAAAGGTAGAAATAGTTGAGGAAGAAGAGTTTTGGAATGACGAGACTGAGACAGAGCCCGATTCTGTGGTAGGGGAAGAAATAGATTGACGTTTTGAGAGCAAGCCTAATAGTGAAAATGCATTAGCATCTGTGGAGAGAAATACGATTGCTGAAAGGGTAGGCACGAGAACAGAAGAAGGTTTCATTTTGCCGGATTAGGTATATTAGCCTAACAAATTTGATTTTTCAAAGATTAAAAATTAAAAATAATATAGAAATGAATGAATAAATGAATGATAATAATACTAATATTAAGAAATATATTATTAAAAGATATATTTCAAATAAAAAAAATACAATTGAAAAAAAAAAAAAAAAAAAAAAAAAAAAAAAAGAGAGACAAAAAGTTAGATGGAATGTAGTTTTTAACGAATGTGGTAAAGTAGTTGGAACTAAAAGAAAGGACGTAAAGAACGAATCTTTACAAAAGAAAAAAAAAAAAAAAGATGTTTAGGAAGATGAAGAAAAAGGGATGTATGGATTATACGATATTGGAGAAGAATTTAGCAATAGTTGAAGAAAGAAAGAAAAAAAAAAAGGGGGGGGGAAAAGTGAGATGGAGGGGATAGTTTTGAGTATTTATATATATATATGTTTGTATATGTTTGTATATGTCAATATAATAATAATATAATAACAACAACAACAACAACAACAACAACAACAACAACAACAACAACAAGTCTACAGGGTTTGGTGGTATTTAGCAACATCAACTGTCGACGCAATTCACTTGGCACAATTTTTTTTTTTTTTAGTGCTAGTGAGAGAGATTTGTACATTTCCATGTTGATTACTCCTTTTCGAGAACAGTGCGCTTTAGTGGTGATGAAGTGAAAAAAAAAAAAAAAAAAAAACATTAAATTAAGGAAAAAGGAGCAGTGCTTTAACGAAATTAAAAAATAATTAAAAAATAAATAAAAAATAAATAAAAAAATAAATAAAAAAATAAATAAAAACGTTGACCCTTATTTTGGTTTTTTTTTTTTTTTTAAAAAAGAAGAAAAAAGAAGGAGAATTTTAAAATGCGCAGCAGCTTTATATAATCTTTTTTATTTTTTTCTTTCTTTCTAGGAGGTGTACAAAAACAAAAATTGAATGCATAGATGGCGTGCTGTATGTGTGGTGATGTTAGTGGATGTAAAAATGAAAAGGGTCTTCTTTTTTTTTTTTTTTTAATAATAATTCATACATTCATACATTCATACATTCTTAAGATATATATATAACAATATATTGTTATTGAGACTTTTCAGAAATACTTTTTGTTTGAAAAAAACATTTTTATTTTTTAAAGATTGTTATTATTTCTATGAAAGTTCTTAAAGATAATTCTCTATAGAAAGTTTATGAATATCAATTTTTGTTTTTTTTTTTATTTTATTTCTTCAAAAGAAATCTCGCCAAAAAATAAAAAAAAAAAAATAAAAAAAAAAAAAAGAAGTCCTCGAGAATCATTTCTTTTTATTTTTATTATTATTTTTGAGGCTTACCAGTTTTCAAAAGTAAACTGCAAAATAGTTTAATTTCTAAATTAGGACAGAACAGCCGTGCAGTGTTTTTTTTTAAATAAGGAAATTGATGCTGCTTTTGGGATGAAAAAAATAAAAAAAAAAAAAGCGAGCTTAAAATGCAACAGAAATTAATGCAGCTGTCACTTTTGAAGGATTCTCACGTGGCTAAATATTTGCAAAAGCAGCAAAATAAAAAAAAAAAAAAAAACAAAATAAACAAAGCTAAAACAGTTATCTAGGAGAAACAAATTAAAAAAAAAAAAAAAAAGAAAAAAAAAAACCTTTTGAAAATTTAAAAAATCAATTAAAAGATTAAAAAGATTTAAAAAAAAAAAGATTTTATTATAAAATCATAATCTAAATAATCAAAAAAAAAAAAAAAACATTAAAATGATTTATATATTTATTTGTATATAATGGAATTGTAAGGTGACAATATCTGAAGATAACATAAATACTCATATCTAATACACATGCATCCATGATCAAGAATGAACTTTGACCCCCCCGTTTTGGGACTTTGCCTAGTTGTAGTAAAGTCTGAGTAAGAAAAAAGAAAGACGCCACGACGACGACGACGACGACGACGACAATAACAAAAACATAACCTTTCAATATCACTGTTCTTATTTCCTGATTAAAGAAGTGCAGCTTTACTACTTCAAGATGAAAAAACAGTGCAAGTATATATATATCGAAATAATTTTAAACGAGTGAGAGACATTAAAAGAAAAAAAAAAGAAAAATGTCAAGTTTTGTTTCTTTTTTTTTTTGTTTTTTTGATTGGTTTAGGATTATCTAGTAGATATCCTTAATCTATATCCAGAAAAAATTTTAATGCAAGATTTGACGAGAAGTTTATATATCTCTTTTTTTTTTTTTTTTTCTTCTTTCTTTGTCTAACTAATGATCATTATCAAGGTTTGTTTGTACCAAAAACAGTATTGGTACCAAGGATATATATATAATTTTGATTTTATTTGGTTTTTTTTTTTTTTTTTTTTGGTGACACTCCCCCTCCATCTTTTAATCAAGTTTTTATTCTTTCACATTGAACATGTGTAATAATAATAGATTCTCAATAAAGCATCATAAACTAATTATTTTTAAGGATAGCTCCACGGAAATCTTTTTATTTTTTTATTAATTTATTTTTTTTTTTTTTTTTTTGACAGATAGCATCATGATCAGGAATGCAAAATTGTTAACCAACATGCTGTCCACTACATTTCTGCCATATAAAGAATGCACAAACTGATAATTATTATAATAATATTTTGTATTAGTTTAGCCGTACATTTTTAAATATAATGATTATCTAATGGTTATCTAATACTGATGTTGAAATAAAAAATGTCTTCGAAGGAACACTGAATTAACTATTCTTTTTGTTGAATAAAACGTAAACTAATTGAAAAGAAAAAAAAAAAAAAAATTGTTTAATAAAAGTTTTTAAAATCTAAGTTAAAATTTAAAAATTCATAAAAAAGGATTTCAAAATGATAAAATATGGAGTTTTTTTTTTTTTTTTTTTTTTTTTTTTTTTTTTCTTCAAACAGTTTCTCATGTTTTGCACTAGTAAGTTTCCATCTAACATTCTGTAACTTCCCCCGCTGTCTCTAAAACGTCTTGGAAACACACAAACACTGCTTTATTGCAACATGCTATGAAATACCTTTTTTGAATGTATCTAAGCTTTACAACTTAGTGCTCACTTTAATCCATTTAGCCTCAAAATTAGATCGCGTTACAAGATACGCGTTTGTTTGTATATTTGTTGTTGTTTTTTTTTTTTTTTCAATTAATTCATTTTAATCAATAAGTTAATGATTGCCCAGAAATTGAAGAGTCTCAGAAAAAAAAATTTTTTCTTTTTTTCTTTCTTTCTTTTCTCCTTTCATTAAGCCTTTTTAGGAATAGTTGGATCATTTTCAAAATAACAACGAGAAATTCTCCCTTAATGGAACTCAAATCATTATTAGTTAATGATGTCACAGCCGGATAAAGAAGAGAGAGAGAGAGAGGAGTTTTAAGGTTGAAGCTTAAAAAAAAAAAACAAAAAAAAAAATTATGGACAAACTTACCATGAATCTTTCCCTCCCGTATCAAACTTAATCAAAAAGACTTATTCGTACCAATAAAAAAAACCTTTCAAAGATTAAAATTGTTAATTATAAGTATATATATATATCTGATATTAAAAGATTTTTTAATCTATATTTCAAAAGTCTTTTAATTCAACTCATCTCTTTAACTTCACTTGAGGCTTGTTTTGGTCTAGCCTGTCCTGGCAAACCTGTGCGGCGTACTCATGAAACAAGACTGCAAAAAAAAAAAAAAACTCCACTGAAATTAAATTTTTAAAAAATAAAAAATAAAAAATAAAAAATAAATAAATAAAAGATATTGACGGAAGCATCACCATTCTAGCAGGTGTGAGAAGTGAGATTGAAATCTTGCCGCTTTAGGTCATCGAGGCAAAAAAAATATTTTTTTAATAACTTATAATTAGAATGATTGTAAACAAAAATAAAGGCCAATTGAACTGTTAATTCTATTATATATATATATATATATTCAAGGACCCAGTCGGTTCTTCATCCCCTTAAACATCCCTTGTATTTCTTTCTTCTTCTTCTTCTTCTTCTTCTTCACTCTTGCTTGGTCTTTAGGTTCATATCCAAGATAACCATGCACCACTAATCATTCATTAATTGTTTTTTTATAACATCTTTACTCTACTCTTTGTTCCCTCATTCTACTTCTCATCCATTTCTTAATTCTATTTTTTTTTTTTTTATGATGCTTCACAAAAAAAATTTATCTTTCTGGCTATTTTCCTTTCAACTAGCCTTGGCTCATAGCTTATATTCAATTCCAGAAGTCAATGAATCAAACATCAACATACTCGAAAGTCAAGCTCTTTCTGAAGTTCAATGTTTAGATGCCTGTTCCACAGCAGTCGCTGGGATCCTCAACTCCCAAGGTGATTCATCCGTTGTCTGTGCAGAAAACTCTTCTTTACAATCAAGCATCACAAAGTGTCAAGCATGTATAGATACTATCCGCAGTCAACTTTCTGAGCAAGACCTGTTACTGATTGACAATATATTTTGCGAAAACATAGAAAGCAAAAGCTTAGACACAAGTAGTTTCTTAAGTTCAAATGATTATGAGTCAGAGTTTGACAGTAGTAGTAGCACTTGGCTTTCTTCCTCAAACTCTCTAGAAATACTTAGCGATTCAGAAACACTTGAGACTTCAGAAACACTTGCCTCAAAGTCCAATTCAATTTCAGAGGTTTATTATTCTACAGACGCATATTCCACTGAATCTTTTGTCTCTGAGTCTTTTTCGTTTTCAAATTCTTCAGCAGAGCCAATATCACATTCAAGTTTCTCATTTGATTTTTCAACTCTTGAGTCCTCTGAAAACTTTGAGTCTTCCTTTATTTCTTATTCTTCTTTTTCCAAATCAATTTTGGAATCTGCTTTCTCTTCCGAGTCTTTAGAAATTTCAGAATCTTCTCTACTTTCTTCAGAATCCTCAACCTTCACTTATGAACTAACCTCAGAGTCTTTCTACTCTTATGAGTCTTCAGAAATTTTAGAATCATCTTTAACCTTTTCCAAATCTTCTGCTATCATTTCTGAACCCTCTGAGTCTTTACAACCTTCAAATCCATCTTCCACCTTTCCTGAATCTCTTAACACTTCCGAGTTTTTAGATTTATCTTTGTCTTCTGAGCCAACTGTCATTTCTTCAGAATCTCAATCTTCTATCGAGTCTCTAGAGTCTTCCGAATATTATTCCTCTTCATCAAATTCTTTTTCTATTATTTCTCAAACTCTCGAATCTTCTATCATCAATTCCGACTCCGACTCTGACTCCGACTCCGACCCTGGCTTTACCGAATCTTTAGAATCTGTCACAGATAACAGCGATTACTCAACTACAACTTCCTCCAACTACCACGTCAACAAAACAGTCACAGTTATTTCAACTTCTCAAGTAGGTATCATTGAAACAGTAGTCGTCACCATTCCCTGTACAAAAACTGCTTGCACAAGTCACGAAACAGTCGTCACTACCGTTACCACCAATCCTCCTTCATCTAGTGTCATAGCTCCTACTTCGACTTTTCAATCTTCTTCGCTTTCGTCTTCCTCTTTTTCTTCTACATCTGTTGCAATCTCTTCTTCCCCTCTTTCCTCTTCTTACTCTGTCAACACTGTTTATGTTACAGTTCCTTGCACAAAAACTGTCTGCTATCCTAATGAAGTTGTAACCATTTCAACACAGTACATCACTATCCCGTGCACTACAACTCAAACAATATCATCGATTCTTTCGACTACTAGCTCAGGTTCCTTAAAAAGCACAGCCACGGCTTCAAGCACCTTAGAGACTTTGTCAACAGAACCACAAACTTCTTTTTCAACTCCTATTTTTACCTTTAGCCCCACTTCAACTTTTATTGTCTCAACCTCCAGCAAAACTGGGTCAACAACATCTGCTTTAAATACACTTACTACAACAAAAACAACACTGGTTTCCAGTTTTTCAAAAGTTCCCAATTCCAGCAATTTTGGTTCATCCTCCACTCTTTTGAGCATTTCCAATGCTGATTCGGAGGTCTCTTCTTCTATGGTTTCTACCTTGTCAGCTACTCCTACTTCAACTAAGATTAACTCGTCTTCATTTATTTTAACTACCTCTACCTCCTCCACTATTTTTTATTCTACCACAAGCAATCCCATTTCCAGCTCTACAGAGTTAGCTGGTTTTCCAACAACCTCCGCTTCTTCTACTTTTGAGAGCTCTTCTTCTTCTGTGACACCATCAATCGAAATCATAGAATCCACCAAAGAATCATTTTTAATTACTTCTGAAACCCCCTCCACCTCCACTACTCTGACGGGTTCATCGTCTTTGTCTTCCAGTTCAATTTCTGTTGTAAGCGCCAGTTTTGAATCTGCAACTATACCCTTGTTTTCTGAGGCTCCTGTTGTCGATGTTACACCAAGTGTTTCTACTTTGGTCTCCACATTTGCCCTTGAAACAATAGTAAGCAGTAGTGATACCTCCAGTTTTACTACTCCCATAACTTCAACCTCCTCCATCCCAACATTGCAGCCCGTCTCCACTCACGTTGTTTCATCTTGGTTCTCTACAACGTCAACGCTTGAAACCGGGACCTTTTCCGGTACCATCATAACCCAAACATTGGTCCAAAGTTTAGCCACGAGTTCTTTTCCAGAAATTACACAACCCGTTGCTGAATCTACGTCGTCGCCAATTGAAACATCTACTGTAGTCGAGCAAAATGTTTCAAGTAAGGTCACTACTCTAGCCACAGAGTCACATACAGTGCCGCTTTCCAGCTCGGGACTTGAAAGCACGTCGGTCGTGGCCCCAGGCACAACAAGTGCAACTAAGGAGACCACACCGGCTATTACAATCAATAGTAGTACTACTACAACAATGGCCCACGGTTCCACCCAGACCGTGGTATCACAAGTGGGGCCCTCATCGACAGTGATAGCACCTACGCACCCTGTTGAACAGGTCAATGGTGCCTCTTGCACACGGGGTAGTCGAAGTGCGGTTGCGGTGCTGGTGCTAGTGGCCGGCATTCTAGCAATGACAATATGATAAATTTCATCTGAATTTTTAATGAATTATGAAAAAAAAATTTAATAAACCCCCTTTTTGCGATACTCATATACGAACTTTTTGTCTTGTCTTGTTTTTTCCTTTCTTTTTTTAATAATATATAATGCTCTATTGTGAATTGAAACAAAGTTGCTTTTTTTGGTTGTCTATAAAACGAAGGTCTTAAATAAGCTTATAAAGTCTTAGTTTAAAACTGAGAGTTTCATCGACTGTCATTGAAATTTCTCAATTCCCTTACAGATTCCCATTCATTGAACCCCTCCAAATCCAACATTCTTGAACTGTTTTATTATGATAAAATATATTTTGTGAAAATAAACTGGCGATGAGCAAAATAAATTGCCCAGATAAATATGTTACAGCCGGATGTTACAACACTCAAACCTCTCAGTTCCCTCCCAACTTCCCTCCCTGTTTATCTTGATTTTATCAAATATTTGATACCGGCCTGAATAAGTCCCGTTCCACTTCGTCCGCGATAACGATGCCAATATGCACCAGCAGCTTTCCGAGTACACGTCCCTAAGCACGGAAGACCATCAACGTAGACTTTCTGATGAGTTGGACGACCCGTACTACGACCAGGAAGACATTGAGCTCGAAACTATTTTTGAAAACGACCACTCAATTGTTGAGCAACACCCGGACCATGAGCACCTAATTCGCAGCACACCAGATGAAGAGGAACAAGGAAATGAAGACCAAGAAAACTCACCTTATGCTGAGGTCAGGGCTGCTGTCCCAATAACCGACGAAATGTCGCGCGTAAACCACTGGCGCACATGGGCACTAACACTCGTATTTGTGGCTCTTTTTTCCGCTGTTAATCAGTTCTTTTCTCTCCGGTATCCGAGCCTTGGAATCGGGTTCATAGTTGCTCAGCTTGTCTCGTACCCGGTTGGAAGTTTTTTGAGCTCTGTTTTCCCGAATCGCAACCCGTTCCCACAATCATTCCGCGACAAATATCCGGGCCTTACCGCGTGGTTCGACCTCAACCCAGGCCCGTTTTCCATCAAAGAACACGCAGTCATCACCATTGCAGTCTCTCTCACGGCCTCTTCTGCTTACGCAATGAACGTCCTGCTGGCCCAAACAAACTTTTACCTCAAGGAGTACTCGCTTCTCTACGAAATCCTTCTCGTGGTGACAACCCAAATGCTTGGCTATGGCTTTGCAGGACTTACCAGGCGTTGGGTCGTGTACCCAGCAGCCATGATTTGGCCTGATACTTTAGTTTCAACTACCTTGTTTACAACTATCCACAAAAGCCAATCGCATACTCCAGCAAACGGCTGGACCGTTTCTCGTTACCGTTTCTTTGCCTACGCTGCTGGGATTTCTTTCATTTGGTACTGGGTCCCTGGGTTTTTATTTACTGGGCTTTCCTACTTTTCTTTTCTGTGCTGGATCTTCCCTAAAAATCGAGTCGTCAACCAGCTTTTTGGCTTCATATCAGGGCTCGGTATTCTTCCAATCACGTTTGACTGGACACAAGTCACACAGGCTGGGGGGTCACCGCTGGCCACGCCCTGGTGGGTCACTGCAAATATCATTGGATCCGTTGGTTTATTTTTCTGGATTATCGTGCCCATTCTTTACTATACAAACACATGGTACTCAAAGTATCTCCCAGTATTGTCAACATCAACATTCGACAATCGAGGTAAACCTTATGACATTAGTAGAATCTTGACCAGTGGGTTCAGCTTAAACGAGGAAGCTTATAAAGAGTACTCGCCACTGCTTATCCCATTTTCTTATATCATGTCTTATGGGCTCAACTTTGCAGCTGTCATTGCAATCTTTGTGCACAGCATATTATACAATGGCAAGGATTTTTACCATAAACTAATTGATGCCTCTCATGGTGGAGAAGATATCCACAAGAAAATGATGAACAAGTATCGAGAAGTTCCTGATTCATGGTATTTTTGTTTGTTTCTTCTAGTCATGGGACTCTCTGTGTTTTTAATCACTGTATATGACACTCAATTGCCCCTGTGGGGGTTACTATTGGCAGTTAGCATCACTGCAATTAACTTTATTCCCCAAGGCCTTCTAGAAGGTATCACAAACCAGCATGTTGGTCTCAATATCATCACAGAACTGATTGCTGGGTACCTATTCCCAGGCAAGCCATTTGCTAATCTTATGGTCAAGCTCTATGGCTTCATTCCCATGCGCCAGGGTCTTGATTTTTCGCGCGACCTCAAACTCGCTCAATACATGAAAGTCCCACCCGTTCTTTTGTTCTGGATTCAGATAGTGTCGACTCTAGTTGCAGCTTTTGTCAACGTTGGACTCCAGCGCTGGATGCGGGCAAATATACCCAACGTATGCGACATACACCAGGAAAATGGTTTCATCTGCGCAGGTGGTCGCACCATCTTTAACGCATCCATTATCTGGGGCGTGGTTGGTCCTCAGCGCATGTTTTCGCCAGGAGCAATGTACCACCCCATTATGTGGTTTTTCCTTGTGGGCGCCATTGTTCCCGTCGGCACATACTATCTTCATAATAAATACCCTCATCGGTGGTTTGGCCATCTTAACGCGCCAGTGTTTTTTTCGGGCCCGGCAAGCATTCCGCCGGCAACTGGTGCCAATTACGGAGCTTTTGCTCTGGTCGGGTTTGTTTTCAATTTTGTGATTCGAAAGAAATGGGCTCCTTGGTGGAGAAAGTACAATTATATCTTGTCTGGGAGCTTGGATACAGGGGTCGCGCTGTCAACTATTGTCATTTTTATTGCCGTATCTTGGACGGGAGGGAGACTGTCTTGGTGGGGTAACAATGTCTGGAAAAACACGCTTGACTATATTTCTGCCAGCTATTATACAGTGAAAGATGGCGAAACTTTTGGGCCGTCATCGTGGTAAAAAGCCAAACATTTTTGATTAACTTGTAGATTTTGTTAAAATAGAAGTTGCTAAGATAATTATCTTATAACCAAATAAAAAAAAATAAAAAAATTGCTAATGATTTAAGATAATCAAGCGATAATTTCTAAAATCTCGAATCAAATGGGATAAAAAACACATTTATCAATCAATTTTTCAGAAGAAAAGAGTCAATTCAGAGAAAAAAGCTGGTGTGATAATTAATTTAGATTTAGGTCCTGCTGGAACACACCTATATATATAATGAAGTGTATTCATTATATATGTACTTATGAATGGGCTCAAAATAATGAAAAAAGTAACTAATATATATAAAGTCTAGCTTTCACGAAAGATGGAGAAAGCATTACTTAATTGTAACTATGTTAGTTCTTGATTGATCTCAAAGGTTTTAATCAGTTTGTATTAACCCCAACCCTTGCGTAATCTTAACAAACGATCCGTTTTCTACAATTTTTAAATCTATAAAGAAAACAGAGTTTTTATATGTTTTCTTAACGTTAACGTTGTGAATCCCTAAAAGTTTACAGTTATCTTACTGTATTTAACATATTAAATTATAAGCATGGTTCAAAATGTTTTATTAAATACAAACAATTTCATTATCTAATAATGACTAATCTTTTCACTGAACACGAAACCTCCAATCCATGCGATTTTCACTCATCACCAACATTTATCGCGTCTTTTTTTTTTTCATTCCGCCCATACAAGCACACTCTTTCTCTATCCATAAACTCATTTAAAGAATAAAAACAAAAAAAAAAAACAATGGCCGAAATTGACTTCCGAAGAATCGACGTTGACCAGTACGATCCCGACCGCTTTCTTGTCGAGTCTCTCGTCCCGCCACAACCCCCTGTGTCTCTCGACGAAATCAAGCAACGCTCAGTTGCCGTCAAGCGTCTGTTGTCGCAGGGCGATTACCAAGGCGCGCTGGAGACTGCGCTGCGCGACCCTCCCTATGGCGGCTCTGCTGAGGTTAAGAATGCGAACCTGCAGACTGTTCTCGACGTCCTGCTCACCCTCAAGTCTAACACCATCACTCCCATTATCGAGGCCCTGACACCCGAGCTCCAGGATATTCTCATCAAGTACATTTACAAGGGCATGGGGTCGCCGCTTGGCCAAACCCATGGTAACGGTGTTGCACTGTTGCTGTGGTTCGAAAAGACCGTTGACATTACCTCCCAGGGCGCCATCATCCGTTATATGTCCGACAGAAGAACTGTTTAAGTTTGAAAGAGAAATCACAATATCTTTAGGTTAATTGTATATGAATTAAAGGATTAAAAAAGAAATACATTACGTCTAATTGATTATAAATTAAAAAAAAAAAGGTTATCAGATTCTTTTCAAGATGCATGTTTGGTTTAACCGTCAATGACAATTGGAGATCCCGGCGACATAAACCCTCGTTTAACCGGTGACCCGTTTCTCGGTGTGCGAAGCCCAGTAGAGGAGTTGGTTCCAGAGGATATTGGTCGAAAGGTAGCCGTGTGGCCATAACTGGACGAGTTTCCTCTTCGCACAATTTCTTTGAGTTTTTCATTTTCCTGTCTCAGCTCTCTATTTTCCCGTTTCAGTCCACGCATCTCCGCTTCCGCTTGAGTAATAATTTTTTGCAGCGGCTCCACCTCACTTGTCCGCAGAGTCTGAGCAAGCAGCTGTAATCGGTAATCAGTATGGTCTCGTGCTCGCGTCTCAGTCTCCTCTAGCTCGCGCATAAAGATTTGTTTTTGTTGCGTCAGTGACCGGTCCAGTAAATCACCTAGCTCATTGCGCACCTCCATGTCAATTTCCATTGTCCGCTGTTCTGAACATGCAAGAGCTACTTCCAGGTCTTGAATCCTTTGCAACATCAATTGGATATTGTAGCACGCTGTTTCTGTATCCGGGATGAGCGACATTATGTCCACCTGGTTCCGGTCCCCGTCAGCTAGAGTGTCTGTGGATTGGTCTGAACTATTTGAAGAAGAAAGAGAATCCCTACTTCGTTGTGTTTCATATTGTGGAACTGGGGTGCTCTGATCCATGTCATCATGCATCTCGTGGTTGTTGGCTCTAGCATTAATTGGAGAAAACCCAATAGAAGGTGTTTGTTTATGAGATTTTATGGGAGGGAACATGATGTGACTTGGTGTAGATTTGAATGAGGGTGTGTTTGGAGAAGGAGTGTTATCCTTCAATGTCAATGAAGACAATGCATGGTTAAGCTTACTACTGTCTGTTCGTCTTGAGGCTTTTGCTCGTGGCGACTGGTTGTTATGATCATTTTCAGGTGCAGGTTTAAAAACAAAGTTGTTTGGGGTGGATTTGTTAGCCGTTTCAGGAATATCTCGCACAGGAGCCGCGTACCGCAAAATTTGGGCTGCGGAGTTCAAGTCACCAAACGGATCCATAGCCACAAGCAGTGCCGACCGCTGATTCGAGTCCGGCCGAAATGTGTTTGTCAAAAGTAAATGTGTCAGTTTGCAGTTACGGAAAATGGAATAATCCGGCTTGCCCTTACGCTCGTCACCACGCTGCAGCTGTAATCCTTGACTCAACAGCATCAAAGACTGGTTAATAGCGCAGCTTTCTTGGAAACGAATTCCCTGAGTCCCTGCAAGTTTGTTGCGCTCGGTTCCTGCCAAGTCGGCAAACGTTATTGTGGACGACCGGACTTGGTTGGAATTGGGCATTGTGGCCTTGATTTCAAGGTTTATGATGGCATGAGAGCGACTAGATGTTTCATTGGACCCTGTAGAGTGCGACACTCGCTTCTTCAATCCACGCTCAAGGACTCTAAATGCTTCTTGAACCGTGGAAACAAAAAGCTTTGTTGATCGAGATAGTGTGACTCTGCGAGTAACTGCGTCATTAATGAGGCGAATTTCGGATCGTGGCTTCCCTGGTAATGGAGTCTCAAGAAGGTCAAAGATTCTGTCATTGTAAATTTCTACCATGGTGATGTAAATGCCATACTGAAGATTAGATGTCTGTGGAGTGATTGTCTCGTGGCACAGAGAGCTCTGATGGTATGCGTTTTGGTCTAGCTTGTCGTTTCGCCAGTCAAGAACCAACCCAGCTTCAATGGGTGACGATATTCTATCTGTTCTCTTATCGCATATGTCCTCAACTTCTTCAAACTCCGCCAGATTATTTTTCAATGAACGAAATATAGTATCCACACACAAATGCAGCATACCAGGTGTTTGGTTTGCTCCAAAAACTGTGTGACTCTGCAAAATAGTTAGAAATGAATTGGCTTCAAGTATAGACTACAAGGGCATACCTTTCCAGAGCCAGTAGCTCCCATTGTAAAAAATAGTGAGTCGCTACCATTAATTGTGTTTTCAACTAAAGGGAAAACCACGCTTTTGTAAAAATCAATCTGAGTTGTAGTCTCACCAAAAATCCCGTCAAAGGTGCACTCTTTGTTGTTTTCCAAGACAATTCGAGTTGAACCTGGAGGGGATACAGAAAGAATCCGCTCGGAGGTGACACCAGCGCCCTTTGGCTTGAGTCGCAGATAAACTGGGACCTTGTTAGAAGAGTCTTCGGTAGAACAGTTTGAGTATTCAGACATGGCTAACGAAGCAGGTTGAATTGTAGTGTCAAGTGGGAGAAAAGAGGTATTTGGAAAAGAAAGATTATGTTTGTTTGTTTTTTCTCCAGGGCTTGTTTATTTCAAGGCCCAATTGGGAAATTCATAGTGTTGTCGTGGTGACTTTTTTTAACCCTAACCCGGTCTTTGGTTTCCTCAAAAATATTTCACCACACCCGCATCAGCTTCCATCTTTTCCCAGTATCACCAAAAAAAAAAAAAAAAAAGCAATCGGACGTTATCCGTTGTCCGATCTTCATATATAAATTTAAATTTTAAAAAAGGACTTCTCACCAAACAATATATCGCCCGATGACAGATAAACCAGTTGCTGATTCCGAAGCTTTGGCATTGCCTAAGCAGGATGCCTCTGAAACCAAAGATACCCTATCTAAAAAACGCAGCCATGAAGACGAGCCAGAAGCCAAAAGCACTACGGCCGATTCCAAAGACGAAGAAACTATTCCGACCAAGCGTCAAAAGAACGAATCCGAAGAAGGAGAAAAAGAAAAAGAAGAAGACAAAGATGCAAAGTCTGAAGAGACCAAGACAGAGCCTACCCCAGAGACTGCAGCATCATCCAGCGAGCAAACTGAAGACAAGGAAGAGAAATCGGAGGAAACCTTAAAAGACAACAAAGCAGATGAACCAGAAAAAGAAGAACCCGTAACAGAGAAAAAAGAAAAGAGCGAGGAAAAAACTGACAAGACTGAGGCTTCTGTGAAGCCTCTTTTGTCTGCCGGTACTACATTCAATGGTGGGTTTGGAAGCTTTGCTGGGCCCTCGTTTGGAACCGCGCTACAGCCAACCACCGGGAAGAGCATATTTGCTGAGTCGCAGCCCAAGAATGGCGAAGCCAGCAGTAAAGAAACTAGCGTTTTTTCCACGTCGAGCATATTCAAGGGTGGATTTTCGTCGTTTTCATCGTTTGCAGCTCCCGCTAGCAAAGCCAACCCATGGGCAGACACTGACGAGAAGGATGAAGAAAAAAGCAAAGATGAAGGCAGCACCAGTACTAGCATCAGTACTAATGGCATTGGAAGCAGCAAAGACGTGGTGGATCAGTATGCCCAAGTGTCAGTGCCGTTGGAACAGAAAAAAGTGGAGACAGGCGAAGAATATGAAGAATCCAAGTTTTCCTGCCGTGCCAAACTGTACGCACTAGATATCACCAACTCATCGGAGGGCTGGAAGGAACGGGGCGTGGGACCGCTACATGTCAATTCAGTGAAAAAGGAATTTGAAGATCAATTTGAAAACAAGACAAAGGCCCGCGTTGTGATGCGTGCGGATGGCATTCTCAAGGTCATTTTGAATGTTCCGCTCAGTAAGAGCACGGAGGTTTTTGCAGGAATGAAGAGCTCGCTAGCAAGCGAAAATTTTGTGAGAATCACAGCTTTTGAAGAAGGCAAACCATTTCAATACTCGCTACGAACCAATAATGCAGACACTGCGAAAGAACTTTACGAGTCTATCAAGAAGCTTCTTCCTTCTTAAATGAAGATTTATTTAATGCAAAAATGTTATTATTATTTTTTTTTTATTTCCATTATTGCTTTTTAAATACAACCGTGCAAACAGTTTGGCCTTTCACACCACCAAACTCAAACGTAGGGTACTCCACTTTGTCGTAGTACCGCAGCCGCTCATCGGACTCTATTATCTTGATGAGCTCTGATTCTGTGAAATTGCACGATGTAATTAGGAAAATTCCGTTAGGCTTGACCATATCGGCCACACGGAATGGGTACAGCTCGACACCCGTAAGGCTCTTGCCTTCATGATTGTATGTAATGTTTGCAAGCGCGATTGCGTCAAGTGTTCCTTTATCCATCACAACGTCCCACTGGTGGCTGTCCGGGTTCCATGCTGTTGAGCCTAGAAAGTCTGCGTGACGGAAATCGTAAGTCCCATCTTCGGGGTCCCAGTCTTCGTTTTCCACAACTACCTTTCGAGCAAATTCTACAGAAGGCTCTGAGTAATCAATCCCGGTCAGATGGCCCTGAAATCCGGCTTCACGCACACCAATCAGAAGCTGTCCGTTGCCTGTGCCAAGATCAATAAACGATGTCGATTCTTCATTGATAACGTCACCCTCAGCCGCGAGATCCTCGAGATAGCGGACCATTTGCTCTTGTGCGTTTGAGTCAGAAAACCAGTTTTCGCCCGTGTCGGCATTGTTTTCTTGAAAGTTGGAAAGCTCCAGCTTGTAGAAGTTGTCCCAGCTGATAATCACAGTTAAAAAATTGAATGAAAACTGATCATTTTTTCAAAAAATACTCACTACTCTTGGGTTCCAAGTTTGGAGGGGTTTAACTTTTCAACTTGATCAGCCATGATTGTTTGCGGAGAAGTTTCAAGTTTTTTATTAAAAATTTTTTTTTTTAAAGTTGATAAAGTTTTACATGCACTGTTAATTTAGTTCTCATAATAATTATACTAATCAATTTCTACATCTATCCTGAACTTTTACATTTCCCAACTACTATGATCCTTGGTCTTCGAGACATTTTCTTCTTTTCTCTCCTTCTTTTCAACCAGACGAACCGGTCTTCCTGCTCTGAAAGATGAAAGAGCAACGTTTGGTAGAATAAAAACCACAATGAATCCGCCAAAAAAGATGATCCATGTACGAAACGACAAGTGCTTGACAAAGCTATCAATGACTTGAGAAAAGGTTTCCGCGGAGACCTGGGCACGACCTACCGTCGCCGACTCACGGTTCATACACTTTTCCCACGCTGTGCAAAGAGTTTCCATTGCAGGCACCCGGCGCCCGGGCATGCAATTGTTGCGGAGATACTGCCGGGAGCACTCTGCAATTTCAGACAGAATATCAGAAGAGTACTCGCTGAGGCGCTTGTCAACGTCGGCATTGATAGTGCTAAAGAACCCGTAAAGAAAATAAAGAAGAGTTGCGGCTAGCATGAAGTTAAGAAAGACTTGGACATATAAGCTGAGCGTATATGGAATGTTGGGATCGTTGTAATAACGGACATTGTATGGCTCTGGCTTTTTTTTGGTGTCTTTTTCTGGAGTTTCTTTTTTAGCAGTATCTTTCTCTTTTGTCTTGTCTTTTAATATGCTGCTCCTGGGCTCAACCTTGGGCTCCAGTTTGCTATCTGTTCGCGAGCGGCTAGGTGAAGATTTGATATCGTATCTGTGGATTGTAGCTTTAGGCGATATCGTTAGCTTCTTGTGTTTATCTTGAGCCGGGAATATAGGCTCTGATTGGAGTTCTTGTTTTTCTGATTTTTCTGATTTTTCAAACGACTTGAGAGTGAGAAGCCCTGGCGATTGCGTAAAGATGCTAGATGAAGGGGGTTTTTCCAACGAGATTCCACCAAATGCAGACCGATGCTGTCTTGTGGGTGACCCGTTTTCCGGAGTATTTATGCGAGTGACTTTTTCAGTTGCTGAAAGCAGTGTTTGCTTCGTTTCAGGTAGTGATGAAGCTGGCTTATTGTTGGAAATAACTTTTGGAAGGTCTGGCTTAGAGGCCCCAAATGCCTTTAAAGAAGGTTTAAAGATATCGGCCTTGGCTGAGTCAAATGAAGATTTTAAGGGGTTGGTTGGAGCATCTGGTTTAGGGGCGCTAGAGGGAATGCTAATAGAACTGGGTTTAGCCTCGGCAAGAGATGTACCAAAAGAGGACTTGATGGAAGAAGGCAAGCCAAATGCAGGATTGCCCAAAGAGGGTTTTGAGGTTTCTGTTGGTGGCTTATAAACAAATCTCAAAGCTCCAGTAGGGGCCTCAGAAGGCTTTTCAGGTTTAATAGATTCGCCAGTCGTAGGCTGTTCCAAGAGAAACTTTCCAAAAGTAGAATTTGTGTCTTCCTGGGATCTCGATGGTATAAAAGTAAGTTTTTTAGGTGCAGTGGCTTTATCATTGGATTTAGTAGGCTGGCCAAAAGCAGGCTGGCCAAAAGTAACAGTTGGGATTTCAGGAGCTGGTTTTTTGGTTGGTTGTTCTGGTTTATTATTTTGACCAAAAGCTGGCTGACCAAAAGCTGATGGACCAAAAGCAGGTTGGCCATAAGTAATTGTCGAGGTTTCAGGAGCCAGTTTTTTGGCTGGAATTTCTGGCTTATTAAGTTGACCAAAGGCAGGTTGACCAAAGGCAGGTTGACCAAAAGTTACAGTTGAAGCTTCAGGAACTGGATTTTTGACTGGATTTTCTGATTTATTGAGTTGGCCAAATGCAGGTGGACCAAAAGCTGGTTGGCCAAAAGTTACGGTTGAAGTTTCAGAAACTGAGTTTTTGACTGGGTTCTCTTGCTTCTTAGGTATACCAAAGGCTGGTTGACCAAAGGCTGGTTGACCAAAGGCTGGTTGACCAAAGGCTGGTTGACCGAATGAAATCTCCGGAGCAGATGCTTGAGTTGGCTTTTCAGATTTAGGTTGGCCAGATAAACTAAAGGTAGACTCGGAACCAACTGAGTTTTTCAACGTAGTAAATGTGAGCTTTTTAGGAGAGATTTTAGCTGAAGTATCTTCTGATTTCGCAAGTTGGCCAAAAGCAGAGTTGGAAAATTCAAATGCACTTGATTTATTTGGCAGCTTTTCAGTTTCAATCTTTGGGGCATCAGTATCAAATAAAGGTTTAAAGTTTTCCAACTTGTTTGCTGAAGGTGCAAAGTTTATTTCAGGACTTGGAGCTGTAAAAAAATTGTTTGAGAGCTCAGGTGTAGAAGCATCTGTAGCCTGTTTTATAGAAATGTCATTTAAAATGCCATTGAATTTAAAGGGACTAGTGGAGATTGGTGTCTCCTTTGTGACTTGGGATGATTTGTTTTCAATGCCGTTAAGTTTGAATCCATTGGTTATAGGCTCCACTGGAAAGATAGACTTTAATTGTTGTGGTTTTTCTGAAGTAAGAATGGATTTTTCTGATTGCTGTGAAAAGGAGGAGTTTGGGGTTTTGAGTCTGCTGAAAAGATTTGATCCAACAATCCCACCCTTTTGTTTACTTCCTCTGCTTGTAGATCTGGAGAAAGAGAAAGATTGGTCGAAAGAGATATCAGATTTTTTCTTTTGTGGACTGAATGATGATTGATTTTTCACAGAAACAGTATTGATAATGATTGAGTCTTCATTCTTGACATCGCCGTATTTGAGCACGAGTTCTGCAGGGTTGATACCAAACGAGTCATTTGTTTGTTGTGTGGGTTTGATGTAACCATATTTGTATTGTCGTTGTTCAGGCTCATCAGGTTTTGTTGGCTGTATCTTAATTGTTTCGACTTCTGGTTTTGGAACTTCAAACATGACAGGTCGTACTGTTTTTATGCTGGAGTTTGACTCGCGTCGTTTTTCAGCAAACGAGTCATGGACTTGTTTTGATTCTGGTTCTGGTTCTGGTTCTGGTTCTGGTTCTGGTTCTGGTTCTGGTTCTGGTTCTGGTTCTGGTTCCTTTTCACTGGAGAGACACGTCGAAATGTTGCTTTGATCGCTTTCATATGTTGGAGATATATTTTCAAGATTTAAATCGTAGGTTATATTGTCATCTTCAGTATTAGTTTGTTCATCGTCCACATTGAACTTTGTGTTTTTGAGAAACTGAGCAGGACGAACAGTGGCCACATGGTTGAAAATGTCTGTGTCACTGACATCGCTGATTTCGCTAATGTCACTAATGTCACTTGCTTCACTGACAAGGTCTGAATTATCTACAGGCTCCTCCAAAAGAGCTGGATCTCTGGGAAGGGGGTCTTTTGTCTCGGTGTCAGACATTTGATTGTTGTTATTGTTATTGTTGTTGTTGTAAAGAATTTTTTTTTTTTGTCAAAACAACATCTTAAAAAAAAGAAAGGCTTGAGAGGAAATTGATGGAGATGAAAAGAAAATTTAAATGTTATGTAAATGCTGAGTCAGACTTTGAAAAGTAAGATTGAGTATCATTAAGGAAAGAGAAGCTTTACTTGAAACAAAAAAATTAGAATTAGAATTAGAATTATTATTGTTATTGTTATTATTATTATCATTATTATTACACTGGTGCCCTAAGTTTATGCTTTTATAATTTTTTTTTCTAGCAATGTTTGTTTTTGGTGATCCGGAGTCCCGATCTTTATTTTAAAAATTGTAAAAGTACCGTACGGCTAATTGTTACTAATCATGACTAATATACACGCACACATATACACACGACACACTTCTTGTAACAGCCAGGCAGCTTTTTATTAATTTATTTTTTTTTTTTTTTTTTTCTACTACTACAGGCAACCTGGCCAAAGGCTCTTTCAGTGGTTGTCACACATCACATAATAAACACGGTTGTTTTTTCCACTCTAACAAGAAAAAAAAAAAAAAAAAAAAGCCCACCACACAATCTGAAATCCCACGTCCTCAACTTCATCACCACCACCACCACCACCACCAAATTTTTTTTTTCCCCTATAAATTTTTTTATCTCTTTTTTTTTTTTGCCTCCCTAACCATACTTATCGCCACCAATCCATTCTCAGAAATAATCTAGCAAGAAAATTCTTATCCACATTCATAGGGAGGACTAGAATTGATTATACTCCCATTCCACTCCCCCTATTTTAAACACGCCTAAAAGGAATGGATCCCGCAATCATTTCTGCGCAGCCTTTGATAGGGGCAGGCGCTCAGCCACCACTACAACAACCATTATCACAATCAGCACCGGAAACAACGCCATACTCAAGCTCTTCATCTTCCAGTACCCAGCAGGATATAACACTGTTTAACGCGGATGACAAGGACTACGAGTTGCCGGTAAACTCACTTAACCCAACAAGGAAAAACTTTGTGTATACGATTGAGGAGCTGCAGTTCTTGCGAAACTCTCCTCTAGTAGCTGTTCCAGCATCTTTGCGTCTGCCCGACATTACAGCGTATGTTTGATCGATTAGTAGAAGAAGAGTTTTTTTTTTTTTTTTTTTTTTTTTTGATTCAAGGCTAACAACTCAGACCAAAACAAAAGCACATTTTCCATAATAGTACGTCGTCATACTCGCGTATAGACGGGGCATTTAATCAGTAAGTTAATATTTTTTTTTTGTTACAAAAAAAAGTTGGGGATATTAGTTTTTCTAACGTGATTTAGACAAATTCGATCAAGTATGTTTTTTAACAAGATGTGTTATTGCACAACACTCGTTATTATTAACACGTTCCAAGATGTAGGCGACTTTTTCAAGTATAAACCAGATGCTCCCAAGCCACGGTCAAATAGCGATCATGGATCAGCGGCATCTGCACCAGCTGCATTGTCATCTTCGTCATCGCAGCTGTATGTTCGACCAAATCGACGAAACCACGACGCGAATGGCACCAACAGCACTGTTCCTGGAGCGCCACCAGGCATTTTGCCTGGCGGATCAACTTTGGCATCATCGGCGAATGGACGAAGCAAAACGCGAAACTCGAGCGGCGAAGGTGAACGAAGAGATTTTCTTGACAAGTTTGAGCTCCTTGGTCGGGAGCGACGAGGTGAGTCGACGTCATCGTACAAGTTACAGGAAGAGACTTTGGAGGCCGACTGGGAGATACCAACTGATTTTGCTGGAGGGGAGATACCGCAGTCCAATAGTGCTATTCAAGAGTTTGAAGAATGGAAGCAGAAGATGCGCAAGAATCAATCTGGGTCTTCTACAGGTGGTGCTAGCGGTGTTAGCAATATTACGACTACAAATACAACATCAGTTTCTGCTCCTGCAATTGGTGAGGAGTCTCGCAGTAGGATGTTTGATAGCGACCGGATGCGACAACCTGCGATGGAGAAGCCGACACGGGCGGTTGATTTTATGTTTAGGTACGAAGAGGCGATGCACTCTCCTAGCGGTGGAGGTGGTAGCGCGTCTCTGGCAGGGTTTGGGCGGTCGTCCAAGTTTTCTAGTTTTTTCCGTGCAGAAGAGCACAGTACAAGCTTTGAAATGCAATCTCCAACAACTCCACGGTTCGCCAATATGAATACTGTGGAGGATAATAGTGATGCAGAAGGGTTGAAGCGAATCATGGCAATGCTTGGGGATGCTAGCGGAGAGGTTCAGCAGCAGCAGCAGCAGCAGCAGCAGCAGCAACAGCAACAGCAGCAACAGCCGCAACAGCCGCAGCAACAGCCACAGCAACAACAGCAGCAGCCTCAACAGAACGCGCCGGCAAAGGAAGAGTCTTCTAATGATGACATGTTTTTCATGAGTCTTTTAAACAAGTCTACAGGTCCAAATGCACCACCTGGACTTGAGAAGGAAGTTATTGGAGTGCCTGCGACTCCAAGTATGGGGAACGTGCCAGTTAGCGGAAGTGGCAATAGTAGTCACACTTCGCCAGTTGCTAGCCAAAGTCCAGTATCAGAAAAGGCACGGAAACAATCGACACCAGCAATTGTACCTGTGGGGATGTTGTCACCTGTTCAGGGGCACGGTGTTCTTGGGTTTAATGGAGGGGTTGTACCGCTGCCACCGCCACCACCTGGAGCCATTCCGCCAGAGTTTTTCCAGGGTAATAACGGGCAGTTTAAGTTACCGACTGGAATGCATATGCCACCTACAGGGGCGATACCGTTTTCGTTACCACCGAATATGATTGGGATGCCACCACCTAATATGATGGGGATACCACCTGGAGGTCCACCACCACCTGGGATGCAGGGGATGCCACCAATGCCTCCTATGATGATGGGAATGCCACCACCACCGCCTGGTATGATGGGACCTGGAGGGGCCATGTCTGGGTTCCCGCCTGGCGCAATGCCTCCACCTCCTGGAGCGATGGGACCGATGGGATTTGGTCCAGGGATGGATGAGATGGGAGGAGGAGGTCCTCTGGGGATGATGATGGGGCCCCCTATTCCGTTTGGAGGGATTCCGCCACCTCCTCCAGGGATGATGGGGATGCCTCCACCTCCGCCTGGGATGATGGGAGCTGGAGGAGGAGGAGGAGGAAATGGGAACAATGGTCGACGACCCATGATTGAAGAGTAGGGGATGTTTTCTTTTTTTTTTTTTTTCTTGTGTGATTTTTAGTAGTTGTGAAGTTGATATTTGATTTAGTTAGTTGGCCATAGTGATTTAAAAAAGGTTGCTTTTGTTTGAAGAGAAAACAAGAAGTTGAGATAGATGAGACTCAGAAGAAGTGCAATTTTGTATGATTTTTGTTTTATGGGAGCTAATTTAGATATGTATGTTGTTGTGCGGCTGAATGACATGTAAGTAAAGTTGGGGATGGCTGGATTACTGATGGTTACGTAATATTGAGTGCTTTTTTTTTTTTTTTTTTTTTTTTTTGGTACAGAGTTGCACCCTAAAGAATTAAGAGAGGCGCGCCAAAGTTTTTTAAAAAAAAGAAAAGAAAAGAAAAGGAGAAAAAGATTTTATTACACAGTGAAAAATTATAAAAAAGAGAAAGATGATATATATATATATATATTGAAATAAAAAAAAAAAAAAAAAAGAATTAAAAAAAAGTTAAGAATTGTAATATTTTTTTTTGTAGATATTTTGAAAATATTGAAAATGTTGATAAGGTTGTGATAATTATAATTATTATTAATTAGAGAGGGGTGATGATTACCAAAGTATGCGGAATCTCCAAAGTACAAAATAAAATAAAAAAAAACGTCAAATTATTATGGTAAAAAAAAAAAAAAAAGCAGGTTGAGACTTTAATTAAATAATGATGGACCCCCCCGCAATTATTATTATTATTATTATTATTATTATTATTTTTTAAATTCCAAATAAGTTTAAGAAGAAAGACTGAATTTATTAAGCTTATATAAAAATAGTGAAATAATTATTTATAAATATTTTTTTAGAATAATAGAAAGTGTCAAGACTTTAAAAAATAATTAAAGTCAACTTTCACAACACCTATTTGGGAGACAACATGTTGGACAAAAAAAGCCCATTTCCATCATAATCAACCAATTGAGTAGATACTTTTATATATATATATAACACTTATAAGTGTTTGCTGGATTTGGAAGAATTAAAAAGGGGCGTTGAAAAAAAAAAAAAAAAAAGAAAAGGCCGGACAAAAATAACAATTTGCTTTGGAAAATCCGAGCCCAGCCTCCAGTCAATAAAGACAATATGAGAATTTTTTTATATATTTTTTATATTTGTATTTATATTTAAGAAATGAAGTATATATATATATATATATATGAAAGTTATTATGATTGAATTGAATTGAATTAAATTAAATTGAACAAGATATTAATCACCCACCTCTTTATTTTAAGAATTGGCCATTTTTGGGTTTGTGAGACTCCCCAATTAGGTTTGCTGGCTGGCCATTGGATTCCCAAAGAGGAAATTGGCGAGACCCAAAAGAAACTTTTTGCTCGAGGATGGGAGAAAAAGGTATGGGAGAAGTATCTTTTTTTGGAACAAAATGACAAAAAAAAAAGGCTGGACTAAGTGGTAATTAAAATAGGAATATATATTCATCAGGATGAGAAAAAAAGAAGAAGAAGATGGATATGAAAGAATGAAAAAAAAAAAAACGGAAATATATAACGGAAATTCTTGAAGAACCAAATGGGTGGAGTGGATTATGTGTAGACAAAAAGTATGAGTAGTAGTAGTAGGCTAAAAAAACATGGGAATTTCAGAAATATGTAAAAATAAATAAATAAATTTATTAATAAAAAAAAAAAGATAATTTTGAATATTTTCCTTCTTCTTCTTTTTATTTTCCTTTACTTTTCTTCCTTCTATTTTATTTTCTGATTTGAAAATTATCATTTAAAAAAAAAGTACCTTTAAATATCGAATTATCACTAACTTTACATTAATCGACAATTTTTTCAGCACCTTTTTTTATTTTTATTTTTTTTCTTTAAATTTTGATCTCTAATTTTTATTCAATCTAATATATATATTTTCATTCAATCATCAAATAAGCTTACATTTAATCAGTATTTTCATTCATTCATCATTAAACGTCTTTGAAGATTTAATTTTTTCTTCTACAATGCCCGGTAAACCTAAATACAGAGCACCGTACACACCGGAACGCCGCATCAACATTATAACTTCCACAACACCAACAACCTCAGATGAATCTTCTTCTTCTTCATCACCATCTTCTTCTTCTACCGACAATGATGATGATGATGATGACGACGACGATGACGATGACGACGAAGAAGAAGAAGACGAAAACGTCAATCAACACCGCCATTCCTATCGCAGTTATTCTAGACAAAACATTGAGTACTCGCCTGAACTAGCGTCTCCAGGCATTCATGCTAGACTCCGTGACATGCACGCCAACCCTTCTGCGCCTGTTTCTTCGTCAACTCGTGGGTTCACCAAACACTATCCTAGTAGCAGCAATCACCACAAACGAAACAAATCTATTGCAGGCTATGTTCTAGACACCGTTGTGGCGGATGGTGCAGACGGTGGGGAAGATCCGGCACCGACTGGTCGGCGGGCGTCGTTTTTGCGGCGCATGTCGACATCAACTCATCGCAAAATCCAAGGCAAAAGTCACAGTTTAGCAGCAGCAGCGGCAGCAGCGGCGGCAGCAGCAGCAACCGCAACATCAGGTAGTAAAAAGTATCCGGCAACTTTTGTGACACTAGAAAATACTCCCCGACATGGAACAGTGCGTCGCCACTCACGGTTCCACGATGATGAGGAAGAAGACGATGGGTTTGAAGAGTATGGGCCTGGGGCTTATGCTGGATACCGCCGGCGGAGTTTAGGGCTTACTGTAGGATCTTCTGGAGGGGTATTATCACCTGGCCATCATTCTCATCATTCTCATCATTCTCACCATTCTCACCATTCTCATCTCTCACATTCTGTTTCTCATCCTCCTGTTTCAACATCCCAGGCTTTGGCCACAGTGACAACTCCACAAGCATCTTCTGTGGTTTTACCCAAGTTCAATGACATTTTACCAACAACTCCAGGAGTCAGAAAACCCTCTACGACAACTACGACAACCTCAGAAACAGCAGCCGACTCGCTAGTATCTGAGATTGAACGGCTGGAGCGGGAGCAGCAGTCACTGAGACACAGCTTAAATTTAAGGCAACGCAGCAGTGGCGGGGCCCATAGCAGTCATTCACATTCATATTCACATTCACATTCAAATTCTCAGCAGCAGCAGCAGCAGCAGCAACAGCATCGGAATTCTATGCGACGAGAATCTACTCAGTCTCATCGGCGACACTCTCATAACCTCCACCAAGATCTTGATTTGGAAAGCAATGGAGACGACAGAAACAGCAATAACGCATTAAGGCCTGTGTCAGGGACAGCTCAGTTGGGTACAACTATAAACAACTATCGCATTAACCATTACCATTACTACGGGCGTGACGAAAATGAAGAGGGGGAAGAAGACCAGGATGGTGAAAAGGCTGTTTTGCATGTTGGAGGAAGAAATGATAAACAGCAGCGGCACCGGTCTGATCCTTCTGCTGCCAAGTTACCTTTGTCTTCAGGTGTTAGTGGTGGTGGTGGTGGTGGTGGTGTGACTCAGCATCATTCTCGGACCCGGTCTGCGCCTGTGGTTCGGGTGTCGCGGGGTGCAACTGGCTCTGTTGGTGGTGGCGATGCGCGGGGCCAGGAAGAGCAGCAGCAGCAACAGCAGCGCCTTGAGAATCGGATGGCGCCGCACGGACCCAAACAGGTAAGTGGCCGAATTGGGAAATCCAATAGCGGAAGTGGCCTAAGTTTCCATGACAACGCTGTGAGTGCTGCCGACGCGTCTGTTGTCCCAGCACAACCCAGCCAGCCGCCCAGCCAACTTCCCAGCCAACTTCCAAGCCAACAACCCAGCCAGCCCAGTCAACCCAGCCAGCCCATCCAAAGCAGAACGCGGATGCTTGTGGGCGCCAGAAAAATTGTAGGCAGCAGTAGCTCACAAGAAAAGAAAATTCCAGCCTCCCAGCAGTTTCACCAACACCATCAACATCATCAACATCATCAACATCCTCAATTCAAAGACCCTCAAATGCTTCAAAACCAATCTGCTGGAGCTGTTGGCATCAGCCAACAGCTTCCTGAGCAGCCTCAATCTACAGACAATACACCACCAACCCCACAAACGCCGCAGCAAACAGCCATTCGGTCTCCTGCAAACTTGACCCCTCAGCAGCCAGTCTCGCGTAACCCTCAAATCCGTAGACAGATCGACCTGGCTCGGTCAGGAACTACCAGCAGTAAACCCAAGAATAACAACAACAACGATAATAATAATAATAATGCTACGACCTCGTCTACAACAAACCCGCGAACATTTCACAGTATCCCGTCGTTGGAGCAGCTCAATGCCCAAGAGTTTGGCTCCTCGCTGCTCATGATCCGCAGGAAAACCTCGGCTACTTCGCTCAAACGAACACCAGCAACTGCAGGAGGAACCGCGCTGGTACGTGCAAACCCATTGCGCAGACTCTGGGTCCGCCTGTTTCGCCGTAAACCAAAAGCTCGTTACAATTTTACAAAAGCCCAGCTATCAGCGAAACCCAGTCCAAGTGGTGGTTCGCTTAGACTCAGCTCTCCTTCATTCAAAGTTTCTTCTGCAAAACCCCGACAGTACCGCGTCAAGCCTGGATCTTTATGGCGACTTCGCCCACAACCTATCCGTAAACCTACACCACAGCCTTCAGCAATCTCAAAGCCTTTGCTCGTCACAAAATTCACAGGCATCAACGCGTCAGGCTCAGCAGAAGTTTTGTCCATCCGCTCTTCACACTCATCAGGAGCCCTCCGAGTCCACACATTTACAGGCCTGCCCCTTTCCCACCCATCGCTCATATCTTCTGTCAATGCACTTTCTCGAGCTTCTTCTTTTTATTCTTCAGCACGCGTCCCAGTGACCAGACCTTCTGGGTCAACCTTCTCGCGCGCGTCTTCCACGTCTTCTCTGCGTCATCAACCTTCTCTCCATGCAATGGAATCTCTGTCTCAATATACAATCTCGGAGGAACCTGCAGAAGACTCGATTTCTGTGCAAGCTCCTACTTCTAGAGCCGCTCTGCTGGTCCCAGAAGCTGCCTCGTCGCGTGATTCTCTTGACGTCAGACTCGATATGCTTCAGCATAACCTTGACGAGGCCCGCAAAATCAAACGCAGAATGACAAACGCGTCGCGTGCAGCTACAGCTACAGCTGCTGCCGTATCTACCGCCGCTACAGGATCTGTAGCAGCATCTGCAGCCGCGGGGGCAGCCGCAGTTTCATCTGCAGCTCCGGGTCGCACGTCATCCCGAAGGTCCATTCTCAGCCATAAGTCATCTTTCTCATCACTTTACCGTCGCCCGTCTCTTTCTCGGTCTTTCATTTCTCTCAACGCAGAGAACCAACAGCACACTCCCACTCGTGCATCCACCAAATACGACCCAATGAATCCCAACCTCTTCAAACCTCATTACTCGTCTGCTATCCGACGCTCTGAGGTTATCACCATTGACGACTCTGACGATTCTGAAGATTCAGATGTAATTCTAACAGAACCACCCAAAAACATCTCCAAGATGGACCAGGATTATCTGGCCGAGCCCATCCGAGTCGAAGAAGCCCTTGCATTCGTCAACACATGGTCCGCATACCTGCGGCGTGCCATTGCAGTGCGCATCATTCTGCGCCAGGAAATGCAGGAGCTGGAGAATGCAAAAGTCAAGCGCCAGCAGCGCACATGGGAGGCCAACCGAGCAGTTTCTGGAGAGTACACTCATCAGCGTCCAAAGTTCCAACAGCAACGACCTGTGGAGATCCCAGAGGACTCCGAGAGCGAGGACTCGTACTTGGACGACGACGCGCAGTCCATGTCGTCTTTTCACTCGTCAACAACTTCTAACTCGAGTCTGGGTGATCGCAACAGGTTTTCATACTCAGTAAAATATTCCAAACAGGATCCTCAGCGGCAACAGCAACAACAACAACAACAACAGCAGCAAAAGCAACAGCAACAGCAGCCGCAAACCCGGGGAGCCCGGCAGCATCAGCAGCAGCATTCTCAGCAGTATAAGCAGCCAGATTTATATGACTCCGACAGCGTGATTTCTATTTCTAGCGACGATGAAAGTCTTCTTGAAGATTCTGAAGAGGATGAGATTTTCCAAGACGCAGTGTCTCACCATGTCCCGGCCCCACCAATGGAACTAACAACAGCATCCAAGCCAAAGGGCCACAAACGCACCGCATCATCTATCCGCCGCGCATTGCGCACCGGCGAGTATCAGACCCGTTACACAGCCCTCATGTCACCCAACCTCGACGTCCTGGTGCCTCGTCGGCGGGCTCTCAAGGTCGACCGGGCAACCTCACCAGCCCATTCTTCGTTGCTTGCATCTCGCCAACCCTCGCCAGCTCAACCTTCGCCTGCTCCAGTTTCTGTTTCAGCCATGACATCGCCGTCTCCCGCTCCTCGTGCGGCGGCCGCGTCGCGCTCTGTATCGCGTACTGAGTCGCCAGCCTCGGACCAGTCTCAGGTCCCGCCGCTGCCCGACATGCAGGCCAATGAGTTCCTACGCCCATCGTCGAGCCTGTCGCGGCGCCCACACATCGACGCTTCTGCTACTGATACTTCAAGTTCTTCCAAAGACTCAGCGCCTAAGCAGCCGCTCGCAAAACCCCCGTCCATGGCTAAACCTCCTCCAACAGCTGCCTCTGCATCATCCCAGCGAACACCACCAAGACCTTTGCCTACTGTCCCCGGGTCCACTGAGGTGTCCCCTGCAAACTCCAGTGAGTCGGGCACATCTGCCAAGGACACGTCCAGTGCATCTGCGCCTTCAGGGCCCTCGACATCTTCGGGCACTTCCAACAGCGTTGATCCTGCGCCAGCCACGTCTGGCCAGACAGTTTCTGTGGGCGTACAGCCCGTCAAAACATCTGCTACATTGTCTTCGGAAGCTCTTCCAGCAGTTGTTTCAACATCGGCTTCTGGTACAGCTGTTTCCCCTGTCAGTGCATCTCAATCCCAAAACCAGAACCCGCAATCATCTAAGCCAGACTCGTTCTTTTCTTCATCTTCTGGGGGGTCACCTACGGCCCAAAAACGGATAGTTTCTGCGCCTCTCTTGTCAACATCCAGCGATAGCAACAGCCCCTTGTTGCGCGATGGGCTCAGCGCTGGTAGTACTTCTGTTTCTGGCTCTGCATCTGGGTCGTCCCACTCGTCATCGTCGTCGCCACCTCTCACAAAGTTGTCGCCTCCTGCAGCCGTCACCGCAGCCTCATCGTCTTCATCTGTACCTGTTGCACGCCGCGCAGCATCATACTCTGCGGGTGTGCTCATGGGCAAACCTTCTGGAGAGAGTGGTTCTTCGGATAGCAACCGAACACGGGTGAGTGGCAGTTCGTTTGAGAGCAGTGGTAGTGGCAGTGGTAGTGGAGGTAGCAGTAGTGGGCAGTTTAGCGGCAGTTCTGGAGCATCGAGTGCCGGGTTGCGCATCCCACGAGTGCTGCAGGAGCAGTACAAGATAAGCGACCGGATTCTGGAAGATATGGTTCAGGAGATGGAGGAACTTCAACAGAGGTCGACTCAACTATCGGCCAAATCCCAACGACAGCTTCACTTATTGCTAGAGGATTCCAACAGTAGTAGCAACTCTGCTGAGCAAGCAGCATCGGTGACCTCGCCTAGTTCAACAGCCTCGTCGTTGGCAGACCCGGCAATATCGCAACCCCATACGCTCTCCACAACAACCACAATCACATCGCTGGGGACTGCGCGTGCCACAGCTTCTCCCACCAGCACAAGCACGGGCACCGGCGGAAGCAGCAGAGTGTTGTTGCAGGGGGGTCCCGGGTCATCGTCTCAGCAGCAGCAGCAGCAGCAGCAGCAGCAATCGGCAACCCCACTCTTGTCTTCTTCGCTAAGTTCTTCACAATCGTCACTGGCCTCCGATGTCGTTTCTGACTTTTCGCCTAACCTCACGTCGCTCTCGCCTATTGCAACACCTTCTGCACGCATCGTGCAGCAGACCACAGCTCGTGACCCACCTACCTCACAGGTGTCCGGAGCCACGACGCTTGCTGGGAGCGCGCCTCCATCAGCGGTTCAGCCCAGCCATGCATCGCGGCTTTCCACAACGTCGACGCTATTGGCATCTGCACAGAGTGTGGCTGGCAAGACCCGCGGCAGTGGAGTTTCTGGTCCACAGACATTGCAGTCTAAGGCGCCCCCCACGACGCTGTACCGGAACGTTTCGCAGTACTCGTCATCGGCCAGTGAATACGAGGGCAGCGGTGCTGCCGGTTCTGGACTTGGCGACTCGTCGGACGAGTCTGCGTCACATATTTCTGTGACAAATTTCCATGTGCAGGTGCCGTTGGAGAGCACCGAGGGCGAATATGTGCTGCATGGACCACCGACCGTGACTACGGAGCCATCGCCTATCGTATCTCCGGTTCCGTCAGTGCTGCAGGTGAGCCAGGAGGACAACGAGTACGATGCAACATTACCCATGCCCAAGCGCATGCCATATGTGGTGGCGACGAGCCAGCACCATGGTGTACGACGCGCGTCGTCACCGGTCACTGATGGGTCCGATGATGGGTATGCGAGCCCAGTTCCACGGCAAATGTCAGTTTCGGTGGAGTCGTTGACAGCAGCAGCGGCAGCAGCAGTTGCTGGGCACTCTTCGCCTGGCGCAAAGTCTTCTGGAGGTCTTTCCCGAGGTAAGCATAACCGCCGACGCGAAAACAAGGTTGGTAGTGCAGGATCCGGGAGCGAGGAAGGATCGCTGTTTTCAGTGGTCTCTTCACGCGGTTCGTCTTCGGCTCTTGCTCCGCCGCATGCTTCTGCCAAAGATGTACCATATTCATCGTTCACGACATCGTACTCACAACAGCAGCAGCAGCAACAACAACAACAACAACAGGCACAGCAACAGGCCCAATGGGTAGCTGCGCAGCCCAAAGTGCGACCACGATATGCGTATGATGACGAGGGTGGGTCAAGGGACAGCGTTGTGACGCGGTACTACGACACGGTTTCTGGGCCTGTATCTTCGACGTCAGTGTTTGTTTCTGCGCCACGAGGGTCTAACCGAGCCCAGCAGCAGGCGGTGCCGAGCGGGCTGAGCACAGACTCTGATGGATCCATATCGTCGTCGAGCAGTGGAGAGAAGAGAGCTCGGCGACGGATCGGAACGAGTTGGATAAAGATGGAGAGTTTGTAATAATTGAAAAAAAAAAGTTTTAGAAAGTTTTTGTTTTGAAATTTAATTTGTTTTGTATTTTAGAGTGTATAAAAAAATAATAAAAATTAATAATCTTTATACAAAAAAAAAAAGTTATATTTCCCAAGATTTTAAAGACCAAGGGAAGCGAAAGCTAACGTCAAATTTTCCAGTTCCTTTTCCAAATCATTAGCCATTAAGGTGTTTGTTTTAATTTTATCTTCTGAAGCTTTCAGTATGTCGTTAGCAGCTTTGCCTTCTTTGTCATCTTTCAAAGTCCGTCTTTTTTTATAAATGAAATCTTCCAACTTGGTTCTTGCTTCCGCTGATTGCTTAGACTTTTCATCTTCAGCAGCTGCTTGTAAAGCTTCGTCTTTTAAGCGCTGGATTTCTTCTTCAGAAATTTGACTTGCACCCTCAAGTCGAATTTTTTTTGATGCTCCTGATGGCAATATTTGTGCCTTCACTGTTAGAATTCCTTCGTCATTAATGGAAAATGTCACATCTACAGTAACTTCACCTCGGGGTTTAGGTTCAATTTTAAGAAAAAGAACCCCAAGAAAGAAGTTTCTGGAGGCAATATCGCGTTCTCCCTGAAAAACCTTGACTATTATTTCTCTTTGATTATCCTCAATTGTTGTAAACAGTTGAGACTTTGAGACTGGTATTTCAGTGTTTTTTTCAATGATTTTCACAAATATTCCATGATTAACTTCTAATCCAAGTGACAAAGGAGCCACATCCCTAAGGTTAATTTGGCGTAAATTTCCAGATAAATTTCCATAATAGGTTGCTGCTCTTAGGGCTGCACCATAGGCAACGGCAGCTTCGGTGGATACATCTTTGCAAATTTTGCTTTGTGGGAACATGGGTCTCAAAATTTCATTTGTGAAATAAGGAATCAAGCTAGAGCCACCAACTAAAATAACCCGTGTAATATTTAGATTTGAATTTTTCAATTTGGCTTGAGTAATTGCATTAGTTATTGTGGTTCTGGTTTCTTCAAATAAATCTCGACACAAAATTTCAAAATCACGACGTGTTATAGTCAAGGTATAGTCTGTGGGTGAAAAACTTTTGAGAGAAATTGAGGCTGTTTCAGATATGCTCAACCTTTTTTTCAACTCTTCGCAAGCTTTATGAAGTCTCCATTTTGCAGTTGGTGAAACAGAAACATCAAACTCATGATTCTTAATAATGTCATTTTTAAAGTGGTTGAAAAGGCGATTGTCAAAATCCAACCCCCCCAAATGCATATTTCCTTCTTCGGAAAGCACAGTGTAGTTTTCATTAACAACACTGAGAATAGACACGTCAAATGTTCCACCACCTAAATCAAACACAAGGATATTTGTTTCCATTTTTGTGTCTTCAGGTTTACCAAAATCGGTTTCATAATTGTAAGCAATAGCAGCTGCAACAGGTTCAGTCAAAAGATGTACATCAGTGAATCCAGCAGTTGTTGCTGCTAATTTTGTTTCTTCGCGTTGTTAATAGTTGAAGTGTGCAGGAATAGTAACGACTGCTTGAGTGACAGATGCCTTAAGCTGAGCTTTAGCATTTTTTTTAATTTGTGTTAAAAGATGAACAGCAGCCTCTATAGGGGTAACTATTTTGGTTTCATTATTTCTAAACGTGAGTTTGAAGGCTGCACCACCTTGATGATCAGTAAGTTCGAAAGGTAAATTCTGAGCATTTTCTTTAACTTTGGGATCGGTGAACTTTAGTCCAATAAACCTTTTTGTGTTAGTGATAATTGTATTTTCATTTTCCAATAATTGCTCTGGGTTTACTTCACCAACGAGAGGTGTTGATGGTGAAGTATATAGAATAATTGAAGGAAGCAATCTAACTGAGTCATGCTCAATATTCACAAGCTTTTTAGAGTAATAAGCCACACAACAGTTTGTTGTTCCCAGATCAATTCCAATTGCTTGTTCGTTATTAGGATTTGCTGTAGTCATTGAAGTGTTTTTAATGAATTGTTTAGATAAAAAAATAAAAAAAAAAATAACGATAAAGGATATTTTGTTGGATATTTATATTTATTATGGTCAATCCCACTTTTATCGATAAAATCTAAGCTCTTTAGTGCACAGCCATCAAGCGGCTGAAAAAATTATTGGCACGTAGAACCCTCTGTAAATCCATGAGTTTATTGAGTTTATTGAGTTTATTGCAATTCATCAACATATATAGTCAGTCATAATAAATCTCTTAATTTTTTTTTCCCATTGGTATAAAGCAATGACCTTAAAAATAAACATGTAAAGGTTGAAGCCCTGTGCTAATCTGGTAAAGCTAAAAAGTATTGGTTTTGGTATTGGTGAGTGAGTATATGATTTATATATATAGTAGTTTTTTGTATTTATGAGAGCTAACAAAAAGTTCTAAAATGTAAAAGAGAAAAGAGAAAGTAACAAAAAAATATATTTATAAACACCAAAATAAGGTTAAGCTGAAGCCTTGACGTCAACTTCAGGAGCCTTTTCAGTCAAAAATTGGAGCTGCAGACGGCCGTCGACAAGCTGGCGGTGGGCCTGAGAAACTGGGGCCTTGGGAACACCCTTGGTGTGGTCGATGGAGTCCAATGCAGAGAAGATCTTGGTGATGACAGGCGGGTACCAGAGCTGGTTGCCACGCTTGAACCAGCCAATGTGGCCGCCGAGAGAGGTGGTTGCCAGCAAAATGTAAGGGTTCTTAATAGCTTCCTTATATGGGATACAATCTTTGTGGACAATGGGGTCATCGAGGGCATTGATAGTGACGGTAGGAACGCGGATGCCTAAGATGCGGTGGACACTGGAAGCCGAGCGATAGTAGTCTTTGGCACTATCGAAGCCAAAAAGCGGTGCGGTGAAGGCATCGTCAAAATCATAAATATACTTGAGCGAGAGGCGCTTTTCATAGTCAAAGTTAGGGTTCTGTGCAAGTACATCCTTGTGGTTTTTAAGAAGACGCACGAGGTTCTTGGTCATGACAGGGGAATAGACGTGCGAACCAATGTATGACGAATGCATGGCTTGGTTGGAGTGTGCGAGGTCCCAAGGATTGGCTACAATAATGGCGCCATCGATTTTGTTTGCCGGGTCGTCGCGCGCAAGGTCGCCCTGCTGACCCAGGTAGTTTGCAAGGATGCTTGCGCCGAGCGAGAAGCCAATGAGGTATATACGTCTACCGGGTTGTTCCTTATGGAGAATCTGGACAAACCGGCGAATGTCCTCGGTCCAGATGGCGCAGAAGAGCTGCGGTGTAGTGATGGGGGTGCGTGCACATCCACGCGAGTTGAGCACAACACAGTCGAACTTGGACTTGATGTCGTCAATAACGGCGCGGATGTATGACTCGTGAGAGCCACCTGAGAGCCCGTGCAAGAGAACTAACAGGGGTTTATCTTCAGGGGTATAGGTACGCTCGTACTTTGCGACTTCTTCTGGGCGCAAGTAGCGAGTGCGAGCCGGGTATGGAGGGGTTTTTTCCAAAGGTGAGTAGGCCAGGAGTTTTGTCCATTCTTCTTTGGAGGCTGGTGGAGGGATGAGATAGTCAGCAGAGACGATGGAGTTACTTTCTTCAGGGAAGGCAATGATACGGCGACCATAGTAGATCTTGTTGACATTCTCAAAGTTGCCTGCACCGGCATAGAGTGTTTGAAGGTCGCCATTGAAGAGAACAGGGCTCAGGTAGTCGTAGGCACCTTCGCGAAGCTCGGGGACCTCTTCGGCAATAAGTTTGGCCAGAGATTCCGTGCCGGTCTTGGTAGGCAGCTGCACAGAGTCTGGAGAGGCCTGGGTATGGACAAACGAGCGGAGACCGAAGTAGGACATTTTAAGAGGGGAATGGAGAGAAGAGGGAATTTAAAGATTCTAGAGGTCTTTAAAAGATTTGGAAAGTTTTGAGAGGATTTTGGAGGTTTTAAATATTCCAACTAAATAACTAACAGAGAAGTCTTTTTTTATTTTATTTTATTTTATTTTATTTTTTGATTCGGCAATTAGGGGGGGAATACGTGATTTGTAACCGAGCCGAGGATTATTGCAGCGTACATACAGAACCACAAGCGTAACTATCAGTCCTAGGTGGAACTATTGGGCACAGTAGCAGACGCGTCCCGGTCAATGTCGACAGCAAGCACTTCACGTTCACCCAGATAGTCAGGAGTGTTGACGACAACTGTGGCGGTGTCGGTCAGACCACCTGGGTAGCGTTGTTCAGTGGAGGGAGCATCTAGGGCTTGAGAAAAGCCGATTTGTTGGATCTGGTCGCCCAGTAGACGGGCCACGTGGGCGCTATCTCGGACGCAGAAGGCATGGGCGATGGCGGGTTCGCTAGCCTCGACGACGGTCTGGACGTTTGGAGAGTCTTTGAAAGACTCAATGAGACGTTCTTGGGACTCGGAGGCGATCCAATGGTCGTCTTTGACGAAAAACATCCAGATCTTATAATTTTTGTTGTGCCAAAAGCCAGCAATTTCTGTGGGCTCGATATCTGAACCAATGCGTGTCATTTCCTCCTTGCCCATGTCGACGGCCTGGCGCACAATACGGGGCTTGGTGACGAGAGAAAGCGCGGCGTTAAGGGCGATTTCTGGTGGTGAGCCCATGATGTAGGACAGCGCGGATTTGAGGGCTCCACGCGGGATGGTCCAATTGAGCAGTTGGGACACGCGTGAGAGGTAGTAGCCTGGATCAGATAAGTAACCCGCGACAGTGGACAGTGACTTTCCTCGGGGGCTTTTGGCAATGTCGATGACAGTTGGGGTCAGTAGAGCCACGAGTTTGATATCGACGGAGGGGTCTGATGCAAATGCGACTGCAATTCGCTGCACCATCCATGCACCGACTGAATGGCCCATTAAGACGACCTGGCGTGGGGGTGGGGTAGTTCCTACAGGGAATCCGGATTTGGCGTTAGCATCACGGATCCATTCACGCAGAAGACTAATTTTTTGAGCAATCTGCTCGTCAAGTGTATGACTAACGATGCCACCGTGGATGCCATAGCTGGACTGAGTGAGAGTGTCGAAGCCAATGTGGGAGGGACACAGATACTCAAAGGCAGGCTGAAGGACCTTGAGTTCTTCGAGGAAAGGTTCGTAGAACTCGGAAAGCCCTGGATTTCCTGGAATCATGTAGACGAGGGGCGCACGGGGACTTGGCCCGGCAATATGGTAGACGGTGGTCGGGACGACGTGGTTATTGACGACGAGGGGCATTTTTTAGTTGTTATGTGGAGGGTTTGTAGGGAAGAACAAAGAAAAGTGAAAAAAAAAAAAAAATGAAAAAGAAGAAGAATTTAAAGAACAAAAAAGAAAAAAAAAAAAAGAATTTAAAGAAGAAAAAAAAAAAAAATCAGTTGATAAACGGCGCTGATGGCGCTGATGGCGCTGATGACGGTGGTGAAGACAAAGACGGAACTTTGTGATCGGGTCTCCAAAAAAAGACACGGGACTCAGTGGATGGTTTTTTTTTTTCTATGTGTAGTAGAAAATGTGGAGATTTTTTTTTGTTCGGGACTTTTTATGGGCGGGACACTTCATAAATATTTATTTAAAAATTATTTAAAAATTATTTAAAAATTATTTAAAAATTATTTTTTTTTCTTTTCAACTCTACTGAGTATATAGCCGCACGGAACTTCAATTAGAAGTTCCAACGGCACCCGGTTACTGCTGCTGCTGCTGCTACTGCTGCTGCTGCGGTACCTCAAGTACTCCAAAGGCCTGAAATGATTTAATACAGATATTTGAAACTTCTTTTAAAACACTTGCCATTCAAATCAATCAATTCCTAAACTCCTCAAATTCTCATCGACTACTTTTTTTTTTCTTTTTCAAGTGACTCTTTTTGAAACGCCAACTGCCGCTGTTGTGGCCGGCACGCGGGTCCCGCGCTTTATGATGACTCTACGGCGGCTAAAAATTGAATTCAACTCGGCGGCTAAATGTGTTATTTATATATATATATATATTTATTTAATGGGATTACCCGCCCGTGTCTAAAATCCAATCCACCAAAAAAAAAAAAAAAATATCGTTTAAACCTCCAATATAAAAATCCAACAGGTCGCTGTTTTTTTTTTCTTGAAAAATTTTTTTTTCCTATTTCAGTCAATCCATCCACCTTTAAAATGTCTATCAAACTTACCGTCGCGGCAAAGGCCCGCGCCACGGCTTTTGCTGAATTGACACTCGCAGCCCTCATCAACCACTACGAACCTACCTCTCCCATTGCTTTTGCCTTTGTCGATGAACCCCTCGTTGACAAGGCCCAGCCTGAATCCAAGTGCGCTCTTGACATCAATGGCACCCTTTACTATGGTGACGCTGCTTTCACCGCTCTTGCCGAAAGGTTCCCACAGTCTGCTTACGGCGCTGACCTCAAGTCAAAGTACTCTGACGAATGGATCAAGTTTGCCTTTAGCTCTCTCATCGTCAAGGACTTCAAGCAAATTACTCCTGCACTTGAAAAACTCGAAAGCCACCTCAACTTCCGCTCCTTTGTTGTTGGCACATATACCCCTAACATTGCCGATGCTGCTGTTTGGGGTACTCTCCGTTCAAATGTTGTTGTTTCCTCTGCTGTCAAGTCCGGCTCTTACATCAACATTGCCCGTTGGTACAAGTTCCTTGAGGCTCACCCCCATTTTGGTGGCTCCGTTGATACCTACAACAAGGAGGTCACTGAGATCCGCAAGGCTGCCAAGTCCGGCCAAAAGAAGGAATCCAAAGCTTCTTTCGACATTGACCTGATTGATGCCCAGGAAGGCAAGGTTGTCACCCGTTTCCCTCCTGAGCCCTCTGGATACCTCCACATTGGTCACGCAAAGGCTGCTCTTCTTAACCAGTACTTTGCACAGCTCTACAAGGGTAAGCTTATTATTCGTTTTGACGACACAAATCCCAGTAAAGAAAAGGTTGAATTTGAAGAGTCAATTGTCGAAGATCTTGAGCTTCTTGGCATTAAGGGCGACATGGTCACTCACTCTTCTGACTACTTTGACACCATGTACGACTACGCCATCCAGCTCATCAAGGAAGGCAAGGCTTACGTTGATGATACCCCCGTTGAGAAGATGCGTGAGGAGCGTGGCGAGGGCATTGCTTCTGCCCGCCGTGACCGTACTGTTGAAGAAAACCTCAAGTTCTTTGACGAAATGAAGAATGCTACCGAGATTGGCCTCAAGAGCACTCTCCGTGCCAAAATCTCTGTTGACGACAACAACAAGGCTCTCCGTGATCCTGTCATTTACAGAACCAACTTGACTCCTCACCACCGCACTGGTACTCAGTGGAAAATGTACCCTACATACGACTTTTGCGTCCCCATTGTCGATTCTCTCGAGGGTGTTACCCATGCCCTGCGTACCATTGAGTACCGCGACAGAAACCCCCAGTACGCCTGGTTCCTTGAGAACTTGCACATCCGTAAGGTCCACATTTGGGACTTTGCCCGTGTCAACTTCCAGCGCACTCTGCTTTCCAAGCGCAAACTTCAATGGTTTGTTGACAACAATAAGGTTACTGGCTGGGACGATCCTCGTTTCCCCACTGTTCGTGGTGTTCGCAGACGTGGTATGACTGTTGAGGGTCTCCGCAGTTTTATTCTTGCCACTGGTCCTTCCAAGAATATTATCAACCTCGAGTGGAGTTTAATTTGGGCTACCAACAAGAAGGTCATTGATCCTATTGCCCCACGCCACACAGCCATTACCCTTAAGAATGCTGTCAAGGTGACCCTTTCTGGTGGCCCTGAGAAGCCATACTCTGAGGAGAAGCCCAAGCACAAGAAGAACCCTGCTCTTGGCAACAAGACTGTTTGGTTTAGCTCCAATCTGTTGATTGATCAGGAGGATGCTGCTCTTACCAAGGACGGTGAGGAGGTGACTCTCATGGACTGGGGTAATGCCATCTTTGATAAGGTTATCAAGGACGATGCCGGCGTCGTCACCGCCATTGAGGGCCGTCTTCACTTGGAGGGTGACTTTAAGAAGACTGAGAAGAAGCTTACTTGGCTTGCTGATGTCGCTGATCTTACTCCTGTTGAGCTTGTTGATTTCGACCACTTGATCAACAAGGATAAGATTGAGGAGGATGAGAACTTTGAGGACTTTTTGACTGAGTTTACTGAGTTTAAGACCCAGGCCATTGCCGATGTCAATCTGCGCACTGCCAAGAAGGGTGAGATTCTCCAGTTTGAGCGCAAGGGTTACTTCCGTATTGACGAACCCTTCTCTGAGGCCACTGGCAAGGCTGTTCTTTTCACAATTCCTGATGGTAAGGTGGTGAATCGTTACGGAGCCAAACAGGTCACTGCTAATTAAGGTTTATAAAAGGATTTTTTTTTTTTTAGTTTGTAAAGTTTAAAAGAAATTCAAAGTTTTTTTTTTTTTTTTTTTTTTTTTTTTTTGTTTGTTTTTAGTTTGTTCTTTTCTCCACTTTCCTTACAAGCACCAACTTTAATCAAATGACCTCAATGCACAAACTCCGTGCACCGGGTCCTTCCAGTCAAGTCATCAGCTCTGGACCGTCATCACCAGGGAACTTAACTGTGGTGCAACAAAGAAGTCCCGGTAGACCGCTTTTATTGGAAAATAACAGATCTTCAATGAGTGTCCAAGTTCCGCGGACTTTAACTGTTTCAAGTTCGGCGCATTCCTCTTCAGACGATGCCATGAGTTCCGATGATGACGATGATGACGATGATGGCAATATCTCATTGACTTTCAAGAGATCTAGTTCGGCCCATCTTACAATGCAACAACTTCGGGTTATTCGTGCTCAGCAACAGCGTCACAAAGAAGAAGATGACCAACAACAACACCAACAACAACGAGAACAAGAAGAAGACAAACTTCGCAGAATAACCTTTGCAGGAACTAAAAATGCACTACCAGGCGAAACTTTCTCCGTACCTCCGAAGAGCAACAACCATCCGGCAAGCAGCACGGTATTCCGTTGTACAAATTCTTCAGCGCAACAACTTCCTGAGTGGAGACACAGTGCATCGGTTGGGTCGTTGGTAGGTCTATCAGGTTCAAAACGATCTCCAGCATCACCAGGGACTGCACGCCAGAAATTGGGCATAAACAATACAACCGATGAATCTGTTGCAGGCCGTCGACGCAGTAGCGCAAGTAGTACCAGTAGCACTAGCAGTAACAGTGCGGGGGCTCGTCGGCGGAGTAGTGCAGGTAGTAGTACTGGCCGTGTGCTTTTATCTGCATCTTCGTCACCATCACTTGTTTCATTGGGCCGCATTGCAACTAACTCAACAGTTCAAAGTGCCGGATTACAAGGACCAGAGTTTCCGGTATCACTCAATGAGTCGTGCGCAAATTGTAATGGGTGCTACTGCGCAGCGTGTGTTGCAACTACTCCATACGCTACTGCACCAGCAGCAGCTGCAATCTCCAGTGGACAGCCTCTCCAGATGCTACCCCACCAGCCATCACGAGCCCACCAACCGTTGGCCCCCAGTCTGAGCGCTGGAGACTTGGCTGCCATGTCTTCAAGTTGCAGTTGCTATTCTGCAGGTGGGCCCTCCTTGGCTAGCAATGGGTCTATGGGGCTCAGCGCTTCCGGTTTCCCAGGGGGGTCCCGTCAGCCGCAAGTTGTGTCACCTCCACCTCAGTATCATCACCAAATTGCCCTCTTTGGTCCACATCATCATCACCACCACCACAACCACAACCACAACCACAACCACAACCCACTAACTACCGCCGCCGCTCGTCTTGGTGGCCGCCCACAACAACAAACAATCAATCACAACAACAATAACTACCACCAACATCATCACCAACACCACCGCCAACTGTCACTCCCACCACCTCCAAGCTACCAAATGTCTTCGCGCAAAGGCGCTGACCCGGTGCCTCTTCAACAACAGCCTGTCTCATCATCCTCTTCTTCTTCCTCGGCTCTGCAATCCCCAGCTGACCTTGTACGTCGTTCTGTGTCATCACCTAAACTCGCAGGTATGCCCGGTTCGCGGATCCGCACAGTATCTGATCCGCCGGTTCCTGGCGACACTCCTGGTCCGGGTTCATTTCCTTCGTCAGGATCTCTACAAGCTCCTACGGCTTTCCCTGGAGCATTCCCTCCAAACCGTTCGGCATCTTTCTCTACCCTTGCACATCATACACATTCAGGCACACTACAACCATCTTCATCAACTACTACACTTAGTAAAAAAAATACAACTACAACTACAACTACGGTAACAACAACAACTACAACAACAACCACGTCTGAGGCGGGTCCCGGCGTGGACTCAAGCCCTCGAGTGCGTAGCAATAGCAGCGGATTTATTGCAGACAATATCAGCATAAACAATAACCAACAACAGTCAACAGCAGGCCTGAACAAAACCATGGATGACACGCGACTGGCTGAGCCAGTGCACCCACGCAAAAGACCACCGCTCAAAATCGTCGGTCTCAAAATCTTTAATGCCCGCTTTCATTTCCTTCTTGGTCTCTCTCGAGTAAGTTTTTTTTTTAAATCCCTTTTTTTTTTTTTTTTTTTTTTTTGCTTAATTCCTTGACTCCTTCTTTAACTAACCATCTTAGGGTCTCTCCGTACTGCCTTGTGCCATTGGCGCCTGGTCCTGCTTATGGAACGCATACACTGTCCGTCGTGCAATGATGGACCATAATCCAGCTTTTGCATCTCTACGTTCCTCTCAGCTTGTCCTGGCTGCTATCTGGTGCGTGGTTGCCGGATATCTTGCATACTCGGTACTCGACGGGCTCATGGATCGCTGGCTTGTAACGTACTCAACACCCGCAGTCATTGTACGCTTAGTGTCATCCGCCGTTCTCACTATCTCCATGATGCATGCTCTTGTGTCGGTCCTTGCGCCCGATACAACTTACCGTCTTCATGTGTGGATTCTTATCTCATGTATTCTCACCGTCGCTTACACTGTCCAAAACTTTGTTACTTCCAACCTCTCGCTCGAGAAAAAACGTCGCTCCGTCGATCTCTACAACATTGCAGTTTTTGCCGTCGTCCCAGTCGGTCTTGCTTCTTTCCTCACCATGCTGGGTCTTCTCCGCAGCATCATGATTCTACAGTATCAATACGAAGACCTTTTATAAATCCTTTTCTCTTTGATGTTGTTATTCTTTCTTCTTCTTATTTTTTTTTTTCTTCTTCTATACATGCTTATGAACATTTTGGCGTAGAACCACAAAGCGCACTGCAATCTCTAGCGTCGAGACGGCAAGCGACAGCGCAATCAGAATAATAATGATCCACGTAATCCGCGACATGTTATACTCTGCAATTGAATCAGTCAAAATCTCAGTCAACTGCAAAAATACCATGCACCGCTCGTTAAGCACCAAAATCCGCGGCTCAATCTCCAAATACTCCCGTACCGCAGAATACAACGGGTTTAAACTTGGCTCGTCTTCCCAGAAAAAGTCCGGCGTGTCCAGCACGTTGGAGCTCAGATTCACATCCACCCGCAGCTTAAACAACTTCCCGGAAATCTTGAGCACCTCTTCCCGTTTCAACCCGAGCTGCCCCGTCAACGCAAGCATCTTGGGCACGTGCCGTACATCGTGCATGTTCCCGTCCATGCGCGCCTCGAACCGACTCAGCTTGGTTGATTGCGCAATTGCGTGCGACATGGATAACTTCGTCATGTGGTCACCAGATCTCAGCGTGATCATGTCGTTATATATCCGCGGCTTGACAGTGTTGGGCGAGTATGTAAAGTGCAGCTCCTCTGTTTCAATGTCTTGCTGTGGAACCGGCCGCAAAATCAGCGACTTGCCAGGCAGCCCGTCCGATTCGGGTACCCGTGCAAACGTCAAGTCTGCCAAAATTTCCTTCTCCTGGTGCTCTGTAAAATTCCAAAAAACAACCACTCCATAGGAAAATATAAACACTTCTGCATGTTTTGTCAAGTCCGTAGCGTCAAGCCCCTTACCAGACCCCCGCGAGTTGGGCCTACTTTCCACAGGAGAAGACTTGACTCCATTGGGTATTGGTGCTGTCTCCTTTTGTCCAATTTCTTCTTCTTCTTCCTTATCCTTATCCTTGGAATCTCTAATTTCATTCAAATTAGTGGGTCCAGCCTCACCAATCAAACCTTGTTTATCTTCCTCTTCTTCCATCTTCTTCATGCGCAAAGAAAGGAAATTGCTCGGCGGTGAGAAATCTTGCGGCTCCGACGGATCAAAATCTGGCGACGTGGACCACTCATGGTTACCCTCATCGCCGTCTCGCGACCCGTTACTACCGTTAGACATCATTTCATTCCCATGGGGTTCTTCTCCGTTCCCTCGAATTTGACCCTCACCGTTATCCTCTAACATTTGTTCTTCAGGGTTACGTATTTCTCCACCTTCCAATGCTGAATAGTACTCGTAATGATGGTCCAACTGTTCTGATCGGTTCATCATTTGTTCCATAATCTGGATCCCTCCAGGACTGCTCTTCACCCGATTTTCATCATCTCCAGGTAGCAACGGCAGGTAATATGGTGCATACAACGCTTCGTTATAAATACGGGGGCGGATCTGGTGGTTTTCCCGTAAAAACGAGACTGCAGCCACAATGCGAATGCTCTCGGAAATGCAATAAGCCGTCACCCGTGGGAACTTTTCAGCACGGCGGTCTTTAGGCAACCGTTCGGCATAAGTTTTACGGGTTTGTGGCATGGCCAACGAATCAACAGACTTTTTTGGCTTGTTCATCGTTTGAGCGCTTGAGGACCGAGACATGCCCTCTGCAGCAGCTGCCTCGTCCTCATCTGTGGGGGGTATATTTTCATCGTCTTCCTCTTCAAATGCAAACTCGGGCTGCGGGCTTTCTGGAATCAGTACAAGTTTTTCAGACACTTTGGTGGTCCGAGGAGGCAGGTTTTGCGTCAGACGCGGTGGAAGAGCTTTCCTGGCCCCACCGGGACCTCCTCCACCACCTACTCGGCCACCAACTGAGCTTCCACTGGCACGGCTTCCTCCGCCTACACCTTCCACACCTCCTTTAAGTCCTCGAGATTGGGGCATTCCAAGATAACCATAGCCACCGGACTGCCCCCCACTAGTTCTCATTTGTTCTCCGGAATACGTGTTGCGATAAGACGGGTTCAGGTGTGAGTAAGACCCATAATGGGGGGTTCCACTACCCATAGTCTTGTGGACTGTGGGAAGGTTGGAGTAATGCATGAGATGTGAGCTGTATTGGCCGTATCCTGTAGACGTTGAGCTGGGCATGTTGAGGCTGTGGTGATGGCCACGATGCGGTGATCTGCTTTGTGCAGAGGGAATGTCACTCACGTCGGAGAGAATCTTGGAGATTGAAATATCGCTAAATCGTGTATTGGAGGAAGAAGATCGTGTTCGGTGTTGTTGTTGTTGGTATTGCTGTTGTTGGATTGGGTATGTTTGACTGTGAGCCATAGGTGTGGCTGATGACGATGACGAACTTTCGAGAGGCGATCCGTCTAGTGAGGACCTGCCTTGGACATAATTATTTGGAGGGCCAGAGTTGCCACGCACAGATATTGGTGGTAGAATGGAGCCATCAGCATCAATTGCAGAGGTGGAATCTGTGATCGGGCTTGAGCTTGGGCTTGTAGTATTGGTGTTGGCGTTGGTGGTGGTATTGGTGGCTGGTAATGATGCGGCGGGGGAGGTTCGCATTCTACGTCCAGACGCGCCGGCAAAGGGCGCCGGACGTCCTGGATGGCTTCGCGCGTCTGTGACGAGGATAGACGGCGATCTTTTGGCTGTAGGAGGCCTTGGTTTTTGCGAAGACATTGTAGGGAAAGGATATTTCGTAGAGGGTTTTTTAAAAAGAAAGAAAGAAGGAAAAAAAGCTATGTGAGAATTGGTGGGGGAAGGAAGAACAAACAAATTAAAAAAAAAATTAAAAAAATTAAAAAAATTAAAAAAAAAAAGAAGAAAAGAAAAAAAGGATTTTTTTTTTGAGCAGCAAAAAAAAAAAAAAAAAAAAAACTTTGTTTGATTAGCAAATAAAACAATCACGTGCAAATGTCATGTGATTAATTTTTTTTTTTCTTTTTAGACAAAAACTGAATTGTTTTTTTTTTTTTGCATTGCCACCACCATATAAACAATCACAACTTTCCAAACATCTTCAAAACTCCATACAATTAACGAAACCTTACAAACATGTCTAACTTGGACGACGATCTCCTGGCGCTGGCAGGCGAAGATGTCTTTTCAGACGACCAGCAAGACTCAAAGAATTCTAACCAGAGAAAGTCACATGGTTTATCGGCAGACGGAGAGCCTCAAAACAACTCACATGTAAACACAGGCCCTGCTGACGATGATGACGACGACGACGATGACGATGACGATGACCTCGAGGCCTTAGCACTCGGTGGAAAAAGTTCCAAAGAAGATTTTCATAGCAGTGGCCACGATGACAATGAGTCTTCAGTATCAGGAGCGGCAGGAACAGGAGCAGCAGCCGCTCCAGAAACAATTGAAGAGTTTGAGGAGTTCCGTAACCCGTATCCCCTGGAGGGCAAATACAAGGACGAAAAGGATCGTGAGGAGCTCATGGCTATGAAGGAAATCAAACGTGAAACCATTCTTTTTGAACGTCTCTCGGAAATTGAAAACTATAAGCAAAAAATGTTTTTGCTCCAGCGTGCCCAGGAACGTAAGGCTCGTGAGGAAAAGGACCAAGCATCTGCAGCGGCGGCTGCAGCAGCTGCAGCAGCTGCAGCTGCTTCAGATAAAGGTGGCCGTACCAAACGCGACAAGTCAGCATTCAACAGCTCCAAACAAAGCCAGCTTTCAGAACTTAAAAAGAAACGTGAGGAAAAACGTGAAAAGGCTGGAAAACCAAACGTTCCCTACAGGGACCGCCGAGAAGGTGATGATGGGTACTCGGATGAAGAAGAAGAAGAAGAGGAGGATGATGATGATAGATATTCTGATGAAGACTCTGGGCGTAGAAAACGTTCTTCTCGTGGCCGTGGAGATAAACGCCGCGGAGGCCGCTACAATGACGAAGAAGACGACAACTTTATTGAAAACGACGAGGCAGTAGAATGGGCGGAGCCCAGTCACAAAAAGTCACGCGAAGCTACGATTAACGACTTGAACAAGATTCGATTTGGCCGAACACTTTTTGCCAAGTTTTGCCACAACCCGAACTTTGAAAAAGTGGTCATTGGAGCGTTTGTGCGCGTCAACATTGGTACTGATCCAGAAAAACATGTTCCCGTGTATCGTATCTGCGAAGTCAAGCGCCTGGTCCATTCGAAACCATATACATTCCAAAGCCGAACCGTGGATGAAGTGCTTGTTGTGGCCTCTGCGAAAAATGAAAAAACATTTGAAATGGGCATTTGCTCAGATAGCCCCTTTACTGAGGACGAGTTCCGTTGGTGGAAACAACACATGATTAAGGATAACATACCCATTCCATCAGGGAAACGGTGCGAGCGTAAGCTGGCTGAACTTGTCGAGTTTAAGGAACATAAGCTTAACGACTCCGAGGTCAAGGCCATGATTGAGCGCCGCCAGAAACTCTCAAGCCATGCTGGTGGCGGTGTTGGTGTTTCACGCGTGTTGCAAAAATCGCAGCTTCTTGAACAGCGAGCCATTGCCGAATCAAACGGTGATGAGGCTGCCATTGAAAGTATTGATCGCAAACTTGCAACCATTGAGTCTCAGAATGTAAAAGCTGCCCAGGGTGAAAGCCAAAGCTCCAGTCTTAACAAGTTGGCTGCTGTCAATGCACGCAATCGTCGAGCAAACGTAAGCGGTATTCGTCAGGCCGAGCTCAAAAATGTGGGCGAACGCAGGAAAACCGCAGGTAAATCTGGCGGTGTTATGGATCCATTTAGTCGTGTCCGTACAAGCGCCAAAATCTTTCATCAGTCTGAAGACTCTCAAAACCAAGACCCCAGTGCCGCTGCTAAGGAGTCTGAGCTGGAGCGGAAACGCAAGCTTGAAGAGGCCGAGGCTGCACGAAAGCGGCGCAGGACCGCTGCTCGGTTGGCATTCAATGCCGTTGACAATAAAATTGCAAATATTAATTTCCAATTGGAAATTGAGATTTAAAAAAAAAAAAAAAAAAAAAATTCATTCAAATAAATAAAATTAAATCACTTTAACAACGTCGCAAGGTACTCTTTCTCGTCTTGGTTTAAAGACTCATAAATGTTAGCCTTAAAGTTGCCCACGTCTGAGGTGACAACATGCTTGAGCCAGTCGGCAATCATGTATTGGGTGACATGGTCGCTCGAGCCCCAAGCCCGGCGACCGCCCCCACCTTCTTCATCAAAAAGCTCCTCGCCATCTAAATCCTCAATTCCTGCGTACTTGAGCGTGTCGCCCAGTGTCATCCCGCCCTCGAGCAGTGTATCATCCAAATCCTCCCACTCACCGTCATCGTCTTCTTCATCGTTACCATGTTCTTCTTGTGAAACGTGTTTGAGTGCTTCTGAAGCCTCTCTTTCAAGTGCAAACTTTCCGGAAATTAGCTCATGGATGAAAAGTTTGATGATTTTGCACGGCGCAGAAACTGGAGTGTACAACGACGCATATTGTCGAGCCTTGGAGCGAGTCAAAATAACATCTTTGGGAACTGGAACTGGATCGCCATCCACCTGAATGGCAGCAATGCGAGGATCCTGCAGCTCATATAGCTTCCCCAACGAAACAATGTTTGCTTTAATTTCATTGTACCCGCGCAGAACGTCAAAGTTGGCAAGCCATTTGGAAATAACAACTTCCAGCCCGGAAACAGGTTTACCATTTTCGTCAGCGATTTGTTGGCTGGCCAAAAAATCAATGACCTCTGTGGCTGAGGTCGCTACAAGCGCACTGAAAACCCCAATAAAGTTCTCAATCAAAACAGGGTGCTTGGAAATGGCCAACCGTTTGGCCGTGGCTTCCAAGATTTGTGGCAGGTACTCTCCTAGCATTGGTCCGAATCGGTCTACAATGGCCAAAATAAGTAACCCGGTATTCATGCAGGCCGAGTCTTCCCAGGAGGGATCCAACAGGCGAGCAATCGCAATGATTAAAAGTTCAACTCCGTTACGGCCTTCTGTATTGGACCAATTTTGGATTTGGTTGGATGCATGTCTTGTTAAAAAGGACAGGATTTCTGTGGCTGATTGTAACACTTGGTTGTCTGATGAGTTCATGGCAATCTTGTACAAGGGATCGAAAAACTTGTCTACAATGATTTCTGGAACAGGATACGGGCCCTTATCCACAATGACACCGAGAATATTGAGTGAAAGGACAAGTTCAGGGGTATACTCCCAATCTGTAATAGACATGATGCTCTGCAACAATGGCGGCAGAGAGTGCTGCAAGAACTCATTGTAAACATCTTCATCTGTTGCGGTTTCTGCAAGCTCTTCCATAATGTCGACAATCTCATTTGTAAGCATGACATTGGTGGGGTCTCGTGAAAGCAAGTTGTAGACAATCTCAATCAGCGAGGGGTACCGGACGGCGAAGGTGAAGTTTGACTGGATAATGTTCATGAGGACTTCTGCAAACATGGCCGGAGTATCTTCTTCAGCCTTGGGGGTCATGGTGCCTATGATTTCGTAGAGAGCCGTAAGCTTTGTAGTGATATAATCTTTGGGCAGGATTTGACAGTACTTGGAAAATGCAATGAGACAAGCGCCCTTGACGGTGTCGCTTGAGTCGGAAATGGCAGCACTTGCAGTAGACTCAAAAAGAGGAATTGAGATTGCTGCGACATCGATGCGGTCTTTAAGAGACTTGCATATGGATCCACCAGCAATGTAGGAGCGAGCACGGAGAAGGTTATGATTAGTGTCGTAGTGAAACTCTGAGACCTTACGGACTAAAGTGTCTATTGATTCTTGTACAAGTTTTGGGTGACTTTCATGATCCTCGGCCAGAATCCAAGAAAGGAGATAGAGGCTTGCTTCTTGAAGCTTCCATGAGGACTGGTCAAAGTTTGATAATGCTTCTTTGAAATAAAGTCCGAGTAGGTCGAATTGGCGGGTTCGATCTAGAGACATTAGGATTTCAGGGATCTGGGAGCGGACAGCCTTACGGATTGATAAGTCGCTTTCCTCCTTGACAAACTCATTCATATCATCAGTCCAACTTTCTTCGTCTTCTTTAGATATTTGAGAATAATTTGTGAGTAGTTGGAAAAAGGGGTGGATGATATTTGTTAGTTTCAGGGCAATGGATTTATGGTTAACCAAATGACCTAAGAGCTCAAACTCTTCGTAAATGATGGAATCTAAAGTAACATCTTCATTGACAAAAACACCTGAGTTTTGGATGATTTCTTCAGATGGCAACGGAGATGTGTTTTCAATATTGTTTTCAATATAGCTAGGGAGTAAATACTCCAAGTTTTGGGTGACACTTTCAAATGCCTGTGAAGCATGCGGGGAGGTAATTTTAGGGATTGTAAGCAGCAATGCGGAGAAGGCTTTTAAGGATTCAAGTTTAATGTAAAGCCATTCTACATCAAGTGGATTTATTTGTTTTGAAATGTACTGGATGGCAAGAGGAGCCCATTGGTTGATAATATCAGAAACAATTGTAGCTTCAGGTGAGTTTGGTTTTGTTGGGATTGCGAAAAGGTCAGCACATTGAGCAAAGACTTGGAAAGCAATGGCCGAGGCAAGAAGCGGGAATTTTGGGTTTAAATTTTGAGAAGAAGAATAAGCCGAAGCAACAGTATAAAGAGAAGATAAAATTTTTGCACCGACACTGCGGAACTCAGCTTCTGAAATGGTTTCACCAACAAGTTCTTTTAAGGTGGAAAGGGCACCAAAAAGCTGGTACTGGTTGCCATTGAGAGCGAGACCTGTGATCTCGTCAATTAGGTTTGGCCATTCATCTGGGTATTCAGCCGAGGCAATGCTTGCAGTTAACAGTGCAGCCACTGAGCGCACCTTACTGACTGGATGGCCCAACAAGTTTGTAACCAAGAGGGTTCTAATTTTTGATTTAATATCTTGGGAAATTGCTGGGCCTTGGAACTCTTCAAAGGCAATGCTCCATGATTTGGGGACGATTGTTTTGAGAATTAGTAGGGCAGATTGTACTACGGGGATTTCTGATTCGAATTGGGTGATTACTGTAGCCAAAGACGAAACAAGTTCGTTTATGTGAGTTTGACGATAAGACTCGAGTTCTGATTCTGCAGAAGCTGTGTCGCCACTATTAATTCGCTGGATCAGCGAGTAGATGGATGATGGGTCCATGGCGATGTTGTTGATATTGATATTGTTGTTGTTTGTATGAATGGATGGATGGATGGGAGGTAGGTAGGTAGAAATCAAAAGATATTATTTATTTTTTTTTTAAAAATGTTAATAAACTAATTTGTTTGTTTGTTTGTTTGTTTATAAACAAATTAGGACAGCACTACCACAGTACAAGCCGTGCAGGATCCACCAACCGAGGACAAAACCAAAACCAAAGACAAGAACATTTTTGAGATGAACCAGAATGAATTTGTAGTTACTATTACTAATTTTAAGTAAAAGAAAAAAAATTAATAAGAAAAAGAAAAAGAGCCTTTTTTTTTTTTTAATATTTAATATTTAATAAATAATCCTTTGATTTATTTAAAAACTTGTTGTTAGTTTTTTATTCTATTATATATATATATATCTGTTGAAATAAAAAAAAGTTAACAATAATGCTGAGTCATCTTTTATAATAATTACATAATTTTATATTGTCGTCATCTTTTCTTCAAAATTTCTTCATTAAAAGCGTCTTTTTTTTTTTTTTTTTTTTTTCTTGTTGGATAAGCATAAATAAAAAAATAAAATAAAAAATAAAATAAAAAATAAAATAAAATAAAATAAAAAATAAAATAAAAAAAAATAAAAAAAAATAAAAAATCAAACAACTCACTCACTCACTCAGCCTCCCCTTATAAGAAAGAACCAAAAAAAAAAAAAAAAAAAAAATCCTTTCCTACTTCCGCTTAAATTATTATTATTGTTATTATTATTATTATATTTTATATATACAACTTTTTTTAAACAATCAACACTCATACACTCAATCCTCTTTCTGGGACTCAACCGTAACTACCGGTGTTTCGCTTAAAACTTAACAAGTCCCTTCAGATTCCCTGGGTCTTTTTTTTTTTTGTTTTTTTTTTTTTGTTTTTTTAGACACATTATTATTATTATTGTCTCCTTTTTCTTTTTTTTTCTCTCTCCCATTTTTTTTTTTAATTGATACCCTGTTCTTTATCTTAAATACCTCCTTGACTAAACAATAATGACTGCCGAAGAAGGTGCCTCTTACGGTGAACAACTCATCGAAGCTGCTCGTAGAAACAACACAGATCTCTTTGAAGATCTTCAGAAAGAAACAACAGATCTTGCAGAATTAATAAACACAGCTACTGATCCTCTTGGAAATTACGCTCTCCACCTTGCGGCTTTTAACGGCTCATGTATGTTGATTGACATTGCAACTTTAACACTTTTGATTTCTTTCTTTCTTTCTAACATTCTATTATCCAAGACGAAATGCTTGACCACCTGTTGGATGTAGAAGGTGTCGAGGTTGACCCTATAAATAGAGTATACAAGGATACTCCACTACACTCTGCTGTCCGTTATGCTGTAAATGAACCTGAACATGGTGCATTTTTAGGTGAGTATTTTTATTTTATTTTTATTTTATTTTATTTTATTTTATTTTTATTTTATTTTATTTTATTTTATTTTATTTTATTTTATTTTATTTTATTTTATTTTATTTTATTTTATTTTATTTTATTTTATTTTATTTTATTTTATTTTATTTTATTTTATTTTATTTTATTTTATTTTATTTTATTTTATTTTATTTTATTTTATTTTATTTTATTTTATTTTATTTTATTTTATTTTATTTTTTTTTATTTTTTTATTTTATTTTATTTTATTTTATTTTTTTTTATTTTATTTTATTTTATTTTATTTTATTTTATTTTATTTTATTTTATTTTATTTTATTTTATTTTATTTTATTTTATTTTATTTTATTTTATTTTATTTTATTTTATTTTATTTTATTTTATTTTATTTTATTTTATTTTATTTTATTTTTTTATTTTATTTTATTTTATTTTATTTTATTTTATTTTATTTTATTTTATTTTATTTTATTTTATTTTATTTTATTTTATTTTATTTTATTTTATTTTATTTTATTTTATTTTATTTTATTTTATTTTATTTTATTTTATTTTATTTTATTTTATTTTATTTTATTTTATTTTATTTTATTTTATTTTATTTTTATTTTATTTTTTTATCTATCTATTTATGTTTATTCTAACACTAAATTAAGCTGAGATGCTGATTGACGCTGGCGCTGATCCTACAATCAAGAACAAAGACGGAAAAAAGGCAATTGACTTGGCTGATGAATCCAATCAGCAACTAATAGACATTTTGCAAGGTGCAGAGCTTGCTCGTGAAGTCCCTATTGAAGGTATGATGATTTATAACTAACCTTTATGCTTTTTACCAAATTAAAAAAAAAAAAAAAAAAAACTAACTAACTAACTTATCGTTTAGAACTCGACCAACCGGAGACTATGGAAGGTGAAGATAGTGGAGAAGAATCTGAATAATTCATAAATACGGAAACAAACAAACAAACAAAAAATTATATACACGAACAAAAAAAAAATAAATAAATACTGGTAGACTAAAAAAAATATTAAAAAAAAAATCATACACATTTCTATTCTCTAAATTCAGACCTTGTATATAGAAAATACCTTGAGATTTTATCACACCCAGCCATCAAACCTACTTGAAAGCCAATCATTGTTATCATTAAATTGACTCTTCAAGTTTAAATCTGTGACTAAAACATGGGTTGAAGTCACATTTTTGACTTTATTATTATTAATGTTATTATTGTTAAAGTATCGGAAATCAAACAAAAACGATATTCCATGATTCTTTTCTTTATCGTGCTTAAAAGTATACACTTTGCTAGGTCTTGGAGCCAATTGCTGACTGAGTGAGAAGATCAATTTACCCTGATCAAACGTGCCAACTTTTTCAATTTGCCCCAAATTAAACTTCATCTTTTGTGCAGTTGTAAGATACTTAATATCATCATTACCAAAATTGCTTGAATGCTCAATAAAAATTTGTTTAAGAACACTTTTATTACCACTTACCGGACCAACCAATTTCTGAAGTGACAAACTAGGCATACTTTGACACGGTAAACATGGATAAAAGTCCAAAATAGACGAAGGAGAAAATATTCTATCAAATGTTTTGTAGGCAAAATATTCAAGTTTCGGAAGCCTTGAAATTACTAAATATAAAGCTTCTTGGAAACAAAGAACAACATACGGATTGGTTTCTTCAAAAAAATTAACCCCAGGTATTGTTAAAAGGTATGAAATGGGATCAGAGTAAAGTTGTAATAGGTTTGATGTCAAATCATTTGTCCGAATGCCATTTTTATATTTACTCAAAAATCTTTGTTTCATACTTCGTTTGCTCATCTCTGTTATCACAAATTTCAACTCCCTTTCTTTGGGAATAGATTTCATACTCAAACATGATTGAACAACTTTTTTGGCACATTCAACTAAGTCGTCAACAATAGGTTTTTCAAAATAGTAGTTCCGATCCACCTGGAGCCCCACTTCAAGCTCTTTAACGTTTTGGAGATATGGCAAGATCTTTATCAACCTAGAATGATAACATATAGAATCTTTAATTGATAATTTCAAATAACTTATTGAATCCAGGGAATAGTGGAAATTTGAAAATTGAATTTCCTCATAATTATAGCTAAATAGAACTCGTTCTGCACGTGGGAACCGATATTGTTGAAATAAAGTTATAAAAGCAATCATATTAAGTGATGTAACTTGTGGGAATTCTTGAATGTCATTCTTATCAATATCTGGAGGAACAGTTTTCCACCAATAATATGTTGATCCAGCAATTTTAATGTGACATTCTTCTAGATCGGAAGGAAGATGAGCAACACCATTTTTAAGAATCTCTTGACATGATGAATATTTTAATCGTTGAATGTCCAAATTTACGCTTTTAAGTTTTGATGAGCGTGCTATTATTTGTAAAAGCATTGTACATATTCGGTTCATAAACAAAGTGTTGTTTTGCAAATCATGTGAAGTTTCCGAGTCGGTGTCTTCACAACAAAAATTTCGAATTTTAACATACTCTAAACAGGGGAAAGAAATATCCGGTATAAATGTGACATATGTTGGAGAAAAACAGTCTTCTAAGAAAAATAACCGAGTAATATTGGAATGGTTTATTGGGAAATCCAAGCTGGTCAAATCTGACATGGCTATTTGGATTGGTATTTGATAAAAAACTTCAAGATTGAACTGATCGTTCTTATCAATAAACCGCTGAAGTGACTTAAATAACAATGATTTAAAAAATTTTTCTTCATAATTAATTGCAAAACAAAACTTGATCTTGCCAAGTGCAGGATAGTATTTGTCCTGAATCGCCAAATTATATTTGTTGCTATAATACTCATTAGAGTCGCTTTCTTCCTCACCAATTTCTATACTTAAAACATGAGCCTTAGGGAACCATGAGTACTTGGTAGAATGTATCACATCCAAAGGAACAGCAAGGTCATTATTTTTTTCTTGTTCCCCCTGCAATGTTTTGCAATATTTATAAACAAGTGGTCGGTAGATTTCTAAAAAGATGTTACAGCAATGACTTAGATTCCGACGCTCTTTAGGCGTCAAGTATTCCGAAATAGAGTAATGGAGTTCTGTGGGCAAAGAAATAAACGTGATTTTGTTCATTTTGTGTCATCATCTATGTATGTTTGGAAATGCAAGAGAATGTTGATTAATCATGGCGATAAATACAAAAAAAAAAGGTATGGAGGGAAAAGGAGGGGAAAGGTTAAGAAGAGCCTACACTGATGTTAAAGAGAGAAAGAAAGAGGGATGATCACTTGACTGGATGTTTTCCTTAAAGTGGCTGCAAACACAGCCTTTTTCTTTATCAATACCACGTGATAGTTAAATTATAAACTATGTAGAACCATCCAAGATTAATTTGTTAAGGGTATATAAAGAAGATCTTCTATATCCTCTAGCAGATATATCACAATTTAGAAAAAAAATTTACAATTTAAGTAAGGTGTTTGGAAGGCCAAACAATCTGTTATAACAAAAAGTAATTACTTTCTAGAGCAAAACTTTCAGGTGACTCGACTCAGGTTAACTAACTTACTAAGAAACCAGCTATACACTGAGTTAAACTGGAAGGTTGGTTTAAAGCTTCAAAGTAAGCCAGTGTCTAAAAACAAAAATAATATATATATATATATAAATAAATCATAATATTATGATTTATTATCCATCGTAAAAAACGTCTAATCTTCAATTAGTGAAAAAAAACTTATTTTCAACGTGCTGAATAGATTCTTCGGCATTAGTAAAAAAAATACCATACAACCTTTATCTTCAACAGAAGGCCCAAAAAACTCAAAGTCAAACAAAACTGAAAGATTTTTTCCCCCTATTATTAATTATAAGTATAAATCTTGCATGGTTTAGGAATAATTGTATAGCAGTCAGATATAATTAACTCGTTGTTTCCTCGCAAGGTTCCATAAACTACCCCACAATTTTGAGCAAGTACGACCTTGTTTGACTCTCCCATAACAAGAAAAAAGCATCGAATGTCTGTGACTGGTAGGCCATGCTATACCTCAAAAAAATTTAAAATACATTTCTAATAGACGTTTTTCTATCATATATATATAGCTAATTATAATTTACTGATTCAGTGGAAAAGACATGGCTTTTAATTTTTGAAATGTTCAATGTGTAAGAAAACAAAATCGGATTTATGTCATACTCTAAAACCCCCAAAATCTGTTTGATGTGAACCACTTACAATAAATCAATGAGGATTCAGAAAAAAAATGAATAAATATGTAAGCTATTTATATTATTTGAATGAGGTGTTCAGAAAGCCAGGAAAGCTGATAGTGTTTAAAGAAGAACCTTCCAATATCTAAACTGGAAAGTTTTAATTTCAAACCTCAAAAATGTTATAGTAAATCATAATTTATTGCAAAAAAGACTATTCTAAAAATGGTGAAAAAAATTCATTTTCAACAGTTTGAATAGATTCTTTAGCATTGGTACAAAGTATACAATCTTTATTTTTAACATGAGACCCAAAATACTCAAAGTCAAACAAAACTGAAAGATTTTCCACCTCTTGTGAACTATAAGTATAAATCTTGCATGGTTTAGGAATGATTGTATAGCAGTCTGACATAATTAACTCGTTTTTCTTTTTCAAAGTTCCACTAACTACTCCACTTTCTTCAGCAAGCTGTTCAAATGAATCATTGCGATCAAAGTATTCCATAGAACATGAGTACTTTAGTATAACTTGCTTCAAATTTTGGGACTTGTTATTTGAACTGACAAGTTCTTGGAGTGAAAGAATGGTGAATTGACGTAAAGGTGAATATAGCGATGATTTTCCCAGCATACGTGGTTTAAATGTAAAATCAGCACCTTCATAATGAAGATATTCTAGCTTTTTAAGTTTGCCGATAGATTTAAAAAGAGCTTCCTGGAAACACATTATCAAATATGGAGTTGCATCGTCATGTTTGTTAAAAAACAAACGGTTTGGTTTAGAAAGAAACGTTACTGGGTCAGTATACAAATTTTTAAAAAAGTTCAAAGGATTGGGTTTGATTAATTGGTAAACAATCGAGTATTTTCCAATTTGCTTCATCAAATCAGCTTGGGAAACAGGGACTTTGGTTTTTAATGGGATAGCAATATGTTTAGAAGTTTCTACCATTCTTTTAACGGATGCTGAGAAGCGCTCATCAGAAAACTCTAAAATGAATTTGATATTTAAAGTCTTTAAATTTAAAAATTTTGGAAGAGATGACACAATACCACTTAGATATTCAGCAGGGTTAGAAGGAATCAGTATTTGAAGAGATGTAACGTTGGAAACTGTATAACCAAATGAAGAAAAATTTACATCCTCAATTGATATATCCAAAACAACAGTACTGGCTCTTGAAAAATGATATTTTTGGATCAAGGGAACAAATGAATAAAGAGATAAAGAAGTAACTTGCGGTATTTCAATAATCCTTTCTTCATTAATCACCGGGTTGGTGGTTCGCCACCATCTTCTTTCAGAACCACAAATAATTAATTCGCAATTAGATAAGCCTGAAGGTAACTGGGTAATTCCTTGGTTGAGAAGTTTAAAACAATCTGTATATTCAGGGAATCCTAATTTTAATTTTACACTTTTAAGTTTCGAGAAAAGAGAAATGGTTTTGATTAATGAAATAGTTGCGTCTTCTGTTTTAGCTTCAAAAATTATTTCTTCTATTTCCACATATTCGACGTTTGGGAAAGTGGACTTTGATATTAATGGTAAACCCAGAATTTCTGTGAACTTTATTTTTTTAATATTATTCAATTTTATTGAAGATTTTGGACTTTGCAAGAGATTAAGTTGTAATGTTCCTCCGCATATTTCAAAAGGTGGATTTATTTGTATTTCTGGTTTAAGAACTTTTAGCATATGTATTGATTGGAAAAGTTTAGATTCTAGCAAAACTTGTGACAAAATCAGAGACTTGCGAAAATTGATTTCTTGTATTAAAGGGTAGTCCTTTGGGTGGATTGCAAATACACATAAAAGCTTGTGATATAAATTTTTATTGTCGTAGTAATTAATATTAATTTTTAGTTTCAATAAAGATTGGTTAGGAAACCAAGATGCTTTTGTTGGTTGACAGATTATTGAAAGTGGAACATATTGGTTCTTGGAAAGACAATCCTCTTCTTCGTTTTCATCAATTGGTTTTTCTAAAGTGACACAATATTGATAGACTATAGGTCTATAGATTTCTAAAAGCGGAGAAGAAGTATGACTGACATTTTTGCAGTCTTCCAAAGACAAATATTCTGAAATGGATAAATGAGCTTCTGTAGGTAAGGATTGTAAAGATTGCACCATTTTTTTTTTTTGTAAGTTTAATTGGTTTTAGTCAAGTTGTTTTTCGATAGTAGAGTCAAACAAGGAGTTAAATAAATTCATTCTAAACATGACTTAGAATAGGGCTAGGGTTAGAACGCACATTCAACAAAATTATCAAAATCAAACCTCCATCAAATTTGGTAGGAAGTTGATGAGCTCCTGAGCTCCTGTTGTTTTTATTTAAAAGTACTAATAAAATAAATTGTCAATTTAAGAGTTCATATTATTTTTAATTAAAGATCTTCTGATTATAAAAAGAAATTAATTGCAATCCTGTGAAAATTTCCAACTATGGAATATTGACGGGAAAAGCGTTTAACAAAGTTTTTGAGCAAAAACGATGATGATTGTGGGATTGAAACCCGTTTTGCCTTTTTTTTTTTTTTTTTTTTCTTTATATGGAATTAGTTTAAGGAGGGTGATTAATTTTTTTTTTTTTTATTTTGGTTGTTTTTTAATTGTTTCCTGTGAAACTATTTTGAGAGTAGTCTGGGGTTGGGTGGTCAATTCTTAGATAATAAATACCCTAACATGGGGGGGGGAGGGAAAAAAGAATCAAAAAAAATAAAGATTTAGCCGTTATATATATAAACAGTGTAAGAGCAACTTACACTCTAACGTTAGAAAGGGTTTCAGCCGTGTTATACGTTACTGGTAACCCCACCCGTTTGTTTTTAGGTCCAACTCAAGTTATCAATAAAAAAAAAAAATCTACTAACCGGTCTTATTCAGCAACTAACTATATAATATATAGGTAAAACCATGATAATACAGTTTTACGTAAAGGGGAAGCGCAATGTAGAATAAAATATAAAAAGCAAAATCAGATAAATCCTAGTCTGGAAGGAGTGAGGCCCAACACAAGACCACCCCAAATGGCAGTAACAGCAATTCCGACGACGGTGTAAGAGATATGCAAGACATTGTTGTTATAGTCAGAGTCAAGGGCCAGAAGAATAGTCAAGGAGGCCAGAGTGAGAGTGAAATAGCCTGCAATACGGTGGTATTTGTAGAAAGACTTTGCTTTGGCGACAGAGCCAAAGACTTTGACTGGGAACCAGTAGATGGAGATTCCAAAGAGTAAGATTAAAGAGAGCAGGGTATAGGTAGTGATTCCGAAAAGTCCGTGCCATGTGGTAATGTGAGGGGAAGCATGGATAGCTTTGTTATAAAAGATGCTAGAGAAAGCAGTGAGGAAAAGAACTACTGCGGTGGTATTGAGAATTCCATGGATACGACCTGAAAGAGTTTTGTGTACTGGAGAGATTGGTGGAGGTTGGGTGAGTAGTAAAGCGTGTGCTAAAAAGACCAGTCCTAGAGAGTTGAGGATGGGATGGGGGGCAAAGAATGTAATAATTGGGTGTGTGAAGATGGCATGGAGGATGGTAAGGACGAGGACCAGAAGGCCTGCTTGGACGATTAATGCACGCTTGTTTTCAGCATGTTTAGCTAGGTCAAGGACTTTATTTGTATTTGAAGATTGGATATTTGAATCCAGGAGGGGATCATAAGAGGATGACATTTTAAATGAAATTGGTTGGATGTTTAGTAGATGAGAGAGAAAGGGTTGTTTAGAAGTTTAGGAAGGAATTTTTTTTTTTTTTTCAGTCAGTCAGTCAGTCAGTTATAAGTCAATATTGAGCAAAGCTTTTAAAACTTTCGGATCTCCGCAGCCTCAGATCGAGGAGGTGTCTTTTTGCGGCAATCCACCTTACCTATGACGTGCGGCGTAGACAGGGTAACAGATGGTAAAATTAGTAATGCCGCTGACTGGTTGGTTGCTGGTAGCCCCACGTTTTTGTGTGTGTGTGTGTAAGGAGTGTAAAGGAGTTTAAGGGATTGTGATTCAAGTTATCAGATTGAATGATCATTGAAATTGTTTTTTAAAGAAATTAGCTAAAACCTTTTAAATTAATCTAAAAAAAAAAAAAAATTATATTCAAATCCAGTAATCATTGATATTTTTTTTTTTTTTTTTTTTTTTTTTTTCGATTGTTTCTCTGGAGGATCACAATCTTCTTTTGCCTTGGTACCTATTTGAGACCACGGGTATATACAGAGACATTTACACGTGATCTCCGTTTGTATAAAAAGTCTTACCCGTTTGTTTGTTTGTTTGTTTGTTTGTTTGTTTGTTTGTTTCATTTACCTCAACCGCATTCCAAATGAAGCAAGCACTGGTTAAACACATTCGTCATTATACCACAGCTGCAGTTCGTGGCCCAGGGTTTGGAGCTGTGCAAGATATGCGACTTAGGGGACCTTGGACCTATGTCGAGGATTTATCTCCAATGCAAACTCACAAGATGGATGCAACTCTGAAGGGCCACATTCCCATTTCTCGCGGGACTTTAGTGGCCGGAGACGCGGTGCCTGTTGGGTATCATTTTGCTTATTTTAACGGATTGGAGTCCGAGGAAGAGCTGACGAGGGCCGGGTGTGTGCGAGCAGCTGCACCTGACCCACAACTGTTCCCAGTGCGGATGTGGGCAGGTGGGAGTATAGAGTTTAACGCAAGACCATTGACACTAGGAACCGTTGGTAGTGCGATTGAGCGAGTGGCTCGTGTGGAATATAAGTGTAAGTCTAGTGGGATAGTAGGCGAGGAGGAGAATAAGAATAAGAATAAGAATAGGTTGCAGGAGCGGCTGTTTGTGACATTTGAGAGGCGAATGTATGCACAAGATGTTGTTAGTAGTGGGGGTGGATTTATAGAGAAAGTGGCTACAGGAACTGGAGACGATAAATGGTCGGTTAAAGAAGAAAGGACAATGGTTTACATGTCGAATCGGAGTGCACCGTCCAAGTCTGGCGAGTCACCATTTATTAGTCCAAAGTATTCCGGGCCACCTGTGTTTCAGCATACGTTTACTCTGAGTATGGTAACATTATTTCGGTATTCTGCGGTGACTTTCAATGGGTACCGGATGCACTATGATCCGTTGTATTGTATTGAAGAGGAAGGGTTAAGTGGATGTTTAGTTCATGGACCTTTGATTGCGACGGTCGTACTTTCGCTTGCAACACAAGCTGGTGTGATGATTGGTTCCATGGGTCGGCGTATAGTGCGGTTTCGGTACCGGATGGTTGCACCGTTATTGGTTGAGAAAGCAATTACGGTTGAGTTTAGAGAGTTGAAGGGGGTTGTTGTTGTTGTTTGTGTGACGGACCAGCGGGGGTCACAGTGTGTTGATGGTGCGATTGAGTTTGAATGAGATTAAGTGAGTGATGATGATGGTATTTTTGATAGATTTAAGAGAAATGTGGCTTGAGTGGAGGTTTTTTTTTTTTTTTTGCTATCGATAGTAGCCATAATATATTTATAAATGTAGTACATAGAATGGAATGATTCTGCCACACCTAGTGTGGCCCATATTGTGGATAGCCGCACGGATGTGGAGGCTTGACGGGTTGGCACTAAGTGAGTATTTATGCGTAATTACGAGAAAATCAAACTTCAGTAGCAGCAACCCAAGACCTCATGAATAAATAAAAAATTAAATGAAAAAATAAAAATGAAAAAATAAAAATGAGGCTTGCCTAGAAGTTGAATATTTCAAAAAGAGGCGAGAAGGCTTGAGTGGAGCAGAAAGAAAAAAAAAAAAAAAATCAGTGAATGTGTGTGAGTGTGTGTGTGGCTTGAATTGCGCAGAAGCATAGACAAATGGCGCAAAGTAGTAGTAGTAGTAGATAATAGGAAAAAAAAAAAGAAGAAGAAGCTTTAAAGGCTTTAAAGACTTTAAGAAGAAGATTGATTGAGAAACGAAGCCACAATCTTGGCGGTGACTGAGAAATTCTTGGAATAAAAACTTGGTTTTTTATTTTTATTTTACAATTGAAAATTAATTGAAGTTTGTTTAGATATACAATCGATTGTATATATATTTTTTAATTTTTTTTTTAATTTTTAAATTGAATTGATTTGAAATTGATTTGAAATTGATTTGAAAAATTATTCAAAGATCAAATTTAATAATAAAATAAAATAAATTTCTCCAGCCTGCATAATTTCCTTTTTTGTACAAAAGCCGCATTTTTTTGAGCCGCAGTCCATTGTTCTTGGCAGGGGGGGGAGGGGGGGGAGAGGGAAGATCAAAATTTTGAAAATAATTTAAATTTAAATTTAAATTTTTTAAAAAAAAAAAAAAAAAAAAAAAAAAAAAAAAAAAAAAAAAAAAAAAAAAAAAAAACTGTTGCGCCACAGCACGTGAAATGATTTCATCAGCCTTACAGATGGCGCTGTGGCGTTGTGGCAAGGACAGGCCCAATCAAGCAAAAGAAGAGAAAGAAAAAAAGAAAAAAAGAAAAGGTGTGTATGGACTTAATAATTATTTATGAAAATTTTATAAAAATGTCGTCATTCGGTGCCCGAGTTGCGCGAATTGTAATAAAGAAAAAGAAGAAGAAGAAGAAGAAGAAGAAGAAAAAGAAAAAGAAGAAGAAAAAGAAGAAAAAGAAGAAGAAGAAAAAGAATCTTTTCATGGAAATTGTTTTTATATATGGTATATATTTGTTATTATAATATAATTGTTAAAATATAAAAGTCTTTATATTTTGAAATTCTAATAAAAGATTAAAATGTAGTTTTTTATTTTATTATTAATTTTTATATAAATTTTTTTTTTTTTTTGTTAAAACTATAAAGAAGCAAATTTAAATTATTTTAAAGTCTTTTATATAAAGACTTTTGTATGTGTGTGTGTGTGTGTGTGTGTGTTTATGTGTGGCTAGTGGATAGCCAAATCAACAACTTCCAAATGTGAAATTTCTGAAATTTTTTTTTTTTTTTTTTTTACTTAAACTTTGCTAAGTGAAAATTTTATTCTCTTTTTCATTTTCTTTTTCTTTTTTTTAATTTCCATATAAAAGCAATTGAGTTCCCCATCTTTTCTCTTTTTCTTCTTCTTTTTTTTCCTTTCCTTTCTTTCTTCTTTTCCTCATATTTTTTTTTTTTTTTTTTTTTGTAATTCTTTCACCCTTTTCACTCAACCTTCCCTCAAATCAACCTCAACATGTCTAACCCACCCCACGGAGGCGTCCTTAAGGACCTTATTGCTCGCGATGCTCCCATCAGAGACCAACTCTATACCGAGTCAGAAACTCTTAAAGATATTATCCTCACTGAACGCCAACTTTGTGATCTCGAACTTATCATCTCCGGTGGCTTTTCCCCCCTCGAAGGCTTTTTGACTGAAAAGGATTACGATGGTGTTGTTGAAAACCTGCGTCTTGCTGACGGAACCCTTTTCCCTATCCCCATCACCCTCGATGTCTCTAAAGAAGAAATTGAAACTTCTCAAATTAAACCAGGAGCCAGAATTACCCTCCGTGATTTCCGTGATGATGTCCCCCTCGCTATCCTTACCGTTGAAGACGTTTACAAACCAGATAAGCAAAAGGAGGCCAAGCACGTTTTCCGTGGTGACCCAGAACACCCTGCCATCCGTTACCTCTTTAACACCGCTAAGGAATACTACGTCGGTGGTAAGCTCCAGGCTATTAATAGACTTAACCACTACGACTATGTCGGTCTCCGTAACACTCCCGCCGAACTGCGCTCCCAATTTACAAAGCTCGGTTGGTCTAAAGTTGTTGCTTTCCAAACTAGAAACCCAATGCACCGCGCTCACCGTGAACTCACAGTCCGTGCTGCCCGTTCTCGCCAAGCCAATGTTCTCATCCACCCAGTCGTTGGTCTTACTAAGCCAGGTGACATTGACCACTTTACCCGTGTCCGTGTCTACCAGGCCATTCTCCCCCGTTACCCCAATGGTCTTGCCTACCTCTCTCTGCTCCCTCTTGCCATGCGTATGGCCGGTGACAGAGAAGCTGTCTGGCACGCAATTATCCGTAAGAACCACGGTGTGACCCACTTCATTGTTGGTAGAGATCACGCTGGTCCTGGTAAGAACTCTAAGGGTGTTGACTTTTACGGTCCTTATGACGCTCAGACCCTCGTCGAGAAGTACCGTGATGAACTCGGCATTGAGGTCGTCCCCTTCCAGCAAATGACTTACCTTCCTGATAAGGATGAATATGCTCCAAAGGACACTGTTCCTGAAGGTGTCAAGACCCTTGACATTTCTGGTACCGAGCTCCGCAAGCGCTTGAAGCTTGGTCTCCCCATCCCTGAATGGTTCTCCTACCCTGAAGTCGTCAAGGTTCTTCGTGAATCTCACCCTCCCCGTACCCAACAGGGTTTTACCATTTTCCTTACCGGTTACCACAACTCTGGCAAGGACTCTGTTGGCCGTGCTCTTCAGGTCACTCTCAACCAACAAGCTGGCCGTTCGGTTTCGCTGCTGCTCGGTGAGACTGTTCGTGCTGAGCTTTCCAGTGAGCTTGGATTCACTCGTGAAGACCGTCACAAGAATATTCAACGCATTGCCTTTGTTGCCTCTGAACTTACCCGCTCTGGTGCCGCTGTCATTGCTGCCCCCATTGCTCCCTACGAGTCTTCCCGCCAGGTTGCCCGCGAAACTGTCGAAAAGGCTGGCGGCAACTTCTTCTTGGTTCACGTTGCCACTCCCCTCGAGCATGCTGAGAAGACTGACCGTAAGGGTGTTTACAAGCGTGCCCGCAATGGCGAAATCAAGGGTTTCACTGGTGTTGATGATCCTTATGAGGTCCCCACCAAGCCCGATCTTACTGTCGATTTGACCCAAATCAGCGTCCGAACCGCTGTTCACCAAATTATCCTCCACCTTGAGGCCGAGGGTTTCTTTGGTAATTAGAATGTAAAAGTTTTATTTATATATATTAATATTATTTTTGGAAAGGTTGTTTGTTTTAATTCTTTTTTTTTTTTCTCTCTTTTGTAGTAGATAATAATTTAAATCAAATTAAATAAATTAAAAAAAAAAAAAGAGGTTCTATATATTCTGTTTCTTTAATCGTGCTTCAATGGCCTGTGCTCGTTGCTCCCGTTCAAACCGCCGACGGTTTTCAGGATCAAGCTCAAGAAGTGTTGCAGTCAATGCCGACAACCCCGTCAGCCCAGCCCCAGCATTTCCTCCTCCTCCGCCGCCGCCGCCAAGGGTATGTGAGTGTGCAGCTGTGCGAGCCTCCGCAGCCCGTTTTTCCTTCTTGATTCGTTCCACTTCTGCTCTCTGAGCTTCTTCCAAGATCCCTCGGTTAGCTGCAGCTTCTGCTGCCTTTACCTTATCGCGCTCCTCAGCATCTCGAGCATCCTGTGCCCGCTGTTCCTCCTTTGTCACTGCTGCGCCAACGTGTGCATCTGTATCCCAATCCCATGATACTGCAGGATGCTCACCCATGGCTGCACGTGCAACACAAAATGCCCCAAATGTCGCTTTATCAGAAGCAACCTGCGCAGCAGTGCGTCCCGCAGTGTTGGGCACCGTGGGGTCTGCTTTAAGAGTTTTGAGCAGCGGTACAATCATCGAGTGTGCACCGCGTGCCGCCGCATAGTGTAGTAGAGTTGGGGCCGCCGCGTATTCAGGTGTGTCTGCAGGTGTTAGTCTGAATGTGGCAGCATCTAATTTGTTTTTCTTAAGATATGCTAGCAGACTGGGGATTTTGGATCGTCGAATAAGTGCAGTTAGTTCGCGTGTGTGCACGTCATTGGGAGATTCTTTTTGTTCGGTAGGCTTGCTAGAACTTGTAGATGTAGATGTAGCTGTAGTATTGGTTTGTTTGCGAGTTTCTTCTTTAGGCTTATTGATGATTTTTGCATGACTCAGTTCCCACCAAGCTCGCTTAATCTCAGTAGCTGTAGCTCTGCGTGTTGTAAAAGGCAAAGTTTTTACTCTAGGGTCCGATGCGCTGATGGGTGAACCGGCAAAACTCATGAGCACTGCACGGTTGGCACGGCCATTGGCGCGGACGTAGATTGCTGAAGTTTTTGAAAGGTATGGAGCTGCCCATTCAACAAGCAATTCTCGGACCTCCTTTTCCAAAGCAGCCTCGTTATATCGACGGAGAGATGAACCTGCCGAGTTAGCTTTCCCACGCGCATTATCGCTTGCGCTTTGTGACCCTCCTTGTTTGCGGCGCGTTGTGTAGCGGTGGAACGACTTGTGGGCAAGAACCTGAACATCGGCATATGGGTTGGTAGATGTTGGAGTTTGACGTAAACGCTGGTGTGAGATAATGGCTCCAGAAAAATGGCCACCTCCAATCATGAAAATCGCAGAAGTCCCTGCCGCATTTAATGCTTCTAGACTCTCGCTCATGCGCTCTGCCAGGGGAGCCACAGCATCTCCCTTGGGGGCTGTGAACTTGGTATCTAGAACAGCCTTGTATACGGCCAAGGTCTTGTCTTCAGGTAACTGTGGGGCAGTGTATAAGAAGTATGGTGTATTGTTTGATGAGTTAGAGGACATGAGATGTTCTTCTTGTTGCTGGATATTATATTCTGAAATAGATTCGAGGTTAGTTTTGCGCATGAGGGCTTCAATTTTGTTGGTCTTGTCCTCTGAATCTGATGCAGAATCATCTGAGTCTGATCCTGAAATACTTTCATCCAGTTCACCCACCAGTCGCTCAAACTCGTCTTCAGTCAGTGGGGAAAGATGCTGGAAACTGCGCTTAATGTTGTAACGGTGGTAATCTCGTCGGTAATGATTTCTCAAGTAATCTGGGTCTTGTGTATCTCTAGGGATGGGGCCACAGTAATTGCAAGTGGCGACTCCATTATCTGTAAGTTGTTCGTTATGTTTTTCGAGATTTTTGAGATTTTCTTCAGTGAGTTCCTGTGTCACGGAGACTGATGCCGTGAATGGAGTGAGTTGAAATCGGTGTGTAAGATCATAAACGTAGAGTTCAGTAGTTTTGAACTTTTTGGTAGTAGCCATTATTAATATTAATTAAAAATGAATTGAGATTTAAATATATGTAAGTTTTGATTGTTTGTATGTTAATAATAATAATAATAATAAAATGTGTAGATTTTAAAGTCTTTTTATATATTAAAATGTTCAACAAAAAAAAATTACAAAAAAATTCCAATGAGTGGCGGTGATGAAATTTTTTTTTTTTTTTTTCAGTCAGTCAGTCAGTCAGTCAGCAATAGAAAATAAAAAAATAAAAAAATAAAAATAAAAAATGACTGAAAACCCAATTAAATAAATTTATTTATGAGTGCTGATGACTCGACTTCTGACTGTGTTTTAGAGGGGGGAGGGAAAAAAATCCTTTAATTAAAGAATTCTTAGAATTTTATAAAAAAAATTTTAATAAATTCAAGGCTTTAAAGAAAATTCCTTTTTATTTATTTATTTTATTTAATTATTTTTTTTTTTTTTCAGATACTATTTAAAAATAAAAATAAAATAAAATAAAATAAAAATAAAAAGAAAGAATGAAAATACCACCCAAACCCTTGCGGATACCTTCAAGTTCGTGATTCTGGGAATTTCTTTTTTTCTTTCTTCTTCAAAGTATCATTTCCCTTTAATTACTACTACTAGTATTACTACTACTACTGCGGTATATCTAATTATGACTACTGTTGTATCCAATTAATACCATTACAAGTATTATTACCTTTATTAGATAGTTTCAATTTTTTTATTTTTATTTTTTGTTTCCACTTGTAAATCAATTTCTGATTCCCCATGTTGTCGTTACAAAGACTTTCTGCAGCCAAATATTTAAATATATAATTAATATTCATTCATTACATCCCAGCATTAAACTGCTCAACCCGCATGTACCTTAACAAAATCCCCACCAAGGCCTCCAGTTCTCCAATACCTTTGACTTGGAATAAAGACCGTGGAGTCCCCTTTTCCTCATTGGCCCTTGGTTCAAAAGTCTCATCCACACGTAGTCTAAATTTATTTGTTATACTTGTCCCCAAAATGGTTCCTGGTTTTAATCCATATGCCTCTTCAATTAACCGTGGTAGACTCATCACTTTAAGGTCTAGCAAAACCTCCCGATTAATCTTCCAATTTGTAATTCTGCGCTTACATGTAGGTACCTGAGCACCCTGTTGAATCAGCATCTGAAGAACCCCATTCTCATCAGGGGCCATATCCTGAATTGCATCAGTGGAAAACCGGAAAAAGGAAGAAAAACAAACCTGCTTACGGTCATTAAGAGAAGCTATTAAACTTGGGAAGGCCTCAGGAAGAGATTCTGCAGGAGGTCGTGAGCGCAAAAACTGTTCTCGACCAGAAAGTGTGAGTGGAATAGAACCCATGGTCGCCGTAACTCTTTCAACCATTCGTAATGAAGATTCTAATGATATTTTTGTATCAATTTTAAGACCACGATCCTTTGGATATAAATTAAGTTCTTTTAACATTGCTTGTTGTAATAGCTGGCCATAATCATCTGTAAATGATTGAAGACTATGCATAGTTCTGGTCTCAAAGTATCGTGAAAGCATCTCAAAAAGACGTGCAGGTAGTGATATACAAAAGTTGGCTAGTACTGCATTGAGAGTGCGTAGCCGAGTGTCGTATGGAAGATGGTTTTTGGGACGGTCATGGCCCATGATTTGTTTAACTGCAAGATTTGCAAATCTATTATATTCAGGGAAAATAAGGCTTTTGACAACAATCAGTGCTTCCTGTGATTCGCGTTCTACACGATCAGAATGCAACTTGATGTCACCTGGGAAAACGAGTTTTTTATCCTTGTACCAGCGTGAAATATGTCGCAAAAGAATCTTCATTGTATGCTTTTTGTAAAATGCAATTAACTCCTTTTCTCGTTGTTCCAGTACTTCCCTTGGAGGATCTGATTTGGTAGCCGCCATGAGTTTAGCAAAGATCTGTGATTCTGGAGCATCTGATTTAGCGAGCTCTAAATGATTGATTCCTGTATTATGAGTCATCAAGGTCATCATGACTAGAGAAAACCCAAGTGTTGGTGGTGGCTGTTTGTCCAGTAAAAAAGTCAAAAAGTCTTTTTTATAAGTGGTTTCTCGAGATTGGGTTTTTCCCTTTTTTATCGTTTTCTTTTTTATCAGGGAAATTTCCTCATTAAGAACACCATTCAAAGCTGAATTAGAGTACCTTTTTTGGGTTATGTCCATGCGGAAGTATGGCTGTTCATGTAGTAGCTCTGGGCTGGAGTATAGTGTCCGGCGAAATTCACGGGTGTCATAGCTCTGTCTAATAATTGAGCACAAATAAAAGGCAGAATTGAGTTCTTCCAAGAGAATCTGAACCTTCTGTAGTCGGAACCCAATGGAATCTTCAGTGTATGATTGCATTTGGAAGTGGTGATTTAAAAATAATAATAATAATAATAATAATAATAATAATAATAATAATAATAATAATAATAATAATAATAATAATAATAATAATAATAATTGGAGTGGAAAAGAAGAAGAAGAAGAAACCCTCGATTAAGCTTGATAATAGATGATCAATTAATGGGTTAGGGTTTTAAGTGGAGTTTTTTTTTTGTCTTTTAAAAAAATTGCTTTTTTTTTTCTCTGTGTGTGTCATTTTTTTTTATTTTTTTTTCCAAATTTTATCCACCACTGGCTTTTTTTTTTTTGGCCCTTTTCCCTCCCTTTCCCTTTCCCTCTCTCTCTTCCCTCCCCCTCTTGATGCCCATACTTAGACGGTTCTTTTCTAGAATTCTTCCTGTTAATAAAATGGACTTTTCAAACCCTTCATCAGTTCTCGATCTTGCCAATATCCGTGAGACTTTGACTCGTCTTGAGGATACCATTCTGTTCAATTTGATTGAACGAGCCCAATTTTTCACATCGCCTTCTATTTATAACCCCACCGCAATCCCCATCCCCAACTGGTCCGGATCCTTTTTCGACTGGGTTTTGTTTGAATCTGAATGTATCCAATCTAAAGTCCGAAGGTACCAATCTCCAGATGAAGAACCATTCACACCACGCGCAGACTTGCCTGCTTCTATTCTGCCCTCGCTTAATTACCCCCACGTCCTGGCATGGTATACCAATGAGGTTAACATTAATGAGGAGATTAAGGAGTTGTATATTAAGCAGATTGTGCCATTAGTGGCTGCAGGAGACCAAGACCAGAGTGAAAACTTTGGATCTACAGCGCTAGCAGACTTGGAATGCTTGCAGGCTTTGTCACGTCGTATTCACTTTGGCAAGTTTGTAGCTGAAAGCAAGTTCCAGTCGGAGACTGAATTGTTTACAAAATTGATTTTAGAGCGCGATGCAAGGGGCATTGAGCAAGCCATTACTAAGCCTGAGGTGGAAGCTCGCATTTTGGACCGCATTGAGAAAAAGGCAGAGACTTATGGTGTGGATCCCACACTCCGATGGAGTGAGAAACCCCAAGGTAAGGTTGATCCCAAGGCTGTGCGACGTATCTACGAAGAGTGGATTATTCCTCTTACTCGCAAGGTTGAAGTGGATTATCTTTTGAGAAGATTAGAGTCTGAGACAAAGTAAATGAGAAATGATGTAGTTAATGATTTGTTTTTGTTTTTTTTATTAAATTGTTTTTTTTGTTTGTTTTGTGGGGGGGTTAACCCATTAACCCAAATATCTAATAGTCAGTTCAAAGGCATAGAAGGTGCATGCATTGACTGGGGCTGCACGCAAAATAGTTGGAAGAAACCCACGGAAAAAGCCCTTGATTCCATTTGTTGCGTAGATTTTCTGAAAACAATCGATCATTCCCTTGTACTGCTGCTTTGCTGGATCAAGTGCATCGGTCTGCATCTTAGATTTGACCACGTCAATAGGGTATGAAGTGAACCACATGGCATAGCCGGCACAAGCTCCGTAGAGACAGAGCCTCCAGCCAGGAATATCTTTACGTTGGATTTTGTTTGTTTTAATGTCATGGTCGACAAGAGCCTCAAAGGCCAAGAAATAAGCACCCATTCCGTGACCTTCACGGATCTGGGTTGGAAGCAATCCGCGGAAAATTCCCTTGAAGCCAGCTGCCTTATTAATTTGACGGATGGCATCGATAGGCCCGTCATAAAGTTTGGTTGTGGTTTGTGTTTGAAGACGGATACGGATGTGTTCAATGGGGGAGGCCAAGAATCCGTTAGCAATGCCAGCAGCTGCACCGGAGATATAGAATTGGGTGTGAGATAGATGAGCACCTGGGTGGCCAGCACGGGCATTTTGTGCATTAAAGGTTCGTTTCATAAACTCATTGACACCGAACTGGATAGAGACTTGGTAAAGTATATTAGAAAGTGCAAGTTTTAATTAATTAGTTTGGAGGGGGTATAAATAAGCTTACCGCATGCGCCAACTAGAATTTGTTGTTAGAAAAACGTGGAGACCGATTGTTTAATTGATTGATTGATTGATTGATTAATTAATTAATTAATTACTTACCACCAACGAGAGGTGTGAGGGTTCCTTTGTAGAAGCCAGCCGGGCCTTCATTTTTGAGGAGCTTTTTGACTACATCTAACGCGCCTGTGTAAGTTCCTTCAGGTGCACTTTGGAGTCTAACTTTGGTAGTATCGAAAGGTTGACCAGAGAGGACCTGAGCTGTAAACAGAGAATGAAAAAAAAAAAGGGTTATTTGTTAATTAATGGGTTCATCTTGTAGGTTATATGAAAAGTGATGACTCTTTTGCATACCAATGCCACCGCAAGTGCCAGCAAAGACATCTTTTGCAACACGGGTGAAGCCTTCTTCAGCGTGGGGTTCCACGAGATGCGCATCGATTTCAGCCATTGTATTTAGGGTATGTAAATTTCTATAGGGATATTTATTTGGGGAATAGTTAATAAAACAAAAAAAAAAAGAGAGAACAAGTGCGCTGATATGAAAGAAAAAGAAAAAGAAGAAAGGAATGAAGATTTTGAAAATATCTTGTATTAGAAATTTTCTAATTTTTTTTTTTCTTCTTTTGTGAGTGATAGGGAAGATGTTCAATCAGAAAATTTTTGTTGGTTTGTTTGTGTCAGCCAGAAAAGTTCAAAATGGTTGAACTGGGACTGCTGCTTTTTTGTTGCTTTTTTTTTGCTGTAACTGGCATCTTTGCTCGGGTCCGGGGGTTTTTTTTTTTTTTTTGTCGCTTAAGAAAAATGACTTGTTTGTCTTTATGTCATCACGTGAGATCCGTGTAGGTTCCTATCACTATCTTGTGTATTAAATAAATAAAAAAATAATTGTAGTAAAAGCGGGGTCCGAAAGGTGGATTTGTGTATGTGAATGTGTGTAGTGATTATTTTTTTTTTTAATTAGAAACCTTGAAAAAAAAAAAGTTACAATCAGCTTAGAAATATCACGAAGATGGACTTGGAAGATTTCGAATGGAGGTTTTGTTTTTTTTTTTTTTTTTTTTTTGTAAGTGAGCGAGTGAGTTAAAAGAATTGAAAGAAACTGGTGGTCCATATTATTATGCCGATAGTTCCGAAAAGCTGAACAAAAAAATAAATTTAAATTAAAAAAAATATATATATAGGAGGTAAATCTTTTGAAAAGAAAATTAGAAAAGAAATTTCAATTTAATAATAATAGTCATTTTAAATGAAAGATTAGAATGATTGATTCAAAAAACATATATATACATATATGTCTATTTAAAATCATATTTAAAAAAAAAAAAACTCTCTGGCTTAAAGCTATGTTTTTCAAGGTAGTTTATAAGAAGAAGAAGAAGAAGAAGAAGAAGAAGAAGAAGAAGAAGAAGAAGAAAAAAAAAATATAAAAAAATTCAAAATACCGCGGTGATTGTTTTTTTTTTTGAAATTTAAAAATTTAAAAATAAACAAAAATAAACAAAAATAAATAATTTAAATAAATTTAAATAAAAATTAAATGAGAATTTCAATTGAGCCGCATGACTATTTAGGTAAACTTCCACTGATCTCACATGAAAAATATCTCAATAAAAAATAAAACTGAAAAAACAAACAAACAAACAAACAAACAAACAAACAAACAAACAAACAAACAAACCGGGTGCGACCCGACAGTCGTCAGATCTGAGCCACAAATAAATAAACAAATGAATGAAATGAAATGAAATGAAATGAAATGAAATGAATAGAAATGTTTTTTTTTTTCTTATCTTTGCATTTCTTCTTCGTTTTTTTTTTTTATTTTAGATTTTATTGTTCTTTTTTTTTTTTTTTTTGTATTTCTCCGTCTCCAGTAAATCCCATCTGACCTGGCATGGCATCAGTTTGTCTATGAACGGCTGACGGACTTTACAGAATTTTACAGAATTTTACAGAATTTTACTGGACTTTACAGGACTTTACAGGACTTTACAAAACTTTACAAAACTTTACACAGGCACACGAGGCTTTTCTAATATCTCCGTTTTTTTTTTTTTTTTTTTTACAGTTACAATCACAACATTTTCTAAAATACCTTACGTTGATTTTATTTTTTTTTTTTTATATCTTTAAAATTTAAATTAAATTTAAATTAAATCCCCCTTTTTTTTTTTTCCTATCATAAAAACTCCTTCAAGTTCCTTATTCTTTTATTAATTCTTCTATTTTTATTCACTTTTATTATTTTTTTATTCCCCTCTTATATGGCTGTTAATAAATCTCATATCCTTCTATTCTTATTCTTATTCTTATCCATCATTTACTCTACTCTAATGTCTTCAACTACCTCTGACCACCAAGACTCTCAACAACAACAACGAACTTCAAGATCTGAACCAGGCCGCTCAGTCGTAGGCTATAAAGATGCCTTCAAACAATGGCTCTGGCAACCTTCCCAAGTAGACGCCGAAGATGGAATCCTTAACTTGGTCCAAGGAATCCCCGCAGACCGTACAGTCGCACATAATCATACTGAAATCACCGTCCCAGCTGCCATCACTGGCGGATCCTCCTCTGATCCCCCTAAAACTTACTTCATCAATGAATACGCAATCACCACCCCTCCAGAAAAGGAAAAAAATGTCCTAGTTATGATGCACGGATACGGTGCAGGTCTATCCTTCTTCTTTAAAAACTTTGGCCCACTTGCCGCAGGTCTCGGGTCATCCTGGAGCATTTATGCACTTGACTGGCTGGGCTACGGCGGATCCTCAAGACCAAAATTCCGAGTGCGTACCTCCGATCTATCCGCAACTGAAAATGTAACCCTACCTTCCCCCATTAATCCACAAAAATCCCAAGTCCTTCATGAAAATGTCGTCACCCGTGAAACTGAAGACTGGTTCGTCGAGTCCCTAGAAGCATGGCGTGCCGCAAAGGGTATCGAACGATTCACCCTCATGGGTCATTCCATGGGCGGATACTTTGCCGCTGCTTATGCGTTCCGATACCCTCAACGAGTTGAACGTCTCGTCATGGTGTCCCCAGCTGGTGTCGAGCGTGGCTACGATCCAAGTCTCGATAATGAAACTTCATTTAGAAAAGCCTTTCTTTCTAAATCTAAAGAAGCTGACAAAACAGACGAGCCAACTCTTCAAGATGAAGTCGACAAGCCTCAATCTGATATTCAACACGCAGATCATGACACTCATCACCATACCCTTAACAATAAGAACCAACCTGAAATGGAGGTTACCGAGTTTGGCGAACGACCAAAAGGTTGGCGCAGTGCTGAAAACCGTAGACTACGGTTCGGACCCCGTATTTCTTACCTTTGGAATAACCACTACTCTCCCTTCTTCTTCATCCGCGCATCCACCTTCCTCGGCCCACGGCTGGTGTCCTACTGGTCATACAATAGATTTAACGGACTCACTATCGCCGAGCGTGACGCCATGCACACTTATGCTTACAAAATCATGAGTGGATCTGGGTCTGGAGAATATGCCATTACTCGTATTTTGGCCCCAGGCGCACTTCCACGAATGCCTCTTCTTGACCGTCTTGATAGTACGTTTGGATTGCTCAAGTGCCCGTCATTGTGGATGTACGGCCAGCAGGACTGGATGGACGTCGATGCTGGATTTGAAGCGGTAAAGGCCTTAAATGCGCTGGACGCTAAAGTTCAAACTGCAGCTGCTGCTGCTTCTCGCAATGGACAGCAAACTACACCTCCAATTAATAGAAAAGCAGACTATGTGGAAATCCCACAAGCTGGCCACCATCTTTATCTCGATAACCCCAATGCCTTCAACACAGTACTGTTGAGATATTTACTTAGGAAATAGAATTTGTTTTTTATTAGTTTATTGAATCAAAAAAAAAAAAAAAAAAAAAAAAAAAATTAAAATAAATAAGAAATATATATATATGTTATAAAATTTTAAAGCTTTCTGTAAATGTGAGAAGCAGAGGCCTGGTGCGAGGGGAACACAAGGGTCTCAGCAACGACAAAGTTCTGGCGTCTGGTCAGAGCAAAAGTAATAATCTCAGCAATGTCCTCAGCAACAAGAGGTTCAGTGCCCTGGTACACAGCATCAGCCTTGCCCTTGTCACCACGGTAGCGGACAATAGAGAATTCAGTCTCAACAGCACCAGGATCAACCTCAATGACACGGATGCGGGTGTCAATAACCTCCTTGCGCAGAGAGTGTGAAAAGGAACGCAGAGCAGCCTTAGTAGCGCAGTAAATGGCACCGCCAGGGTAAGGATCACGGCCAGCAATGGAACCCAGGTTAACCACATCACCGCTATTCTTCTTCTTAAAGATAGGAATGATGGCCTGTGTCAGAGCAATCATACCCAAAACGTTTGTGTTGAACATAACGTCCACGTCAGAAGACTTGATATCACCAACGCGCTCAACGCCATGGACCATGCCTGCATTGTTAATGAGCACGTCAACATCAGCGAATTCCGCAGGCAGGCTAGAAACAAAGCCTGGAATGGTATCGTGCTTGGACACGTCAAGTTCGACGGCCAGGACTTTGGCGTTGCTGTATTCTGACTCAATGTGTTTCTTAAGCTCTTCCAAACGATCAACGCGGCGGGCTGCAAGAATCAATTTCAGGTTACCATTGGCAGCACCAACAAGCTCCAGAGCTGTGGCCTTGCCAATACCGGCAGATGCGCCAGTGATGAGAACGGTTTTGCCAGCAATACGCTCGGCGGCTTTAGGTCCGTAGGTAGACATTGTGCGAGATAAGATGGATGGGAAGGATGGGGTAGTGAATAAAGGACGAAGAAAGTGTTTAAATAACATGAAAAAAAAAAGAAGAAGAAAGAAAAAAAAAAAAAAAAAAAAGAGAGAAAGAAAGGGAAAGGGGGCGACTTTTTATACGTTTAATTGGCAAAGAAAATGGAGACCGAGACCTAATGCGGGTTGGTAAGTGGTAGTCAGTGGTGGTGGTATAGGTGTATTTTTTTTTTTTTTTTTTGGGGGGGGAAGGAATGAGAGTAAAGAGAGTTTTGGCGATAAACGATTAATGATAGCGCGCGCACACTGAATTGTGCAATTACAAGTGCTTGTACCTTTCTGCTCATCTGTGTGTGTGGTTTTTTTTTTTTTTTTTTTTAAGGATTGGCCGGTATCGCTCTAAAAACTCTCAACTTTGTTTGATTGTTTGTTTTGTTGTTTCTACCCCCACTACCACATCCACCTCAACCATAACCAATATTGGCGGTTAAAAAAAAAAAAAAAAACTTGATCGGTGATCAAATTGAAAAAAAAATAAAAATAAAAATACCCGCCAGGGAAATAAGAAAATGAATCTGGTATAGAATATCCGAGATAGATGATGATGACTGGTACTCGGATTATTTTTTTTTCTTTTTTTTTTAAAGATTAGAAAAAAAAAACCGGTAAAACAAAAAAAAAATTAATCTCGGTAATTAGTGGGGAATGAAAAAAAAAAAATCAAAAAGACTTAACTTACCAGATATGCTGGTAACTTTTAGAGATGTAGGAGATTTTTTTTTCAACCACTCAAATAAGTTTATCTCCAATCATGTTTCAGGCCGCTTTTTTTTTTTATCACTTTTCACTCAATTGTATACTTATAAACATTCAAATTAGACCAAGAAATGACAGTCACTTTCCATTTGAATTTGTTTTTTTTTTTTTTGACAAATCCTTGGGAATACATGTACTTTTGCTTTATTTCAAAGATATCATTGATACATCAAACTGTTTAGTCCAGTGTTTAATAACACATTTCATTCAAATTCAAGCCTCTCAGGACTTTTCAAAAAAAAAAAAATTAAATAAAAGCTCAATTCTAGTTTATTCAAATTATTATAAATTATACTTCATTTTTTAAAAAGAATATTTATCATTTGTATTTTTAATAAAAATAAAAAGGTTTGTATAATATTAATATCGATTCATCTAACCTTAAAAATTCTTGTTCATCCACATTAATTTCGTTTTTCTCAGTCCAAGCCATCTCATTCTTAGGTTATCTTCAAAAAAAAATTGATAATTTCAAAAATAATAATCCCTATAAATTATGTCTAAGGTTGACTTTGCTAATATATATATATATATATATATTAAACTTTCTAATATGCCTATTTTTACCAGTTCTCTTTCAATTTTTGGTCATATTTAAAAACCTCTTAACTGAAAACCAAAGATTCTTTTTTAAAAAGCTTGAATGTGATATTTCACTAAAGCTAACTTGACATATAAAGCATTGAAAAGTATGCCATTCTGTCTATAGTAAAATAAATATAAGAAAAGTTTCTCACGATCACTAAACAATTATTGAAATAGGCTTTTTTTCTCTATAAAAATAATCTAAATCTAAAAAAAAAATTATCTGTTTTTATAAATGATTGATTTCTTTAAAAGAGAACAGCCAATTGAAAGAAATTTTTGACTTTTTGATTAATACATATAAAGATCTTGTTCGTGTTAAAACATACATATATAATGAATGGTATTCATGTGACATATGCTTTTAAATATTGCAGTAAAATGATGAGAAAAATAAAGGGTAATATGTGATGTTCTAACTTCTAAAAAAAGATGGGGAAAGCATTACGAGTACGATATTCAAAGATTTAAAACAATTTTTATTGACCCTAACCCTTGTGGAATCCATGTTATCTTACAGTTTTGAAAAACACCGTTTTCTAATTGTATTTTTCAAAACTGTAGGATAACATGTTACTTTTGATAAACACCGTTTTCTAATTGTATTTTTCAAAACTGTAAGATAACATGGATTCCACAAGGGTTAGGGTCAATAAAAATTGTTTCAATCAAACCTTTGAGCACAATCGAAGACTTGGTTTTATGTAAAATAATATTGTGATTATTAAATTGATAAAATCATAAACAAAAAAAAAATTATTATACTATAAGTTTCTAAATGTTATCATTAGTAAAGTTTAAAAGCTCCTTTATTACTGTAGAATTTCTGCTAATTAAAAGTTGAAGATTAATGGGAGGTCAATGATAAATCAAGTTCATCATTTAATTGTTTTAAAACCACAATAATTTTTTTTTAATATTAAAAAAAAGCTTTTTACGTTTTATTTCGTTAAAAATTTTTAATAAAAAAAAAAGATTAAAAGTTTAACATTTCCTGATTATGAAATAATAATTGAGTACTTTACGAAATCGTATAATGGACATGTTTTTTTTTTCTTTTTTTTAAAGAGTTGATGGCTCCAAATTATTATTACTATTATTAACAATTTTATATATTGGTTATCATGACATTATAACAAACTTTTGGTTTAAATTTATTCTAATCTTAAGAATTTGTTATGCGTATAATTGTCCGTTCCTTTTACTGCTTGATTTGGACTATTTCCACTCAAACAGTCAAATAGTCAAAATAAAAAAAAATAAAAAAAAAATAAAATAAAAAAGCTCTGCAATTTCATCTAATAATAATAATAAGTTAATTTAAAATTTTAGTTACAACTTGAGTGTTAATTCAATTTTCATATTTTTAGTTTTTAACTCTTGTTATTTTGTAATTTTTATTTGTTTCTATAACTCCTAATTTTAAAGCATTTCGCACTTAAACTCAAGTCATGTATGTTTATTAACCGGTTATGTAATTTTATGATGTGTTTATCAAAGTTTGTTCACCCGAAAAAACTGTTACTTGATTGAGACTAGTGCCAGGTCTGGACTTCTATCCAGTAACTGATCATGGCCATATCATGACATGATTAAAATATAAATTTGCCTTTGTTTTCTTTTTTTTCCCTTTGTTCCACAAAAAAAATAAAAAAAAAACTGGAGAATTACTCTACCCTACTTGTCCATTTAATCATCTTGCAATCTCTCTTCACATTGAAATAACCAAGCTTATCAAAACATTAAAAAATGAATTCAGACAACTTCAAAAACGATATTCAAAACAATTCACACGTTACTCCGGAAGTTCGAAATGATCAATTGAATCGTCGGCTTCATGACCATGAAATTTTTGCACGGAATTCCCATTTAAATCAATTTAAAGATGAACAGGGGATAGAACAACGTCCAAAAAACTCAACCAAGTTCACCACAATACCTGCACATGGGTCTTTACTCCACTCAGAAATGGTTGAGCAACTTGACGACGAGTCAGAAACTTCATCAGGCTCTGATTCATCAGACTCTTTACCTCAAAAAAAGCAATGATGTTTTCAGCCATTCAACTGGTTCAGGTTCTTCTTCTTCAAAGCCATTTCAAAACCCACCTTTCTTCTTCCATATGCAATCACGCGCTCAGGCTCAGGCTCAGGTTCAACCTCAACCTCAACCTCGACTTCAATCTCAATTGGGGCAAACTTTCCCAACTAATCAAGAATATTTCGAAAGCGGTAGAAGAATAGATAAGACTCTTGAAGAAATTAGAAAAGAACTTTTTTCTCCCTTGGTACCTATTGATTTTGATATATTAGCCATTCCACCTGGTTGGAAACAATTCCCAAGTAATTACTTTGATGGTATTCCACTCCGATACCCATCTGAGGGAGAAGAATTACATATTAAACCTGACGCGATTGATTTGATGTATTTATGGGAAGTTGCTGAGAACCCTATTGTTTTAGCTTTAGTCCCCTCTCAACACCTTCTCAGAGCATTTTATCTACGGCTAGCTAACATAATTTATCTTCAATATAAAGTTCGAATTAGCGAATTTTCTAATCCTTCTCGTGCTAGACAACAGTTAATAAATAGAATCAGAGTTTTTGTATGCCGAGAAGATGATATTTTTCACACTGCTGGAGATCCTAATACGATGAGCTCTAATCCTCTTGAAGCAAAAGAAAAGCTTCTTGCAAAAATTAGTCGATATTTTCTAGAATATAGAGACTATAAAAATAAGGTTCATCCACTTAAAAATCCAATCAGTCTTGACCATAATTTATCCGAACTCGATGATGTAATTGAAGAAATGACAGAACGTTCTATTGCTACTGAATCTTATTTAAGGGTTTTGCCACAAAAGCTAGAAAATTTGGAAATTTTAATGAATCATAATTTGGAGTCATTACGAGCCTTTAAATTAGATCAAGATAAATTAGTTCAACAGATATTAGACTTAAGATCTCTAATGGAAAGGAAAATAAATAATTTGGAAAGTCAATTAGAAAACATAGAAGGAAATGTTGAAAAGATCAAAGAAACTTTAAATAATCAATAAATAACTAATTAATTGTTTTATAGGTTCATTAAATACATCAAATGTTTGATTTTCTACCCATTTTGGGTCATGGTTGAACTTGATAACATTGTCAGATTTTTTAGCCTAGTTAAGTACCTAGTTAGTAGAAAACGTGACTTTTATACACTAGGTTTCGTATTTTTTTTTTTTTTTTTCAAGATAAACTTTAGTTTAAATTATGTAAAGTGAAAGGCTGCTCTCAACTTAACTAACGCCCTTTAAAAAACAAATCACTGTAAACACTTGCAGTGCTTTCAAATCACACCAGTGAGATTCTCCCAGAATTTTCTTTTTCCACAACATCTCCCTCATGGTTACAATTTTATCACTTCCTTTTGAACTACACCTTGCTATATCATGCTATTTAACGCCAGATGACCGTCAGGCTCTGAGTCATACATGCTCTTCACTCTTGGATGCATATCGGCCAGCTGTCTATTCTAATTGTTCCAATGTCGGGTGCAAATCGGCACGAATTCCAATTAGAAAACAAGTCCCTTATCCCATTATTTTGAATCCAGGCAAAGCATCTTGGTTTTTCAGCGAGCATGTACAAAGTTTAAAGATTTCTATGCCTGAAGTTTCTAAAGAATACGATTTTTTCAATGGTTTTGTTCTTTCTGTAGAGGACTATCCTAATCTTCAGACATTATATTTTGACCCGTCAATAATACTTTTAGAAAATCTGATAAATAGCAACTTTGTTAAAGGACTTTTTGAGTTTCAAAGAAAAAAACCAGAATGTGATATTGGTTTGATTTTCAATATTAAAGCAAACGGATTATCTATTTTAAGTTCGCCATCTTCTCCTTTAAACTTTGCAAATATTAAAAATTTAGCATTTTCAAGTAATAAACTGATAGTTCCAGATGGAACATCATTTCCTTCTTTAGAATGTTTTGATTTATACAATCACTTACCACTTGCAAAATTCAATCACAGTTTAAATACATTTGAGATTCCATTGCTAAATGCGATTGCAAAATCTCAAAACCTTAAACATGTCTATATCGATGGCCTTGTCAATACTCAAAAACAAGTTGATGATTTTTTAATATTTGGAGTCTTGAAACTGCCATCTAACTTGAAACACTGTCGGTTAATGTTGACTAAAGATGTCTTTGATTGGGAAGATGAAAATAACGACAATGATGACCAATTGAGTGCATCTAAAACTATACTGGTTCCTCAAATAACAATGCTAAGTACAGATTTTGTTTTGTCAGAATCAAAAATATTTCTTTTTCCAAGAGCTGAGGTTGTGCGTCTTGTTTTTAAAATCCGTCACGAGTTTATTCCTAATCTGTATAAGTCTATTCTAGTTGACATCTCCAAATTAAGCATCTCGTTTAGTGTTTATAGCTTAGATTCGATGGCTAACTTTGTTAATACACTTTTGCATATGAAAAATCTACAGCATCTAAAAATCAAGTTGGATGTAATGTGGAACGCGTTTAATATGAACAATTTAGCTCTAGATTTATTTGACGGAGCATTGAAAATCGTTGACGGATTAAAAGTGCTCCCACCCTTTTTAGAAGGACCAAAGCTGCAGTATGAAATTAAAAAACTGGTACCGCCTCAATACGAGATATATTTGGATTTATTTATTAATTTATATGAGGATCCCTTGTCATTATTACCCCTGGTTCGTAATTTCCACAATGAATCTCACAACTACTTGCTCTCAATAATGATTTTGCAAGAGGCTTTGTTCACTGTCATATCTAAAGTTAAAACGCTACAATTATTTTCTTTTCAAATTAAAGAATCATATGCATTTGAAACCGAGTTGTTAGTGATGTCTGTTATGCCACCTTACCGCCAGATTCCTAACTATGCTCTCCAAAAGCTACTTGGTCCATTCAGATCTTGTTCCAACTTGAAGCAAGTATTGCTTCATTATTCTTCTTTTTTTGATCATATAATTCCTAAAAGTTTGATGAAGGTTGAAGAAGGTCTTAGTGAAAGCTATGGAATTTTTGCTGATAAAAATAAGGTAAAGATTTCTAATTGCTGTACGATTATTCCTCAGCCATGTAAGATACATATTGAGTCAGAAATCTCATACTACTACATAATCTTGGGTTTTGATTATTCTTATTACGGTGATAACTGGAAGGGAAAGAAATTTATTGTTTCAAACAGTATAAACGATTTACTGGAAGAAACTTATGATATTGATATTAGTGACTTAGATGCTAGGGACATTGGCTTGTCTTGAATTAGTCAATGTTTATGAAATGTAAAAATAAGACATTTATTATATATTGAAAGTATTTTAATTTATTTATTTTAATAAGATTTTTTTTTTTTTTTTTTTGGCCTGGAAACTGTGATTTTTAAAAAAAAAATATCTTTTTTTTTTTTTTTCAACTTACCGACTCGTTTTCAAATAAATTGTCTCCATGTCTGGCGTTAAAGTCCAACAGCCCCACGGGGGTGTGAAGTTTGCCGTAGCCCGCCGCGCTTCTTTTTATTTTATTTTTTTATATTTTTTACTGATCCGATTTCGCCCATAACTTTGCCCCCCACTATCACCATCATCATATATATAAACCTCATATGCTCACCTTTTTTTGTTCAAACATGCGACCGATTTCGCCAGACCCAAGAAGGTTTTTTTTTTTTTCTTTTCAATCAACGACGCAAATAATGGAAAAAAAAAAAAAGTAAGCTTAGATTAAGCGCAACGTTTGTCTTATTAAAAGAGGGATACACTGCCGACAATGACTAAATTGATGCGCTTAAAAGAAAAGTGACAATGGATTAAAGAAACGAGATACCCGCTTAGTTGGCGAAATCGGTCGCATGTTTGAAATTAAAATCATGAAATCTTTAAATGCTTGTTGAAATTTTTGTTGAAATTTTTATTGAAAGGTAATAAAAAAAAAGTCCCCCACGGTAAATAAAGCCTATTTACTCGGCAACTTGCGTATCAATATAATATCCGATAAGTGAGTCTTTCATCGCGCCAGCAGCAGTCCAAGTGTTGAGAACATATTCAGGCAGAGACAACATTTTGTAAAACTGCGAATTTAACTTTTAACAAACAATGTATCATAATGATATCTCGATATGTGGTTCTCAAGTTGAGATTTTTATAAAATTTATGTTGATGAATTTCAAAAAAAATTGATATTTCATGTTTCTGACATCACAAGTTTCAATTGCATTTTACATAAAAGCTTCATTGTATCTTTACTAGGATCTCAATGTAAACTTATTTTTTTTTTTTTTATTTTTTTTTTAAAAAAAAAAAACTTCAATTCAATTATACAAAATGAGTGGGCATATTCTCTATTCAGGGCTAGATTTAACTAAAGAACTCTACCAAGAGCCAACACCACCTTCTGGTCCTGCTCCTTCAACAGCAAGTGGACAATACTCTGGGGCAGCCATTTCCTGGGACTGCAGAAGCGTATTGCCATCAGACACTTTTGACAACGGGAACCCGATTTATGTGCACTTTACCGGGAGTCCTGTGCGGCGGTCACACTTGAGTCGGTGCAATGATGGACAGGACTTTGGAACCAAGTCGACTGAGATTGTTGGTGCACAAGAAGGTTCTCGGCGACGACGGTTGCCATTAAAGAGTCTGCAACGCAAGTGCGAGGTATCTGAAGATATGATTGCTAGCTGGATATATTTGATTGCAGGAGGGTTTGTTTCATGTCTTGTGTGCTGGGTATTACGAGGAAATGTGCCATTGGGAGATAAGGGGTTCAGTCAGGTGGTTATACCTTTAGTGCCAGTTGAGTGTACATACACTGCGAAAGATTCATTGCGCCTAACTAATTTAAAAGATTTCTTTTACGAGTCACAATTTTTTACGGAAGTAAATTCGAGTTCAATTTTGACAAATGGTAATATTGGGTTTCGTCGAAATTTAAATGTAGATGCAACAGCATTGGGGGCCAAGAAAGTGGGATATGGCAACCAGAGCTATTATTCACACAAGTATCCATCAGTTGTGATGCTGGATCCTCGACGACATGTGAAATTTCGGCCTCTCAAGCGAAAAGACCCAGTTTTGTGTGATTATTATCATGTTGCGGAAGAGATGACACGGGGGTTAATGCAGCCAGAGCCCTTTCATAGTGATCATCCTGTTGTGAAGAAATATCTAGGGTCGCGGTCCATGTATACCTTGAGAAATTTGATTACGAAAGAAACGTATTTTTGGGAATTTAAGCGGTTGCCAAAGTGGGTACAGATGATAGCGATGAATCGATCAGATAATCGAGTCAAGACAGATCTGTTTGGAAATATTTATGTGAAAGGAACGAAAGTTGTTAACATGGTTCTTTGGAGTGTTAAGTTTAGATATTAATTCAGGGTATTATATATATTTAATATATGCTTATTTAGAAGATCAAAATGATGATGATATTATCAAGTATATTTTCCGGTAAGTCTATCTGTTTCGGACTTGATAATTACCAAAACGAAGGACTTGAGGGACATTTTTGGTTTGGGGGTTTTTCGAGTTTTTATTTTTTTTTTTTTGGGCAAGACACCACGAGAGGGTATTGTTTTGTGGAGAATTCCAAAGGGGTTAGGGCACGTACGGCGTTATTATTATTGTTTGGTTTTGATTATGGCCACCGGAGCATTTTTTTTTTTTTTTTCCCTTCCTACTACTACCATTTTTTATTTTTTTTTTTTTTTGTTACTGCCACCGGACCAAGTTCTAAATACTTGTATATAATTTCACTCCACGATATATTATAGCAACAATAAGAAAATAAAAGAAAAAAAAAATTTCCTTGTCATTTATACTTACTAAAGACACGAATTTGCATATATCCACAGAAGACATATATTCAAAGAGAAAGAAAGAAAGATATATTAATTGATATAAAGAGATCTGGATATACAGAAGTCTGTTTTTTTTTTTTTTTTTTTTTATTGACGTGTGTATATCGGGAATAATTACAACTATATATATACCATTAAGACTTATCGCATATATATTCACTCCAACATATACTACAAACACTTATTATTACCAGAATTATTATTAATATAGAAAAAAAAAATGGGTTAGTTGGAATCATCTTTTGATGTTATAAACATCAATTCTGTATTTTTATAATACCAACCAACTATGATGATTATGACGCGTGCATGACATATATATATGTTTACTACAAACAAAATGAAAAAAAAAAATGAAAATGAAAACGAAGGAAATCTAACCAGATCTATTATTTTGTTGTCAAATAGGTAACGTTTTTGGATCGATTCTTTCTAAGCTATGGGGCGGCAACAAGGAGGTGCGCATATTAATACTGGGTCTTGATGGCGCTGGTAAGACGACAATTCTATATCGGCTACAAATGGGAGAGGTTGTTTCTACAGTTCCAAGTGAGTATTAAAGAGAAATAAAAAAATTTCATTATTGAATGATTCTAACGAAAAATCTTTTTTTTTTTTGTTTAATAGCTATTGGATTCAATGTTGAGACCCTGACTTATAAAAATCTAAAGTTCAATGTTTGGGTAAGTATTAAGAGATGGTGGTGATGTTATGTGCGGCTCAAACAAATGAGTGAAATACGTTTTTTGATTTAACATTTTCTTTTTTTTTTTTTTTTTTTTTTTTTGCTTTCTCTTTTTAGGATGTTTCCGGACAAACAGCGTTACGACCGTTCTGGGTACTTTATACAAACGATACACAGGCGGTGATATTTGTTGTTGATTCTACAGACAAGGCACGAATTGAGTTGTGTGCTGAGGAACTTCATACCATGTTGGCTGAGGAGGAACTCAAGGATGCAGCATTACTTGTGTTTGCCAACAAGCAGGATCAGCCTGGAGCACTGTCAGCATCGGAGGTATCGAAGGCATTGAAGCTTGTTGATCTTAAAGATCGAAGCTGGAGTATTATGGGATCGAGTGCGATTACAGGAGAAGGGTTAAGTGAGGGATTGGACTGGCTGGCCAATGTGATTAAAGAGGAGCATATGTAGAATATAAAATGAGGTATATATATATATATTTTTTTTTTTGAGAAAAATTAATGTAAAGAGAAAAAGAAGAAGAAGAAGACGATTAAAAGGAATGAATTTTTTTTTTTTTTTTTTGAGGGTGGATATATATATATATATATTGGAAAGAGTGATTGAGTTTTAGACGATTGTGGATCATGGTTTTTGTTATTAGATTTATTTTTTTAAAGAGAAGATGATGACGATAACAATAAGCGGATGATAATATACGTGATAAGATAGTTTAATAAATTAATAAATTAATAAATTAATAAATTAATTTAAAATAATAATAATAATATACAAGCGATTTAACGTTCATAAGATACTCGCTTAGTCATGTAATATTTAAAAGTTTAGGAGGTTGCCGAAAGTTTACAGGCAGAGAAGGGAAAGCCCAAAAAAAATTAAAAATTAAAAATTAAAAAAAAAAGTAAAGAAGAGGCGCTGTTTCAACTTTTTTTTTATTTTTTGTTTGTTTGTTTGTTGTTGTTGTCATAGAGATTGTAATATGCTGAGCCCAGTAATAGTTGTTGTACTTAAAAATATTTTTTTTTTTTTTTTTCTTATTTAAATTGTCGTCATGTGTGTGGGGTTTTTTTTTTTTTTTTAGGTAGGGAAATTTAAAGGAAGAGGAGGAAGAAGAGGGGGAGGCAAATATTAAAAAAAAAAATTTTTTTTTTTAAAGGTCAACTGACAAGCAAGAAAGTTTTTTTTTTTTTTTTAAAAAAACCAAAAAAAGAATTGAAAAATTTTATTTATTTATTTATTCATTTTTTTTTTGTTGTGAGATTGAAATCAGTCAGATCAGATTAAAGTAATTGAAAAAAAAAAAAATAAAAAAAAATAAAAAAAATAAATTGAAAAATTTTATTAGATATAAATATGAGGATCAACGGTCATTGAATATTTAGATCCATCATCTGTAGCCTCAAAGTCCTAACAAGGTCAAGATTAGAGAATTGACAAAAAAAAAAACAAAACCAAAACCTCAAAAAACAAAATATTAATCAATTGTATAATAATAAATAATAAATAATTGATCATTGTACTATATATTTTAAATCAGTAGATGTATATATACTTATATATACATAAAAGTATTTTACAAAAATTTCAATCAATTCCTATCTGAATTTGTCTAATAGACTCTAAAGATTCAATTTTGATTATTTCTGTGTCAAAATTTCAAAATTACACATGTGTCATATTAAACATATATATATATATATATATACTTTTATTACACTGGGATACTTTAAGAAATAAAAAAAAAAACTTCAAATAACTTCTTTTCTCCCACCTGCTCTGCCTCCTTTTCAGGTTTTTTTTATTGAAGGAAATGAAAAAAAAAAAAAAAAAATTATTTTTTAACGTTGGTGGTGCATTGTGTCACTAAAACTGATCAGGAACGCGGAGAAACCAATTTGGATCCATTTAACTGGAGGGATGGAGGAGATGGTTGTTGTTTTTGTTGTTGTTGTTGTTGTTATTATTATTATTATTATTATTATTATTATTATTATTATTATTATTATTATTATTATTATTATTATTATTATTATTATTATTATTATTATTATTATTATTATTATTATTCTGGGCGAATTGACTACCGATATATTTGAAAAGAAAAAAAATTTTTTATTTTTTATTTCTTTTTTATAAAACGTATCATAAAAAAATCCGAGGCTTTTTTAGAATTCTACGAAAGACAATTTTTTTTTTTAAAGATCATTTTAAACTCTAAGAGTTCTTTTTTATTTTTTTTATTTTTTTTTATTTTTTTCTTTCTAAAGAAAAAAGATGAACTGAGAAAAAAAAAATAAAAAAAAAAGACCTTTGTTTGAAAGAAAAGTTTAGTGGTTTTATTTTTATTTTTATTTTTATTTTTTTTGAAACTAGTATTTTTTAAGCCTTATAAGACTAATTAGTTTTATATAGAGCCGTGGCTTTATCCCGTGGGCTTTAAAAAAAAATTGAATTGAATTGAATTGAATTGAATTGAATTTTTTTTTGCTTTGTTATTTTTCAAAAGAATTGTTACACCGGGTCATTTATATATCTTTTAATCAGTTTAATCCAGTTTAAAAATTCATATTTTTTTGTTGTTGTTGTTGTTGTTGTTGATGTAATAGTATTAAAGACTGTAGTTTCAATTAATCAATCTATTTAAAATATCATTCAGTTTAGATTTGATTGAAAAAAAAAATATATATATATATATACTTTAAATTTTTATTAAATTTTTATTAAATTTTTATTAAATTTTTATTAAATTTTTATTAAATTTTTATTAAATTTTTATAAAAATCACAGTTATTTATTTATTTATTACCTGCGGAACGGTTGCCCTTTTAAGCAGCCACAGCAATCATCTACCACTCAGCCATCAGCCATCAGCCATCAGCCATCAATGCATCAGCGCATCAGTGCATCAGTGCATCAAAAGCCGTCACAGTAGGACATCATCATCATCATCATTATCAGGGCCATTCAGGTTTTTTTAGAATGTGTCATTTAATAATTTAATAATAATAAATAAATAAATTAATTAGTATTACACGTTTTATTTGTTACACTAAAATAATTATATATATATATTATATTTGTTAGTAAATTTGTTGTTATTGTTAATAATTAACAAATCCTTTAAAGTAGTTTCAACCAAATTGTAATCTCCCAGCAATTCAAACAATTCAGTAGTAGTAGTAAAAGCAGCATTTTTAAACAAAAAAAAAAAAAACTCAATTGTTTCTTTGTTTTTTTTATTTTTATTTTTTATTATTAAAAATAAATTCTTTTAAATTAAATAAACAAATTTAAAACAACTATAATTAATTTTTTTTAACTATTGTTGTTGTTGTTGTAATTATAATAATAAATATCACAGCCACCACCACTACTACTACAACATCACCACACAACTCAAGTTTAATTCACCCTAAAAAAAAAAAAACAAAATAAAATAAAATAAAATAAAATAAAAATCATACAGACCCAATTCAATTTAATTCATTTTACAATTCATACGGCATAAAGCCTTTGAAATTTCCTTTTTTTTTTCATCATCTTCTTTAGAAAGACTTTTATTAATAATAATAATAATTATAATAATTATAATAATTATAATAATAATAATAATAATAATCCAATCTCTTTTCTTTTCATTTCATTCTAAATTATTATCCCCCACCCCATCTTTTTAAAATAATAATAAATAATAATAAATAATAATAATAATAATAATAAATAATAATAATAAAATAATATTAAATTTTTTATTTATTTCTTTTTTTTTTCTTTCTCTCTCTCTCCCCCCCTTTTTTTTTTTTTTTGGCGGGACTACTAAACATCAAACAACCACCCACCACCAAGACTGATTATTATAATCAAAAAAAAAAAAAAAAAAAAATTCATTGCCACCAAACCAAAAAAAAAAAAAACAAATCTATATTGAATATATTCTATACTAATACTAATACTAATACTAATACTAATACTAATACTAATACTAATCCTAATACTAATATTACTATTACTATTACTATTACTACTACTACTATTCTATATATTACCCCCCCCAAAGTTTACAACAAATAAACCTCCATTAAATTATCTAACAACAACAACAACAACAATAACAACAACAACTACAACATCTTCTTCTTTAACCTTTAAATATATTTATTTATTTATTTATCTACCATATTTTAATAACCCTTTTTTTTTTTTTTTTTTTATAACTCTCTCTCTCTCTCTCTCTCTCAATCTATCTAACTATCTAACTCCTTCTTTCAGCTGTTTATAACTCACTGGCTTTATTAACCTTTGGCGTTTACAAAACAAACTGATTCTCACCCAATTACCCTTTCCCCTTTTAAACTTCCTACTACTACTCCTCCTCCTCCCACTCACTCAATATACCCCTCCTTTTCTCTATACTTAAAGTATTTAACACTTATTATATACTAAATCAACACTGCCACTACCATTACCACTCTACAACCATCACCATCACCACCACCACCACCACTACCACCACCACTAAACTCATTTCTGTTTTATATCCTTATAGAATACAAAACCAAATACCCTTCCCCAATCTCTTTCTCAAATGTCCCAGCTAGTTTGCAAAAAAGTCCAGGACGGAAAAACTGGAGAGTTTAAGGAACTCACATACTCCCAACAAAACAATGTCGTTGGCAGCGGCTCTTTTGGAATTGTCTTTCAAACAAAACTATCTCCATCTGGTGAATATGCAGCCATCAAACGTGTTCTTCAAGATAAACGCTTCAAGGTGAGTATTCTCCAACATTGCTTGACTTGTTTTTTTTTTTTTTACTCTCTAACCTTTGGACTTTTTTTTTTTTTTTTTTTTTTTTTAGAATCGTGAACTCGAAATCATGAGAAAGGTTAGTCACCCTAACATTGTCGAACTCAAGGCTTTCTTTTACTCTACCGAAAAAGATGAAGTTTATCTCAACCTTGTTCTCGAATATGTTCCGGAAACAGTCTACAGAGCCCTTCGCCACTTTGCTAAACAAAAGACCTCTATGCCCATGATTGAAGTCAAGCTCTATACTTACCAGCTTTTCCGCTCACTCGCATATATTCACGCTCTCGGCATCTGCCACCGCGATATTAAGCCCCAGAACCTGCTGCTAGACCCACGCACCGGCATCCTTAAGCTTTGCGACTTTGGTTCTGCAAAAAACCTCGTCCCTGGCGAGCCCAACGTTTCCTACATTTGCTCCCGCTACTACCGCGCTCCGGAACTGATATTCGGCGCCACAAACTATACCACCAAAATTGACGTCTGGTCTTCGGGATGCGTCATGGCAGAACTTATGCTTGGCCAGCCCCTTTTCCCTGGAGAATCCGGTATTGACCAACTTGTCGAAATTATTAAGGTCCTCGGCACTCCAACCCGTGAACAAATCCGTACCATGAACCCCAACTATGTCGAGCATAAGTTCCCTCAAATCAAACCCCATCCCTTCACCAAGGTTTTCCGCAAAGCTAGTCCAGAGGCCATTGACTTAATAGCCCGTCTTCTTGAGTATTCCCCAGGAGTCCGTCTTTCTGCCATTGAAGCCATGGCTCACTCTTTCTTTGATGAGCTCCGCGATCCCAATACTAGACTTCCGGATTCGCGCACCCCTGGCGGAGGCCCCTCTCGTGACCTTCCACCACTCTTTAACTTTTCTCAACTCGAGCTCTCCATTGCTCCAGAACTTAATCAGAAGCTTGTCCCCCCACATGCCCGGCCTCAACTGGCGGCCCAAGGCATTGATCTTGATCGATTTATTCCTCTGCGCCCAGAACAGATACGGGCAGGTGTTAATTAGGGAAAGATACTGAAGTAAGAAGAAGAAGAAGAAGAAGAAGAAGAAGAAGAAGAATAAGAAGAGGTGACGAGTGAATAACTAAGTTTGCAATTATTATGAAGACAATAACTACGATGATAAAGGATGATGACTTCGGATGTTAAGTTTTTTTTTTTTATTATTGAAATGAGAAATTATTAAAAAAAAAAACCACCCCTCTCCCCACTCAAAACAAAAAAATTTGAAAAAAAAAAACTATACTAAACACACAAACATATATATATGTATACAAGAAAAAAAGTCTACAGAACAAAAAAAAAAAAAAAGTTATAGGAATTATAATAAAGAAGATGAAGATGAAAGAAAGAAGATTTAATTTTTTTTTTCTTCTTTTTAATTACAATGTGATTTTTTTTCTAATTTAATTTATTTTTATTTTTTTTATAAAACTGTTATAAAATAAGAGATATTTGTATTAATTATATATATATATATATATATATATATATATAATAAAGTATATAATACAAGAAAAAAAAAAGAGTTTAACTTGCCACTCATTAACTTTGTTTATACACAAAAGAAAAGAAAAAAAAAAAGACATGATGATTTTCGTAGTAAAAATTTAATAAGAATATTCAAATAATGAATATTTATATATATATATATTTGATATTTTAAATTGAAAAAAAAAATAATGTAATTATTGTAGATATAATGATATATTTGAGGAAAAAAACAAAAAAAAAATAGGCATTTGAAAGATCATCATCATGATGTCATGATGTCATGATGATGGGGACTTTTTCCAAAAAACATACTAAACAAACTTACAAACTTACAAACTTACAAACCTTCTATCTACCACCGACCAGACAGACGGATTATCGCAGGTGACCATTTCCAAAACACGCAATTATTGTTTTGAGTTTAAAAGTTGAAATAACAAAAGTCAAAATAAAAATAAAAATAAAACTTAATTAAAATCAAAAAAAAAAGAACAATAATTTTTTTTTTTTTTTTTAAAATAGTAACAGTTATTTATAATTAAATTTTCTTCAGAATCATTTCAATGGCTAATATTAATATACGAAATAATGAAAGAAAGAAAGAAAGAAAGAAAGAAAGAACGAACGATATATATATAAAACATGAATTATTATTATTATTATTATTATAACTGGAGAGAGTAACTATATTCATCCTCTACATTCTGCGCAACCCACAAAACAACACAGCTTAGCATTACAGCTCCGTTAGCAACCACATTTTCAATACCCATACTCAGAGTAGGCATTGGGAAGTTAGGGACAATATATCTAAGAACCAATAAAACAATACTACCAGCGAGGCCGCCTGCCAGCAGAGCAAACCCCATAAATAAAATCACTTTAGCTTGCCAATCAGCTGCAGATCCTGAAGAAGATGCTCCAAAGGAAAAATTCGCAGCAGAAAGCAAAGATTTATCAACTGAATTAATGACCAGCATTCCAAGCGAAGAAAATAAAAATGGAAGCCAGTCGGCGAACTTAACATGAACTGTGGACCCATTCACATGCTTTGAATAGAGTGCAGAGTCGAGTAGTGAGTAAAATCCGATAGCATACTAGAGAAAAAGGAAAGAAAGAAAGAAAGAAAGAAAGAAAGAAAGAAAGAAAGAAAAAAAAAGGGTGGTGTGAGGTTAGTTAAAGTATTATCAAGATTGGAAGAATTATTATTATCGCGAAGAAAACGATGATAATGGTAGTGGTGGTGGTGAGATCAGCAAGTTTTAAGGAAAAAGAAAAAAAAAAAAAGAAAAATTAAAAATTTTTAAAAAAAAAAAAACGTACAAGAGATCCGGCAAAGTAAACACCGGCTGCACGAAGAGTATTAGAAGAAATTCGTGGGAACTTGAATCGCAAGAAATGGTTATTGTCAAGAGAATCCATGGTTGTATGTTGTATAAATGTGACCGGGATGTTAAGGTAAGTAGGGCTGGCTAAGACTGGTTGTGATTGTGGTGGTGGTGGTGGTGATAATGATAGTGGTGGGGTGTATTTTTTTTTTTTTTATTATTATTGAGAGATGTTGTAGATGTTGTTTTTGTTACACAGTATATATATATATAAAAAAAGGGCTGTGGAGAGAAATTTGGGGAGAGAAAGGCTAATTTGTTACAAAAAGAAAGAGAAAAAAGATGTAATACATTTTGAGGGGAGAGACAATATATATATATATATATATATATGGTAAATAGTATGTGTGGAGAGGTTTATTTGAAGACCATATAATGAATATTTGGTAGCCAATGTTTACAAATAAAAAAAGAATAAAAGAAAATAAAAGAAAATAAAAGAAAATAAAATAAAAGAAAAAATCAATTATTATTAATTTAAATATTTAAATCAATAGAAAAAAAAATTATTGATTTGAAGAGTATTAGTAGTTGAAAAAAAAAAAAAGGGGGGGGGGAAGAATAAAAACCAGTTTGGTCTATATATCGTTTTATCTAAAACATGAGAATTGGTAAAAATCAAAATTGAATTTAGTTACTGTTTTATTTTATTTATTTATTTTTTTAATAATAACAATTAATTTGGTTAATTCATTTTTTTTATTATATAATTAGATTTACTTTTTATGTTGGAGTTTCAATATCTTTTCCCCCCCCAGAATGTCAAACCACTTTCCTTTCATAGGTTTAAACTTATATTTAAAAAAAAAAAAACAACATAAAAAAAAGAGTTCCCCCCTCTCAATTCTATTTTAAATAATTGAAATTCTTTTCAATTTTTTGTGCTAGGTTAGAAATTATCATCAATTGAAAGGAAAAGTGGTTCTAATAAAAGATACTTAGAATGAATACTATTAATCATTCTTGTGAAGCTTACTTCTCTTGCGAAATTATTTTTTTTTTTAAAATATCTACAAAAGGGTTTCCTCTCTTTTCTTTTCTTTATTTATTTTTATTTTTTTATATTTTGAAATCATTTACTTGATTAATTTAATTTTTTATTAACTGTTTCTTAACAATAATTTTTTTTTTCTATTTTCAAGTTATCATTTTAAAATCTAATATATATTTTTTCTCTCCCTCTCTCTCTCTCTCTCTCTTGTCTGAGTTACTCATTATGACATTAAATGTGCTCCACCGTTTTAATTTCCTAATAATATATCACCTCTACAGTATAAACCAACTCACCCCTCCTTTAAACAAAAAATTTTGTAAACAAAAACCCAATTTCACTCAACTACACTCAAAAATAATAATTAATTATTTTAACAAAAAAAAAAAAAAAAAAAAAAAAAAAAATTAGATTTCAATGAGTAACTCAGGAGCCCGGCCACATGGCCGTCCGCCTGGATCAACATCTTATACATCTACTTCACAACCAATAAACACCACCACTACTTCTCCTTCTTCTTCTTCTTCTTCGGCATCTTCATCATCCTCTCCTTTAGAATCTTTAGCATCAACACCTCTTGCTTCACAGCAACAACACACACTTTTACCTTCAACTCTTATGGCCTCCATTCCATTTGATTCAAAGTATGCACGATCTGTTGTGCAGACACATCTGGTATTCCAGAAATGGTTCACGCAGTACACTCAACTCCATCCTTCCAGAGTTACAGACATGTACGCAGAAGTGGCACATAGGCGGATTGAAAAGCTGTTTGAAGAAATGAATTTGACAACAAAAACAGAAACAGAAACAGTGAACCCTCATACAACATCAACATCAACATCAAGATCAAGATCAACATCAACAGAACCGGCATCGGAACCACCTAAAAAACCAACAAAATTGGAGGACTCTAAAACAGTGATGAGTGTCGAGGAAAGAAAGAAAATTATAGAAGAATATCAACAGAAACAAAAACAACAGCACCAGAATCAACAAGAACAACAGAATATGGCTCTCATACAAAGCAAAAGAAGTGAAGAACAGAAAGATGAGAAACCAGATATTAGAGAATTGCAGCTTATGTTGAGAGATAATGATATACCTGAGACTATGGAAGAAGAAGAACATGAAGAACATGAAGAACATGAAGAAGAGGAAGAAGAAATTAATATCAAAAAAGAGATAATACCATCGACAATGGCAATGGTTCCAGTGGCAAATACAGTCACTACTATGGAAACTGTCCCTGTTTCTGTTCCTGCCATAGAGTCACAACCTTTCAAAGCCATTGAACCTGCAAGAAAACCAGCTTCTGAAAAAGAACTACAGATTAAACAGGAACCAAAAGACGATAACATTCTTGCAATTATGCCCAATTTAGAGTCTACAGTGGCGGCACCCGAACAAGAAAGGGAGGAAGAGAATGGCACTGGAGCATATAACGAACAGGATACTACCATTGAATCTGCAACAGCGACGCCAAATATAGGAGACTCTGAATCAGAAGCTGTGGACAAAGCAATACATGAGAAAGATGTCGCAGAGCAATCTTCAGAACCCGAATTGCAACAGGAGCATGACAGACCTGTTTCCAGACCACGTGGTCGCCCTCGCAAAACTCAACAGCACGATAATGCGCCATCAATGGCGCTTGTGCCAGTAGCTGCTTCAAGTACTCCGGTCCTAGAGGATAATAGTGTGAGAGCAATTACGCGCAATGCGTTTAAAACAATTTTACAACAACATGCTGCGCAACAGCTGCAGTTGCAAAAGGAAAAAGAAAAGGAAAAGGAAAAGGAAAAGGAAAAAAAAGAAGTAAATGGACACAAAGAAACAGAAATGGTGGAGCATCAGGATAGTGTATTGGAGCTTGAGAATGTAAAAAACACAGCTGATGAAGGTACAGAGTTGGAACCGCCGCAAGAGCCATCATTAGAACCTATACCAGAATCCTTGCCAGAAACTGTTCCAGTATCAATACCAACAACTGCACCCGTGCAAATCCCAGTAATACCAGCAGATCAACCTAATATCACTACCGACAACAATGACGATACAAGTGTCCGGATCAAAGAACCCACTACGGGCTCTCAACCACAGCCAGCAATTGCTGAAACAGATACTCGGCCGGTTTTGGAATTACCTCCATGGTTGTCGCCGAAATCCAAGTCGACAAAGTCCGATGACAAAATTGCAGAAAAAATTGCAGAAAAAACTCAAAAAATTCAAAAAACATACAACATTAATCCCCCAATTACTCAGGTCATTTATTTGACTTCAAAAGTATCGCCATTGACACCGGAAGAACGCCACCTCTATTATAACCTGCCATTACCTCCCTCACCACTTCCTTCTTCACCAGAACAAGTTACCCGCGACACAATTACACGGCCAATTTCAATCAATGAGTTTTTCGAATATATAGCATCAATGTCGCTCGAACGCAAAAAGGCACTAAAACTGCGCCGGGCCATTGAGTTATCTGGACGAGACTCTTCGGGAACTAGGCCTACGTCGTACTCATGGTTCAAGTTTACATACCCTAAATGTCACATTGATGTGGCCCTAGACCCGGCCAAAATGTTTGCGCATGGACGTAACCAAGAACGCCGCGAAAAGGTCGAAGCCATACTGACAACTTTACATGCACGCCGCTGGTCGGCGCGTCATTCTGCTGAAGGCCGCAATTCCATGGCCCAAGCTTACAAAGTCCAGCGTCAGTTTGCTAAAGATACAGGTGTGTCTTACAAACAATTAGCAGAGGCTGCACATCCCATGCCACGGCTTTACAAAAACAAGCTTCCACAGGAGTTTATCGAAAAGGAACAACAGTTGCTGGCAACTGAGACTGCTATGGCTTTACAGAAACAATACTTCAGAGCACAATGGATGCTAGAGCAAGTCAACATACAGGTTCTTGGAGGGTCCGACGTTACGTTTAATAAAGCTGATGGTAACAAAACTTCAGGCAAACAAACACAGAAACAGAAACAGAAAAATCGTGGATTATATGGACGTGCACTCATGCTACACACGGCTGGGCCTGAAGCTACCTCGTTGACTGCTCCGGGAGTTTACAGCACTTACGGGGCACGGTTTGGGATTCATGCGGAACTGGGAAGACCACAATACACAGCACTCAACTATGTGACTGCGAAGGAAAATTATTATGCCCCAGGTGAAGTTTTCGATTCATTGACAGAGCAAGAGGCAGCCAAAGATAACAATGAAGACAACGCCATTTCTTCACCAACATCCGTCTCAGCGCTTACAAAACATATTAAAGAGAATTGTCCACATCTTTCACAATTACCACCGATCCACCAGTTCCCGTTTCTGCTTCGAAATCTTCCTGAAGGTAAAGTTCGGACAGATGCAGTAGCAGATTGCGAGATAATGGCTAGCATTCCGTTTTCAGATGAAACTGACAATGAAGAGCAACAAGAGGATGAAACTGATGAATTGCAACCTGAAACAACATTGACTGCTGATGCTACTGATGCTGCTGCAGAAGATGAGTCGGCTGAATTGCAGCCTGAAGAAGAGAAACAAGCTGGATCTAAAGGTGCCGACCTGCAGGGTCCTACGAAACGCAAACGTGACAATGCCGAAGATACAGCCGATAACAAGCAGACCAAACCCAAACGAAAGTATCGCCGCCGTAAGAAATTCTTTTACTAATTAATGTCTTTTTTTATATTTTTGGATGGGCTCTTGGACAGGTGTGGGGTTTTTTTTTTATTTGGTTACAATTTATTATAGAGAATTTCATACCGGTTATTGGTATTTAAATCAATTGCATTTGAATTTTTTCACTATACAGTTTACTAAAGTTTGAGGCTTCAGTTGGTTGATTCCTGTTAAACACCACCACTTCTGGCTTGTTCCCCTCAAAATCCATTTATATACATTATCTTACTATTTTTTTTTTGTTCTTTTTTTTGTTCTTCTTCTTTCATCTCATTTCATACCGATTGTTTCTTTCTTCCTTCACTTTCTACTTTATAATGAGCCCCCCTACATATACCCCGGAATACATTAGTCTAGCTTCCATTTCTTCTGCTTCGCCAATTATTGACCTTGGTCCGCAACCACAATACACCCTGCATCAACATCACTTTTTATCATCATCATCGGCTTCAACTGCAACTACTCTTGCAGAAATGCCCACCAGCTTATCTTCTGGTGGATCCTCCACAGCTGTCGATAGCTGCTGTTTACCCACAAACAACATGGCACCGCCACTGTTAAAAACTCCATACACAGAGAACCAGACACAAACATCCACCACTCCTTCTCCTTTTGAAATCTTTCAGGCTTGGGCAGAATCTAATTATACAGACTTATCTTCGTGTCACTGGCCTTCATCTGGATCCGCATCTCTTCCTTCTTCGGCAAATACACTTCATTCATCACACCTTTTCTTCTCACCAGTGGACTCGGGCTCACAAACTTATTTTCCCTCATTTGCAGAATTACATGGTCAACATGTCTCTCGCCGTGTATCGCTACCGAGTAGTGCATCTGCTGACCACCGTACTCGTGTCATTGGCGCAGAAGTGTGGAACAGATTATGTGGCGTGTTTGAACACAAATACTTTATGGGAGGACATGTAGATGATGGTGATTCACACACAATATCAACCGCAATATCAAGTACTTCAACATCCCGGCAGATTTCTGCTACAGTTCGCGGTGGTGCAGCTACTGGTATTGCATCCCAAGAATTCTTAACTGGTCGGCCAAACAAACACCTTTCTGTTGGTGTTTTGGATTTGGAAAATGGGGGAACTAACGCCACAATCAAAAATGATAAATCTACCGGAATGCCGCTGCCTGTGGTTTGTGATGCGCTATTGTTAGGGTGCAAGTTTGATTTGGCAGGTTGCCGAAATTATTTACTTGACGAGACACTTGACAAGTTGTATCGCCAGTTGTACCCGATCAATCAGTTTTCATCAAGAACACAGGAACCGTTAAATTCTGAGAGCTTAGATTTTGTGCTCCTGCTGTATCAATTGTGTGCCATTGCGGTGAAAACGTTGTATGAAAAATCAACAATCGACACTCAAACCCCCCAATCTGCACAATCTTTGTACTCTAATGGTGAGCAACTACACGCTTTTGCAAGAAGCACTAGTCAACTCCAATGCACTATATTTTCTTACTCCTTACTTGTACTTTTTTGGATTTCCAAAGAAGATATTATATCTCAGTCATTTTTAGAAACGGGATCCATTGATACATGTTCTATTAAATATCTTGTGGAAATGTATAGCTCTATTTTCCATAAGCAACCTCTAGAAACTGGATCGCAGCCACTTTTCCCTGGACCAATTGACGTTGTTCCCCATTTACAACGTTTAGTCTGGGTTTCTCTCCTATACCATAAACTTTGCAGCAGCTGTAACGACAAACAAGTATTTTATATGCAACAAGCATTTGCTTTAATTCTTGAACAAGAGTATAAGGACGCATGTGGAAGTTTTAGTGATAAGCCACTACCATGCTCAAGCGAAAAAATGGTAAATTTGCATTTTTTTGATTTTGACAAATCGAGAAACTTTCAAGCAGATGGAATGTGTCAATTAGCTGGTGATTTTTTCCAGGCCCTTGCATTGATTTACCGTGCAATCTTTAAGTATTTTTGAAAAAGAGTTCTTTTTAAGCCCTTTTTTTTTTCTAACTTTTTTTTTTATTAGTGGACAGTTTCGACTTCAGTTGAAGGATATTTCGAATTACATTTGGGAACTTACAAATAAAAGTCGGATGTTTTTTGTGAAGCAAGATTTAATTAATCTTTTGCTTGAGCCTTGTAAGTATATTTTACCCAACTGAGGTTTTTTTTAAAAGTCCACTAACTTTGATAGTTTGTATTCTTGGTGAACTGACTACAAGTTTTGTTAAAATTGCTCAAAAGCTCAATCAAAAACAAGAAGGACACCCGCAAAGCATGTTCCCTGGAAGTACAGGAATGTCTCCAAAACCTGCTACCACAATTTGGACCGATTGGGTGCTTCCTATCAATAGCATTTCCAAGTCTGATTTTGAAGACGAGGTGTTTTTCCCATTATTGTGGGACACTAGCATTATGGATGAGTTTTCAAAGGTCTGCGATAAGAAGCGGGCCACCGAGCCACAAGATCAAGCAGAGGAATATTGCAACTCCATAAGGCTTCACAATATTCTCAAAAACCCGGCCAAATTATACCAAATCTTTTGTCCCCTAAATTCAATCAATTTGCAAGAAATTTACAGCAATATTATGGCTTTTGATGTGAAGAATGACAGGGCAATTAATTTACTTGGAACATCAAATAACTCAAGTCAACTAGTCAAGCATGAGTCAATTTTTGACACTGGGTCCAAGAAAAAAGTAAAAAAGAAAAGGAAGGACGGAACCTTGGTTTCCAGGGGGAAATGGAACAAGATTGGCAAGGAACAAGCAGGAACCTCCTCATCTCTAAAGGGCCACAAAAAAAATTCAAGATCGCGCTATCATAAAGCAGTTACAGAAGCCGAGGTTGGTTTATTGACGCGCATGTTTTTAGGATGCACGTTATCTTTGACTTCTTGTGCTTCTGGCGAGAGTGCTACACCGCAGCCTGAACTAAGATTTTCGCCTCAAGTTCGTCTTCAAAAGAAAAAGCTGTCATTTACCGGAGAATATCTTAGTAACCAAAAACCGCGACATTCTGAGTTTACTATAAATGGAATTGACTTGGAAGAGTTGCGGCATGTTCCGGTAGAAAGTTTCCCCAGAGTATCTCCCTGTGAACCTGATATTCCGGAAACTATAGGTACTCTTACAACTCTTCGCAATGGAAATGGGAGCTGGGTAATGAGCAAGTCTATTTTAAAAAAACCAGTGACTCCACAGTATTCTTCTGATGATGGATTGAGCGACAGTAATAGCATTTTGAGTGCTAATAGCAAGTGGTGGTTAGCTAATCCTGTAAGTTCAGCTTCATTAATAGAAGAACAACAACGAGGGAATGATTACGAGTTTCCAGAAAATGAAGAAGTCCACTCTTGCTTTTATCCGACAAAGACAGAATCTGTAAACTCTGAGTTAAAAGTTTCTGCAGATGAGTCTGACATGTCAATGGATAGTACTATGGGTGTTACGATTAAAGGATGTATTACGGGTAATGATACCATTAAGCTGGCCAATACTAGTACGAAGAAGAAGAAAAAGAAGCGAGTCAGTTTTAAAATTGATGATGAAATTATTAATCACCCACCTTTAAAGTCTCCAGAGTTTGACAATGATGGAGACGTGGATATGAGCGATAGTGATGGTACTAAGAAACCCAGCTTTACACAGTTGTTTGAACCAGTTAAGAGTGCAGATTCCAGCACAAGTCCTAATTTTTGTTTAACACTTGTACCAAAAATTGAGGGTACTACTGAACCAAATGAAAACAATATTATGGAACGAAGTCTTGACGAGACCATTGAAGAAGAGGAAACCCCAGAGTATGATACCACGAAAACTGTCAGCACTAGATCTTACGACTCTGTGACTTCACAAACAAAATTCTTTTACGAGCTGGATAGAATTTCACCCAAGCAGGGATACAAGGAAAGCTCATTGAAACGTAGCGTCAAGTTGGATGTTTTATTCAACAACTCTGCAGAAACTATTATTGAAGAAAATCCCCCAGAAGAAGCAGTATACAAATCATTACCAACCCTGATTCACCCTCAAGCACTACGCTTGTTTGAACACTTCCCAATCGAAGAAAGCTGCACTTATATTCCGGATCAAGTACCTTCTCGAGCCATGAATACCTTAATAAGATATGGGGACTTTCAGCCCTTGGATCATAGCAGTACTATTTATGTGAGGGAAGACAATCATTATCCACAAAAGTACTATCATCATAATAGTCCACTTGGAACACCCAGCAGCTATTGCCTGTCGAGCGAAAGCTTGTTTAGCGGGAAAGTTACAGAACAACTTCAAAGTAGCGCAGCAACTTCTATAGATGAACGCGAAGTACTGCCACTTTACAATGGAAAGTTTAGTTAAAAAAGAAAAAAGAAAAAAGAAAAAAGAGACACAAGAGAACAGAATAGAATAGAATCAATATAAAAATAAAGAAAAACCATTAAAAAAATAAAAAAACAAAAAAAACAAAATCTAAATATCTTTTTCCTCTTCCAAGCCACTCAAAAGACCAATGGCTGCACCCAAACACCACCCAAGTTCATGATTGTGAATTTTCTTTGCAATTGTGACCTCACGATCCAGGGGGATTCCATATCCCTTGCTAAGTAGAGAGTACATGACTGCAAGATCCAAGCACCACTCTGGACGCCCATCTAGCTCCTGGATAACCTCATTTGAAAGATCTTTAAAGCGGGGGTTAATTTCGCCACCATATACTTTTCGTTGCCGCGACCAAGCCTGGGGGCCCTGACAGACATCCGCTAACAATGTTGTAAACTCTGAAAGAGGGAATTTTTGCGGGAGTCCCAGTGGGAACGTGCGGTCGTAAAAGTACGAAAAAATGTATAATGGTGCGTCAGTGCTAGAATTTGAACGTTTGCCAAACGTTTCTGAAATATCAGGCTGATGGATGCCGTTAAAAGAGCAGGGATCAAGATGACATTGGACATCAAGATTTAGAATTTGCAGAGTTATATCGATACATTCTTCTGGATCCTGGGCAATCTTTGGACCCACCATGGTGACCAGCAAGTTTTCAGAGTGCGTTTGCGGGGTTGACCCATCGACAAGCAAATCCTCTTCAATCAAGTTCATTTCACGGAGCTTGTCAATGTAATGATCCACTTTTTGAACTAACGGGCTGCCACCAAGCTTTTCTTGTAATATCGATCTGATTGGTACTCTTACCGTTCTATTCATACCAGTGGCAACACAAGGATTTTCTAAATGAAAAATATGGCCGCTCTTTTTAAAGAAAAAATTGTCAAGTTTACTTTCGAGCAAGTCCCCACTATAGTCGTCAACTAATGCTTCAATGTAATTGGAAAACACTGTCTGGTGAATTTTCTTGCGCGCCTCCATCAATCCGTACCCTAGATGAGAATGCTGATATAGCTTATACTGGTATCCTCCAAGAACCATGTCATAAATATGGTCGCCATGTCCAGCATGGACAATTTCCTGAATCACTGCATCTGAATATAACACTGGGTCTGGTTCGAAAACAATCTGAGTAGAAGCTCCACCCAAATCAAAAACGGCTGCTGTCATTTTATGGTTTCTTTTAATTGACAAGCTATCAGTATTGTTATTAGACCCCTCATCGTCCAAATATTCAAGCAGGTAGTTTGTTGTGAGCCAAGCATAAACCGCTTCTTCCTTCCCATCCATAATGCCTACGTCTTTAATTTTAAAGGGGTAATTTTCTTTTAGGTATTGAGTGACGTAGTCGATATACTGCGCACTCGTTTCTGATCCAATAAGTCTCAGTCCGGCAGTAGCCTTAAGTGCAAGAGGAGTGGTTTTGCGCAACTTTTCCGGGACAATTTGGAGCGCAACCTTAAGCAACGGATCAAGACTTTTGGCGCCTTCATCGAAATTCTGAACATAGGGCTTGTATGAAAGACCTGGTCGCGTGAGTTCAAAGGTCTCATGAACTAGCTGAGGAATATAATGTGTGTTTTGTCCTGGAGAGGCACTAATGGATGTATTAAACTCATACACGTGTACTCTGCTGCCGGTGGACCCAGCATCGATGATAACAACAAAATTGGATTCTAGTAAATCGGCAGGCTTTGAAAGACCATCAGTCAGGGAGTTCACAGTTTCGTTTGATGATATTAAATATGCCACTAAAATTGCCACTAAGGCTGCGATAAAAGTAATTTTGAAATAAATAAAAGCTGATTTGATCGAGGTGTGTTTATGCTCTATTGTTTTAGAATGTTGCGGCTTAGCACTAAGTTCAGGCTGCGAGGTTTTTGAGTTTCGAGGGCTTCGACTTGTAGATCTGCTGGATGAAGTGTCGGTTTCTTTAGACAGAACAGAAGAATTTCTATCTTCAATAAGTGATTTGCTTGAAGTTAAGTGACTTGCTTCATTTTGAGTTGATAAGGGCTCGGTTGCCGGCAATGTTTGAGTGTTTATTGATGTATCAGCAGGCATTGTACAAATATAAAGCTGAAACAATGAGTTTATCAAAGAGTAGTGCTTGAGATAAAGAGTGACATATTATGAAAAAGAAGAAGAAGAAGAAGAAGAAAAGGTGGCAAACACCGGAATTCAAGATGGAATAGTAAGAACAGGCAAAAAACGAAACACGTCGGATAAGCGTAGAAAGAAAAAGAAAAAATAGAATGGAAGCAGTTATTATTATTATTATTATTATTATTATTATTATTATTATTATTATTATTAAAAAAAAAAAAAAAGTAATTTAGCGCCCATAACTAGCCGCATTTAATATTACGTAATAGTTTGTTGTATAATTATATAATAATCACATGAGTTTATTTGACCAATAATATCTTACAATTCGCGAACATTCACGTTTCTGTCACCACCTCTAAAAAAATAAACAAAAGTACGCGTTTTTTTTTTTTTTTTTTTTTTTGAAAAATAAAAAAAAACTTGAAAGCGTGTTGTCTTTTCTTCCCTTTTTTAAATTTCTTTTCTCCTCCAATACTTGCCGCCACAACCCCTCCCCTCTCTCTCTCTCTCTCTTTTTTTTTTGTAAAAAAATACATCTAAAATACATCTAAAGACTCTTTAAACTGTCTTGTTTTTGAGTACATGCATATGGTGATTTAGTTATCATGGAAAAAGAGGATAGTACCCAGCCCAATACCCGAGAGCCTCCCAACTCTGACTCCATTGATGTCGAACCTGATGACATCTGTTACCTTTCTTGTCTGACTCATCATTACGGCAGAATCAGACTCCAGAGTAATAACGGTACTCGGTTTCAGTGGACATTTGGCCGTTTGCCAGAGTGTAATATCCAAATTGATTACTCTCGAAGAATTAGTAAGATTCATTTTCTCATTACAAAGGTAAATTTCTTTTTAGTCCATTATTAGCACTAAATACTAACTTTAAGTAGAAAAATGAAAATGTTTTGCTTAAGGACGTTTCAACCAATGGCACTCTTCTTAATAGTATAAGAATCGCCAAAAACAAGGAGTACATTCTGGCTCATGGTGATGAAATCACAATCGGAAGTGGCGTCCCTGGTGAAGAAGTTAAATTTTTTGTTACATTCCCAGGTACTACCACTGGAACCCCTACCGAAGGTGTTCATGCGCAGTACGATCTTCGCTCTGAGGTTTTAGGCCAAGGTGCTTTTGCAGTGGTCAAAAAGGCCATCGAACGCACAACGGGTAATCCCTACGCTGTTAAAATCATTGATAAAAAGAAAATTATGTCTGGCGTCTCCGTTGAGCGTGAAATTGACATTCTCAAGAAGCTTAAACATGAGTACATTGTTGGTCTCAGGGACTTTTATGAAGATGGAAATAATTACTACTTGATTATGGACCTTATTTCTGGTGGTGATCTCATGGACTTTGTTACCAGTAACGGTGCCATTCCTGAGGAACCCTCGAGAGAAATTGCTCGTCAAGTTTTGTGTGCTCTTCAATATGTGCACTCTCTTGGCATCTCTCATCGTGATATCAAGCCTGACAATATTCTTATTGCTCAAGATGAGCCTGTCATTGTCCGTATTTCTGATTTCGGTCTTGCCAAGCTCACAAAATCAGGGTCTAGTTTGCAAACCTTTTGCGGTACTCTAGCTTACTTGGCACCAGAAATTATGGCAAAGAAGCATTCTGAGAATGGCAAATCTACAATTTACTCCAACAAGGTGGACATTTGGAGTGTTGGATGCATGCTTTATGTCATCTTGACTGGTTATTTACCATTCAGCAACAACACTCAAAATGCACTTTATCAAAGTGTTTTGTCAGGAAGATTTTGCATGGAACCTCTCATTAGTGCTAACATCAGCAAGCCTTGTCTTGACTTTTTGCATTACGTTTTAGACGTCAACCAAGATAGTCGTCCTTCTGCTGAACAAGCTCTTCAGCATTACTGGTTTACCAAATTTTCGTTTGACAATGATGAATCTCAAACTTCCGAAGCCTTTGTTGCTCCTTCTGTTTCTTCTGTGGAACCTGCTGCCCCTGAGCCTAGTTTGGTTCCTGCTCCCAAGAGTATTTCTATTAAGCGACAACCTTCTGTTGCAAATCATGGTAAGGGTGCCATCAAAAATCCTGATGAATTCCCATCCATGAGATTGAATTTGGACGTCAAAGCTAACGAGAAAAACAGTGATGGCGATATCGATATCCCTGACGTGCCTGAACTTGAACCTTCTTCGGAAGATGTCCCAATGGTATCTCCCAAAGAAAAGAAAGAGACTCAGAAGTCTAAGGAAACAACTAAAAAGGTTCCTGTTACTTCACAACCCCCTACTCAAAAGGTTGGTAATGTTCCGGAACCAAAGGGGGCCCAAAATGGACATGACCCTAATGACTCTGACGAGGACGGCGACGAAATCCGACAAGCCGCTGACGCTCAATTTAAAAACCGTGTCAATCAAGTTAATTCCATTGTCAAGTCTTTGAACAATAGCAATTCATCGCCACTTCAAAGCCGACCATACATCTCTGTTGTCAGAGACATGGACAACCAAAATGCTATTGACATGCCTATTGGCACCTGGATGATTCTCCGAACACTCGATACTAGTATTCCTCACGAAGATATTTGTATCACACATCCACTCTTGAAGTTTGGTCGCAGCAGTGAAATTGATAACGTATTTGATTTGAGGGACAATCGAATTTCCAAGTTACATGCTTGTATTGGTGTCCAACCCGCAAGTCCTAACTCGCCTTCTAAGAATGGTCTTTACAAAATATTTTTGGGAGATTGGTCGCGAAACGGCTGTTATGTCAATAAGGAAAAGATTGGAAAAGGAAATATGGCTCAACTCCAAGATGGCGATGTTATTTACTTTTTCCAAGAAACGAGAGCAGTCGAATTCTTGGGTTTCCAAGTAGTCGTTATTGATACACCTTCTTTTGTTTCCAGACCACATTCAGATAAGAACGTTATTCTTCCATTCAACGAGGACCCTCTCAGGTTCAAAGGATGGGTTAAAGGCACTGTTTCTATCGGACACTTGTCGTCGCCTATTTCTTCTTCGCCAAGTAATAGAGTTGGAAATAGGCATTCACGTTTTAACGAACTACAATCAATTACTTCACCTAATACCCCTGGCAAGCGTGCTCTTGTTGAATCTGAAGACGACAGACCAGCCAAGAGAGTTTCACGTTACAAATAATGATTTTTTTTTTCTACAATGTGTTTGGACTTAGATTTTGGGAATAGTTTTGGATCTGATTGGTTAATGAATATATTAAATAAATAATAAATAAGCTTTACTGATGTAAATGTTTCTGCTTTTGTTTTCGTGACTTTGAACTAGTTCTTGTTAGCACACAATGTATTTGTAGAGTCCATCAGTGCTAACTGTACTCCAGACGTCGGTAATTCTTTTTTCATCTTCAATCTTTAGTTTGTAGTACACTGAAAAAAAGATGGCCCAGGAGTCGATTAAAATGATGTAGTAAGTCAGATATTTGTTGGAAAGACAAGCAAACAAACAAATATAAAAGAATAACTGAGAAGTATCTACCACTGGCATTGATAATAATATGGTATATTAATCCGGCCGAAAGTTATTGTAGAAAAATTGAATGTTAAAAGAAAGAAAAAACACCATGTTTTTTTTTAAAAAAAAAAAAAAGAAGAATGAATAAACAATTACGACTGGATCAAACTTGCAGATTTAAATGTTATGTTTCATCATCACAATTTGATAATGTGTAAGGCTATCCTTATAATTAAGCCGCATCCACAAAAACGGAAGTTAAACAAGGCAGACTGATTCAAATGTTTCTCGGGAAAATGATTTTTTTTTTTTTGAAAACAAACGAAACAATATATTTAAAAGGAAAGAACTATATTAAAACATCAAAATCATGGGCGCATAAAGGTTTTTTTTTTGGTGGGGTTCGTAACAATAATGAGATAGGTTTATTCTTGATACCATTAGTTTCTAACGGTAACAGGATCAATGCCACTTGCAATGTTGCATTGATGCATGAGACGGGTCTCGCCTTCGGCGAATTGACCAGTGACACTGTGCAAAACACCCTGGTTGTGGAAGAGAGCAAGATCACCCTTCTTCCAAGGGTGGACATAAATGTTCTTGGGGGAAATAGCGGGGCGAATCAATCTGTAAGCCTCCTTGCGAGCATCTTCGAGCTCCAAAACAGTGCCATCGGGGCGGTGCATTCTGTAAACGCAAGCGCCATGGATCTGAAGGTGGTGTCTGCCAGTGACAGGGTTAGTCCAGACCATAGGAAGCTTCTTGACCTTGGACTCTTCCCATTCGGGAAGTTCATCAAGAGGAATTTCCTTGCCCTCCGAGACCATGGTAACACCATCACTGGTAGCACGGGCAGGAGAAATGAAAATGTAAGGGTGAGGAGCGTACTCAACAGTGGTACCAAGGGCAAGTTCCTTGTCTTCGTCAGAAAGAGCATCAAAAGCATTGGCACCGGAAAAGAAACCAGTACCAGCCTGAGCAATTTCAATTTCCTCGTTGGTATCTTCATATTTGATCTTCATGGTCTTTGTGGTCTCAGGAACGTGAATACCAAGAAGAGTGGTGCAAACTGGGGGAGAAAGACCATAGAGAGCAGAGTCAATGTGCCATCTGTAGAAGCGAGTGTAGCCATTGGCAACCTCTTCATCACTCAAAGGCTTTTGGTGGAAATCAAAGTGAGTAGGATGACGAAGGTCAATAGATGCCATGCCGCAGTGGTTTTTAAAAGTGCCCTGGCCCAAAACCTGGACTTGAGGCTGGTCGGGAACGGAAACACCGTCACGACGAAGAACTGACTGGTCGTGGCGGAACTCCTTAGCATGGCCGTAAGCACCTTCGCAGGAAGGGTCCATGCGCTTTGTGATCTGGTACTGAGAGCTCGGAGCAAGGTTTTCTTGGCCGGGGATGACAAGGACGCTGTGGGTCAAAAGACCTTCCTTGAGCTTTTGGAAGTCCTCGTCATTAAGATCGGCGGGATCGGTGATACCAGTGGGAAGAGTAACGACGGCACCAAGGGGAGCGTCAGGGATAGGAGTAAATTCAAGCTCTTGTCTGTGAGGCATTTTAAATGTTGTTAATAGTTGAAGCTGTGGGAGTTAAAGTTGTTGAAGTTGTAGTTGTTTGTAAGACTTGATTGTAGTCTTTTTAGATGTTGTTGTAGTTTTTGTTGGATTGTTTTTTTTTTATAGTGATAAATGAAAAAGAACGAAAGAAAAAAAAACTCAACCAATCCATGGAAATCCAAGTCATATTTATATTTAAGACCGAAATTTCCAATTTGTTTTAATTCAAAAGTGTAAGACCAAATTACGATTGGGCAACTATGCGGTATCCCCGTCGGGTCTTGCCGAATAAAGAAGGTTTGAAGATTGCGACGACCTCTAGATAGTGGGGGAGATTGTCAGATCCTGTGCGGCTGATAAATCCCACCGGAAATGCCGACGGTTTTTACCGCGGTATATCCGGTTGTACAGCGCTCTATGTATATATACTGCATGACTTGTGCAAGTCAAAAAAAAAAAAAAAAAAAAAAACAAACAAACAAACAAACAAACAGCCCAACCCGCGGGAACTCGACGCGCTTGGAAAAAGTAGAAAAAAAATTTCATTCGTTTTTAAATACGCCAACTTCCATCAACTAGCACAGGCTGTTTTGCCTGTTCATAGAAAAATATACATGTTCTTTTTACACTGAATATTTGGGAAATAGAGCACCTTTTTTCTACACTAATATGACGTGTTCTTTTCATTTATTTATTTATTGATAAATAGTATATCATGATATATTTCGATATAGAGCTATGGCATGATATTCTACTACAATATTGAGAGAGATAAACAAGCTCAAGTGGAAAAGAATTGAAAGCAATATTAAGATTAAGATTATTTACCTCGAATCCAATAACGTAAAATTTTATAAACAACGATAATATACTTTGGATTGAAATGCATAAACGATTTCAAATAAACACTCGCCTGATCCTCTTCTTCAGTAAAATAGAACGACATTGCTAGGAAAACTAGGTAGAATCCATGGTAATTTATTTTCCACCCTAATTGCCCACCATAATGTAGAGTGTAATAATCGTTGAATATTAAAGAAATCTGCAAAAGTACAATGAAATTTGCCAGCCAAAGAACTACTCGGTCGCACTTAAGCATATAATAAACTCGATGATAGTTCATATGCTCTGGCTTATTAGTTCTCATTAGCTTAACATGGAACCGTTTGATATGGAAACACAAACGGTCTATGAGATATGGTACAGATAAGAGACCGAACAGGAGATTAAGGGCGAGGTTTTTGTGATGAATAAAAAGGATGTCCATTTTTGGCGCATTAAGATAAGAATAATTCTAGAAAAAGGAGCTTCTCCTCTTCTTATATATATATCTAAAGAAGGGATGGATTTCTACTTTGATTTATCGTTGATTTATCTTTGATGCAAAGATTGTAAGACTTTTTTTTTCAAACTTGATTTAAATCACTAATTGTTTACAATATATTTAGGTCTATTTAAAAATGTTAAAGACGTTGTGGCTGATTTCTTTAAAGCAAGCTTATCTAAGAAAATGCGGTGGAACTACTTGAATCGAAATCATGAAACAGGGTCAGACGCAATATGTAATCCATTTCTTGGTTCGCTATGTAAATCCTTGCCTTCAATGAAAGATGAATCCTCGGTAACATCTTGACGGTATTCGTTTTCAGATTCAGAACCAAGATTCTCGCGAAAATTTTCGCTAACAGAGCACTGGCTATAGCTGCTTTCCGAGCTAGCAGTTGAGATGGGTTTAATGATATCGCTGTTGTCTTCGAAGTTGTCTACGCTTTCCGGGTCGTTAAAATGGGTGATGTACTCGAAAGATGGAACAAAATCAGACTCGAGTTGCTTAATTGAGGGTTCTCTGCCAGCTTCCAAGTCACTGACAATACGAATCAAAAGAGCAATAAGGTTAAGAAAAAGAATAGTACCACCTAAAGCTTTATCGGTAAGGCAGGCAACAATGCAGAGTGCAACAAATAATCTTCCAAACGTAATCATTCTTGCTTTCCTGTGATTTTAATTTAATTAATTGTTGATATTAACTGTTGTTGGTTTGATGTTCAGTTGATGTTGTTTGATGAGGTATTTTCGGTTCCTTTGAAAGGGATTTTCCCTTGATTTATATATGGAAAAATTCAATCAGTTTAACATGATCGCAAGATGCAAGTAAAACATCAAGGTCTTCATGTAGATACACAATAATGTGTTTTCTAACAATGTTGAAAAATTAAAAAATAAATATATATAAAACTTGGGAAGCTTGATATTTATTTTTTGTTTTTTGTTTTTTATTTATTTATTTTTTGTAGAGGTGGCTTATATAAAAAGTCTATAAAACATGGAAGGGAAATAATAATTTAGTAGGTCAAACAACAACACTACACCCATCCTTACAAAATTGCCAAACAATAGATATCTAGCGAGATTTGCATAGAAGAGTTGAAAAAATCCAGTATGATAATAACCATTATTAGTGTTATATGCCAAAGCCGCGTAGATTCCGTAAGAGATCTGGACGGCTATAAACATGGTGGTGGCAGTTTTCCCTAGCTTTCGAACCATTTTGTAATATAATCTGGAATAAATTTGTATGTGTGAAATATGTGTCGGGCAATGAATTGTAAATGAAAATCAAGTTCAATTGATGTCATATATATATATTATTTTTATCAGTCTTTAGATATTGCTAATTTTCATGATTATTTCCTTACTCAGAATGTTTTAATATCTTACGAAAAAAGTTGATTCGTGATAATTCTCTCTATGGGACTTAATGAGGCCTGTTGTTATATAGAAATGCAGGTTGTCTCTCTTTTCCTCAATTGATTTAATCGTTATTACATGAACCAATTAACTAAATATTTTATGGGGGTTTTAGTATTTTTTCTAATATTAAATGCTAATAAAAAATAATAAGAGCCTGATTTATGACTGCCTACGTAAAGAGAACTGTGGAGATGTTTTGTGGATTTTATTTGGAGGCTTGTTACGCGAATCATCACAAAACCAGGCTAGTTTTGTAACACCACTCATCACTCATCAGAAGGTCATTTTATCATAAATACACACCTCCATAACAAATACTGTATTAAAATGCCTGTATTAAACTATATATAACAATTTTTTTTCTCTTCAAAATCAACGAAAGTTAAAAGGCCATATTAATTCGTCAGGGAATATATTGCTGTTATATGGTAAGATAACCAGAAAAACTGCCAGACTAAAGTGAAGCAAAAACCCTGCTAAAGAGTTAAAAAATTTTGCTTCATCGGTCAAAATGAAAAAGTCAAAAAGAAATAGACGCTGACCAATATTTATAAAAAATGAAACTATACACAAAAAAATTGCAGCGTGAATTATAACTGGAGTAAAGTAATTAGCAACTTGGTCTTCAACCTGGGGATGGAAGGCGGGTTCGTCGTGAATATCCTCAAGTTCAAAAGTATTGGAGGTACTGTATAAAATGAATTTCATTTTGTCAGCTGTATAGTAATGAAAGAATTGTTATCAAAGTAGTTAAGCTTCTTTTTTTTTCAATTGCTTTTAAAAGGAAAAATCTTTAATTTTATAACTTCTAATAAGATTAAAGACAGACCATTCTGATCACGGTTATGTGACTTGTGACAGGTCAATAAAAAAAATAGTGTCAATAACAAACACACTTCGCGTTTCATAAATATCTGCAATTTATTGGACCCTTTAAAAGTATAGATTGATTTTCTTTACGCCAAATCGTTTTAAGCTATGAAATAATATAAGCTTACTTTAAGTTGATAAAAATAGACTTGTAAGAAGCAGAAATTTTCCTAAAATAGGTATTATTCTATGGATTTGTCAGAATAAAGCTTTTAAACGTTTTTAAAAGCTAAATGAACCGTATCGAAATGAAATAAACCCCACGTGTTGATATAATGGTTTTAAAAAAAAATATATTTTCATCTTGATAAATAAATAATGAGCTTAGAAAAATTTAAATAATGTGGGGTGGTATATATATATCCATAACATTTGGCATTTATATGGGAATTAATTCATATGTTTCTCTCAAGCATAATTTACAAAAGAATTTATGGATCGAGTAATATGCTTGTATAATTTATGCAAATAGATTGATAGATATTATTTATCACATTGGTCCATCCCATCAAACCTTTAAAAGAACATGGAACTGGTGCTATCGGTGATTCAATAGGTCATTCATTGACTGGGCACCCTCAACTTAATGCTATTGTTGAAAAAAGACTGATCCATAAATAAAAGGCAAAGTCTTCAAAAACAAATGATTTTTAAGCAAAAAAAAATTAAAAATTAAAAATAAATAAATAAAAAAAAGCATACTTTGATGTTAATCTCAATATATTCAACTTTTATTCGCTCTTTTCTTTTTCCTGAATTTTTTTTTTTTTTTTGATTAAATCAAATATATATTTTCTTATATTTGTTTGAATAGACATTACGGCTATTATGATTATAAACATTAGAGCGGACGATACAAATACGCCTCTAGTGCTCGCTATTGTTCTCAGTATATCAGGCGTTGTTGTTATGGTTATTGTGGGGTTTACAATATGGAGTCTTAAAAGGTCACGCAAAAAGGCTCGAATGGAATTTTTCGAAGTTGATCAAGAATTTTTTATGCCTCTTCCACCAGGATACCAATACCGGCTACGTTCTTTGGAAGAGATTGGGGACTCTAGGCTAATGCCAGTAATTACTCCCATTGAGCGTTGGTTTATACGGCGGCGCAGAGGCAATGATTCCGGGGGATCTATCATGAGAGGAAATATAATGGTGGCTTATGGTGGAGAGCAACCCATTTGTGTGCGCACATACCCAAGAAACCATCCGCTATATAATGAGAACCAACGAGGAGTTGTTGCGATTCGTATGCCTCCCATTCCTATATCAGATTTGCCACGGCTACCTGAATCGGAGTTTTCAAGGCCTGATAATATGCGCTCAACTACGACTTTAGAAAGTTTGACGACTGAAGAAGAAGTGCCATTGAGTCCAGTCAATACGGTTGTGGAAGATTTGGATGCTACGGTTAATAGTAGTAGTAGTATAAGTAATAGGAATCAGCAAGGCCCACCACGAGGACGACGGAAAAATACTACTCGACCTGTGGTTTATATTGGAGCACAGCCTGAAGTTAATTTGTTTATTGGAACAAAAACTGTTGCAGGACATGTGGCACTGCTTGCTGAGGGAAACATACATCAAGATTTGGACGGTTTGTGTGTTGTTTGCCAGGAAAAAGTGGTTGACAAACCTGATGAAGAGATTGAAGAAGAAGAAGCTATAGTTACATTACCATGTTTACATTCATTTCATGAGTGTTGCATCGCGAGATGGATGATTTGTTATAGTCCTAGGTGTCCAGTATGCAGTAAAAAGTACATCATACGAAATGGAAAACGACGGCAAAAGACTATTGGAAAATGGGAATGATAGATAATTATAATTATAATGATAAATGATAGAATAGAGTAAAACTACAAGGCTCATAAAAAGTATCAAATTATAAACACGTGATACTAACAAAAAAAAAAAGGAAATCCTTTTAGGCATGGAAAAATTTTCAAAGCTTTAAAGCAGGGAGAATTCAAGATTTGAGCAAAGAAATCCACAACACTTTTTTTATTATATTTATAAGACATGTCAAATCGTACAAAAAGATGTTTAATCCTTGGTCTTTTGAGTACCTCTGAGGAGACCAGTTCTTCTGGCAGCAATAAGACCGACCTTTTGACCAGGAACAGCGTTTCTGGAGATGGTAGAGGCCTTACCAATGTGCTGATGGTTACCACCACCATGGGGATGGTCGACGGGATTCATGGCAACACCACGAGTTCTGGGCCACGAGTTTCTCTTGACCTTGTACTTGTGGAAGGCTCTGCCAGCCTTAAGGAGGGGCTTGTCAATACGACCACCACCGGCAACAACACCAATGACACCACGGGCGTTGGAAGAAACAATCTTCTTGGCACCAGAGGGAAGCTTCAATCTAGTCTTGCCCTCATCAGCATTGTGGCCAACAACGATAACGTAGTTACCAGAGGTTCTGCCGAGGGAACCACGGTCACCAGGCTTCTCCTCAACGTTGGAGAGGATGGTACCCTCAGGAACAGAGCCCAAAGGAAGAATGTTACCAACGTTAAGGGAGGCCTTAGCACCGGCGTAGATGAACTGGCCAGTGTAGACACCCTCATTGGCAATGAAGGTCTCCTCACGGAGCTTGTACTTGTAAGGGTCGCGGAAGACAACCTTGGCAAGAGGAGCACCTCGACCAGGGTCGTGAACAATCTGCTTAACGACACCGCGGATGTAGCCCTCACGCTCAACGTAGTCGAGCTTTCTGAGCTTAGCAGCACCCTTTCTTAAACGGGTGTGGGAGGTGAAGATGGAACCAGCACCCTTTCTCTGATTGCGAATGACGCGACCTGAAAGAAAAAAAGTTAATAAAGCGATTCCATATTAAATCATAACTTATTTCAATAATCTCATAGTTTTTTAAAAAAAAAATCAAAAATAAGCTGAGAAATGTTGCTGTAAAAATAGTTTCATAAATTTCAAATCAAAGAGCTTTGGGTATTTCCAAGTAAAAATTTTTCCTTCTGGCGACAAAACAAAGAAGAGCAAAAAAAGTATCTGGTATTCATAAACAATTATTGACAAGAACGATGATAAATATTTCAAAAAATAAACTATGAGACTTGAGATCGTGGGAATGTTGACTTACCCATGGCTGTTTATTATTGTCGTTGATTGTCAGCAGGCGGACACCTTTTCGAAAAGAGAGGAAAAAGATAGACTCTAAAAAGAGGGGAGCAAAAAAAAGGGGGGGGAGGGAAAGGAAAATTTTTGAGTGAGTCCTGGCACACACACACACACACACACAGGCAAGTGCTGGCTCCCACATAGTTACACCCATTGTACTTACACACAAACACCTCTATAGAGCGGCAGATACCCTGACCCTCTATTTGGATTTGTTACATAATTGTGATTAGTGTAACAAAGTGAAAAGTTTTTTCGCGGCTAGGGTTGTTTATGTCATATGACTAAGTAACAAAACTAAGTTACAAAAGCTGGATTACCATTTTGGGTTGACTCTGGTTAAAATAAAACAGTCACTTTTATTTCCATTTTGAGAAATAGATATTTCGTACCGAAGAATATTTGGGACTGGTATATTTTCAAATCTTTAAAACAATTTAGCATTACCACCACCACGACTACCACTTTTAAAACAATCCAAGTCAAGTGACTTCTGCAAAAATATTTAAGCCTAAGATTTTATGTCTTAAATAAAAGGTCTTAACTTGAGTTGATGAACACTCTTGCATCGGAATTACACAATACCCGTTCTTTTTTTTTTTTTTTTTTTTTGAAATTTCCACATTTGTAATGAAAAATCATAAAAAAAAAAGGAAATCCCCGTGTAACAACACTGATAACCAATTACCCCCGCAATTCATCAAGTCTTGAAAACAATATCATTTTAAAGATCATCACAAATTTTCACGTAAAATCATAAATTCATTTAATTATCATTATATATAAGGCGTAAAATATTTAAACATTAAACAATAGGCCAATTGGCTGGATAAGTTAACCATAATCAAGGCGATTTTCAAAACATTTTTAATATACAAAGAAAATGCACCCTATTGGTTTTCTCTCCATTGCTGTTTATTTTTTTTTTCATCATCAAAATATCTAATTGATTAGTTGAATAAAACCAGCAACTATCAATAAGCAAAAGCACTTCATCAAGGTAAGAGAAAAACAAATTTCTCAATCATTTCAAACATCAAGCAAAAAGAGGAGAGGAGGGGGGGGAAGGTAAAACCCACACAACTGTAGAATTGAAATATGCTCTTGGATTGTCAAGCATCTTCAAAACCTACAAGAGGTAAAGGTTTAAGCCTCGGTTTTGGCAGCAGCAGCAGCAGGAGCAGCCTCAGCCTTTTCGGGCTCAGCCTCTGTATTAGACTCAGCTTCAGCTTCAGCTTCAGCTTGATCCTCTTCATTGGCCTTGCGCTCTCTGACAGCACTGATTCTAAGTTTGCGGTCATCAAGAGACTTATCGGCATATTCAGCAATGGCCTTCTGCTGGCTCTCAGTATCCTTAAACTTAACAAAACCGTAGACAAATTTAATGTAACGGTCAGAAGCCTTGCTGCGTTTCATCGTGGTGACAACAAACCCCCAAACAGGATCGAGTTCCTTAAAGTGCTCGGCCAACTTTTCATTGGTTGTGTTGTAAGGGATATTGCTGACAAAGATGGTATCTGTGTGGGAGATATCCTCAGGAACACGTTCCCGCTTGGTCTGCTTCTTGGATGACTTCTTCTTAGGGGTGGAAGTGGAAGTAGCAGGGGTAGAAGACTCCGCAGACTCCTTCGATTCGGTGGTAGCGGTTGACTCTGAAGTCTCAGATTCAGCCTTAGATGCAGGCTTCTTCAACTTCCTAAGAGCACGCTTATTAGGGGTCTTTTCCTTCTTCTCAGTCTATATTTCAACAAGGGTTAGTGATTGGTCAGGGTGGCGGTGGGGTGGAGTGGCGTCATCACCAAAAAATAAGTGAAAAAAAATAATAATTGGTGGTATATATTAAAAAAAAATCAGTAACATACCTTCTCGGGGTTGGCAACCTTGACAATGATAGTGCGAGTGTCAAGGGTATTTCCATTCATAGTTGAAACAGCCTTTTCAGCCTCTTCTTTAGAAGCGAGACTGACAAAAGCAAATGTATTATTTCGTTTCTTGCTAAAGAATCTGTTGCGAGTGCGAGGAATAGTGACGCGTTCACTACATGAAAAAAAAAGTTAGTTTCCTGTAAAAATATTAATAAATAAATAACACAACATTGTCCATGTTGCTTGTTTGGTGGCGTGAAAATCAAATCGGACAAGAAAAGAATTGGCAAATTGAAAAAAAAAAAAAAAAAATTGACCCTTGAGAATGAATTCTGAAATGGAATAGAGAAGATGGGGGTTTTAAAAGAATAAATAAAAAAACTTACACAGTGAAGCCTTCCAAAAAGGTCTTAATCTGGTCTTCAGTGACCTTATTGGGGAGATTTCCGAGGTAGATTCTGTTGGAAAGATCCTCAGAAGTGGCCGTGGAGGGGGCTTCAATCTTCTCGACAGTAGGGGCAGTTTGAGTGACAGTTTCGGTAGACATTGTAGTTTGATGATAATAATACGCGGAAATAGAACGTGTAATATATAATAATGGAGTGAAAAGTTGTGAAAAGAGAAGAGGGAATTAACAAGATGATGATGACACGCTAGTGGCTAATCTTTAGAATAGACAAGAGATAATGGAGGAAGGTTTATATACAGAGATAAATGAGAGTATATAAATAATTTCAAAAGTAGATTAGAATTTTGGAGTTTGTGTGAAGAGAAAGGAAGGAGGGGGAAAGAAGAAAGGAAAAGAGAGAAAAAAAAAGGAAGGAAATAGAAAAAAAAGAAAATAAATATTTCGAAAAAAAAAAAAAAAAAAAAAAAAAAAGGGGCGGCAGTAGGAAGGAGGGGTGGGTTGGTAGTAAATGGTAGTGGTAAGTGGTAGTGGGCAAGGGAACTAACTAACTTTAGATATATATATAGCATATAAAATAAAGTATATAAAATTTAGTATTATATATTAATAAAAATATTAAAATAATTATTATTATTATTATTTTAAATATTATCTTTTTTTAATTAATGAGGTGTGCACAGTGCTAGATAGCTGGCTGGCTGGCTGACTGGCTGGCTGATGGCTGGCTGACTGGCTGGTGATTAAAGCAATTTTTACGATTCAATGCATTTTTTTGTTCTTCTGACTGTGAATGACTGTTTGAATTTTTCTATATCAGTTCAAACTCATCATAAGACTGGACCATGCTAGGACATCAATCACTCTTGTAAAAAGTTCTGGTCAACAACCTTTCTTCTTTTTTTTTTATTATTATTATTATTATTACTATATATATATATATATATATATATATTCAATCAAAGACCTTAATTGGTTTTATTGATAAAAAAAAATTGATAAAAAATTAATGAAATTTTCAAATTGTTTATAATGAAAAGGGGCCACATGGCAGTTGGCGATTTGGTTTTTTTGTTTTTTTGTTTTTTTTTTTGGGGGGGGTTTCTGCATGCATATATGCTGGCTGTTTCCAATGGCTAGATGACTGGCTTTTGGCTGGCTGGCTGGCTTTTGGCTGCCCACACTTTCCACGGCTGAGTTACAGGTGAAAAAAAAAGTGATACTCAAGTCTCAAGTTTTATGTCTCAACTATTGAGCCAGTCATCCATGCGCCAATGCACGCCACAGACAAACAGAAGATAAGATTATCCTAATAAGGACGCATCCCCACAAAAACTAACCAAATTAATAATAATAAATTTAATAATAAAAATTAATAAAAATCACATGATATAGCACTTTTACCTGACTTACTTTAATTCCCATCCAGAATAAACAAATAAAGTCTTTTTTTTTTTCAATTACCTCAGTTCCTCTTTTTTTTTTTTTTTTTTTCTTTTAAACCCCTCTTATTCTCAAAACAACAATCCAATTTATTTTATTTTATTTTAAAAAAAAAATGTCACAAAAAGCTCCTCTTATTAAACTTCTTTCAGGTAAATCTATCCCCGCAGTAGCACTGGGAGTTTACGAAACTCCATCCGGAGAAGCCGCCAAGGTGGTCGAGTACGCCTTGTCACAGGGCTATCGCCATATCGATTCAGCCGCCGCCTACCATAATGAACAACAGGTCGGGCAGGGTATTCTCAACTTTCTTGAAAAAACCCCCAATGTCAAAAGAGAAGACATCTTTTACACAACCAAAATCAAAGAACGTGACCAGGGCTACGAAAATGCTACCCGTGCAATCAAACACTCTTTAGAACTCGTTAAAGGTCTTGAATACATTGACCTCGTTCTTGTTCACTCACCTCTAAGTAGCCGTGAAAAACGCTTGGGCACATGGAAAGCTCTCCAAGAAGCTGTCGATGCTGGGCTCATCAAGGGTTCCATTGGTGTATCCAACTTTGGTATCCACCATCTTAAAGAGTTGCTCAGCTGGGATGGTTTAAAATACAAACCTTCCATTAACCAAATTGAACTTAGTCCTTGGCTCCAACGTACAGAACTGGTCCAGTTTTGTAAAGACAATGGAATTGCCGTCGAAGCATACTCTCCCCTTACTCGTGGAGAAAAGCTTGATGATCCAAAGCTTATCAGTCTTGCAAAAAAATACAACAAGTCTCCTGCCCAGATTCTCATTAAATGGTCTCTACAAAAGGGGTTTATTCCTCTTCCAAAGTCAGTTCATAAAGACAGAATTAAAAGCAATATTGACGTGTTTGACTTTGAACTTACCCCAGAAGAAATCGACACGCTTGGGGATAAAAATGAGTACTTTTGGACTGAATGGGACCCTACTACAGCTCCTCTTTAAATCAATTGACCTTTCTTTTATTAGTTAATCATTGTATTTTAGTTCAATCCATTTCTATCGCACATATATGGTGGCGACTTTTTGTTTGAATTTTAAACTTTGAAAAAAAAAAAAAAAAAAAAATTGCCTGTTCAAGACAGCCGTGCGCTAGTTTGAACTAAGATTAACAGGGAGACTAAAGTCTGATAACAGGTCAAACAAAAAATAACTGATTGCCTTGAATTAGATAATTTCACATGTATTTACGATTTAGCTCCCACAAAAAAAACTCTCTTATCACACCTTCATTTCTACCCCCCTCCTGTTGATGAAATTTCTCATCATCACCCATCACTCTTAACCATTTCTTTTCTTGCCACTATTACTGTACCAATTGAAACAATGTCTTCCAAACTTTACGCAAACGGTATGTCCAATCAACATATATATATATATATATTTTTTTTTTTTTTTATAAAAATTCTCTCTAATTTTTTCTTTCTTATTTAGAATTTCTTAACTTTGTTAATGCCTCTCCTTCACCATACCATGCTGTCCAGACTGCAAAGACTCTGCTGACTGCAGCCGGGTTTGTGGAGATTTCCGAGCGTGTTGACTGGGCCAACCAAGTTGAACGTGGAAAAAAGTACTTTCTTACTCGAAATGGCTCTTCTATCGTTGCTTTTGGTGTTGGCGGCCAATGGAGTCCGGGCAATGGTATCTCCATTATTGGTGCACACACAGACAGCCCAGTGCTTCGTGTTAAGCCCAACTCTAAGAGAACTGCTGCTGGCTACAAACAAGTCGGCGTCGAAACTTACGGTGGTGGTCTCTGGCACACTTGGTTTGACAGAGACTTGTCCCTGGCTGGCCGGGTTCTTGTTCGCCATCCTGAAACTGGTGACTTTATTCCCAAGTTGATTCAAATCAAAAAGCCCATTCTCAGAATACCAACCCTCGCAATCCATCTCAATAGAGGCTCTGCTGACAAGTTTGAATTCAACAAAGAAAAAGAACTTTTCCCTATTCTTGGTCTTATTGAAAAGGAACTTAATAAGGGAACAGAGGTCTCTACCGCTTCCGACAAAACTGAGCCTGAGGAAGCAGAGTTTGATCCTTTGGGCAAGATTGAGGATCGCCACGAAAAGACTTTGCTTGATCTTATTGCCGCTGAGGCAGAAACAAAGATTGAGGATATTGAAGACTTCGAGCTTGTTCTTTATGATACTCAGCCCTCGGTTCTTGGTGGCATTAACGATGAGTTCATCTTCTCCCCCCGTCATGACAATCTTAACTCTTCATTTACCTCATTGGCTGCCCTCATCGAGTCAATCAACTCAGAATCTTCCCTTGAAAATGACGAAGGAATTAGAATGGTCACTCTATTTGACCATGAAGAAATTGGTTCTGCTTCCGCCCAAGGAGCTGACTCCAACCTTCTTCTTGCTGTTCTTTCTAGACTCGCTTCTCTCCCAATTGCCGGATCTTCCAAGGAACCTACAGCTTCCAGCCCCTATGAGACTTTCTCCAAGTCGTTTCTTATTTCTGCAGACATGGCCCACGCTGTGCACCCCAACTACCAAGCCAAGCATGAATCCAAGCATGAGCCCCAAATGAACAAGGGTCCTGTCATCAAGATCAATGCCAACCAGCGTTACGCTACCAACTCTCCTGGAGTAGTTCTTGTCAAACAGGCAGCCAAGATTGCCAAAACTCCGCTCCAGCTTTTTGTTGTGAGAAATGATTCCGCTTGCGGCTCCACCATTGGCCCCATCCTCGCATCTAAGCTCGGAATCCTGACCCTCGACATTGGCAGCCCCCAACTTTCGATGCATTCTATCCGCGAAACTGCTGGAACTCACGATATCGAGTACTCTATTTCTCTTTTCAAGTCTTTCTACGAAAATTACTCTACCCTCCAGTCCAAGTTTAAGATTGATGGACCCCAGCTTTAATTATAGGAAAGGCTAAAAAAAAAAAAAAAGACGAGAGGGGTTTGATAGACCAATATATATTAGTAACTTTTATATTTGAAAATTTATTGGTGTGTTAAATAGTGACGCGAAAATGACGCGTAATATGCGTAATACACGCGACTTTGTTTACTTTTCATTGTTTTTGTTTTGGTGACCTTTTTCTCTTTCAAAATTTCTCTTTCTCCCCTTTACTATTTTTTCTTTTTTTTCGTAACAAAAAAATCAACAATTAATATCAATATTATCAATATCAAAAAATAATGTCTGTCAAAGATCCATTAGCCTCAGCGTTTGACAAATCAAGCCATCGCAAGGTTTTCCCGCACAGCGTGGGAATCACCCGGCTGGCCTACTCGCGCGACGGCAAGTATCTCTTTACAGTTGGCAGCAACTCGGTCGTATATCGATTTAAGGCTGGCACCGACGAACAGTCCAAGACCATGACACTGGACCGCAAGAAAGAGGAAGATGAGGGGAAGGATGATGAAGAAGAAGAGGAGGAAGAAGAGGAAGGAGAAGGAAGTAATACTAAACAATATGGTATTGCAGCCAATGTAAGTATACACAAAAGTTTGAATCATGAACATGTAATCATTTTTTTTTTCTTACTAACAGATCAGGATAAATCGTTTTTTATATTTTCGGATTCAGGACGTGTTGACAAGTACGGTATCGAATCAATGGAGTTTGAAGGTAATGTGACACGCATGGCTCTTCCAGTTCGCGATGTCTCAATATCTTCTGATTCCAAATGGATTGCAATCTGTGGCGAGTGAGTTTTGAATGAAGAAATCTTTTGAAAAAAAAAAAAACTACCCTCTCTTTATACATACTGACTATTTTATTAGCGAATCTGAACTCAAAATTGTCAATGTCGAAGACATCACCAAAGTTATTTCTGTTCAAAAATTCCATACCTCAGGCATCAAACATGTATCATATCATCCAAGCGACATTCTAATCTCAACTTCGGATGTCGAGGGTGTTCTTCGGTTCCTAGCAATCCCACGACAAGAGTCTTCTTCAGTTGACTTGACTCAAAAAGTCGACGGTATTATTCCAAAACTTCGTGGTGATGACGCCTACGCGAGTTCCAAGATTGCTTGGCACAAATCAGGCCAATATTTTGCAGTTCCGACACCACTTAACTCTGTTGCAGTTTATAATCGGGACATGAAGGAAATTGTCAATTTCCCTATTAACAGAGACATTATTAATGACATTAAACGCCGCCAAAAATTTAACGGTTCGGTAAAAGATGCTGAGACAAGAGCTGACCGGGATGATGAAGAAGAAGAAGAAGGCCATGGACATGGCCCCGTGTCTGAAGCCATTTCCGACTTATGTTGGTCGCCTAGTGGTGCTTATCTTGCAATTTCGACGGCTGATGGATTACTTTTGATTTGGGATGTTTCTACACGCATGCTTTTACGAGTAAACAAAGTCAACTTTAAAATCACCAGCCTTTCGTGGAACCCTAAAATCAATGAAATTTCATTTGCCACGTCGCAGGGCTCACTACATACATTTTCCGAAGCCATTGATTTAAACGTTTCAAAATATTCCCCCTTTGAAAAGGGCCTTGATTTTGAATTTGAACACTTTTCAGAACCAAATAAAACGACAGCCAACAATAAGGAACCAAAGGAAAAATCTAAGCGAAGTAATGATTTAGATAAAAGAGCTGGAGACGAAACAAGACTTTCCGAAGAGCTAGAGGACAATTATGACAACCTTGATGATAATCTTTTGGGGTCCAACACTAATGGCGATGATGCTTTTATCGAAGATGATGACGGCACCTATGCTAAAGAAATTGCCGAAGAGCGTATTCGAAAGAGAAAACGCAGGGACAATATAGACGAAGATGACTCTGGAGATGAAGAACAGAATGGCGACCAAGGTGGATTTCTTACACGAGACAAAATGCAAGCAATTATCACATATGCTACGGCACATGTCAAAGACAGTTTGCGGTCCAGCAAATACCCCTCTTTCCAACAAGGCTCAACGCGATGGCAAAATGGCCGGCGGCATCTAACAGTCAATTTTGTGGGATACGTATGGACATTAAACGAGGGTCCACACAATGACGTTTCTGTAGAGTTTTTCGATGTGGGGTCCAATAGAAAGTACCATTTCCGCGATACTGCTGGTTTCGATTTGGCGTGCTTGACCAAGAGTGGGGTCTTGTTTGCACGGTCAGGTATAAACGATAAAAATGATCCGGTACAAAAAAGCACAAAAAAACATAGTTCTATGCAGGTTCCGCGCATTTACTATAGACCACACCTAGGAGGATCTACAGCAAGCTGGGAGTACAAGTTTATTCCACAAATTCACGGAACCATTTCCAACATTGCTTTGTCAGAAACACGCGCACAGGTGTACACAAGCGAAGGATACGTTTTTACATTCACATTAGGCGGCACACCAGTGCGCGTCAATAGCATCAATGATCGAGTAATCACGTCTGCTGCTTTTGGCGATTACTTTATGACAGTGTGCGAACCACCCGGGGCCAAAGACTCAAGCTGCCTGCGGTACTCGATTGAGAATGCAAACACGTTTGAAATGATTCAAAACAATCACCCACTAAGTCTTTCACCTGGGTCCAGGCTTGTGGCTACGTTTTTCTCAGCTTCAGGTGATCCTTGTATTTACGACTCCAACGGATCCCTTAAGATTCTGACAGCATGGAGAGCCATGTTCCAAGCACCTTGGATTCCTATTTTCGATGCTAGAGTTCCCGGAGAAAAAGAATTGAGTGAGGTTACTCAGCTTTTGGAACGAGCCGAAAATGATGAAGACGACGAAGATGTTTTTGATATTCAAGATTTTGACGATGATGGCAACAAAAAGACGTCAAAGGATAGTGCTACCGAAAAGGAAAAGGAAATCCAAGATCGTTTAGATCAGATCATGAGTCGACGGTTTTGCCCACTGGGTTTGAACGAAGACAATGTCTTTTTGGCATACCCCTTGACTGGCAAAGAGCTCGAATTCCCGTTACCTTCATACATGGATGAGTTTGAGCTGCAGGTTCCTGCAATTACAGAATCACGCCATGAGCAAGCTTATCTAGTTCAGAGCGTGAGCCACGAACTGGCTAAGGACCGCGGCGAAACCGGTGTTGAGGAAAGCGACGGGTGGCGGTTAGAAATGAACAAGTCTCTACTACGGTTGTTTGGAGCGGCGTGCGGCGAGCGTCAGTCAGACAAGGCACTTGAGATTGCGCGGTTGTTGAGTACATCCAACTCGCTGGCACTTGCAAGCAAGATTGCAGTGGATTCCGGGTTGCCTTCATTGGCAAATGCTATCAATGACTTACGTGAGGTTATGATTCAAAAGGAACAAGAAGAAATGGATGGATCTGGTTATTAGTTAATTTTATATAGTTAATTATTCACATAAACCTTTAAAATCAATGATATTATTATGATTTTAAGTAAAAAAAATACATAAACATGTGGAATTTCAAAAAAAAAAAAAAAAAAAAAAAAAAAATAATGTTCATCACTTCTAAAATAATTTAAAAAGTTATGTTTCTCAAATTTTTAAAGACCAAGGGAAGCTAAATCTAACGTCAAATTTTCCAGTTCCTTTTCCAAATCATTAGCCATTAAGGTGTTTGTTTTAATTTTATCTTCTGAAGCTTTCAGTATGTCGTTAGCAGCTTTGCCTTCTTTGTCATCTTTCAAAGTCCGTCTTTTTTTATAAATGAAATCTTCCAACTTGGTTCTTGCTTCCGCTGATTGCTTAGACTTTTCATCTTCAGCAGCTGCTTGTAAAGCTTCGTCTTTTAAGCGCTGGATTTCTTCTTCAGAAATTTGACTTGCACCCTCAAGTCGAATTTTTTTTGATGCTCCTGATGGCAATATTTGTGCCTTCACTGTTAGAATTCCTTCGTCATTAATGGAAAATGTCACATCTACAGTAACTTCACCTCGGGGTTTAGGTTCAATTTTAAGAAAAAGAATCCCAAGAAAGAAGTTTCTGGAGGCAATATCGCGTTCTCCCTGAAAAACCTTGACTATTATTTCTCTTTGATTATCCTCAATTGTTGTAAACAGTTGAGACTTTGAGACTGGTATTTCAGTGTTTTTTTTTCAATGATTTTCACAAATATTCCATGATTAACTTCTAATCCAAGTGACAAAGGAGCCACATCCCTAAGGTTAATTTGGCGTAAATTTCCAGATAAATTTCCATAATAGGTTGCTGCTCTTAGGGCTGCACCATAGGCAACGGCAGCTTCGGTGGATACATCTTTGCAAATTTTGCTTTGTGGGAACATGGGTCTCAAAATTTCATTTGTGAAATAAGGAATCAAGCTAGAGCCACCAACTAAAATAACCCGTGTAATATTTAGATTTGAATTTTTCAATTTGGCTTGAGTAATTGCATTAGTTATTGTGGTTCTGGTTTCTTCAAATAAATCTCGACACAAAATTTCAAAATCACGACGTGTTATAGTCAAGGTATAGTCTGTGGGTGAAAAGCTTTTGAGAGAAATTGAGGCTGTTTCAGATATGCTCAACCTTTTTTTCAACTCTTCGCAAGCTTTATGAAGTCTCCATTTTGCAGTTGGTGAAACAGAAACATCAAACTCATGATTCTTAATAATGTCATTTTTAAAGTGGTTGAAAAGGCGATTGTCAAAATCCAACCCCCCCAAATGCATATTTCCTTCTTCGGAAAGCACAGTGTAGTCTTCATCAACAACACTGAGAATAGACACGTCAAATGTTCCACCACCTAAATCAAACACAAGGATATTTGTTTCCATTTTTGTGTCTTTAGGTTCACCAAAATCGGTTTCATAATTGTAAGCAATAGCAGCTGCAACAGGTTCAGTCAAAAGATGTACATCTTTGAATCCAGCAGTTGTTGCTGCTAATTTTGTTTCTTCGCGTTGTTGATAGTTGAAGTGTGCAGGAATAGTAACGACTGCTTGAGTGACAGATGCCTTAAGCTGAGCTTCGGCATTTTTTTTAATTTGTGTTAAAAGATGAACAGCAGCCTCTATAGGGGTAACTATTTTGATTTCATTATTTCTAAACGTGAGTTTGAAGGCTGCACCACCTTGATGATCAGTAAGTTCGAAAGGTAAATTCTGAGCATTTTCTTTAACTTTGGGATCGGTGAACTTTAGTCCAATAAACCTTTTTGTGTTAGTGATAATTGTATTTTCATTTTCCAATAATTGCTCTGGGTTTACTTCACCAACGAGAGGTGTTGATGGTGAAGTATATAGAATAATTGAAGGAAGCAATCTAACTGAGTCATGCTCAATATTCACAAGCTTTTTAGAGTAATAAGCCGCACAACAGTTTGTTGTTCCCAGATCAATTCCAATTGCTTGTTCGTTCTTAGGATTTGTTTTAGTCATTGAAGTGTTTTTAATGAATTGTTTAGATAAAAAAATAAAAAAAATAACGATAAAGGATATTTTGTTGGATATTTATATTTATTATGGTCAATCCAACTTTTATCGATAAAATCTAAGCTCTTTAGTGCACAGCCATCAAGCGGCTGAAAAAATTATTGGCACGTAGAACCCTCTGTAAACCCATGAGTTTATTGAGTTTATTCAGTTTATTGCAATTCATCAACATATATAGTTAGTCTTAATAAATCTCTCAAATTTTTTTTTTTCTCGTTGGTATAAAGCAATGCAATGACCTTAAAAAATTGAACATATATATTAAAAAGGGTTTAATGATAATTTCCATAGAGTTACTCTAATAGTTTATTGACAATTGGGCTAGAATTAATAGTAAACATAAGTTTTATTTTCCTTTGATGCCAAGATCTTTTTTTGTTTTACCTACAAAAAACCAATATTAAAGGGGTGCTTTATTTACAAAATGGCATATTTACAAATAGACAAAGTGTTATTATGTCTGCTATTGCATTTGACATATTTTGATTGCCGTTTCATTATTTTTTATAACTGGAAACACTGCTTGAAGTTGATATCATTATGGAATTTTTTTTTTTTTTTTTTTTTTGAAATATAAATACTTGTAGGTTAAAAATATTGATTTTTGTAAAACAAAAAAAAATATCTTAGATACAAAGCTAAGTTTTGTTCTCATTTTCAAGACCCATTCATCTTAGATAAATGTGCTGGTAACCAGGTGAACAAAAAAGCAGTATATATAGATTACATAATATATTAACTAAATAATTTATAATTTATATACCTCCCACAGGGCTTGCAATTATTGCAAGGTTAGAAAAGTAACTTTTCAAACCTACTTTCAATCTCCTACTAAATTCACAAACGTCAATTTCTTAAAAAATACCCATCACATACTTCTAAAGTAAAATTGTGAAATTTTAAATATAGATATAATATTTGATACAATTGTTATAATTAATAGTTTCTTTCTTTTTTATTTTTATTTCTTTTTTAAGAATAATACATCAGATTACGTTTAATTACCCTGTGAGAAAGATCAGACTTAATGGAAGGTTGATAGATCGAGTTGCGCGGTTTATTGATAAGATAATAGACCAAGCATTTTCATTTTATTTTCTACCTTTTCTCCATCTGTTTAATCCATTATCTGGTATCTTTGTCCTTCATTTGATATGGGTATTATTTGCAGAGCTAGGAAGACAACACAATAAACAAAAACTTAACAGGAAAAAACAATGGTTATCTTCTAAACTTTTTATCATTTTTTTATTAACTTTACTTTGAACTAAATATGAAAAAGAGATGAGGTTATGAGAGGGTCGTAAATGAAGCAAAACCGGTTATGTCGAATGTTGTAGTGCTGAGGGAAAAAAGGATTAAATGACTGGAATCTTTGCAATTGTTTCTTCCGTTTTTTTTGTGCATTTTTTTGTTTTAAGATTTGGTTCTTTATAAAAGACCGTCAGCCTTGGCCTTTTGGTAAGCCTTAACGGAAGCGTAATCTTCAGTATTTGGTCGGATGATGGGCTTCTCTTTAAGGTGAATGGGGACCTGACCTTCTGGGGTTCCAGGGATAGTCTTCTCCAATTTCTATAAGGAATTTGTTAGAACTGATGAAAAAAAAAAAAAGCTCAAGCTAAAATTTCTGTATATACTTACCAACTTGTCAAAAACACACTTGTTGAGGAGACGCTCTGCCGGTCTGCAGCCGGAAAATTGGTGGTTTTGTTGTTCAAGGCACTGCCAGTGGAGTCTGAATTCTTCGAGGCAGTGCTTGTTGACATCTTCAAGAACAGAAATGGCGCAGCGGGTAACTCTTCGGCCCTCCTTCAGGCAGTCAATCTCACCGTTGCCGTTAGATTCCTTCTTGCACAACATGTAGTCATCGTTGTATGGAAGGCATCGGGCGCCAATGAAGAATGAGGCTGACAGCAGAGGAGCGGTTGTAGCGCCGACCTCAGGAACCTGGGGGATGTGATCAGGAAGGGGGGTCTTGTCGATAAGGAGGTGGTGATCGTTGACGACTTCTCTGCCAGACATTTTTACTGTAGATGCTAATGAGTATGTGGTTGATAGAGAGGGGTTTGTTTGTAGGTTTTTGTTTTTGTTAAACACAAATAGAAAAGGGTTGGTGATGATTGGAGTGGTTTTTTTTTGGAGGAGCAAAAAAAAAAAAAAAAAAACGGGTGTGTGCGGTCGGTACGTGCTAGGCTTTTTTGGAGGTGTTTTGAAGAGACTAGCAGGCCTTTTTTGTGTGGATGTGTGGGCGCGAGCTGAGAGGAAGAAAAAAAAAAAAAAACAGACAAAAAATTTAAATCAGCGGGCGGTGATTGGCAGAAGTAATGGACTGAGATGTTTGCAGGGACAAAATATACTTAAATAGTAACCCAAACCCTGAAAAATAATTTTATGAAAAATTCTAAACGATCCAACATCACCACCACCACCAATTCTTCCAACATTAAAAAAAAAAAAAAAAAAAAAAAAAATTAACGAAAAATAAACAAACCGCCAGTGTTAGTAAATCACCAAACCTTTACCAAGGGCTTTCTTTATATAAACAACAAAACACAAAACCACATCACAATGGCAGGTTTCGGATTTGGTACGCCAAATACCAATACAGGGTCTTCCTTTTCATTTGGTGGAAATACAAATAACACCAACAATGCTACATCAGGCACCTCGGGGTTCTCGTTTGGAGGAAATAATAACACGACCGGCCAGACAACAACAGCTGCTCCCTTATTTGGCCAGCCAGCTCAACAGCAACAATCATCTGGCCAATCTTTGTTTGGTCAACCCACACAGCCAGCTCAACAGCAACAATCATCTGGAACATCTTTATTTGGCCAGCCAGCACAACAGCCAGCAGCAGCAGCTTCAGGAACTTCGCTTTTTGGCACTCCTCAAACATCGACAAATGCTCCAGCAACTAACACAACAGGTTCATTATTTGGCCAACCTCAATCGAACCAAGCTCCTGCAACCGGATCTCTTTTTGGCCAGCAATCGCAGCAAGGTGCAGCTGGAACTACTGGAGCCTCATCATCTTCACTTTTCAATAAATCAACAACAACAACGGCAACCACAGGTACTTCTCTATTTGGTGGCGTAAACAATACACAAGCACAAACTAATACAACATCTTCGCTTTTTGGCGGCAATCGACCAGCAACAGGTGGACTTTTTAATTCTAATACCACAGCTCCAGCAGCTACAGGATCTCTTTTTGGACAACCTCAACAGAATACTTCACTTTTTGGACAACCTCAACAACAACAGCAACAACAGCAACAACAACAACAACAACAACAACCTCAACAACAACAGCAACAACAAAATCTTTCTCTTGTTCCAGATCAAAGAATATCAAGAAGACGACTTAATAACGAGCTTTCTACTCTTGAACAAATTGAAAAGTTGCAACGAGCATGGGATCCATTATCTCCATCTTGTGCTTTCCAATTCTTTTTTTACAACCGCGTGGGTCAGCAAGAGGCTTTGCTTTATGAAAGACCAGCACGCATTGAACAGAGTCGGTGGGATAATGCAATTGCTGAGCGACCTGATGATACCCATGTACCTGCGCTGGCCATTGGATTTACTGACTTGCAAAAACGAGTTGCAGTACAAGAAACTGCAGTGACTCAGTATCGCAAGCGAATGCATGAAATTGATGAAAAGCTTGCGGTTCTCTCACAGCGTCACGACCTGCAAACCACTGTCAAGATTGAACAGATGAAGATGCGCCACCGCAAACTAGTCCACCGAACTTTAGCTTTGGCAGCACGTATTCAAGTTTTGCGTTCGCGCGGCTATGTACTGCGGCCAGATGAGGAGGTGCTGAAGCGGAAGCTTGAGCAGCTGCACAAGGAGGTTGATGATCCAGCTGTTTTTGGAAGAATAAATGAGATTTGGGCTCGACTGACAGTTTTGCGTGAGCGTGCTAAAAGCATTTCTACCAAACATGGAGTTGAGCTTAACGATATTGTGGGTGATAGCATTGCTGCCAGTTTGGAGGGTACCAGTGCAGCTGGCGAAAAGGTACGTGCCATTTTGTCTGAGCTAGATTGGAACCGTGATGATGAGCAACTTGAGAAGTTGGCTAAAGTTCTTAAAGCTCAACAAGTTGGCATTTCGTATCTTGCAGAAATCTTATTGCGGGATACTGCTCAGGTAGAAGGCATTATTGATGAATTAACATATCGTAATGAAAAATCTGATGAGCACAAACGGCTTGAGAAGAAGTAATTTTTAGAAACAAAAAAGAGAGAATATTACTACTAATATTAATAAAATCTATTTACAATGCGGTTATGAGTTTAAACAAAAAAAAATAATATAATAATTATATTTCAAAACCAAGAGTGCCAGTAAATCCAGCAAGGGCATCATCTCGGAGACTAACCAAACTGGCTTCTCCAATAAGTTTACCAGACGTGCGAGCACGCTTCTTTTTGCGTGTAATCTTGTTAAGCAACGACATGTTGGAAGCATAGGTGATAGCTTTTGGTTCACGCGTCAACATCGATAGTGTCAGGTTGAAATGAGTATACTTTTGTGCATCGTAGAATTGATGGTGTGTATTAGTTGAGTTGTAATCTTGAATGAGTTTACCATTATTAGCGGTAAAACGATCGAAAAGAACTTCTTCTAAGGGAACAACAGTGTTTGTTTCATTGTCAAGTACAATTTGTGTTGTGCCAATGATATCACTTTCCACAGATTTTGGAAGAAGAGTTCCATCATTTTGGGCAGTCAGATGGATGATTGGTTTTATGTTTTCATCTGAAGAAGAATCCTTGTTTTCAGTTTTGGAAGAGGCATAAGATTCTTGGTAAGCTTTAAGCTCACTAGGTGAAAGAGGTGAATATGCAGGTATTTCGGCCCAAATAGACTTTATGGTATCGAGCGTAATATCTTTGTGTAGTTGCTCGTTGTTGTCAATCAACGAGCGTAGTTTAGCAGCAAGCAAATCCAAACGGGCCGGGAAGCTTACCTGCTTGACAGCCAATCGGTGTTTTCTCCAAATGCCTATCCTTTCTGAATGGTCACTGTTTTTATAATTTATCACATCAGTAGTACTTGGATTAGAGTTGCTAAAGGCGGGTTGCTTCATAGATGCCAAAGATTTATCGTTTAGCAGCGAGTTGTCAAGAGAAACATTAGTTAAAACCTGTGAATTTTCTTCTGGAGTTGAAACAGGTTCATTTAATAAAAAAGACCAAGTTTCAGGATCAACTGGTGGTAGGGGATCATTGATTAGCAACCGAAAGTGATTCAATCTGCTTCCAGAGTTGATGTCGCGAGCATGGCGGTATTGGATGAGGTTTTCTTGGGAAGTCAAGTTGGCAAAGTAAGAGTATATGGCGATAGTTTGTGATACAGAGCGTGGCACTGGGCGAATAATAAATCGAGCAAGAAGAGCATCATGGACTAGTCGGCTCATTGTGAGCGACATGAAATTATTAGTTAAAGAAACGCCCATTATTGATGAGAATAATTTCCTGTTGAAGAGGAAGAGATTTTTATTTGAAAGAGAGAGAGAGAGAGCGAAAGAGAAATTTGAGAGAAGAAAAAAAAAAAAAAAAAAATTAAAAAGGTCACGTGCACATAAATTTCATTTGAAGTTTTAATTTGGCGTGAATGAAAAGCCCAAAATAAATTGCATAGACAAGAGTGAAGACATTATTCAAAAATTTAATCATTTTGGATTTCTTTAAAAAAATTGAAAGTATGTTTTTTTTTTCTTAACTATAGTTAATTATGGACAAAGATAGATGATATCGATTAAATAAATGGATGTTTTTTTAAACTTGTATTGAAAGCAAACCGGATCGGGGGTTTTCAAGGTACCGATTAATGATTGACATCAGACATTTAATACTATATCCAATATATACAATATATATATTCATGATAAGACCATTGCTACTTGGGAATTTTTTTTTTTCATTATTCTTTATTATTTAAAGGGTCCCGGGATGACTGGCTGACTGACTGGCTGGCTTAGATCCTGCATTAGTAACTACACGCGCTCAAGTGGTCAGTCACTTGATATTTAGAAATCAATATGATTCACATACAAAGAGGCATTTTAAGGTCAAAAAAAAAGATTCTGCTCAAACTAAATAAAATGAGATTCATACATATGTACAAGGTGATGGATTATATATAAAAAAATAAGATGGAAATACATTAAAGCGTCATTAAGATGTTCGTAAAGAAGCCAAATTGAAGAAAAAAAAGGCAAGAGGAAGTTTTCAAAGTGGCAAAGGTTTTATCGTAACAAAAAAAAAAGGATTTACATCACATTTAGAAGCGACCGCTAAGCATCTCAACAGCAAAAGGAACTAAATAATAGAGAGAGAAAGAGGAAAAAAAAAAAGATTAGAATTTATATATTTTACATTTAAAGAGCATGAAATCACCTAGTACTTACTCGACCAAAGAGCAGCAGCAATGTAAACAGACTGCTTGAGGGTGTTATATGCCTGGGCACGGAGAAGCTCAAGCTGGGCCTGGATCTGGGCAGGAGACATGGAGAAACGGGGATCTTCAGCGTACATTTTTAAGATTCTTGTATATTCTAAGTGATTTAGATGAATGGATTGAGAAATGCTGCTGGGATTTCTGTTCTAAAAGATCCTTTGTTGAGATGGCTATGGAAATTGCGATGCAGAAAGAAAAAAAAAAAAAGAAAAAAAAAAAAAAAAAAAAAAAAGGGGGAACAAGAAAGAAGAAGAAAAAAAAAAAAAAAAAAAAGGTATAAAAATTTAAACGGCCGGTTGCGCAGTCGGTCAATTTGGATGGATGGATGGATAGACAGGCAAAAATTCTGACACACTAAAAAAAAAAAAAAAAAATTCAACACCACCAAAATTATTTTTAAAACTTACCACATTACACATCTTTTTCAATATATATTCATATAAACTTTACAATCCACCGAGCATTTCGCAACCATGAGTGAATCGCCCAAACGAAAACCAGAAATCGTCAAGAAGGAAGAAGACGAACTTTTACGAGTTAAAACTGAAGATGCAAATAGCGATATCGAAGTTGACCACGTCGAGAACATGGATGATGAAGAAGTCAACGTGACAAAAATTGAAGAGGTTGATGACCCTATCCAAGAAACAGAGCCCGTGAGCAAGGTAGAAGATGAAGAAGATGAACTGCCTTCTAAAGAACTAATTTCAGATCATGATGATGATCTGGAAGAAAGTGTTCCAGCAGAAGAAGAAGAAGAAGAAGAAGAAGAAGAAGAAGACTCAGAAAAACACGCTGAAGACGACCACGTTGAAGATGATCACGAAGGCAATCACGAAGAAGACGACCACGAAGAAGACGACCACGAAGAAGACGACCACGAAAAAGACGACCACGAAGAAGACGACCACGAAGAAGATGACCACGCTGAAAAACAAAGCAACCAAGATGAGCAAAACTCTCCTGAGCCACAGGACCAAGAGGAAGAAGAAGAAGGAGAAAAAGAATACCCAGATGATGAAGACGAGAGCCACGAGAATGAACATGCTGCGGGTTCAGATGTTGACCAAAATGACTCTGGTTCGGAAAAGGACATTGAAGAAGGTGTTTTTAAGCTCAAGCGACACAAAAAGGCCATCTCGGAATCTCGCGCCACTGCAAAATCACAACTGCCGGTCCAGAAAACACGACCGCCAAAACACAGAACAGATGACGAGGAACTCGAAGCTGGACGCAACGGGAAACGCAGCAAGTCTTCCAGCGCTCCTGCTGAAGAAAATGAAGGTGACAACCAAGATGATGGCGATAGTGATGGTATTGTAGACGACGAACCTCAGGATGAAGAAACCAGACGACGCAAGGAACTTAAGGAACGTATTCAAAACGCTGGTGCCAAACCCAAGAAGAAATCTCGCAAAGCTAATGAAGAATCTCTCGACATGTACCAAGATGAGCTTGTCAATCAGTTGCGTGATCAAATGCGTAAAGCTGCCATTGCTGATGCTGAATGTGTCAGAAACTCTCAGCCTGCTATCAACAAACTCAAAATGCTTCCTAAAGTTACTGCTGTTATCCGCAAGGGTACCATGGCCGATACCATTCTCGATAATAATCTTCTCGAGTCTATCCGCATCTGGCTTGAGCCTCTTCCAGATGCCTCGCTTCCTGCGTACCAAATTCAAAAGGAACTTTTTGATGCCCTCGAGGCCCTTCCAATCAAAACAATCCATCTTCGCGAGTCCGGCCTTGGCCGCGTTGTTCTCTTTTACCAGCGTAGCAAGCGACCTCAACTCAATATTAAGCGTGCCGTTGACCGGTTGATTGGCAACTGGACACGCCCCATTATGGGCCGCTCTGATAACTATCGCGACAAACGTATTCGCTCCAGTAATTATAACTTGCAAAACGACGACGCATACCGCAAACGCTCCACAGCAGCCAGCCAGGGTGCTGCAAGTCAGAATTCTGGCGATCTTTCAAGTGCAAATGCTGTTCGCCGAAACAGAGCCATGATTCCAAACTCAAAGCCTGTCTACTACGAGGTTGCTCCAAAGTCTGTCATCACTCAAAGTGCAGGCAAAAACCGTGGTGGAAATAACGAGAGTTACCGTCGTATGACCCAAAAACTCTTATCTAAGAAAACTTCTTCTCGCAAGTCGGGTGTGAGCATTGAAGGTAGATAAATCCTCATTTAATGTTAACTCAAATAATTTAATGAAAATTCCTTTTTTTTTTTTTTTTTTAAACAAACAAGTCCATTGCCATTATAAAATACAAAAAAATAGAAGAAGAAAAAAAAAAAGCAAACACACAAATTCTAAACAAATTACAAAAATTTCAAAAATTTTAAAACAAACTATTCACCTCCCGCCATTGCTGCAGCTCTATTTCTTTCACGAGCTTTTTGCAAAATGTATGGAAATCTTGTAGGAGGATGCTCATACTCGGAAATATCCACAACTTTGTTGCCCGAAAAAATAAACTGCACCTTCATCTTGGGGTGGTAATCAAGATCCTGCAAAAGCTTGGGTGTCACCAAAAAGTATTGTGATGAGTTTTCCTCACATGCAACGTGCACCATATGACTATGGACAACACGCTCATTTCGAGGATCCATACCCTGATTAATCTCGTCAACAACACGGAATGGAGACTTGGTGATACGTTGTAGTGAAATCAAGTAAAAAATAGTCGACACTGCACGTTCACCACCAGATTGTAACTGATGAGTCAAAACTTGAAGGTCAGTGCCTTGACGGAAGCTCACCATAATGTCAATCGACCATTCCGAAAAGGGGCCATCTGTATGGCCTAATCGGACTTCACCACGACAGTTGATGCGCTTGAATGCTTGTGTGAAAGCGTCAGAAATTGTGCTAACAATTCGCCGAAGTTCAGGCTCCCACTCGTCACGAATCTTTTCAATCTCAGAGTTAAAAAGTTTAGACTTTTTCTCAAGTTTGATAACTATTTCACGAAGAGCATCAATTTCTACTTGACGCTTCTCAAACCGTGATATTGTAGAGTCACTCAAATGGTCAGTAGATGACTTTAGATCCATTTCGATTGTAGCCAACTCCTCTTGAAGAGACTGTGCAGTAATTCCCACATTATCGTGAATCTCTTTAACTTGGGCAAGTTGATCATCATCCAGCTCTTTCCTGCTTTCCTTCACGGCATGCTTTGCAGCTTTAAATTTATGAGTCAATTCTGCAAGAGCATTTTTTTCATATTGGAGTTGCTCTTCCAGCTCTGCAAGACCAGTTCGAGTAAATCTATCGTAGCATTCAGAAGCATTGTTAACTGAGTCTAACTCTACTAAGTTGGTCTCATGTTTTTTAGAAATAAAAATCTGAGTGTCAAGGGGGTCTGAAAAACCATTAGTAAGCTCAGCAATATACTGGATTCGAGACTGTAGGTCATTTTCCAGATCGTCAAATTCCTGCTCAGGAACATGATCAACAAAGCGTTTAATCTTATCCTGAACTATATTTCTTTTTTCTTCAGCCATTCGAATTTGTTTCTTTACCTCCCAAAGTTGTTGACGTCTAGCTGTAAGATTCCTTTGAGTATCAAGAAGAGGCAGAGATTGTCTTCTAAGCTCTCCCATCTGCTCATCACAGTTAGAATTGTCGTCATCCAACTCCTTTATGGACGCGTTGATATTCTCCATATCTTCTTTAATGCGCTTGATTTGATCCCTGTTTTGACCAGAAGCAATAAAATAATTTGGAGTTTTTGCAAGTGCAACCTTACTGAAAGAAACATTGCGATTACCATAATTAGATCTGACTGATGTACAAAGGAACTCTGGATCCATATATTTGGTGAAAATAGGATCACCATTATGTTTGGTAGCGCTATCAATATACTCCATCTGTTGCTCTGTAAGAAGCTTGGAAGAATATGGAGTTTGATTAATTTTGCAATTGTGACACAACATGTTCAAAACAGGTTTTGGACCCATAATAAGGTCCAAAACAGTTCCATCCAAACCATACCCTTTTAATTCGTCAGGAGAGTAAAATACATCTTGTTGAGCAAGAGTTGCTCTATCGGTACCAGAAAACTCTTTAATTGGAACATTGATTTTAAGCTCATCAGAAACCAATTCACCAAACCGAAGATAGTCATCACGATTTAAGGCAGTAAAGGTAGCCATAGAAACTTTGTCAATATTGGCATTTAAAAACTGAAGCATATCGGGATATTTGTATGTCAAAGAAAGAATGGGAGGAAGATAAATACGCTCTTTAAATTTATCACGATTATTTTCAAGCCATTCAGCTGCTCGATAAACATTGACCCAGATATCTTCACGCTGGTTACGCAAAAAGACCATTCTCATTTGTTGATCAGATTCAAGCTGATGAAGTTCAGCACTTAAATTGGCTAAATCTCTTTTAAACTTGTCCTTTTTTCTTCTCAACAAGTTTTTTTTATTTTCCAAGCCGTTAATCTGGTCTTCAATAGATCTGATACTCTCTTTGCACTGAGAAGACTCTTCATTAATTCTCACTAGCTCTGATTCATCTGGAACTGGTAAAGTCTTAATCATATTTTCAATAGCATTCAACTCATTTTCCAAGTTAAGCTTTTCCTTCTTTTTTCGCTTCTGGGTATCTTGTAGAATTTTAATTTTTTGACTGACTTTGGTTATATCAGAAAGAGCAATACTGATTTGATCCATTTGATTATTGATTTCATCTTTAACGGATGTTCTTTCATGTCTGAGTTGGGATTGTTCTTGAGAGATTTGAAGGGCAATATTGTTATAGTCTTCTTTTTTTTCTTCGAAAAATTGTGCTCTTTCTCTGAGAGCCTCATATCGGTCTTCCAACACTTTGATTTGTTGTTTGGATTTGGTGACACTCTCACGAGCCTCACGATATTCGATAGCTTGAAGACCAGCATTCAAGACATGGGATCGTGCAATATTTCTTTTGCGTTCTTCAATCTTCTCAATGATAGCCTGATCATGAGCTTGAAGCTTTTCTTTTTCTGCAAGAATTTTCTTTTCGGCATCAAGAGATCCCTGGTCCGAATTTCTTTCTTGGTCTAGCTCAATAAGTTTACGATGCTGCTCAATCAAAGTTCGTTCACCAACGGCTCTTTCTGTTTCGATTAAAAGGTCGGTAGATGGAAGTTGTGCAAAGTTGGCCACACGATCTTGAGGTAAAAACTGACACAAGTTATTGATTTGAATATTAAATCTTTCGACTGTTTTGAATATTTCTGATTGAGTAGCATGACGGTTATTAATCTTCCAAGAACTGTTATTTCCTGTTATGGTACGCGTGACGAGCCAGTTGGATTCTCCCTCGAAACCTTGAAGTTCGATTGTGATTGTTGCTGAAGAAGCACCATGTTTAATAAACTGGCTTGGCAGTTTTGATCTTCCCAAGATTTCTGGCTTGCCACCAAGACCTAAACAAATGGCGCAGACAATAGTACTTTTCCCTGAACCATTAGGTCCAATAATCATATTCAGAGAAGGACCAATAGAGAACTCAGCATGGCGGTATGTGACGAAATCAATAAGAACAATTCTGCGAATAGCACCAGGTTCGTAACCATCAGGTGAGCGATAATCTTGACCATTAACCGTATCGTTTTGAGTATCAGGGTCTGCATACGTGTTTTCTATATCAGAATTCTTCACGGAGACACCATAATATTCAGCACCATTGTTCACCGTCATGTTGCTGATGAAACAGAGGATGATGTTTTTTGAAGTATAGTTGTAATTAAAAAGACGATGATTGATATTTTGTAAATATAAAAAAAAGGTGGGTGTTTTTGTTTACATTTGGATAATAAAAACAAAACAAATGAATATAATAATGGGTATTATTTTTTTGGTGGTGGCCCTCCCCCAAAAAAAAACAAACAAACAAACAAACGCGACTCGGTGCATAATAACTAATTTTTCTAGCCAATGGTTATATAACAAATTTGTTACAATTACATTTATATTACAAGACATATTACAATATTTCTTTATTGTTACCTGTGAAAATTTTTTTAAAAATTTCGCCACAACCACCATCATTGAGTCTTCTGAATTCTTTAGAAAAAAATCATCACCACCACCACCACTACCAACCTATACTCACACCCCTCAATCCATTTTTGAAACCCTGAAACCTCGACTAATTATTAATTTTATTTTTATCACTGCCACCACTTTTTATTTTTTTTAAAATACCCTATAGGGCCACCCAATGGCAAAAAGAAAACGTTCTGTGAACGATGCTCCAGGCCCAACCCGTGGCAGGAAGGCAAAAGCATTGCCTGCACCTTCGTCTCCTTCTTTTAATTCCTCGCAACCCGTAGAGCCTGCTGTTCCAACATACCCATACAATTCCGAGACTGGCATACCATTAACTGAAACCAAGCCCAATTATGAATTGCTTGAACAGCGATTGCCATTCAAGGAAAACTTTTCTTTGAGCCATTCGCTGGCTCGGTCCCGTAACAAGTGGCTTTCTGGTGCAATGTTTACAAAGTACTGGACGCGTCCACCCCGAGGCCGTAAATTACAGGAAGGCGAGGTTAATGCACGCGAAAAAATGTCAAAGCTTTGCGAATGTATTATGGTAATTGGCCCTCATATTTTTGAGACCAAGCTGTTTATTGTCAAGGATGATCCAGCTGATGCTCTCCCTGATTCTAAACCTGAAGATGAAGAAAAGGCTTCTGTAGCTTTAACTCAACCAGAGACTGCTCAAACAGACGCGCCTTCTACTGCCGCTTCTGTAACACCTAATCAAGTTGTCAAAAATGCAGAACCCGCCAATTTACAAAAATCTTCTGTCCCACCAGCAAACAATCCACCTCCTGTTGTGGTACCGCCTGTTTCACCCGCATCTAAAGCTCCGGTTCCAACTCCAGTACCAGCATCAACATCGGCTCCAGTACCAGCATCAGCTTCAGTACCAGCACCAGCTCCAGCACCAGCATCAGCTCCAGCACCAGCATCAGCATCAGCTCCAGCACCAGCTCCAGCACCAACTACGGCACCAACTACGGCACCAGCTCCAGCACCAGTTCCAGCTCCAGCACCAGTTCCAGTTCCAGTTCCAGTTCCAGTTCCAGTTCCAGTTCCAGTTCCAGTTCCAGCTCCAGCTCCAACACCAACACCAGCACCAGCACCAGTTCCAGCTCCAACACCAGCACCAGCACCAGCACCAGCACCAGCTCCAGCACCAGCACCAGCTCCAACACCAGTACCAGCACCAGCTTTAACACCAGCACCAGCACCAGCACCAGCACCAGCACCAGCACCAGCACCAGCACCAGCACCAGCTCCAGCACCAGCACCAGCACCAGCACCAGCTTCAGCACCAGCTCCAGCTCCAGCCCCAGCTCCAGCCCCAGCCCCAGCTTCAGCCCCAGCTTCAGCCCCAGCTTCAGCCCCAGCTTCAGCCCCAGCCCCAGCATCAGCATCAGTTCCAGCCCCAGCTCCAACTCCAACTCCAGTACCAGTTCCAGCACCAGCACCAGCTCCAAATACAAGCTCGGTTCCACCTTCGTCTACTGCTGCATATCCCATAGTCAACTCGCTCAAAGCTGCACCTGCTTCTGTACCTTCTCCAAAACCACCAGCTCCAGCAGCTTCACCTGCGGTGAAAACACCAGTTGCTCCAAAACTTTCTGCTCCGAGATCATCCCTGGTTAGTTCTGTTCCTGCAATTGGAAATGACCAACAAAAACCACTAGCTCCAAGTGTACCTTCAACTCCTTCCAAACCTTCTGCACCTCTTCCGGTTGCTGATAAGGTTGCTGGGGTGCCACCACTTAAACCGGCAACAACACCTGCGGTAATTCCCAAACCTACAGCAATTCAAGCGGCACCTGCAGCAACAAAGCCTATTAATAAACCTGCTACAGCTCCTGTTGGATCATCACCAGCACCTTCGACACCAGCCAAACCAGCCCCTGGACCCAATTCAATTACCTCCAACCCGGAAAATGTTCAAACAATTCTTAAGCTTCAGGCAATTGCTCGGATCGACAAATCTCTCAATGCTTTGATGAAGATTGTGGCCAGTGGAAGTGCCTCTCACCAACAAATTACTGAATTCCAAGGGTACATTAATCGCGTCAGAATGATTGACTTGGAAGATATTCCCAAATATTTTACTCCAGAGGGCCCAAAGTTCCCTCCAGACATGCAATTTCGCAAACCTCCCCCACCTTCCACTCCTAGACCTGCCGCATCAACAGGGCCTTCAAATACGTCACCAATATCTCGAAACACGCCAATTGCTCCTAACCGGGCTCTACCAAGACCGACAACAGCAAATCTTACAGCATCGCCTGCTCTTCCGTTGCAATCTTCTATTCAACCAAATCCTCTTAGTTTGACACCTGGTAAACGAGGACCAAATGCTCTGAAAACCAAAATTTCCAAACCCCCTAAGCCGGTGAAACCTCCTAAGGAAAAGAAAATTAAGGAGCCCAAAAAGAAAGATACAGAGGGGAAACCGGGATGGGGGAAGAAGAAAAAGGAACCAACTAAACCAAAGTCAGTTTACGTTTCGAAAAAGCAGCAAAAGAAAGTCACAATTGTTTTTGAATTTAAAGACAACCCAGCTGACAGATATATTATCCCTAAAAACTCCATGATTGAGATTTTACCGACAAATGAAGTTCTTGTTTCGTTTTTCTTGACATTTCCAGAGGGCGGCCGCATCTCAACTTCAAAAGATCTGGGACTGTCAGGAATGAAAATGACACATATCAAGACCGAAAGTGGACTAGATGAAGAGATGGAAATCACTGAACGACCTAGCACTATTGGTGGTCTTGCAAATGAAGAGAACCGCACGCCTACACCACCCCTATCTACTGGAGAAGGGCTTTACTACCCACTTACAATAACCATTCGCGATATTCCAGTCAAGTCGCTTCCCTTGTTAGAGCGCTGTGTGCACAAGCCCCACGACGTGTACCAAAATATGCAAAGCACAATTGACACGGGGAGACGTGCCAAAGACTGGTGGGTTTGGTTTGAGATTGACCGTCGGGACGAGGACTTGCTCGAGCAGCTTATACAGCCGGCCAAGCCTCCTGAGAATATGTTTGTGCCTGCACGTGTGCGTGTATACAAGAGCAAGAAGAAGAATAAACATTCTGGAGATCATGATGAGGATGATAAAAAGAATGACGGCGGAGAGCTGATTAAAATAGAGGATGACGATATGGATGTGGAAGAAGATCCAGAAAAAAAGGAAACGGCGACAACAAAAGCAAGCGGAGACGCCACAGTGACTGATGTTCAAGATGCTGGCACTAAAGCTAATGTCAATGAAACTTCTCCTGCAGCCGTCAATAAAGAAAAGCCTGAAGAAAAGGAGCTGGCTGTTGTTGCACCTCCTGTTACTTCAGTTGCTTTATAATCACTCCCTGGTGGAGGTGCATTTAATGATTTTTTTTTTGCTAATATTTTTTTTTTAATAGAGATGTAAATTATTAATATGGTGATACTTGAATCTATTAAGCCGAATATTGAACCTCGACACCAAAAGTAGTCACAGAAGGGACTTTTGTTTGAAGAGATAGGCCAAACCCAGAACTAATGAGAAGCTCTTTAAACCGGCCTTCCCATAAAAGGTTTATAGTTTGTTTGCTTAAACTGGTGTTGCCTTTAAAACAAAACACAGGAGCGTCTTGAATAGATTCACCTTCAGAATGAGGGATTGGGGTTACTACTGGATCGTCTGTGGCCACACTTTTAAGCCCGGTATCGTATAAGGTGCGGTCCACAGTATTTAAAAAGCGCTTGTACTTACGGGAGATGTAGCCGTCTTCTACGGAAACGGTATATGGAGGGTCAGGAAGCGATGAGTAGACTGCGAGGTCTCCATTTAAGTTGGTATGTTCTTTCGTTTCAGTTTGTAGGGTGGCATCAGACTGTTTAATGGTGTCTAGTGAATCCTTAAGAGTTTCATTTTCAAGTAAACTGGTGTCGGAGCCCCGCTCCAAGTCGCCATGGTCACAGGAGCTGCTGGCAAAAGACCCGCCATCTTGGGTATTATCGAGGAATCGCCAGATTTCCCAGCCAATTGACAGATCACTTTCGTATGAATAAATGTTAAAGTCGAACCGGCTACCGAGGGAAGCTGCACGTGTTGAGAGTGAGTACATAGATGAGATCTGACCCATTAAAGGGTTGCACAAAAGTGCCAATGATAAGGGGGTGCCAGTGTAGAGAGATTGGGCAGTGTAACGTAAGCAAGTGGAAATACCGGGACTTTTTGAAAGTACAGCGTAAAAAAGCTCACCTCCTAGGGATAATCTGGATGTAATAGAAGGGTCGTTCATACGTTCTTTGGCACCAAAGTTATAAGTGCCAGTTAATCCGAGAAGTGCTTCATGGGTGGAGTAAATATATTCGCTGGTCCATTTCCCATCATTGTATTGATAGGTAAAAGTCATCTACAAAGTTAGTGACTATGGGGATCAATTGATATCGGACTAAACATACTGCTCCATTGTTTTTGTATCGCGAATCGCTGACACTTTTAATTACCAATTGAGAGGTTGGTGAAAGCCTTCGGACCATCATTGCCTCAAGCCCATTGCCTGGCAAAAACATGCGGCCGTATAGTAGGGTATCTAAAAAATTAGTAAAAAAAAAAAAAGAAGAATATTTTGAATAGTTAATTGAGGGCATACCTCTAGTATCTACTCGGACTCCATTTTGCCAGACTTCCCAGTACATGGGGTCTTCTTGTTGCTTGAGGGGTTCCAGAACCTTGTATCCTGAGATTGCATCGCGGATAGATATTTCGCTAGAAGTTGCAATTCCTTTAAGAGGTTTAGATGTGTAAAGATATGAGATTGAGCCACTGACGAAGCCAAGGTCAGAGAGGGTGTATGACGTGAATGAATTTTCAGTAGCTTGGGATGAGACAGTAATATTAAAGCCTTTCGGTATGCTAAAGTTGATTAAATCTAAAAGGAGGTCAGAAGCAGCTTAAAGAAGTAGTATTTTAAGGTATGACATACTATCCGAAGTTTCGGTGAAATGTGAATAAATGTTGTCTTCATTCCAACCGGTTGATTTATGAAACGACTTTAAAATGTACTCCATGTATGTGAACATTGTATGTGTAAATATGTTTTTTTTTGGTGATGATGGGAGGAGAAGCCATTAGGGAAGGTTTCTGACGTTTAAAAGGTCTAAAGCAGCAACACGTGATTGAATCAGGGTTGGGGCTATACGGGAGTGATGTGGGATTTGGCCACACTCGGGAAATTTTTTTTTTTTTTTTCGCCTTCCAACAACCTCCCATCAAACACATCTTTTTTTTTTTTTTTTATTCTAAAAATCTCCCTCAAAAAACATCCTATTGAAATCAAGTTTCAAGCAAAAAAAAATAAATAACAACAAGAACCAATTTTCAAATTCATTTTGGACTGCCATCAGTAGGGTTTTACGTGGCTGTTCTAACGATATTTGAATAAAGTATGTATAAAACATCAATCTTTTTATTTTTATTTTTATTTATTTTTATTTTTATTTTTATTTTTTTTTTTGCTTCCTTTACCCCGCGTGTTACACCGAATTCAATTAACACCACTTTTCCTTTCTTTTCTTGTTTTCTAGTGTACAACGGCAGCTACTATTACGAAGAACAAACCGACTTCTATGAAGTACTGGGGATTTCTCGAGATGCATCTGCAACTGAAATCAAAAAGGCATACCGAAAGCTGGCGCTGATACATCATCCAGACAAGGTTCCTGAAGCACAGCGTGAAGAATCGGAACAAAAGTTTAAGGACATTTCTCGGGCTTATGAAGTTTTATCAGACGGTAAGTTTGAAAATGTTTTTTTTTTCTTTTTTTTTTTTTTTTCGAATTTTCGAATTTTTGAATTTTTAGATCTCTAATGGAAATTTTCAGGGTGCAGAAATGTCCCCCTGAATAATTTCATATATAACGCATTACCCCTAAAAAATTTCATTTAAGCTAACTAGCTGATTTTGCAGAGGTTGAACGAGCCAAGTATGACAGTGGAGCTGGACTTCATGGAGATCATTATGACGAAGATGGGTTTACTGCGGAGGACTTTTTCCGGTTTTTCACAGACACTTCTGCACGCCACGGATTCAGTGGGTACGGGTATCAAACACCAGGTTACGGCAATGGCCATGATGGATATGAAGAGCCGCAACCCCCACCAAAGAATGGAGCAACAACCGGGGGGAAGACAGAGGATGGACATGTGGAGTTCCAGGTAAACCTAGAGGACTTTTACAAGGGCAAAGTGGTCAAGTTTACAAGCAAGCGCAAGAAACTGTGCTCAACATGCAAGGGATCTGGTGGACGGCCCAAGACTAAGGCTCGCAAGTGTGCCAAGTGTGAAGGCCATGGTAGCATTCGCAAGCAGTTTAATCTGACGGGGATCTCAACATGGCGATACGTGGAGTGCAGCAGTTGTAAGGGTCGCGGAGAGCTGTTTCGACAAAAGGACAAATGCAAGGAATGTTCTGGGTGCGGTCTTGTGGATGAGGTTAAGATTTTGGAGGCCTATGTTCCTAGAGGAGCGTCGGATGGGTACAAGATTGTGCTTGACGGAGAGGCTGATGAAGAGTATGGCAAGAAGACTGGAGCAGTTGTGATTGAGGTTCAGGAGAAACCGCATGCTGTGTTTGAGCGTAAGAAAGAGGATCTTTATGCAACAATCAAGATTTCGCTTGCCGAAGCAGTGTGCGGGCTTTCGCGGGTGGTGCTGATGCACTTGGACGGACGCGGTATCCGGGTGACGACGCGTCCTGGGACTGTGATTCGGCCAGACCAGGTGCTCAAAGTTTCTGGAGAGGGAATGCCCTTCCCGCGATCTGATCGTTGTGGTGATTTGTATCTTTCGGTAGACATTGAGTTCCCACCCAATGGTTGGTGCGTGGAGTCTAGCGACTTGCGCAAACTGCGTGATATGCTGCCAGAGTTACCAGTGGGGATGCGGCCAGGCAAAAGTGGTTCTGGGGTGAATGGCGTGAGTGGTGGTATTGGGAATGGCATGGGAGTGAATGGTGGGAAGAAGAAGGCAGCAGCAACTGCAGAGACAATTATTGATGATGTTGATTTTGTGGTGATTTCAAAAGATAAATTGCCTGAGTACCGAGAAGTACCAGAGGAGTCGAATGGCAGTGATGGTGGGTACACACAGTTCCCAGGGGAAGGATGCAAGACTCAATAAGAAGAAGAGGATGTTTTTTGTTTGCTTAGGAATGCAAGCATTTGAAATAAAATGAAATACTAAAAAAAAAATATATGAATAAAATTAAAAACGGTAGATACAATAAAAAAAAAATTTGAAAAATAAAAATGGAAATTGTCTAAAAAAAAGAAAAAAAAAAACAGTCTATAAAAATTAAAAAAAAAAAAATCTATTCATCTGAAAGACAATTTTCAAGAGGAGAGTTTTCTAAAAGGTTAAGCATATCTTTATCCAGAGCCGCACTTAGATCCAAATCCAAATCCAGATCCAGATTTAGATCCAGCATGAAATCAGGTTCTGAGCTACCATTATTACTATCCTCATTGTTCCTATTGTTCCCATTGTTACTATTAGTATTATTGCTACTATTGCTAATCGGCATAGTTTCCACGCCATTGATTACTACCTCTGGCTTTTCCATAGATTGTAAAGCTTTACGTTCCTCATTATTTGCTCGCAAACTGTTACCCTGGTCCCGCCAAGAAGACGCTGCTGCGTAACGGCCCATTGAATGAATCGACAACACCCCACGTTGCAGCCTTCTAGCTTGCCCGGGTTTATTATGATTGTTGCTGTTGTTGTTATTGTTGTTGTTGTTGTTGTTGTTGTCCAGTCTTGTACCCGTCATGACCCCTCGTTGCTTAGCTGTTGCAGAGGCTGTGGGAGCCAGGTACCCAGGCACACGGCGTGGAAGAGTTGCTGTGAGACGGGCAGCTGCTGGGTGAGCATGACGGACAGCTGTTGTAGTTGTACGAGACTCACGGTGGAGTGCAGTGGTAAAGGTTTTGCGGGTAAGTCGCTGGGAGTGAATGGATAGAGAAGATTTTTGTGGTTGTGGTTGTGGTTGTTGTTGTTGTTGTTGTTGTGAAGAAGGCAGTTGGTTGTGTGGAAGATCAATTGGTGGTGGTGGAGGTGGTGGTGGTGGGGAAGGAATTGTAAGAGATAAAAGGTCTTCAGCTTCTACGGCTTTCATCATTTCATTAAGTTTATGTTTTGATAAAAAGACGCTTGTACTTTGAAGAGTTTTAAACGTTTTATTTTCTTTTTTTCCTTCATCGTCATCTTCATCTTCATATTCATCTTCGCTATCAGCAAATTCTACCATCATTTCTTCTTCAATCCATGGTGTGAATGGTAGTTCTGGAATCTTTTGTGGAATGCTTTCAATTTCTTTATCTTCTATTTGTTGTAGTCTTGGAATCATACCAATTTGTCCAGAAATAATTGTCGGTTGAATTGCACCAATTGTAACAGTATCTTCCTCCTCTTCCTCTTCCTTCTCTTCAGTATCAATAAATACAAGCCCCCCACGTTTCGCACTTCCTCGTAAACTCGCTTGTAGCTTTTGTTGTGACAAGTGAACGTCTTGTCTTCTCAGAGGACCACTGATTTGACCTTGGAGAGTTCCTGCTGCTGTTGTTGTTGTTTTTTTTGTTGTTGTTGTTATTGTTCTCAAGTTATTTTGATTTTCTAGAATTTTATGATGTGCATTTTTATCTTTCCCTGCAAGTGCTGTTCTTGGTGGAGTTTTCCCTTCTTTCTCTTCTTTCCCATAATGACTTGAAGCTGTAAATTGTGAATTTTTTTTTTGCATGAAAAGTAAAGGTGGTGGAGTTCTAAAGATTGAAGATTTTTTTTGTTTTTTTTGAGTTATAATGGATGATAATTGTTTTGAAGGACTGTGCTGGAGAGATGGTAAAGAGGAGATCCGTTTGGTGGGAGGAGTTTTAGGGATTGAAGCATTGTTGGAGTGTTTATGGAATGAGTTTTCCTTGTTGGCTCTGATTGTGGACATTTAATTGCTAGAATTTCAGAGGTTTTGAATGAAAATGAAAATGAAAGTGAAAATGAAAGTGAAAGTGAAAGTGAAAGTGAAAGTAAAAAATGAAAGTGAAAGTAAAAAATGAAAGTGAAAGTGAAAGTGAAAGTGAAAGTGAAAGTGAAAGTGAAAGTGAAAGTGAGGGTATAAGGTGAAGGTGAAGGTGAAAGTGAAAGTAAAAAAAAATTAAAATAAAAGTAAAAGCAAGGTTTGTGAAAATATATGTATATAGGATATATATGTCAATTTCTTGTAAAGTAGTTTATAATACGGTAAAGTAATAAGAAATTGGAGTTTTTTTTTTAATAGAAGGTGTAAAAAAATAAAAAATAAAAAATAAAAAAGGAACTCGTTAGTTGTGTTTATTTTTTTATTTATATTAAAAGGAATATAAAAGAAAGATTTGTTTGTTTGTTTTCATTTATTTATTTATTTATTTATTTGTTTGTTTGTTTTTGTTTGTTTTTGTTTGTTTTGAAATTTCCTGATTTGGTAATTCACGTGATTTATAAAGCCGTATGTGTATGTGTATGTGTATGTGTATGTGTGTGTATATATATTTTGTCTGCTTAATAAAGCGAAGTCATGACGACCAAGCAGCACAAAATAAAAAGTTGAATATTTGAATATTTGAATTTTTTTGAACATTTAAAGATATCTTAAAAATTAAAAATCAATCTTTTGACCACTTGATTCATTCTACAACAATTAAAAAAAAAAAATTATCATTTCAGAATTATATCTTTCTTCTTTTTTTTCTTCAGCAAACCAAAAAAAAAAAATAAAATAAAAATAAAAACTCTCTTTATCAAAGTTTATTTTATTTTTTTTTTTTGGTAAAGATAGTCATCATAAACAAAGTTAAAAGTAGTTTTCATATGAAGAAGGTGGGAGGGTATTTTATTTATATTTATTTATATTTATAATCTAAAAATGTATAAATAAACTATGGTTAAATCGAGGCAATTTTTTTTTTTTTGTCAAAGAAATGAAATTAAATTAAATGAAAGAAAAGAAAAGAAAAAAAAAAAAAAAAAAAAAAACTTGTTTTATTTTTGACTTGTGACATTTTTCTTATAATTATATATTTATATATAAATATTTAAAAAAAAAAGGTTTCTTCACATGAAGATTTGGAGGGGGGGGAGGTTTAAAAAAATACCAATATTAGTATTTAATGATTAACTTTGTATATAATATTTATTTTTTTTTTTTTAAATAAAAAAAAAGTCTAATATCCACTTTAAAGCCCCTCCCTGTTCCAGTAGTAACCCCCTCCTATTGCTCTCTCGTAATATCAATATCAACAACAAAATCAAAAAGTAAAGGAGTTCTTTTATCAGTTTTTTTTTTTTATTTCCTTATCATAATGTTTAAGTCTTGTTACTTTAATTTGTATATGGAGTGGGGGGGAATGTTAGATAAAATCTTTACCACAAAATATCTACTTAAAGTTTAATAATCTCTTCTTCTTCTTTTTCTTCTATATACTATAGTATAGTATAGTATAGTATATAGTATCTACTTTACTTCAAACTAATATATTATTATATTATACTAATACTATTATTATATACTACTTTATTAAAATAAAATGAATCCCCGCTTCGAGGTCCAACAACAACAACAATAAATAATAAGAGGAGAAGAAAAAAAAAAAAAATTTCCACTGCACACACACATGTTTTGCGCCGCACACACATAAATAATGATGATTTAAAACTTCTTTTCTCCCCCTTCTCCCCTCTTCAAGTACACACACATACATACACACACACGGCTTTGAGTCCTTTCCCTTTTTTTTTTTTTTTTTTTTACTTAAAAACTTCTTCTTCTTCTATTTATTAAGTATTTTATTAAATATTTTATTTTATTTCTTTCCCCCTCCTTATTTTTTTTCAAAACCATGGATGATGATGGATAGAATTAAAGAAAAAAAAAAAAAAAAAAAAAAAAAAAAAAAACTAAAGTTAACATAGTTATTTAATAATAATACTCCTCTTTTTTTTAAATCTAAATATCATCATGATATATATATTACTTCTTCTACTCCACTTTTTTAATTGAAACAGGTGGGGGGGTTGGTTCAATTCATAATAATCTTTAAAGAATGAATGAATAAAAATATCTTAAAGACTTTTTTTTTTTTTTTTTTTTTTTTTTTTGTATTCACTAACAATAATAACCACCCCGCTCTTTTTTTTTTTTATTTATTTATTTAAAAAAAAAAAAAAAAAAAACAATTAAGTAAATAATTTCTATTAATGATTACTTTTATAGTTGAGGTTTTTTTTTTTCATGGTACTTTATATACTTTTTTATTAATGTTGTTAATGTTAATGTTAATGTTGATGTTGATGTTGATATTAATGTTGATGTTAATGTTGATGTTGTAATTCTGGTAACCCTTTTTTTTTTTCTTCTTATTTTTCTCCTCCTCATTTCCCCCGCTTTTTCTCTTTATATAAAAAAAAAAATTGGTAATAATTGATGATTGATGATTGCCCACATGTTTTTTTTTTTTTTTTTATTCTTTTATTTTTAATATATAAATATATTTTTATTTTTATTTTAGGAGAATTATTCATGGAGAAGTTTAAACTTTCTTTCATTATTACTAAATTTAGTAATTAACTGTTAATGTTGAAAAAAAAAAAAAAAAAATTTTTGGTACTTGATTATTACAGTTAAAATTAATTAACTATATATTTCACTTTTTCTTTTTGGTTATCATAATTAACTATAACTATAACTATAGTTTTTTTTATCCATTCACTTGGATTTCATTTTTTTTTCTCTCTCTGTTATCTCTGTTATCTCTGTTATCTCTTAAATTTTATATATCAATTCAAAATATTGTTATTTACTTCCTCTTAATCGAAATAATAATAATAAAAAAAAAAAATTTTAAAAAAAAAATAGAGGTTTATCTTTTCAATTTCAAAATAATTATAAATAAATATAAATAGTTTTATTCAATTCCAATTTTATTTTTTTTATTTTAATATATATAAAAAAAAAATTACCCCCCACACACAAATAAAAAAAAATTTCCAATTTATAAATTTTCACTCAAAAAATTTCATATCTTCTCTCTCTCTCTTTTTTTTTTTTATTTTTTTTTCTTTAATTCATTTATTTATTTATTTAATTTATATTTTTAATAATTCTTAAATCCATTTCTCCTCTTCTTCTTAATTTTTAATAACAAATATTTGATATATATTGAT